TTTTTTTTTTAAAAACACTAAATAAAAATTTCTTTTAGTAGAAAAGTTTTTTCTTTTAAGATTTATATTAATTAAATTAATTTAGTTTATATAAATAAAAGAAAGCTTTTCTTTTTAAACTATGAAAATGGCGACTGGTGGCCATTTTTATATACTGTATAAAAAAGAGATTCACATGTATGTAAACTGAGTATTAATTGAAAAATACGCTAAGTTAGTACTTCTTTTACAAAGTAAGAAAATATTCCAACATAACATATTATTATTGGCCTAAGACGATAAGAAAAGAGAACGGAGAGAGAGAGAGACACATACACACACAGTTAGAACATTCTCTGCTTTCCTATAAGTCGGGCAAAAAAAGTAGGCTTTTATTCTTTTTACTTTAAAGAGCAAAGACAAACGATTCGTATTTATCAAAGTGAATATAATATCTTCCTCTAGCCCTTCAGCCGTTCCTCAGGTTAATGTTATAATCTATTCTCAAATTTTAAAAAAATCCTCTCTTCTCTAAAGAAATAAAATAACATTGATGTAAGCCTAGAAACGAAAGGCCATCTACCGGTAAGAAGAATAAATGAAGAAGAAACGTTCTTAATTCTATATTAAGAACATAATATAGCTTTCAAATTAAATATTATATATATAAATACATTTATACATATATATATCTTATATGTATTATTTTGGATATATAGATACTGTATATATATATATATTAGTATATATATTAATATACTAATACATATATAAATTGTACTTTATAATTATTTATTCATTTTTCTGTTGAGTTTTTTATATTTGATTATTCGTTTTCTATTTTTACTATTTAAAAGAACAGGGAAATGAAGGAACCCCTTAAAAAAGTTATTGATGAGGAAGAATTTCTATTTTACCAAAATTGTACTTATCGTAAAGGGTACGAATGGCGAACAAAATCATCTTGGTGGTGTACTAGAGAAAACTGTTTTGGACGTCTTATGACTAAACAAAAAGGCGAAAAATTTTACATTTTCAGCTTGACTAATCATAATCATAGTATTGATGGAGAGATAACAATCTATTCGTTCCATAAGCGAAGAAGAACGATTTGCACTCTTGCACAACTATGTAAAGAAATTATTAATGAAGTTAGATACGGTATATATAATGTTTTTTCATTTTTTTTATCTTCCAGTCCTTCTTCTTCTTTCTCTTATCCTTTTTAATATTCTTACGTGCTATGTTTATATTTGTCTTTTAGGACGTCTTTACGAATTACCAGACAGCTGTCGCAGATGTTCTATCCTACCTTTCATTCCAAGGAGAATAGGGAATTTTCCTTCTTCTATAAATGAAAAGTTCAAGTGTTTTGTCCTATATAGCCACTCTGATTTTATGGTTTTGGGTAAGAGCTTAGAATACTTGAGTACTCCAACTACTCTTCTTATGAATACTTCGGTCAAATATAAAACCAGACATTTTCCTGTAATTTTAAGAATTTATGGAATATTTAAAGGAGTCTGTATTCCGGTCATCTACTGCCTTATTAGAGAAAAAATTCGACATATCTATAGCCTTATTATATATACACTTAGAGTTCTTCTATTTGGTAATAATTTACGGCTAGAACCGCAGAAGATTATTGTCGACTATAAAGACGAGCTTATACTTGAGCTAATGAAACAGTTCCCGAAAGCGGTTATTAGAGGTTCATTTTATAATCACCTAAATCAAGTTTGGAGGGCCGTGAAAGCTTGTGGTGCCTTGCGATCTTACTGCAGTTCAAAAACGGCAAAATCAGTAATAAGACGTCTTGCTTGCCTATCTATCTTACCAGTTGTATCAATTAAGCCCTCTTTCTTGGAATTGGAAAAAGAGGTATCACCCGAAAATTATCCAGAAGTTAATCTATTGTTAAAATACTATAAAACGAAATGGTTGGAGGGTTGTATACCATTAATTAACTGGAATGCTTCTCAAGAAGATTTCTTAATTAATGGAGCGGTGGAGATATACTTTGAAAAGATAGATGAAGGATATGGGATTAACTATTTCAATATAGATCGTCTGATATCGACTTTAGGAAGAATATGTGAAAAAACTTATTCCTGCACTGCCCAACCCGATCCACCAAATGTCGATACAATTGATAGACATGAACACATTGGAATGGAAGTGGAAAATTTAAAAGAAGAATTTAAAAGTGGTTTGACAAATTCTAAAGAATTTCTTTACAAAGTATCTCGCTTTATCCACCGTTCTTTATTGATTTAATTAGATTTATCTATAGGAAAATTTTTTAAGTGCTATCCTACTAATTCTTAATTAGTGTTGAATATTCGTACTATTATGAATCTTTTTTCCTCTACTAATCTTCCCGCCTATCTTTCTCTGTCGTCGTCCTCTCTCTCTCTCTCTCTCTCTCTCTCTCTCTCTCTCTCTCTCTCTCTCTCTCTCTCCTTCTCTACCCTCTAATTAATATACCAATTGATTAGCATTAGTATTTCTTTACAAGCTCCAACTCCATGATTTGTTTTCTATTATATAGCTTTTTTCGGACTTTTTAGAAATATCTCATTTATACTTAATTAATATTAAAAATATTCGTTTATTCCTTAATAGTTATTGAAAATAAAATGGGAAAAAGAAAATAAAAATACAGAAAAAAAAGAAAAGAAAAGCTAAATAATCATTTCCTTATAACGCGGTTTTGTTAGGTTAGAGCAAACGAGGGAATATTAAACCACAAACCATTGTTTCTAAAAAAGATATCATATTTTAGTCACGTGACTTATTAAAACAAATAATAGAGACACTTGTAAGTATACATAATGCTAAAGATTACAAACAAACAAATAAAAGCAGAAGAGAATTTAAAAAAAGCAAAAAGCAAAAGAGAAGGAAAATACATTTTTTTTACTTTGGTTATTCTTATACTATCGCAAAAAGACCTCTCGGTTATAACATTTTTATTAAATTTATGTAGAAATTTTGTCGATATGGACGTATATTTTGGATATAATTAGGGACACAATTTCATAGAGATTAACAATATCTTCCCAACGATAGAACTTCAAGGAAACAATCACTTAATAGTATAAATGAATTTCCAGATTCTCAGTAATTAATTTCTGGTAAATATGCATGATATATAGATAACATGGATGTTTGAATTAGTGGGCGGCCAGACTAGAAACAAGATTAGGAATTTTTTTATAGAATAAAGGTATAAAATTAAAAATAATTTAATAGACTAATATTCAATTAATTAGCGAATGTTATCAATTAGGATGTAAATTTGTTAGCTAATTAGGGAACCGGTTGCATAAAGAATATTCTGCATGCAAAACTGTTTGTAAATGAGTTTAATTTGCTTTTCTCTCTCTCTCTCTCTCTATCTATCTATCTATCGAAATGACAGGGGTTTCTTGTTAAGTTAGAATATAAATTTAGTTTCTTGGTAAAGAAACATTCCAAAGAGAAACTAAACAGTCAAGTTTTTTCCAGTTCACGTGCAACAGAGCAGAAATGCGCAAACAAGAACTATCAAAGATTCGCATTAGAGATGATGAAGGAGCTAATCAATATGCTGACCGCGTAGTTTTACTGTCTGAGAAAGGCGTACCCAGTTTATACGTACTATAGTCAATCGGATGTAAAAATTGGTTAGGAAAAAAATGGACTTTTAGATAAACCAGTTGTTAGTGTGAACGACCTCTAAGATATGAACTAATACCTTTGTATCTTTTAGCGTGCTAAGGTTTTTGGCTATCTTAAATTTCATGGCGATAATCCATTATTTATAATCTAGTGGCATGCTCCAGTTTAGAATGAGATGATCAAGTCGTATTCTGGTAGAGACTATTGCCAGATCGGATACGTCTGATGCTTTGCGTAATTTACAGAAACGAAAATCGATTTGACGCCTTAATTGATTTAGGCAGTGACAAACCACTCATTCTTAATTAGTTTGCAAATGACCCCTCCAATGACGTGATCGTACAATATAAATACGCTGCATGTTATGCTAATTAATTATAAACTATGGAAAATGGACTTGTTAAGCCAACCGCCTAGCGGTTTGAATAATTCTCCTCAGTAGCAGCGTCTACGCCATCTAGTAGTATAACATCTTGACTGAATTTTAAAGAGATATTAAGCCGATGGGCAATAGAGTGGCCATCTATAGGATTTATCTTTCTTATCGCCATCTTCAATTCTCTAGCTTCCTTATTTGAATCACACAAAAAAGCTATCTACTTGACTGATTAAAATATATTTTTAAACTTTTGCGTATTTGAAATCTAGGCCCAGAGAAAAGCATAAATGTAAAAACATAGTAAAAGAAAAACAAGAAAGAAACAAACCGATCGTCACTGGAATTAGTAATTAAAAATGGCGGATATAAGATATATATTACAATCCGCCATATTTAAAATTTATTATAAATACAAAATAGAAGATGGATGGAAAGGGGAGCAGCTCAACAGCCAATCACGGAACGCTAAATTTTACGATGATTATGTATTGACGTCATAGTAAATAACACCGTATTATCTTGCAACAGACAATTTTACGGATAGTCACTTATTTTCCGATCAGAAAAGGCGAACAATAAAACGGTTGGAATGGCGACTGCAAAACCCTTGACACCACTGAAACCAACTACAGTTGTAAGTCAAAATATAATGATGTACAAGTATTTTATTTGTCAAATAACGGAAACGAAAGCACGTGTCCTTATAAATATAATAATTAGAGAAAGGCAGAAAACATTCGTTTTTCAACATAAACACAACATTTCAAACTTTTTCATTAGATTTTACTTTGATAATTTCTGTAGTTCTGTTTTAAAAAGATTTTTTTAAAAAAAAAAACAAAAGGATGAGGGAGGAGAGAGGAAAAAAGAAACGAAATGGATTTGATACATTATTAGCTTTTTCGGCTGTTGTTTATATTGTTTTTCATAGAATTTTTACAGATTTATTCGATTTATAGAGTATGCTATTACTATTAATCTCTCTCCCGCTACCTCTCCCTCCCTCCTTTCTTCTTTCTCTGTTTGTTTGTTTATTTAAAAAAAAAGTAAATTGATTAATATTTCATTTGTTTTTTCTTTGATTTAGCTGAAGAGCGTTGGACCAAAACTGGTACCTTTCTTTAAAACCGTTACAATATATTTTGTCCTCTATGGCAAAGAGTCAACAATGGATTCTATTTTCTATTGCGTCATTAAAATTCTACCTATAATCTCCTTGATGATCTTTGTTCTACTACACGGCATGAATTTCTCTGAGGCTTACGTTTATTCAAGAAGAATTTTAATAGGCCTACTCTTCTCAGCATTTGGAGATGCATTTATGGTTTGGAAAAAAAATGGGTATTTCATACCAGCTGTTGGAATGTTTGCAATTGCTCAACTCCTATATGCGAGAGCTTTTGGCTTTAGAGATTTAAAGATTAAACATGGTGTCTGTTGCGGTAGCTTGTGTTCTGTTATGTTCCTCTTCCTTCTTCCAGTTTTAGAGGTACTATCGACTATTAGCTTTTCTATATATAGTAGATTTCTGTTTCGTTTCCTCTTATTACCAAAAGCATCTTTCTCTCCCTTGTTAAATCAACATTTTTTCAGGGCAAAATGGTTTGGATAGGAATGACATATTGCGCATTAATTTGCGGTATGTTATGGAGAGCGGTGGCTAGAGTTCAGCTCTTTAATGATTTATGGACGTGGACAAAATTGTGCAGTTGCGGTGGCGCCATCTTCTTTGTTATTTCAGACTACATAATATGTTTAGATAAATTCCTCGCTCCCGTTCCCTATGCACATCAATTAATAATGTCAACCTACTATACCGCTCAGTTGGGTATAACGCTAAGTGTCATTGATTCCCAAGCCGATATCGTCATTGAACAGAGTTTAAAGGAAACTGAAAACTGGAAAACACAACGAATTGAAAAAGGTTCTTTTGAAGAGAAAGTCGATAAAAACTGCAAAAAAACAAATTAAACTCTTACAAACAAACAACAGCATTAACTGCAAAAAGAGTAGGGGATGGTTGGGCGGGGGCGGGGAGGGTTCCTTGTAAGCTGTTTTCGAATTTGAAGGATATTGTTCATTTGTTTATTTTGGGCATAACTAATCCAGTTTCTTCCTTTCCTAGATATATGAAAAATATGAAAAAAAACAAAAAAAAGAAGAGCTAATAAGCTATATTAATCAAGCTTGTTTCGTTTTTAAATATATATATATATATATATATACATATATACAGTATATGTATATAACAACAACTATGGGATAAAGAGAGTAAGAAAGAGATTAGCGGCACTTATACTTCCATAAATAAGTGGGCTATTAGATTTTCTCTTCCTATCCAACAATCAAGATTGAAAATACTTTTACATTGTACACTATTTTTAGTAATTTTTATTCAGGAAGAAGATAATTATATAATCATCGAAATGCATTAGAATCTCTAGATAAAAGATAGTGAAATCCGTGGAAAAAAACAAAAAGTCAGATCTTTCTCCTATTTCCTTTTTATTTTTTATTATTTATATATATATATTGTTTTGTATATCATTATATTTGTATATATATATATATATATATATATATGTTTTGATTTATTAATAAACGTATCTAACATTGGCTTTTACTTGAAAATAATCAAGAGATTTATTTATCTTTTTCCCGCCAAGAATTTCAGATTTCTAGGAATTTGTGTGTATATTGAACAACTTGTTACTGAAAATGAAAGAAGTATGAATAAGTAATAAAAATTTTTTAAAAAAAAAATATTGCTATATTTCAAGGTCAACTTAAAAAATGTATGTTTGTTGTATGCATGCTTTTACTATTATATTATGACCATTTTATTATATATACAAGGCTGGCTGTTTGTCATTCAAATAAAAAATGGCAATGGCATTTTTATATATAAAAAAAAAATACTAAATGAATACTAATTTTCAGTTAAGTTCGCGTATAGCATTTTTCAACTAAACTAGATATAAAGTGAAACGTGTGAATTGCTTTGGGCGTTGTTCAATGCCTTTTTTTTTTTTTAAAAGTTTTTGTCCTTTGCTTTCTTATTCTCAAAAAAATTATTAATCATTATTCTTCTTTTTCATCCTCTTCTTAAATTTGAACTAATCAGTTTTGATATTTAACAGTCAATTTCAACAAAACATGGCCTTATCTATTCAATAACATCATCTACTAAAACCATCAAACCGTATCCGCCTCTCTTTTCTCAATTAAATGTTGTTTATATAGAATAGTTCCATTGCGAATAAAAATATAACTTTGTATCAGCTTTTTTAATGAGACCTATGAGCAAATTTTTACAAGAATATTTCATATTCAAATGAATAAGGATATCCGCAAATGCTGCATTTTAACCTCCAAAGAAAAACAATTAAATTTATTTACATATGAATTGAGTTTAATAATAAAAAAATATCATCTTTTTATGAATGAGAAAGAATAATGATAACCTTAGAGATTTCAACCGATGTATGTTGATGAAGAATTTAATTTAATATAAAAAGCTATTTATTTATTTATTAAATCACGATTATACTGAAATTATAAAAGTTCGTATATATTTCATCTTTCATTTGAAAAAATTGAAAACCCTAATGTTCTATTTTTAACTTCCACTCTTTAGATATAAACAATGTAATTATATTGAAGGATTGAGTAAATGAGTGAGCGAGAGAGAAATCTGATTTGCTGCTCTCTTTCCTCATTACAATTCATTTTATTTAACTCTATTTTAAGAGAAAAGCATGAGATGATTTTTCCTTTTGCTTTGTTTATGCTAAGAGGGAACTGTTTTCCTTTATCAAAGGATTATTTTGCTAAACTTATCGAAAATATACCTTATCACCCTTTCTCCTTCTCCACCTCTTGAAAGAGTACACAAAAAGAGATAATTAATGGCATTGTTAGTTTTTTTTTATATTCAAAGTATCCCTCTCATTATTAAAGTTATTTCGAGTTTGTACTGCATTTTTTGAAGCAAGTAAAAACAATTTTATTTCAGAATACTACAAGAAATCAGGAACAGAACGACCGATAATGATTTTACTTTGGTTTTTATAGTCATTTGTACACAATCGTCCATAGTCAAGGGCGGTAAATCTGAACAGGGCGCCACCTAACAATTCTTAATGATAGCCTTTCGCTTCTCTTTGGGAAAATTGCCGTTTAAACGCCTCTAAATCCTTTCGTAAGTTTGGTTTATTTCGTGGACGCGAGAATACCAGAGGAGAGAGAAAGAGAGAAAAGGGGAAGGGAGAAGGGAGGGGTAAAATATTACCTAAGTGATTATTACCTTTAACATTACATTGATAAAGTTTAGGTATATATAAAAAATAAATAAATGCTGAAATTGCATTCTCACTTACTTGATTAATATTATAAAATAAACAGTGCTATACTATATATCGAAGACAAAGATACGTTTTAGCATAAATCCGCTTCGGAGAAGGAAAATGAGAAAGAATGGTTGCATGTAATGAGATCTTTCCGTTGAAATAGAGGATAGTTTCTGTAATAAATGATAATAAATACCTTTGCTCTTGTAAAAACAAGAAGAAAATGATAACAATAAGGAGAGAAACAAAACAGTTATGATTTTTTTTTATTGTTTACGAACAAAAACTTAGACAATAGATTTTTTTATACTGAATTATTTAGAAGTTATCAATAACATTACTTTTTCCATTGATTTAGCAATTAACTCCTACACATTTATTTAGTTTAGTAATATTTTTGTATTGATATATGAACATGTTGTGTATTTAATAGCTATGCAGTGGATATTCATAAAATTTGCATCTAAAATGTAAAAATGACTTATGTAAACGAATATACAAATATATGCTATATATATAAAGGAGATGTATGAGCAAATGACTTAGTAAGTAGTCAGAATGAGAGAGACAGAGACGGAGACAGAGACACCAAGAGAGAGTATATGGCATTGATAATGTCTATATTTTCATGTCATTCTCAGTCCACGTAAGGCACTTACCTGGAAGTTTTGTTAATTATTTTTTATTTATTTCTTTGACTTTCTGTTTTAGGTTTTTTATATTAAACGTTAAACAAAAAACCTGATCAAATTCAACAATGTCGCTGTACATCGAGATGGATGTGGAATCTATGAACCACGCCCAGTTCATAAAGGAGCAATTTGGTATTAATACTTTTTTAATAAATATACATATACAGAATTAAATAAAATTATATATAAAAATTTTAACAAAGTATCGCTTTTACCTTTCAAAAAGCTTTTGGGGCAGCTTTCGATAATGGAGTTCTAAATAGGGAATTTCCTATCTACGTATTAAACTACGGAAACAGATATTCTGTTGGTGCCGATGTTCAGCCTTGCCATGAGAGGATTCTCAGGAATATCTTTCGTCGACTTGTTGATAGATACAATCATTTTAATATTGAAGTTATTTTTAAAGTGCCAGAGAACTATTATAAAACCGTTTTAGACCTTACAACTTGGTTTCATAGATTTTTTGGTGTGAAAATATGCCTAGAAGATTCAGAAACTAGCGTTCAATTAGTTGGACCAGCTGATAATATTGATACAATGATAAGTTTAATGAAAGAAGAAATATTTAAACGAAAATAAAGTATATACTGTACATAAAAAAGAATTTGGTCTTTTCCTTGTCTTTCTTTAAAATCTTCCATGTTCAAATATCAAAGTGTAAATTCAACTTATACAATCTATCTGTCGAAGAGAGAAATATCTAGCAGGATTTTTTATTCTTTCTTTTTTGTATCTTTTTCAATGTGAGATAATATTTAATTTCTAACTGCTTTTCCTTTCTAAGCAAAGTAATTCTAATGAATAGAAAAACAATTTATGGCAGTGTAACTTCAATATTTACAAAAAATAACTAGGTTAACGTATTTACTTACGACTAAATTCATTTGTAGAATTTAGAATTATTAAACTTATGAATTTACATATGCTGCCATCTTCTGGAGAGTGGTTATCAAATCTATTCGTTTTTCTTATTAATACAGGTTGATTAAAATTATATTTAATTGGATAAAATTGGACTGAATATGATTAATAGTAAAGTCATTGTTATATGTTCTTACTGGAAATTTCCAACAGCTTTTATTTTTAAAATGTACATATCTAACTTCCGGCAGAATAATTATCTTCTCTTCTTTAATCAAATGCACAAGCTTTTTTATTTAATCAATTTTTAACTACTTGTACAATTATTACAAAATTTGTCTCTTAAGATAGTCCTTTTGCAGAGAAAAAGAAAACTCTCCTTTTGATTGAAAGAAACTTCACTCACGTTTATGTTGGAATAACCTTTAAAGACAAAAGTAAGAATTATATAGTAGAACATAGAGTATATAAAAAGAAACGCAAAAAAAACTGAAAAGAAAGAGAGAAATAGGGATTAAGGGAAAAGAAATAAAATGTAAGTAAATTACGCAATGCATCGAAATAGTATCTTTTTTTGCCTTCCATTTCTAGATGGACAGTATAAATTCATTAAAAATAGCAAAAAGAAGGATTATAGATAATATATATATATATATATATATAATATAACACCGATATACATAACTTATACACTATATATTTTTATCATTCATCGTTGCCTATTGTGATAAAAGCAACTTCCATGGTCGAAAAAACTTCATTCGCATTCAACTCGTATTCTTTTTTATAACCTATAAAAAGTAATTTTTCTAACGTTGGAATAGTAAGCACCTAAAAAGATACAGTGTAAAAAAAAACAATCACTCTCTTTTTTTCATCATTAGAATAAGGAGTCATCTTCTTTTTAATGCTAACAATCCCCCAAAAATACTGTAAATCAATACTAAAGGATACCTTACATTATTGTCGATTATCATCTCATCCGATTACAACCTTAATGTTCGTTCACTTCCTAATTTCTATACTATCCTTCTCCAAACTCATGATTTGCAACAACAACAAAATAATATTAACAAAATAGACAATACCACGTTTGTCGTTATATCGTTTAATTTACATAAATGATTTATATCTTTTGTTGTTTTCCAAAGTCTTTTTTGGCGAGTAAAGTATGTTTGTATAGTTCCTTTTGTTACCAGTATAAATATTCATATATGTAAGTATGCAAGAGCGTTTACCTGTTGAAAGTATACAATTAAAACAATGAGAGGTTAATCGCTTTCTCTTTAATTTCAGGGCAATTAGGTAAAAAAAACAGAAAAAATAACCTACCTGAAATTTATCTGAAAGAGTACGATCATTTAAGCGTCATCACTTTCCAGAAAGCGGAATTCGCTAATTATATCCCAGAGGTCAAAGGTATTTCAACTGTCGGCTCTAATAAATTTTAAGCGTAGACAAATGTCTAAGAAATGAGCTCTTTAACTTGGAAAATTCTCTTATCTATCATTAGTTAAGATATATAACAGCACTATTTACCATTTTCGTTTTTCTGTTTAACTAACATGTCAAAATAAAGAAGAATTTATAGAATTTTCCTCATTTTTCAAAATACAAAAATTACATTTATCTTCTTTACCCTTCTTTTAGCTATTCGTCATATTTATACCCTTAAAGCTCAAATAGCATTCGTCAGCCTCCTATTCGTACAACACATTTCAAACTGTCCAAATGAAAATGAGAAACCACTCCATGTTGTTATATCTTATTGAATAACAACAGAGCAAATATCATTTGTCTCTAACGGAAATCAGTCCCTTTTATTCTATTTCAATAGACAATAAACGAAATACAAAAGTATTATATAAAGTCTCTTTATTTTAAGGAAAGGTAAAACGCTTTTATCTGCATTTAATCTGTCCATTTCGCCTAAATCCTACAACAGGGAAATTTTACAGTTTTCTTTTATTTTCTTTTATATTTTAAATATACTTTTTTAGTCAATTCTACAGCTTTCATTACAGTTTGAAATGCGATATATAATTATATTATTATTAATATAATACAACTGCACTCTGCTTTTTTAAGTTGTCTAGTTATAATTTAATTTAAGGCTTTGAAAATTGAATATAATATAGGCTTTTACCTAAAAATAGAAAAATTATGCGTAGAAATGAAAGATTCGACTGACGGATAGGACAAATCGATAAGAAATTCTCTTTCTTTTCCCATTTAAGGTTGCATAATTCTAGATTGAAGTTTATAGGTTTGATTTTAATATATGATAATGTAAGCTAAATCAGAAGGGACAAAAGCTTAATTAAATATCTGTAAAAAAAAAAACTCATTATATACTCCATGATTGTTTCCATTTTTCTTTTTGTATTTAGAAGCCTTTAAACTTTGAGAGATGGGAATAACAATGTTCAGTCTTCAATTATTGAAAAAAAAGATTGACCATTGTTATTCTAACTCACAAGTTATAAGCATTCTTTATATTCATTTTTCCTTTTTAAGAAAATTCTGAAAATAAACATTATTTCCTTTTATTTGAATGTATTAAGCTACATATATAAGATTAAAAGTGAGGATGTTGGCTGGAAGGCGACAATTGAACTATCCGCCTCAAAACGTTCTATTTCGAGTTGTTCTTTTCTTTTGGAAAAAAACACAAGATTTCGTATACGAGTATTTCATATGGAACGTTAGGTTAAATTGAAAATGATAAAGTAAAAAAATTGTATGCTTTTATCTATATATAGGTATATATATATATATATATTGGAAAAGAAGGTTTCTTTTTTTTCTTTGTTTTTTTAGAAAAAAGAACATAGAATTTTTCCAGAAAATCTAAAAATAAGAAAATAAGAATTTTGTAAAAAGAGAAAACAAGGAAAAAAAGTAAAAAAAAAGTATTCAAAGTCTTGAAATGATATCCAAATTGTACCTCAGTTCTGAGCTTGAAGCGGGCGGAGCTTTAACTGAATCTGCTATATTATCGTTATACTTTCTAATCATCTACCGCCAGAGGGCACTCTTGTAATTTTCAAACTATGATTTATTACTTTTATTTTCTTTGTACGTGTATATATAATACATTTTACAAGGTTTATGCTAATAAACCATAGGTTTTTAACTACTCCCCTTAAGTTAATAAAATTCAATAAGCTTCTCTAGCGCATGCGTACTGATTCTTAATGTCAATTGCGAAATATAGAAAAAAAACATATTTAAACATTAATTCTAAAAGAATAAAATTAAAAATATTAAAGTAAATTTCAGCATCTCTCTAAATGTAGAAAATATAAAAACAAAGTGTAACGTTCTGTAGTGCAATACACTTTTGAGGCAATGCTCTAAAGGGAAACGATATCTCTCATTTCTCACCGTCTTTTCTATACGATACGATAATACTTTCTGAGATAAAGAGAACTTATTAAATAGTGCTATAAATGTTTTAACCTTGATATGTCCTAAGTGTATAAAAAAATTGAAATAGTTTACAATTATACATAAGTATATAGAGTAAAAATCTGACACCCCCCTCCCTCCTTCTCCCTCCTCCCCTAACACCCTAGCCCATCAATCCTTTCGTTTCTCTCAAATTACAGTTATTAAATAATACTCAACACCTCCATTGCCAAACTCCGCGCATAAAAAAGAATATTCCGTTTTGAAGAGAATATACTCTTTAAGTAAATCACCACAGTAACCGTAATTAGCGTAAGCTTATTAATAATAAAACTAATTTGATATTTACATGTTAAAAATAGAATAAAAGAATTAGAATAGAATATACTCAAAAAAAAGGGAAAAAGAATATTCCTTCCCTCCACCCCTACACCATTTCTCAATACCCGTAATTTAAACTTCGGTTGTACTACTTTGCGTTGTTGGGAAGACTTTTTTTTTAAACAAAAAATTAAACGCTTTTCTTCGACTAAACGTCATCCGCCGTATTAAAAAAATTGTTCATCTTTTTTTTTTAATTATTTATATAAATAAGTCTTTTAAATTTTTTCTATTATTCTAATAAGCTTTCCTTGAAATTTCAAATTAATAGGAAAATTGGGTATGGTCACGTGATTGTAAAAAATTGGCGCCAATTAAATAGCAAACAGGCCTAGTCTTTCGGAATACCCGCAAGTGCAGAAAGTATTAAATCTGCTTTAGAGAATTCAAGCTGTTTGCTGTAAATTTACTACAATGTCCAGCCATTCTATTGATTACATTCATTTAGATCTGAGTGACGAGGAGAACATGGTTAGTTGCAAAACAGTTGAAAAAGGACTTTTATTTATATTTTTCAACGAGTTAAATATGGCGGCAATCCCCGTCCGAAAATTTAAGTAACTTTTTTATTAAACCCAAGCCTATCTATTTTGCAGGAGCCCGAATTGATTCCCTTAGTAGAAATCAAAGTACCCAGTAATGAGCATGCTGATTACATCATGAGTAGATGGGGTAAATCAAATGTTTCCATTATTTATTTTTTCATCCGGCCATATAACTTGAAATATCTATTTACCCATATCTCTCTTCCATAGTAACGCTATCTAATGAGGATCATGGGACAGTCTACCGCAAGATTCACATAGAAATCGGAGAAAAGGGTGGAAAGTCAACGATCCGTTCAAAAATGGTGAACAAATATTCGAAACCGTGGTTCGTCCATATTGTCCACTTTTTTGTTGACGAATACAACTTTATTGATGCAAAGGAGCTTGTCTATCCTATTGGAAAGTCTTTCTACAATTTAATCTGCATGTATACTGAATCGATGGAAAATGAGTTCAACGTTCGTATTGTAAAAAACAATCTCACCCAAAGCGACGTAACTATCAAGGGTAAGGACCAGAATATTTCAAATGCTTGCAGAAAAATCAACAATATTATCGAAGAGTATCTGAATATTCAAATTGATCTGGAGAAGGAGCGTATGAATCATCTGGAAGACATTCTTCGCGAAAGAACCAGCGTGCTTTTTCAAGCAACTTTTGCTGTTGATGCTTTCTGCGATTGAAAGTTTAAATGCAAAGAGAAGATGATGATGATGACAATGATGATTATGATGATGACGATAATGATGGTGATGGTAATCATATGAAGAATAAGGAATTTTAGTTCTAGAACTTTAGCTTTTGTAGTTTTTTCTATATGCATATCTACATTCGTATTCTATTCTATTTATATACAAGTATTTAACGTGTGCATATCTCTATGTATTCGTCTATTTAGTATTTATTATATCTTAGCTTCTATACTATCATTTGCTTAATAAACTATTTGTAACGTCTAAATGTATTAGCGTAATATAAGGTGTTGGTGCTCTTTGATGAAGCTATCATATTATACTACGTAATTTAAGAGTTTTTTTTTACATTCTCTTCTGACTTTAGTTCACTTCGAAACTAGTAACCAGTTGAAGAACAACATCTTTTTCATTTATCCTTTAGACGCTATCATTCTTTTTCCATCTTTTTCGTCAGCGGCTGAACGTCTAACGATTATGAGTCAAGAAGTAATTGTGCCTTTATTATCGCTCGATCATGCCATTTTCTTAAAGGACCAAATTGGTAAGAACTAAACTTATAGTTAAACATTTTTTCCTTCTAAAGACTTTACTCTGTAAATGGTTTATATACATTTTTGTTGTTTTAGGTACTTTTAAACCGACCGTTGAAGATGTTCATGTCGTCTCTCAAACTCTACAGATGAAATGCGAACAGGATCAAGTTTCTGAATTATATTCTTTTATTCGGGATAAGAATTCTGTTTACATAAACAATGGGCAGTTTAGACGGTATTACCGACTAATACCAAGTTGCATTGATAGAGTCGTCTCTAAATTAGGTATCATAGGAACTCTTTCCGGAGCAACGCTTACTGTAAATCAAACTGGCTTTCTTGATGTTGTCGGAACTTGGAAAGAGACTCAAGAAGCTATCTGGCTCTGTAATGAAGCGTCTATTACAGGCATAAAAGAAATATGTTCCTATCGCGGATAAGCTTGTAACGGCAAATCTGTTTTGTTTTGTTTGGTATTTGTATTTCTTTTAAAAGAAAAATCTGAAAATTCGTTAACATCTATTTTCAATCGAGTCAATAACAACAAAAAACTCCTTCTCATTGTACAATGTATCCTTGGAATTGTTTTATTACTATTGTTTGTATTGTTTGTCTCTTCTTTTCCATACATGTTATACCTATGATCTAAACATTCCTACAGATAAAGAAAGTTGTTCGAAAAAATACTTTAATAATATATATAAATATATATATATACAGTATATATAAATATACTTTTATTTATACAGTATATATAAAGAGAAAGAGTAGAGACGCTTATGATTACCTGGAAGTAGGTGGGGAATGACATATAAACATCCATCTCTCGCTCTCCCACTAATATATATGTATATGTTTGTAAATTAATTAAATATCAACATTTCCCATAACTAAGAAGATTAATTAAGCTTCGCTGGACGTCTAATAGTCTTAGAATACCTAATTAAAACTATACATTCACTATACAGTATATACAGTACAACCTCATTCATCAATTTTGTAAAATGATACTGATAAGCGTAATTTTTTCCTCTACAGGCCAATTTTAAGCAATTTAAATCAATGTTATATAATAATTAATGTTTTAAATATATTTATAGATTATTAAATACTTTTTATTCTAAAAATAGACATTTATTTAAATAATTTATGCATGGATTTTCTACAGGTTTTTTTTTTTAATCGATGAAAGAAGTATACACAAAAAAATTACGTATTCCTTTACATAATTAAACCAAAATGTTCTATTTAAAATGGGAAAAAAATGCCAAACCGAAGCAAATTTTTTCTAGGCCTACTTTAGTAAATTGATGTAAATAAGCAAAAAAAGAGAAGAAGTAAAAACTTCTAGTAAAAATTTCTAATGTTTGTTGTTATTATTTTTATTTATTCTTTACTTTCGGCAAAATAATTAAAGATTGTTTGTTTGTCTTTTTTTTGAACGTATTATAGTCAGAAATTGTAGTAGTTTGCAAAAACACAAAAAATAAGAATTATGGACAAACTGAACAGTTCAAACCAAACAAAAAAAATATTACACACAATATAGTTTGTCTCAAACTTTTTTGTTTTTGTTCGTTTATGTTACGTTTGACGTGTTAACTTTATATTTAAACTTTTAAACGAAAAAAAAAATTTCATTAGAAAAAGGAGTAATTATTTTTTTTTTTTTATCATTTTGTTACATTTGGCAGACTAACTAACCAATCAACTATTTTATTGTATTTTTTTCTTTCCTTCCTTCTTTGTTTAAAGAAGAATTCACTGCTTTTGTTCCTATTATTATTTCCTTTTTTTGGTCTTATTTTTCACACTCTCCTCACAAGTAGGCGTATGTTATACATGGATGAGTTCAGCCTGTGCACAAGACATTATAAATATTATACATATATATATATATATGTCTTGTGCATATATTCATACAACCCACATAAGTACAGCCATACCCACACAAAGCCAATGTCTCCATTCATTAACGAAAAAAAAAAGAAGGCATTCACCTCAGTTTCTGAATGTCGAATGCTGGCGAAGTGAGAGAGAGACTTGAGATCAAGATTCAAATAAAATTAAAAAAAAACGACTTGAGAGAAATGATTGAGTAACGTTTGTTTTTTTTCTCCCAACTTCTTAGGCAATAGATAAGACTTTACTATAATAATTCTTTCTTAATTAATTCACGAATGGCGTCGACAGCTTGTACTACTCGATGTTCTTGGCCTTTAACGCCTATTAGTGGCGATGTATATCTTCGTCTAATAATCAACTTAACCGAACATTTTAACTTGATTTCTTTAATCATTGGAAACAATCTTTCAAAAATCTCTCTTGGAACTTGAACAACTTTACCAATTAATTCCGATTCATACATATCTATGGCCATTTTAATAACGGTACAGTACTGTTCAAGCTGATAGTATAGGACTTGGGCGTAGACAGTAAATTTGTCCCCCTCCATTCCCTGCCGAATATCAAATTCACGACTTAAGGTCCATGAGCCGATTTTCTTCCCCTGGGCTATCAACAAAATGTAAAACATCTTAATACAATTATCATATATTAAAATATAATGTATATAGTATATGTATTATATAGATCACTTACCGAATTGATTCAGGAGAAAGTTGGCGTGGTCCTCTGTATCTACCTTAGCCGTGACCTTGAAAAAGAATACCGAGAAACCATTTTCAATATCAAGCATAGTGATGCAAGGACCTGTGGCAAAAAAGTGAATAAGACAAGACTTGTATAATAGATTTATATACTGTATACGTTTTAAATTATCCTATATCAATAGACTGGTATTAGTAATAAAAAAAAAAACCTAACTAAGCAATAGGGATTTAAAAAACTAACTTACCCAGTCAGTGAGATGAACTATTCTAATTAAATTTATGTAGTAATCTTCACGCTTCTAATTATTCGAATCAATTCTACCAGACAGTACTGATACAGGTAGGTAAAATCTATCAGATTTCTTTCTTTTACTGTCAAGATGTCTAACGGGGAGCGAAAAGATTCTCTTTTTAACCCAAAAAAATGAACCAAAAACCAATACTTTCTTCTTATGTTGAAAGAAAAATATCGATGGAATTTTTACCAAAATAATAGAAAATATTGCAGTGGCGTTTAAGAATAGTTCACCTCACAACTTCTCACCAACAACGGCACATAATCTTTCTGGTTCGATGTTGACAGCTTTTATACTAATTGCGTTCAAGTGGATCATTTTTTTTTGTTTCTTTTTTAGAAGACGAGTAGATTCAAAAATATTTTCTGCGGGCGGGGCGGGGGTGTTTTTTTTTTGAAGTTCACCTACGCCCCCCTCCCTCCCTCCCTCCCCTCCTTTATAATTAGCTTTATTAAAGATATTAATATATATTTTATAATTGATTGAAAATCGTAACAATTGTGCTTTACTAGTATCTTATTGCTTACCGTTAATGATTTTAATCTGGACTAAGCATTAAGGCTTTTTTTAGAGTAAAACTAGTTAATATTTTCATTTCCTTGCCCCCTTGTTTTTAATAATTTCCAGTTAAATCTGCCTTTGTAAAAAAAAAATAAGAAAAAAACGTCTAAAACGATCTCAGCAAAAACATGTTTTTCAATTTGGTGAGCATAATGTTTAAGTTATGATAACATCCCTTTAACATTATAATTGGACAAGTAAAGGTAAAACAAAAAATGTCCCTATTACTAAATTGAGTAAAAATAATAATAAAAAATTAACAGGTTGTTTATGCTATTTTAAAAATTCAAATGTCCTAAAAGAGTTTTGAGTTTTTTTTTAAAAAGAAAAAATAAATATTTAATAACTTTTTTTTTTTTTTAAATATAACAGAACAAACTTTTAACAAAAAAAAATATAACCTAATGGCCTATTGAATAAACGTGAAGGTTATATCTCTAAAGTTACATTTGTCAAACTTTTCAATTCTAATTTTATGCGTTTGCTCCATATAAAAAAAAAATAATGAATGGAAGATAAAGAAGAACAAAAAGATTTAAAGATGTTACTAGAAGTAGAAAATTAATAGAAACAGTAATAATAACGAATATAAATAATCGTTTTGAAAATTAGACAAATTGTAAATACATTAATATAATGTCTGGTATGAATATTTAAAAACTAACAAATGATAATGATAATGATAATGAGATGATGATATATATTTTAGAATAAATTACGTTCCTTTTGTTAAAAAGATTGATATTGAAAAAAAAAAAAACTAGCCGACCTCTGGCATCTTCTGTCATAATGTTTTTTAAGTGTAAATAATACATTAAATCAGCGTATTAATAAATGATCTTGCTCCTATTCTTCTTTTCCATTTATTTTAGTCTTGAAAAAACCCGTAATTCTATCTTCCACCTTAATACATAGTCTGTGCCAGAAGTTTTACATACAATGGTTGAAATAAAACCTTCGTATCTCTCTTCTTTTTAACGGAGAAGTTTTATCAAGCATACAGACTTAGCGGTAAATACAGTACATACTGTGTATAATATATATATATACTGTATATATTCGTATTATTTCAAACATGAACATTTTTCCAAGATTGTGTTGAACATTTAGGGAAGCGCCATCTTTGAGATAAAAATTCTTTATCAGGGAAAAAAAAAGGACCGATTTGTAAATCTTTCCTATTTGCGTGTTGAATAATCTGTTATCGCCCATATCGTATACATTTGGAAGATAAAGCTGAATAAGCAATAATATAATAATAAAAAAACATAAAAGAATAAAGTTATCCGTATAATTAAGTTCGTAATCGTACTAGATTATTTAGCCTACTACACATAAGCGAGAGGAACATTTTGTATCCATTTAAAAAAAAGCCTAGCCGGAAATATACTACATGCATATAATCTATCTAGAATAATATCAGTTAATCTGTTAAAAATGAATATTGAGGTTGAAGAATTAAAGTAGAAACGTAAAAAATGTATATACTTTATACTTTATATATACTAATATATATGTAGAGAGAGAGAGATAGATGGATAGATAAAAGTGTGTATATGTATGTGTGTATACGTACAAACACTTCTTGACTAATCGTTTGTACTTCGATCGAATTCGTACAGGCCAAATCGAATTTTACTACTTTGGATTTGTTTCATTTAGGTTATTTTCAACCTTAATATTGCGCGTAACGGATAATCTTGTACGTTTTTATTCCTTCATTTATTTCTTATTTTTACTTATTTACTATTATATTCTATTTTTTCTCTCTTTCTTTCTTTCTATAATTATTTCTCTATCTTTCTCTCTCTCTCTCTCTCTTTCTTATTAATTTCCATTTTTCATTTTCATTTTTTCAAGGAGATTAACCGATCAAAGATTGAATGATGCTGAAATGCGTTAGAATATCTATTCCTTCTACGGAACACGCTAGCTATATCCAAAAAATATTGGGTAATGATTATTAATTTGTCTTTCCTTATTTTCTCTTTTATTATCATTATTATTATTATTATCTATTTATCTATCTCTTTCATTTTTTAATTATTCCCTTTTAGGAGAGGGTATCAATTTGAGTGGTGTGACGACTTGCGGAGTTTACAAGTCGTATATAGGATATTTTAAGAATGAGCTTTCCCTTTTTTCGTACGTTGATGAGGAGATTGAAGATATTTTCAGGTCAACTGTTCATAGGCTAGTAGCCAAGTTTGACGAACGTAATATTGAATATGTTGGTAATATACCATCTTCGCACATCACTACCGTTTTGGATGTTTGCTTATGGTTCACTAAATACGGAGTAAAATTTTCCCCAATGCCGGATATGGACAAGCTATACATTGAAGGGCCAGAGGAGATTGTTCAAATTTTGAATTCCATAATAAAACGTGGAATTGTTGGCGAAGATTAGGTAGTTGACAAACGGAAAAGAGTTAAAAAGAGCCATATTTTTTTCACATTTATTTACATAATCCTATATAGTCTGCGTACCTGTGTATCGTCATAATAGCCTAATTATCTGCCTGACGACTTTGAATTATTATTCTTTCATGATAATAATACACGTTATCGTTCATTATGATTAAATGCTTGAAAAAAAGTTTCTTAGAATGTTTTTTCCCGTAAAATCTTCCAATGATGTTTTCGGAATCATGACGATATTGCAACCCCAAGCGCCCCCTATCGATTCATCTTCGATAAGCTTGTTTGTTCGAACCAGTAAAAAGAGGACGAAAACGTCAAAAGTCATAAACATGCTCATCGCTTTTTAAGTTGGATACGTGGAGGAAAGCGTTATTTGTGGTCATTATTAAAAAATTGATGATAGGCTAAAGAGGCAGTTGTTTTAGACCAATTAGGTCTATGAACAACTCTAATAAATAGCGGGCGAGGAACGTTCATCGTCACTCTACCCAACAGTGTGGTTTAGTCATCTACTAAATAACACTGATAGACTCGTAGAAGACTGGTTGGGCATTCCGAATATCCGAATTATAAAACTCTTATTATTCGTTCGATTTGCGGTTGTTTGGTCAGAAGTTGATCTTTTTTTTCTATTTTAATATGGAAGCTAGTTGGGTTAAAGGAGGAGAGACGTTCGGAGATGGTTGCTACGACTGGGAGACGTACGAATTATTGGTTAGCGAATTGCTTAAAGTGAAGGATGTTTCTTTTCCTCTGTTTTGTTTGTTCCATCGTCATTACCAAAGGGGTAAGGAAATACTTAACGATTTGGCTAAAGATTACGCAGTCTGGTCGGCTAAGAACCATAGGACCAACAAGTTAAAGATTCAAGATCTCCATTTAAAGATATCCCGTGCCCAAGCTGATGTTTTGTTTATGATACGACGTAGAATTAGATATGCTAAGAAAAATATGGTAAGTTTCATAATTACGTAAACAATTTGTTATGTTTAATCTAATTTTTATTTTTGTTAAAACACAGCGAATGTACGAAACTATGTACCAGAGTGGATTCTATACTGAATTCAAAAGACCGGAGAAGAAAACTAGCGAAGACGCCTAAAAGGCTCTTGCTTATTCTTGCCGCTCTCTCTCTCTCTATCTCTCTATATATATATCTCTCTACAAATAACAGATTTTATATCTCTTTTTGTTGAGTTTTGTCTTATTAGTATATGTAGTTTTTGACTTTTGGAAAGATATATATTTATTTGCTTTTTAGAGGGATCATTTTTTTCGTGAAGTTATATTTATTTTTTGCTACGTCGTATTATAAACATTACAAAAAGCAATTATAAACTTATATATATATATATAAGAGGTTTAATTTGGTTAAGCAATGCAAAAGTATTTTTTTTTGTGGAAGACTTTTATGTAATGCGAACTGTAAAAAAAAAAAACAAAAAACAAAAAACAAAAAAAAAACACCATTGTTCTTTTTTTTTTTTTTCTTGTGTGAAATATATATATATATATATAATAAAAAGTTCTAAGGAGAGGACTAAATAATGCTAATAATCTAGTCTTTATTTTCTTAAACAAAGTCCAGTTTTTTTAGGAAATATTGCGCATTTTGTTTGTTTGTTTTGTTTGCTAATAATTATTATGGGGGTATCTGCAACCAGACGGCGACATAGTTAGATGACCTTGACACGCTGTTTACATTTTGCCCCCAGGACAAGGTTGTAATTGGTTAGCTGATGGCTTTTAGTGAGTGCACTACTCAATCTCATTTTACCAGATAGACAACGTGGTGTTCAAGTATAGGTAAGTTTTATAATATAACTTATTACTTTATTATAATTTAGATAGAAAAAATAGGCTATTCTTTTAAAGACTTTAAAACTTATCTTTCCGTTCAGTTTTCTTTTTAGTTCAACAATGAATACTGTAAATTTCATTCCAACTCCATACATTCCCGAAAAGAGTCGCATTGTTTGTCAGGTCGTTTACGAAAGTTGTGCAGATTATATTATTCGCAAATTCGGTAAGTGTTTTTTTTTCCATAAGCCTAAGGTAAAATTTAATAGGCCAATTTTCTATTGCGTCTGCATGCACACGTGCGCATGTTCGTACGTAAAGCGCCTTGTTAAAAATTAACTATAATGTATATTATTTTTATGGACACTAGACGAAGAAGTAATTGTCGAAGGAGTCCAGTTAAGTCGAACAATGCCCATTGAAAAAATTAAAAAGGGGACTGATAATATTCATGTTATTCTTTATTTGCGACAAGAAGCTATTCCTACATATCAGAATGTTTTATTGACCTTGATGACAGACTTTAATAAATGTATTGTTACCCGTGCTCTTATTACAAAAAAGAGCATTATGGGAATCGTCCATCCAAAGTTTGAAAAAGTTATGCTGAAATACAAAGTGATGTTCGATGTTAGACGATATACAACTCATTATCGCATTGAAATAAAAGGAGCCAGAGGAAAGGTGCGTACGGCAATTAGATATCTTGTTGGACTTGCAGAAGCCTGTTGCATTAAGACGAAGAACGTTATGGTCCCTGAACCAGTACCTGGCGAGCCAGCTATGAATATTGAAAATGACACGCTATCTGATCTAGACGAGTCCGAGAAGGAGGATATCAGGAAAGGTATTGAAAATAACCCGCGAACGAAACTTGCAGAAATGGAATTGAAAGCTCAAAGGAAATATCTGTTGAAATTAAAACTTGAAGAAATGAAACAGCGAAAAGCAATTGCTCGGTTCCGAGGACAACGAATCAAGAGATTACGAAGAAAGTGTTATTTTAAAGGAAAAAGGAACATTCCAAAACCATTGACCAAAGTTGACAGTGAAGCTGACAATGAAGCCGACGATGAAGCTGAAGATGATGATGAAGATGTTCATGAAATTATAGTTATTTCCGATGATGAAGACCAGGAAGTAGTTGAAGTTTTTAGTTCCGACTAAGGAGATAAAAATGTTATTAAGTCGTTAAATATCAAGAATAGAAAAGGAAAGTTTTTGTTTGTTGACCCTTATGATAAAAAATAAAATACAGTTATTTAAACTGATTAATGAGAATTTTATTGCAAACTAGTTAGTCCATCTTTAAAGATATCTATTTTCTCTCTTCATGACAAAACAATAGCTTTTTTTCAAAATATGAACTTTGTTTTCATAGGCTGATACTTTTTTTTCTAAATTTTCAATACTATTTTCTTTTCTCTTTCTTCATTCTCTATCTGTATCTCTTCTCTTTCACTCCGCTAAGTACATATAATATATATTTTCCTTTTGTCTATTCTCTAGTATATGTAACAGTTGTGTGATGTTTTTTATTCATCACTGTTAAAAACAAGTAATTAGTTAAGAGAGAGAGAGAGAGAGAGAGAGAGGCTTCCAACTTGAAAATATGTCCTAATTAATATTCAATTATTAAAAGGTAAGATACTAAAAGTTTTAATTAATGCTAAAGCCAGAAAGAAGGTATTAAGTTAGAAATTCTTGGAAGAACTGTCCGCTCATTTTCAACAAAATGTGCCAATTAATAAAAGAATAAACAACAATTACAGAGATAGATGTACGAAAATACCTTTCCTGAAAGCAAAAAGCATAATAAGATTGTTTTTTTCATCATTAAAAATGTCCTATAAAATAACCTGGATTTGGAATGATCTCTGAAACAACACCCCAATTCTATATATAATAAGTGATACTCTTCGACGTCTTTTGTTACTTTTTTAAAGTTACTAAATCTTTAACACATTAAGAAAAAAAAATTAAAAGAAGTAAAAAATTAAAACAACATAAGATAACGCAACATATGGCAAACATATTAAGTTTGTTTGTCTTTTTTTTTTCTTTTTATATATCAAAATCTTCTTTATCGTATTCTATTTCTTAAAAAAGAAGAAGAAGAAAAAGAAATTGAAAATGAATTACAAACGACAAATATTAATTCAATTTTCTATTTTTGATCTTTCTAATCAGTTATCATCTTTTAACATAGGCGTATAATTTAAAATATGAATCAATTATGCGTTTTTTGATAAGATTTTATCAGATTAAAACAAATGTTGAATTTACATTTAAGGATATTAGATAGTTTTTTAGCTATTTGTGTATTCTTTCCATTTACGATATTCTATTGGCGTGGAATATGGGATATATTAGGATACTATTTGCTAAGAAGCAATAAGGTTCGCGGAATATGGATATTGGTTGGAGTTGGATTAAGCTTAACCTATTCTCTATATTTTATCTTCGCCTATTTTATTGATAAAAGGTTAACTTTAGTATCACAAAAATGGCTTAAAATACTTATTACTAGATTGAGTTTAGTCGTTTACGGATTTCTCTACATATCTGTATGGAGGGGTTTTTGGGAATTGTATAATCACTACATCGGCACAAGTGTAAAGGAAGGTGTTATTTCTTTTCTATCGAGCATTCTAGTTCTTAGTTTGCTAAAATGTACACGAACTTTAATGTGGCCGCCCATGAATATCGCTGTTGACCTTAGAGAAGATGTTATTCGGCCTTGCTGTAGGTTTGCTACAAACCCAAAAAATAGAATAAAATTTATGTTTGACGCATTTTTCACGCAAATATTTATTCAACCTTTAGCGATTTTTTGCTGGAGATCAGGATTCAACATACTCGATAATACAATATACAAATCAGATAAATTCAAATCGGATATTGTATCTCTAATAGTAGGCTTTTCAGGATGTTCATTCCTTCTACTGTGCCAGTATCCTCTATCTAGAATTTCCATCAGACTAGAGGGCAATAGATTATTAAAGATAATTTACGAAGATATCGTTCACATAATCGCATTTGTTCCACTTTTGTTTCTCTATCGAGGTCTGTGGAATTTGAATGAGGAGTACATGATCAAAGACAAAAAAATTGGGGGCTGGGTCAATCACAGCATTGGCTTAACAATGCTGCTTATTTTACAGATCTATAGCACTTTAGTTGGGCCAGGGTGTATTGTAGATGGTCAAGAATCGGATGGAAGGGCCATTTTTTCGATTCGCTACACAAGAGCATTTGAAGACTTGAAGGTAAATATTACAAAAAATTTGGGTAGCTTTGTTTTTATGTAAAATCTTATCGCACAAAAAAATACTGATCAGCCAGATGGTCTTTCAAAAAAAAAAAGCGTAATCCTTACACAGAATTAGTTCATCCAATTGAAAAATTTTACCCGTTTACTATCTTTTAACAGAAAAATAAAAAAAATCTGACTTCTAAGGAGAGCACAACTATCCCGACAGTTAGTGATGGAAAAATGATTATGAACACTTTTTAAAGTTAAAATTCTCTTCGAAATACAATATAAGCATCAATTCTTTTAAATAAAAATATATTTTTAAATCCAGAATATCATGTTTTATTTCATTGTACAAAATAATTTTAGAACTGCAAAGACAGAGAGGAAAAATTTAAATTCAAACCTGATTCAGTCACATTAATTTCAATGATACCATTCTCCCAATTTCAATTGCTAGTTTGAATCAGCCACTGGCCATTGAAATTTTTCGAGTGTCTGAATCCAATGCTGATTCAATCGGAGAAGCATCACTATTTCTTGAAATAGTTGAATTTTTTATTCCAATCACAATTACAAGCGTTTTAATCATAAAAGCTGTCCCACAATTCAGATGCTTCAATGTCGCATCTCAAGTTTTATCAATATTATAATCATTAATTCGAAAGCTATTTTTGATGGCTGTATCAGGACTTTTCATTCTTCGTCCAACAATTCATATTCAATAGCACTGTCTTCACTGTCTGAAAGCATTTGTATATTGAAACCTTGCAATTTTATCCGCTGTATTGGCACTAGTGAGACTTTAGATTGCAATGGAGATTCATCCAGTTTACAATGAGTACCATTAGGCGGTGATTTTTTATTTTGATTTTTTGATTCCTTTATTTTAGTGTCTCTATTTTCTGTCTCTGCTTCTAGCACTACCCCATAATCATCGATCATGTTACTATAAGTAGCACTAAGTGGGCTATAATTTGAACTTTCTGTTTTAGCAGCTTTTGCAGCAGAAGACCATTTTGTTAAATTTTCCATAGCTCTGAACTCTCTGTCTGTGTCTGATTCTATATCTTGGTCAGTACTTGAACGATCAATTAAATTTTCATGAACATTAAAAGTCGTATTACCAGAGCCAGTTCTATTGGTATCAGCATCTGAATAAGTATCTGAATGTGAATAGTCATCATTCAAATTTGAATTGCTTCCAAAAGCGTTATCCGCTTGCGTATTTCTTTGCGAACTTTTCGGTTTTGCGTTTGAAAAAGTATTGATTTCAAACTTATCAATTCCAAATTTGTTGGACCTGTCCGAAATTTTACCATCATTGGTCTCGTTTTGAGAATCCAAATCGCTTGTCATCTCATAATATACCTATTTAAAATTTATTTTGAAATTAATCAAATCAAATTTTTAATTTGATATAAATATAACTTACTTTCGGACATGGAACGTTCCAAGTCATGTATTTCGAAGAAGAATCCGAGTCGTCACAATCGTCTGCATTGTCTGCTTGCTCATTCGTTTCGGACAAAACCGGCTTTGCATTTGTCAATCGAGATATCGTTTTAATTAGCTTTTCGTTATTGGTTTTGCTAAACCAGGTATCTTCTTCAGTTGATGTATAGGGACTTTTATTTTCCTGTAAGAGTCAAATAATGGTTAATGATATCTTTAAATATACTTTTGATTTTGAATAAATATAGCTAATAGGGGAATGTAAAATATTAACACTCAGATAAGAAGGTTGAGGCATTGGAGCAGCGTTCGAATTTGAATCAGCAGGAGAGTTTAACGTTTCATTTTGAGAATACAAGTCTGAAGTATTGTCTAACTCTAAAATAGAGCAGGAGAATGGGTCAGATCCGGCATTTAAATGAATATCTGCATTCGCTATGACTTCAGATTTTGAAATAGAGGCAACGTTTGAATCAGTGTTCAAGAGTAAATTGGATTCTGAATTATTGTCCTCTTTCGCGCCAAGCTCAGCATTTCCAAAGCTAGATATATTTTCCTCTGAACTTTCAACGTCACTTGTTCCATTTGGAGAAAAAATGTTGTTTGTAATGTTCATTTCCTGTGAAAACAATTTTTGATTTAGTTTAGCATGTACTTTATAAAAAACAGCTTAAAGATAATTTTAATGTAGAACTTACTCTGGCAATTATCTCAAAAGACTTAAACCTGTCGTCTACAGTTCGTGGTCCATTTCTTTTAGCTTCAGCTAATTTTTCCCTTTCCTCTCTTAACGTTTCAAGATTAATAGTCAACGGAGTAAAGATATCGTCAACGCTATTATCTTCTTCTGGATTCTCATTAGAAAATATTGACTCTTCGGGTAGATTTAACTTGTCGTCATTGTCTTGTAGAATTTCCTTACCAAACCACTTTAGATCATCTTTTCCCAAAGTAAACAATTTATTTTTCTTACCATCTGGTTTACAAAGTAATTTCATAGCTCCAAGACTATCAGTCAATGTGTCGATAAGAGATTGGGAAGAGGTGTTTATACTTTTTCGAGAGTTTTCTCCTTCTTCGTCTTTCAGGTTCCAATTAAGTGACGGTAGTAGAACATCTGACGGGAATTTTTTAACCACTGGTTCGTTTTTCTCAGATGGTTCAGAATTATTTGACGGCAAATCTTCCGGTGTATTTTTGCATGAAGCCATAATGACGCTTCAATTTAAGATATGAAGAAATAGTTATTGAAACTTTTAGTTTTTAGTTTAGTTATATATATATATATATTATTATATAAAGTATATATGTGTATAAATATTTCAATTTTCAAAAAACATACTTACAATTTCAGCGAAAGGACGTTGTTTACCAACCGAGTTCCAAAAAGCAAATAAACAATACAGTTAATGCTAAACCCTATTTGTACTTTTGGGTAAATTCTTGATAACTACTCAATAATTTAGTATTAAATAATAGGCCTTTATCTAATTTTTCCAAATAATAATTATTAAATTCATTTTTTTCCTGCATAAAAAACAGTAAAAACTTAAATTTTACAGTTTTACTCAACAATGAGAGTAGGCTTTGCTATGCGAAAAAGTTTGGACTGTTTCCCTTATCTCTTAGAGTATTCTCTTGAATACCTAATCCCAATTCTACATTCGTTTTTACAGTCATTTGAACATCAGACGCTTTGAAACATAAGCCGAGATAGATCAATTTTAGCTGATTAATTTAAATCTTCTTTCTCAATCATTCGCGGAAAAAAGTAAAGCTTTAAAAAATTCTTCATAAGCAAGCACGTGGTTTTGATATATACAGTACACTCCTCTTGTCCAAATTTTAATTCATTTCAAAGCTAAATTTGTTTCAACCTATGTATTTTATATTTGTGAATCAAACTGATTATCTAATAGTAGATCTGATTGAGATTTTTTGCATTTCAAACAACATTTTCATAAATACTCGCTTTATCGCTCTTTTAAAAATTAAGTATTTTAATTTCTTATTATATTATTGATCACACCATTGAAAATTAATTTTAATAGTTTAGATATTAAGTAATACAAAATTAAGTGAAGAAAACGTAAATTTGCAGATAGTATGCTTCACACTGCATATCGGCCATTGTTATTTGGGAAAGACACACTGGTTTTAACTTTTTCCATTTGCGTTAACATACCGTACACGCAGATATCAACAAAAAATTCTATTAAAAAATTTCAACCTCACTATCTTTAATTGGCTAGAAGTTCGCTGAAAACATCCAAGAAGAAATATTCTTTTGATTGATTCTTAATTATATACAACGATGAATTGATTCTAAACCGTGCAAGGGAAATTCTCATAAGAAAAGCTTTAGATAAAACTTTCCAGATTATCATGGAAATATGAGAAAGTTTCAACTTATTCATAATCAGAGTAATGTAAACAAAAAGATTATAATTTGAAACCAATTCAATCGATCTCATCGACTTGTGTAAAAATTTTTGGTAACGATAAACTGCAAATGCAAGATAATCGAACGTAAAAAGAAAATGAGAAGAGAAAAATAGAAGAGACAGCCTCATATTAATATCTTAATGATATTTGTTTATATTGATTAAATATAATTTACGTGATTGTTGTAGAAAAATGAGACAAATTTGATTTAAATGACAGTTTATTAATCTTCGACGCGATCAGTTCGATTAGCTTTCATATCCTGATTGATCAAAGTTCGAATATAGTTAGCAGCTTTTTGAGTTTGATCCTTCTCGCCCTCTATATAAAATTTATTGTCTTTCATCAAATCAAATGGTGTTACTTGAACTGCATACTTCTTCTCGACCAAGACGAGATTATCCAAAACAAACTTGAAGTAGTTCATTGGAACGTAAATAAGCTTATTACCGCCTTCCAGTTCTCGAAAGCGTTTAACTATTTCTATTATTTGATTCTTAAATTTTTGTAATTCTCCCATATCTAATTCGGCCGCTATCGCGTATCGCCCATCCAAAAGTACTTTAAACAAGTCAACTTGAATGCTCAGGCCTAAATCGCTAACCCAACTACCATCGCCTAAAATGAAGTTGTATCAGTATTAATATGTAGCTTTTTTGCTGAAGTTAGCATATTTTACTTACTAGTTTGTTCCAATATGAAGTCAACAATCTCCTCCAATGGAAACACAATATAAATCATCGGTTTCGAAATGATAATTCGAAGATCCATAATAAGTACCACGTAGGAGCTTTGGAACACAACCAGAAACTCTTTCAACTGAATAAGTTGAAAGTCTATGACTATGTGAGTAACATTACTATACTAACGTTTTAATGCTAAAACTAGAATGGAATAGGTGTCCCCATTTATTTAGATATATTAAAATACTCAATATAACTAATAATACCTATTTCAAACAAGTCATTTTATTCACCCATTTCATAAATAGCAATTTTTTTAAAGTTCCTTATTCTTTGTGTAGCTAAATTTCTCTTGATTTATAAATATTCACTCTGCATTCTTTACAAAGGTCTTCTGGGAATATTGCTGTTTTTATATCACATATCACGTGCTAAGATGAGTAGGGTTGAATGAAGCCAATGAAAAATATGTTACATTTAAAAAAAATTCAATCTGAACCCCCTTAAACTGTATCCGAAAAGGTTAGATAGAGCATATCATGATAAGGTCCAAAAACAGTTAAGAATAATCTAGTGCGAACTAACATTTATGCTCATGGAATACATTATTGAACGATGTCACCCGAGAGTTGTAATTAAACAATATCAACTAAGTATCTTCAATCACTCAATGCTGCTTTAAAAAATAGTAGTTACAATAGAAATATGCAAAGTGTATTTGGATAAATTCCAGTCGTTTAAATTCTTTACTTCATACATACACATAATAGAAATGCAAAAATTTTCCATTACCAAAGTAACTACTTATTTAGTGAAGTATACGTATATTACATAGATGAACAATAAGTCAATGTTAACTTATCATTAAATTTCCAAATTTTCCGAGACCTTATCTTCTTCTGTTACGTCTTCTGGGAGCCACTCTGGCTTGCCACATAGGGGGTGGTCTTTGTTCCGTTCCATCATCTTTATCAACGAAATATAGTTAGTGGAACTGTGGGATTTGATATTATAACAAAAAATTTCCTTACCAGGTGAGTCAATCAGTGCAAGTACTAAACCGACAAGACAAGAATAATATGAGCCTATGATTAGTTTATGATTTATGGTAGCAGGGCTGATAAATTTATAAAAGTTGAAGAAAAAGTCGCATATTATGCAAAAAAGACTCGTAATGCATATAAGAAAATTGCTCCATTTCCATTTATGATTGAAATCACGAAAACTAATGCCAGCTTTGAAGAGGACTGCCCCAATTAGAGAACAATAGATCACTCCAATGGATATAATTTTTGTCTGTTGATTAAACGAAAGGTCTTTTCTTTAGCAATAAATACGTACCCGTTACAATAACCTAACCTTAACAAGGGGATAAAAAGTTATGAATATCGCCGAAAAGATCATTATGCCACTGAGAGAATTTTTCCATCCTCGACTTTTATAAATGAGGGCCTTACTAAAACTGCAGAAAGACACCCCAAAAAGAAACATACCAAAAACAATACCGTTGATATTATTCAAATCGTAGCACGATTCCCCTACAACAGTACATAAGATGCCTTGTAAAATACATTTAGTATAACAGTAGCTGTCCATGTAGTTGATTTTCTTCGCTGGTAAAATGAGGGCTAGAATGCAAATTGGAATTACATTCAATTTTCCAGGAAGTATGCTTTTGAACTGTTCACTTTTGGCAGTCGTGAAAATGAAGTAGATAGTCATAACTTTAAAAAGAGGAGACATGCCGAACTCAGATAATCTTTGAACCTAAAAAGTATTAAAAACAGTTTCATCAAAATTTTAAAAGAAGTTTTTGGTCGCGAGCGTTATTTATCAGAATTTGGAAATTTCCAAAGAATAATTCTAAAAAACAACTGAATAAACTCACTGGAGCTGGCCGTCTTCGAATACTTCGTACTCTTGGCATAATTCTCAGTAATTACTTTTGAAATAGTCAAAAGATATGAAAAGCCTGAAAAGAAAAATGGTTTTTTAGAGTTATAAATACTGAAAAATAGTTACATGAAGTTTCTTGATCGTTGATTGGCGGAAATTTGAAACTTTTTATAGCCTACTAGGCAAACAATTAAATATGGCGTCTGTTAAATTTGAGGGACGTCCATTTTTAATTAATTTACTAGTATATAGCTATCCATTGAAATATAGAGTAGTGTTGAAACTTGTGTTTCTAATATCGAACATTCCCTCAAACATATCCTCAAACTCGAAGAACTATCTCTCAAAAAGTAAAAAAATAGACACAGTCTCAAAAGGAAATCATCGCTTACATAAAGAAAAGTTATAAAAAGTAAGTAGAATTATGCAATATTAAAAACAAATGAAAAAAAACTGATAACAATAGGAAAAGATTATTCGAATGTTTAAATATCGGTATCATAAAGAAAAAATATAGGTAGCAAATAGAGTTTATTTTAATATTAGAAGTAAATCTATAAGAAGTCCGTTCTCGCTTTGTGAAAACTGAAGTTATACTGTGTGGATTAGTTTATTAAATTTTTCAAATACTGATATTTATAACAGAAATAGAGCCATATATTAACTGAAATTCCCTCGAGTTATCTTCTAGTTGTTAAGTTTGGAAGAAAAAATAGAATATTAATAAAAAGACCCTAATTATTTTTGTACAAGCGAAATCATGAACTATCTTTTTTGGCACATTTCCATGCTAATAGCTATTCATCAATTTATGTTTTTTTTTATCTGGTATTACATGAATTATTTTGTATAGTGAACTGTCATTTTAATACGTTGTTTAGGAGGCCTAAATCCTATTAAGCAACTGCTCTATACAAGTAAAAACAACGTTATATATATATATATATATATATATATATACTGTATAATACTAATATATATACTGTACATACTGTATATATACATACTGTATATATACATACTGTATATATACATACTCTATAAATATATTTTATTGTTGTTTACTATCATATTGAGGAGAAAAATTTTATATAAGAAAATATTTAAAAGATAAAATAATGCATGTTAATCGAAATTCTATAAAGATAAGATTCAATGCCAAAATATTCTGCTAACTTATTACATTACGTTTTAACAGTCAATCCAGAATCTTCACTATATAAGCTTAAGTCAATAATCTATCATCAAAATTAAAATGTAAACGGATAAACTGATTATCGTTTCTTTAAGATTTTAAACTTCTGTTATATTCGGCTATTTTCTTCAGAATTTAATGAATATATTTTCTATTGCTTTGTTTATTGGATGAAGACACCAAGCAGTTCTACATGAATTTAGCAATGAACACTGTGATTATTTTACCGCTCTGAGGCTAACAAACTTTTCATTGATGGATTGATTACTAAAGTTTCAAGTCAAAATGCATCGAAAAATTTTTCATCAAAAGACTTACCTCCAGATAAAGTGTTTTGAACTGGTTGAAAGAAAACAGGAAAATTAAAGATAAAAAGATTGGAGATTGGGTGAAGAAGTTATAAACTGAGTTAAAGCTACGTCTAAGAAGAAGAAACTGGCTAATTTACAAAGAACCTTACAAAAAAGAAACTAAAAACTCTCTATATACACTTACCTGTGGATGATCCATTCTTTGTAATAAGAGGAATATTAACGGAATCCTATTTCGTTTATACTTTTTATGAAAGCAAGAAAGTTTCAAAGTTTTTGGAAGTCATTCCCTCATATACCTAGACTCATGTGTGACCTAATATGAATTGCATTATAGATTATTGTATGATATTAGATACTGGAAAAATTGACAGGATGATAAAAGACGGTTCGTAAACGTTACTTAAGATTGCTGATGAAATTTACTTTAAAATTGATCCGTCTTCACAGAAATCAGTTTAAAAATTAAAATACAGATTATTGTAATCAGTTGCCGACGAAAAAATAGAAAATATATATAAATCAAATCTGTTGAGATACTGTACTTTATAACGTTCTGATTGGTTCATTGTTTAAAGTAATTTTAGCAAAAAATCTTTGCAAAATGAAAGTGCTAAAATAAAAATAATGTTCACGGATATAATATTGAAATTATTTAAGGATACTTTAAGGTTGAAAAATATTCGTCTTGAGATTAAGTGGAAAGTCATTAATATATTTCGTCCATAGCAGAGAACATTTAAAGAGTTAATTATAAGTTTCCAAATTCATTGAAACCACTTAATTAATATGCTTTATTACACTATTAAGTATAATTAATTTTTATATTTTCATAAAATTATTATAATTTATTGTATTTAGCCAGATATTTGAAATTATTTACATGAAAAGATGTGAAATATCATTCTGAAGATGTAAAAAGGATAATTCAGCGGAATGCTAAAATATTGAGTAAAAAGAAGAAACACTTATCTTGACTGAAGCTCAATAAATAGCATTACTTTGATAACCGTGTGTTTAATTGAGTATTTACAAGCAAGTTCCTATCCTCACTATCTTGTCAATGAATAATTTACGTTTTTATTTGAATAGGAAGAGGAAAAAATTAACTGTGAGAAGAAACAACAATTATAATAATTCATTAGCTTTATATTTGTACTAAAATTGTTTATTTTTGTGTATATGTTGTTATTCTTCTCCTTTTGGAATTTATGAATAAAAATTCCTTCAGTAGAGAAGATTTATTTAATACTCCTAATAAAGAGATTCAGTGACGGTTATGTAAAAATTACTTTATGTCAGTCTGATGATTGAGAATATGTTGATCATTTAAAATTAGATCTTAATATTGTGAATGTCTAGCATAGTGATAAGCTTCATAAAATGAATCGAGTTTTTCCTTTACAAAAGAATAGGTCATTGCTAAAAAATAGTCATCGTTTATCTTATTGTAGTGGACAAAACTCTTAGAAAAGAAGCTTTAAAAAAATCTTTAAATCGGCGAAGAAACGATAGACGAACATAAAATAAAAACCATTCTTCGAAAAACTCAAATTTAAATTCTATCACAAGAGAATTATGAATAATTAAAAAATATGTACTTTAGATATTCAGTAAGATGAGATATAAACGTCTAATTAATCTTGGAATAAAGAACGGTAGAGAGGATAGATTTATGTACCGAGAATATTTCAGAATGTGTAGCGTTTTTTTTTAGAAAAGAGTTTCTTTTATAAAAAAGAACATTCTCTTTCAGAATAAACTCAAGGTTAGTAGTTTGGAGATTTTCTTGTTTTTAAAAGTTGCTTGAAAATTTTTAACGCTTATATTAGTCAGATTTTAATCTACAAATAACGAACAAAACAACAGTCTAAATTCTTTGCATAATAGCTTAGTCCTTGGTCTTTGATTGCTGATTAATGTTGTGAAAATAAAAAAAAACATATTTTTTATGTTTTAATTGTTTCGAGGGTGTAACCATGGAGGTCTAATGAATATTTCGCGTCGTTTAACGACCTTGAACTCATCCAAAAAACTTTCACACAGAACTCTATTACATTATCTAGCAGGTAGGGAAGTATTGCTTTTTCTATTAAGACTTACAATTTTAATGCTTTTTCGAAGAAAAGTTAATAATTTTGCATACTAGTTTAATTCTCTGCCTTTAATTATGATGTTCCATTTGGAATAAATTGCTTTTTTTTATTTTATTCTATATTATCGAGCACTTCCCTCGTTCAGTAATTAATAAAAGACAAGTAATTTCGATTTATTTTAAACAGTTTATAGAAAAGGTATAAAAAAAAAGAAAAACCTTAAAACAAAAAGAAAATTATGGCTTATGTAAGAAGAAGAATGCATTACACTGAACAAAGATATACTACAAATGAGGAAATAGAAGCTGCCTACGTGGCTGACCATTGGCACAGCGACCCCGGAAAATTTGGTAATTAATTTATAATTTAAGAAAAATTTAAAATATGTCTCTTTCTATATATGAATTTATCAACGTTCCACATTAAAATGTTTTAGGATTTGCGGTTATTAGCGATCGGCTTCGTCAAATGGAGGTTTACAACGACTGCAATCTTGTTATTGGTGAAGTTCCAGAAGATCTGATTGAGGCTTTTTACGTTTATGCTGATAGACTGAAGATGCATTTCTCATTTTATCAAACGATTACGGTCTACTGCGTGCCACAAGGAACGTTGCCGTTTGTTATGAGAGAAGAACCAGCTATAAGGCAATTTCTCAATGTTTCAATTGAAGTTGTCAATCCCTGTGTTTTCAGTCGCGTTTTATTACGGGGAACTTTACGTAATATTAAAAAATCGATCGCTCATATCGAAATTATACTATTTCAAGTTTGGAAATCAAAGAGCATTTATCCAAATTTCTTCATCTAGCGCCATCTTGTGATTGGATTGAATATTAAAGTTTAGGCATGCTTTCATAAAAATAAGCGGTTGAATTAATAACTATTTGATATATTATCTTGTGCATTATATTAATCTTTTTCGTTAGTCTGATAATTCGTACAAATATTTTGTTTCTTATGAACGTTATTTGTGTTTTCTAAGATATCGTATATAAAATGGGAATGGGGTATTGTAATAAAAATCTTTGCGGGCTTATTACGAATAGAATTGTCTATAGAATTGCATGCACTATCGAAATCCTGAAAATTATCTTGATATTTCTGTAAATTATGGAAGAAAATTTTGACCTATTAAACAGACAGATTAAAGTTAATTTCAATTTGCTTCAACAGGTGTCTCAGCATGTAGTTTTTGAAATGTACTCAAGAAAGCTTTAAAAGAAGAGCCGATTTTGCTGCAATTTACTTCTGCTGTTGGAATGGCCGGGTAAGTACTAGTAAAATTTTTTTATATTATAAATAGTAATTTTATATTCTTAATTTTCAACTTCTTTTCTCCAACCAGACCAATCCAGAATATTCCAGATAGCAAAACAACAACTGTTTAGTTTGAGCATGCTTGCCCCCACAGTTCGTCTCAGCCAATATAACTACAATTTCCTGACGGTTTAGGCAAAATTCCTTCGTTTTATAGGTAAGTTGTGTTTCGTTGAATGTTTTTGCATACTAATGTATTTACTTTTTGTTTATTTTTTTCCCCTTTTAGACGTAGTCTTACATCAAACTCTGAGTGAGTATTGTTAATTTTTCACTATTCATATTTGTTTACTAATGGTATATTAATTTCTTTATTACAGGCACAAACCTTCCGATTAACACTACTGTATAAATCGTAAAATTATCAACTGAAACAATGACTAGCGGCAGACTCCAACATTCTGTTAAATATTCGTTTTGCAGGTATGTAGTTTCAACATAGAAAAAGAGATTGTACTTTTTATACGTCTACTTTGAATTATTCTAGTTTACCTGACGGACTGGAGTGAACGAAAGTGTGGTTGGACAAGAGGGCAAAATTAAAGAGTTGCTGTTTTATACATTATCTGGCATAATGTAAGATAATTTTTCGCATGTTAAAACTGTTTTTAACATGTTTTATTGTTTAAAATTAGGAAAAGATGCTATCGTAAGTGAATGGGACGGGGAAGAGTCTTCCTCGGAAGAGATTTCAGCAGACTGACGCATAGATATTTTAAGGTTGTAAAAAATATAAGAGATTTTTTTTAAAACTTCATTATATTTTGTTTTCTGCGTACAGAAATTAATTTTTATCAACTATGAATAATTACCGAAAAACTAGCACGAATATTCAAACATGACAAGCAAATATACAACGAGACGGTTAAGAAATAGTTTTTAATTATGTGTATCTATGCGTTTCTTATGATAAAAATTTTTTAAACAAGTTTCACTTGATCTGTGGCGTTTAATTTTTTTAAATGGTTGTGAATGTTTGTGTTGAGAAATTTTAAAATTATCATTTACTTGACTTTTAATTAAAAAACGCCGCATAAAAACGTAATTTCGTTTTTTTAATTTTTAATACAAGAAAAAAAAACAAACAAATTCGTTTTTATCATTATCATTAGACAGGTTGAGGGCAATCGGCTAGTTTTTCATACGAATCATACATATAATTAGTTAAAGATAGATGAAAAGACTCGATTAAACACTTACGTTTTTTATTTCTTCGACTCTTTGTACTTGAGGGAAAAAATTGGCAGGTTGCAATGGTGATAGACGGCTTTTACTCTGAATCTGTACCTTATTAATATTCATATGACGGCGTCTACCAATCGTCGTCGATGTTGGGTGTCAACGTCGCTTTTATCTTATTTCATTTCGCAGAATAAATACGTTCGAGGAGGACAATCAGTCGACAGTAAGTCATTTTACGTGTTTCCTTAAATGCGTATCTGCTTGCGTTATTCTTACGAAAGCGTCCACCTTGCATTAGATTTGAAGACATCATGATTATCAGTATTCCGTATATTGGCCGTTTTCCCGTTCTGAGAGGAATGAAGACTTTTTTCGTGTTGACTTTCTTCTCGCTACCCCTACTGATAGGCAACCGCAACAAATTCGAGAACAATAAAGATTCTTTGCGTGAGTTTGTCTTTTGCTTTATTACATAGATTATAGAAAAATTGTTACTTTTGGCAGTCGCTCAGCAAGCATCGTTGAAATTTTACGCGGCACGGATTGGTATTAGCTCTGAGAAGATTAAAAATCTGAGAAAATCTGGGGTAAGTAAAGTTTATCTAATAAACTGAAAAGAGAATTCTGACTGGGAGACTCCCTTTGTTTTCATTCTATTGATCCTTTATGTATTGGGCTTAAGCCTAAAATTGTTACATTTAGACGCCCGCGGTCCCTCGACGTTCTTATTTTACTAAACATTTCATTATGATTCACGAATAGATTCTAGCTTTATATGATAATTATTCATTAAATCTTGTTAGAAAAGAGGACTCTGTTACATTTTTGTGCAGCAAAGAAGAATCGTCCTTAAATTTTTGTTATAATAAGAATTCTTTACAATTTATTTATTTACTTATGCAGATAATAGAATCGATGAAAACGGTTTTGACCACGCCTTTAAACTCATTCCTAGAGATTGTGGATGAAACTCAAGCTCTCCTAATCGTAGATCACGCTGAACTGTATGCCTTTCTGGTAATTATTACTCTATAATATCTGCTGATATATCGTTAATTTCAACATCAATATCATTTTTTCAGTATTTGGACGTTCTCTCATCTCCCGACTACGAATCGAACCACGACGATTCTGTTTCCGAAAAGGAAATTAGGAAATCGGATGGAAGTAAAACCAGCCTCAAAAGACAGATCAGACTAAAAAACTGGTGGAGAAAGAGAAGACAACGGAGAGCTAGAATTCTCCATTTGAATCGTATGAAGAAAATCTTTCGTGTAGACTAATCGTTTAGATTCTTTATGTGTTTTACGTATCCTTATGATACTTACGATATTTATTATACTCTCACCTTCTCTTTCAATCTTTCTTAGATGCTTGCAACTATTCGCCTATTCAATTTTACATTTTCGTCTTTGGCTTTGTACTGTAGATTTTTAGAAATACAACCTTAGCTTTTGCAAACTCAATCCTCGTCTTGTCATTAATTATCTTTATCTAATTTATCTTATCTTTCTCTTTTCAAGAAGAAAGATAGATAATATCTTCTCCCTTTAGAAATGCAATAGGAGTATAAATAAAATTGTTCAATTTTTTTTGTCCTTGTCCAGGCAATACTGGTGAAAGCGATTAAATCTACGTGTTTTTGAGTACTTAAGAAAGTCCTTGATTGCAGAGAAAATGAGTTAGATATGAACAAGGCATATGAAAGATATCATATATTTTGTCTTAATAAGGGAACATTCATACGAATAATAGATATATGCAAACATAAATATACAATATACATTTTCAATGGTAATGATTTTAGAAGCGAAAACGATGCAATAAGCACATGACTTTGTACACGCTATTCAATGTTCTTTAGATTTCCTTAGATCGGAGATATTCCAAGTCTTCATTTATCTGCTGACACATCTCATCCGTAAGGCTGGAACAAATGCAGTCATAATTATCTGGTAGGGTATTATAGGGTGGTTCTGATGAACTTTTCAGTGACCAAAGTATTTGAATAACAATCCATTTTCTATTCAGTTCGGATAAAGATATTCCATCGGAAAAAGTAACAAAGTCTTCTAGGTCGTCTGGCGGCATCAGAAGATTATCCAAGTCTATAGGAAACAATTCAAAATGAAATATAAGAACATCTTCATTGGAGAATAGTAAATCTATGAACTCCTGCTCATCGTCAAGGCAGTCCAAAAGTGGAAAGAATTCTAAGATTTTATTGTCCATTATCTCTAAACGGTCATCGGCCATTTCACTAACGTTGAATCTATCAAAGTTCGAGCTCATCTTTACTTTTCGGCCCAATATATAGAGACTGCTAATGCTCACAAAAGAATGATAAAAAAAAACCCAGACTAAAAAATGAACAATGATCAAGTCCGTCCAGACAAAAAAAACTTAAATAGAAGCAAAAAACCAGGTTTGCTTCTACTTGTGGTATTTTTTTAGTACTTTTTCTATTTTAATCCCTTAGCTGACTCGAAAATAAAACATCATACAACATTTATATTTTATATACCGTTTTATTTTAAATCTTTCTCTTGTTCTTTTATATTATTTTGCTTAAAGTCTATAATCTAATGCTTTTAATTAGCATTGTTATAATTATTTATGAATTCTTTTTATTATAGGTGGCAAAAAACTAGGCAATTTTTTTACTACTAATAATAACAATAATAATAATAATAATAGCAATAAACAAAAAATGATAATTTAAACCCATTTAAAAGACATTTTTATTTTATTTTTTGCAGAAAAGTAAGGTAAAGTCAGTATTGAAAGTATGAAAATGTAAATAAGCTAAAAATATAAAGAAAAATCATTTATACGTTAGAATAATTTTTTAAGAACATTTTAGCCGCTTTTTTTCTCTCTCAAAAGCTTTATAAAAACTTGAAAATTTTTTTTACCAATCGATAACTTTCGAATAAATCTTCAATTTTTTCTAGTTAATTTTAAGGCGTTTTTAATTATTAAAAATTTGGATATTTCCCTCTAATATTCTTTTTCGAACACCGGAACTAGAATATAGTATTAATGTTTGACGGTGTGTGATGATTTTTAAGGAATCGCTAAATTATGACACTATGACGTAATTAATCTATTGTTTTACGATTACTTTCTTAAAATCTCAAAAAAAAATAAAATGGCGGAATTTACAACCAAGATGGTTAGTTAGAAATACCCAGTTAATGCTATCAAGAGTAAATTAGTATAGAAAAGGAATTGCAAAAAGAGATTAAATCTCGATTAATGACTATTGAGCGAAAATGCAAAGTGTATGCATAATTAATGGTAAGTCTAAGTAATATGCATTTATTATTAGAAACTTTAGTATTTTTCAAAATAACAGAATGATAAAAGAAATAAGCAACAAAATGTAAAAAGAACTATCATTTTGGTGATGAAGAAAGAGACAATGAGAGAACTCGTTAAGTATGCAAATTATTCTTTTGACTGAAATTATTAACATCGGCATTCTTCGGTTAATTTGTGAAATGAGTCTACTTGTTCTATATGAATAGTTGTATTAATTCTAAAGTTGTTTTCAAACCCGAAAACATTTCTTTGTTTGAAGTAATCAAAGCTCAAACAACAAGAGACTTACCTATTGAAAAAATTCTTGTTACATAAATGATGACTTTATCGAAGGACTACACCTATCATTCCCATCGGAGGGTAAATGTTATAATGCCGCTAATTTATCACCTATTAGTATCGTATTGAATGTAACAAGAATTTCCTAGCAACCAGTGATCAATCATTTTTTCTTTTTTTTTTTGTAGCTTTATATTAATTATTATTTGTTCTTTCCAGTCATTTGTACGTATTTATTTTTCTGAATATCAAAATATCTGTCTATCTAAAATTTTTAACCTCGTTAAAATCGAATTTCAACTGTAAAAATTAAGAGACGCCTATTGGCTACCAATGTATTAAATATTCTAAGCAGACTTCAATAGAAAGCTAGCGTGCTCTTCGCTTAGCGGCTGGTTTTATACCAATCACGGCGCTTTATTCGGCCATCCAATGAAATACCATCCTCGTTTATTCGAAAGTGATTAAACGTTTTCATGTTCGAAATTTGTGAAAATGACATATTTTTTTTCTCTATAATAGAGTTAAAATTCCCTCTAGCTATAGTTATCCATTTTAGTAGATATTTAAACAATTTATCGTAGCCATCTCAAGGTAACTAAAGCTTTTTTTGCACTCGAAAGTAACAGTTTCTTCCTTTGATCCTCCCTCACACTTTTTTTTCGTTTACATCTTTAATCAATTTATATAGTGCAAACACTCAAATAATCTACTGTATATCAAAAGCAATGCTGTATAAAGTGTTTTCGATTACCTTAGTAAAATGTTTATTAGGTAAACTTTTAGAATACTAATACTTTAATTTACTCTAATGACAACAGTAAAATTATAATAAAAAGACTAAAGTTTACTTTAAAAGACTACTAAGTTTATCTAAAGACGAAAATACAAAAATAGAGAAACCGAATTTTTTAATGAGTGATATATTTGAACATCGGGATCCCTGATAAGTAGAACAATTAAGACTGAAGTTGCTCGCTCGCTTCAATGAGTCTTCTACCTCTCTCTAAGCATTCCAAAATTTTTATGCGAAGTAGCCTCCTCTCTCTAGATTTCAACCATTTTTTAAGCTTTTTTCTCTTGAGGAGCCGACGACTTTTTCTAACTGGGCGGTATTTGCTCATATCTTGATTGATTTCCTCAAGAAAATCATCATCCGAGTCCGAGAGTAGATGAAGATTCTGTAAATGGATGGTTAACTAATAATTTACACTAAAAAAAAAATACAACCTGTACTGAATACTCTTCAGCGTGATCTTTAAGAAGATGTACGATTTTTTCATTTAGAAAATTAGTAAAATCATGAATGCTCGTTGTTCGAACAGACTTCATACTGTCGAAAATCTGTGCAATGTAACAAACTTCGATTAGAATCTTACATAATATTGCCCTAGGAACGGAAGGTGTCGTCATATCGGCAAAGGATTTAAGTAAGACCGATATTTCATCAAAGTAAATGGCGGAACTTTACCGCTGTTTCGTGATGAAGTATTAAAAGGACGACGCCCCGAAATTGTATAGTAATTTAACTGCTAAAAAAAGGTTAATTAAGGAATGTAACCATTTTATAGGTTCCAGTTTCCGATTTTTTATGGCTAATAGCCAGATGAAACAGAAATCGTAACGCTTATAAAAAATTATTATAAAAAATTGTAAATTATCAAAGTAATTAAAAAGTATACACTTCTTTACAGATGTTTGATTTATAATTACCCCTTCATTTTCTAGTTCTCGGATGGTTTGATTACTAATTCCGATTGATCTCGAAAAAGAATATAGAGATGATCTTTGAGCATCTAACATGAAATAAAAAAGAGATTTATGTGTTTAAGTTCTTGTGTTTTTCCTAACTTACCCAACGATTCCTTGTCCGTATTCGTTGTATTCATTTTGCAAATTTATCTTTATTAAAAGCAGTATGAATTGAGTTTTCGATAGCGAAATCCTTTCTATTCCTGATATTGAATAAGAATGCTATTAAATGTAATAATTAAAGCGCCAGATGTATAAAGCTCTGCGATTGGTAGAAGCAAGCGACTTATTAATATTCATAAAGTAGACGACTAAGCTAATTGAAAATAGTTACTAATTTGTAGCCTTGGCAACAAGCCTCTGCTTTGTGTTAGAAGCAAAGATTTCATATATTATATAGTGTTAAATTTAGTTTAGTGCTCTTTCTAGTGTAGTTTTTCTGAGAATCATAATGTAAATATTGCCAAAAAGAGCATACACGATAGTTTGGTCAAAGCTTAAAATGGAAAGTCTCAAACAGAACAGGTGTCGATTATTGCTTGGACGTTAATAGGATTAACTGGTACAACTAATCGATCATTTTATCTTCAATATGTTCACATTAGAAGAATACTTCTGGCAGATATTGCAGAATAGCTTTCCCATATTTTTTTGACTTTGGGTAGTACTGTCATTTAAAGAAAAAAACAATAGAAACGTAAATGGTTGGGACCATCTAAAATAAGAAAGTAAAAAAAAAAATATCTAATATAAAGTATATCTAACATTTTTAATTCTATATAAACAATTATTTTATAATGAAATAAAATCACGTTGGGAGATAACTCAATTTCTATGTACAGTTGATATGTTTTAGTTAAAAGAAACACTTAAAAAATTTTAATTTAAATATACAGAGTAATGTTTAGTCTGTTCGGCAATAGTAGTTAATGTATATTTATTGCTTAAGATATTTGATGCTACTCAACGAATTAAGTATATGTTATGAATAAAGATCAAATTGTTTTCAATATTATAGTTGTTCTATGAATAAAGAAATAAATTCATAATAAAATTAACATGCTGTATAAATTATATAGTATATTGAATGTACGAATTCACTATATAAAGCTACATAGCCTTTAAACCTAACTGAATATTTTATCTATGATGGCGTTCGGATTCTATTCGTAGACAGAAATTCTTGCTTTGATTCTAAAATTCCCCTGTGGGAGTGACTTTCCACCTCTTTAGCCTTTTCATAACAATCAAAAAAAGTTAAAAAGTTGTGGTGAAAATAAACAAAATTTTACGCCTGAGTATCTGGATATAGAAGTATCGAAATCTTTCTCCTTGAAGTTACCTTTATAACCTACTCCTTCTTTTAAGATTTTAAACGTTTATTTATTATTTTTAAAAATTAAAATAAAAACAATAAGCAAGATAGAAATAAAAATTAATTTTAAAAAAAATTTTTAAATAATGGACGTTATATTTTTTTGTTGTCCCACACTTTTGCTTAAACTTTTCTTATTATCCTATTTTGTGTTGTTTTAGATGTTCTAAAGATACTTGGAATGTATTATATTGTGTATAAAGTATATGCCATTTATTACCTGCATCATAAAAGAATCTACTAAATAAAAATATATTTACCTACTCTACAAAATCTAGAGATATCCAAAACCTAAATGAGCATTGATAGTCGTAGAATCAAAGCCAACTAATACGAAATACAAGATCTTTTTTAATAGCAAAAGAGTTTATTTAGAATAATAAGAAAAGTATCACAGGAAATAATTATCAAAGCATTGTTTAAATGAGAAATATTTAATTAAATAATTGAAAGATTTATGCCAACCCCATTCTGAAATTAAGTAATTAATATGTTCATTAAACGCAAAACATTTGAAGAAAAACGGTTATAGCCTGTTAGATTGTAATTTTCAATTCAATTCCACCATTAAGTTCCACGAGAAAATCCAAAGTTGAGAATTTCCTACTTGCGATGTTGATATTGACGTTGAACACGCTGTTGTTGTTTTATTTGTGGTTGCTGTTTTTGCTGTTGTTGTATTTGCGGTTGCTGTTGCTGTTGTTGAAGGTGCAATTGCGATTGCGGATGAGCTATACAAAATTGTTGCTGATGCAAAAATTGATGATGCTGATGCCATTGGACTTGTTGAATTTGCATCGCCTGAAGTTGTTGCGGTTGTAGCTGAATTTGTGGATATTGCTGTGGTTGTAGCTGACCTTGTTGAATTTGTTGCATTTGCTGTTGTTGCATTTGCTGTTGCTGCATTTGCTGTTGTTGCATTTGCTGTTGTTGCATTTGCTGTTGCTGCATTTGCTGTTGTTGAATTTGCTGTTGTTGCAATTTCTGCTGTTGCAGTTGAATGTGTTGCTGTTTTATTTGTTCACGCTGTTGCTGCTGATGCTGTAACTGCTGACGATATTGCTGTTGTTGTTGCAGCAGCTGACGTAACAATTGCTGTTGCTCTTGCAGTTGCAAGCGTTGCTTCTCTTGTTGATCCTGTTCAGATTGTTGTGGCTGTTGCTGTTGCTGATTTCCCTGTTGGTTTTGCTTTAATTGTTGTAAACGCTGTTCATATTGTTGTTGTTGCTGCAATTGGCGTATTTCAAGCTTATTTTGATATAGATATTGGTGCTGGTTTGCATAGCTAAATCTGATCTTGTTGTTCTTTTTCCTCAGAAGTTCGCAAATGATTCCTTCAATATGAGAGATTGCTTTTTTAATGTTGTGTTTGTGTCCAAATAGAATTACTCGATTAGAATTTAGCATATGAGCCAATCTTATCGATACATGAAACTTATAGTTTATATAAGTGACGTCTGACATAACAGCATCTAGCGTACCCATTGGCAGATAATAAGTTGTTTCGATTCTCTCGTCGGCAAAACATAGAACCAAATGTTGTATGTACTGTTCAAATTCAGGTATCAAAAATCTTGGACAGTAGCCACCAATCCAAACCAGTCCATGAGCTTGGTAAGTAGATATTTTCATACTTCGTAAAGCTTCTAGAACTTCGAATGGTAAATCTTCGGCTGAAATTCATTAAATAGTACTACGAAGAATAAAATATTTAGTTACGTTTACTTACGATAACTTGTATAAGGAACAGACCATGCGAAGTGACAATAATCGGCATAGTCTAGAGTAGGAACGGGAACACGATGAAATCTGAACCAATCATTTCGCTTAAGTTTAGTAATACTTCCATCGGGTTCTATGTACCAAAAATATTCCATTTTAAGTAGTTCAAGTAGATTAATGTAGATAAATCAGCGAAAGTCGATAATTTGTCTTTTTGAGCAGAGCTCCTTTCCTCCAAGACCAAGTTTAATTTCTGACAAGAAACGCCCAGTTTAAATACTTTTCCGAAGTAAAAAAATATACTCAAAGTAGGCTGATTGGCATTAATGAGAAATCTTTCAAAAAGATATTGAACTTAGGATAATAACGATAAAAATTATGTCAGAAGAACCGCTTTTTCTCAACTAAGACATGGGGGGTTTTCTTGTTCTTCTAAAACTATTAAATTATGAAATATTTCATATTTTTAAATTATATATACTACTCATTCAAGCCTATGGAAACTCTCATTAACTTAAAAACAACCAATTAAACATTCTCAAAAGTTGTTTTTATGTAATTTTATTAGTGAGAGTTTTATTAATAATCTTACGTGTTCGCTTAAGTTTAACTGAAAATCTCAGGCCTATAGTTGAGATGATCTGATTTTATGAGATAGGGCAGCGAATGGGAAATAGATAAATGATAAATGATTTATAATTTAAAATTTCTTAAGTAGTGTTATTTTGAAAAAAGAAATTAGAAAACTTTTAAATTAAAGATATTCATTGAGTAGTTTTATGATTATTTTTATATATTGTAAAATATATTTTTATTAATAAAGATTCTATTTTCTTATAAATGTCAGACATAGAGATGATAATATCTTTTTCCCCATAATGAATTAGTCATTATAAAGAAGATTAGATAGTAATTTATCAATTAGATATGTGAATAATGGGTAAAATATCATTCTCGAATTTCCTTTTCATTAACGGATAAAGTAGATTTAGTTTAGAGAAACCCCTAAGTCTAATTGATGGTCAATAATTCTTATAATGCAGCTTTGCTGATAATAATTTTTTATTTAAAAGTGGACCTATATTTCTTCAGCTGATTCTTTTTTTTTTATTACTATACATAATACTTTATAATTATTATTATTAATTGCTGAGTTACTTTCGTACATATATCAAATAATTTATTACTTATTTATTCACCAAATTAAATAGTTTTCCGTTAAGTTTGTACTGCTTATTTACTCAATCATGAGTTTTTCTTATACTGTTTACGTTCTTATTTAATCAAAAAATATGACAAACTAACTAAATTTTCTACTTAAAATGCTTATGAATGCGAGATGATTTTTCCTATTTTCTATTAAACAATCTCTCTCTCTTCTGTCTTTTTTTAGTTATTTTAATAGATGTATATAATGAACATAAAAAAGCAGCCATCTTGCTCGCCGTTTTTAAAAACTACTCGACTTTCAAGCAACGACTCAATTCAATTAATGAAAAACAAAAAGATGTAATAAAAAAACGGTTTGTATTCTTTTCCTATAAAGGTGTTAATAAATATAAAATAATCTATAGATTATATATTTAATCAAGCGATATTGAAAACATGTCTATAAGCTACTGCCATCTATCGGTTCTGATCGTTTGATGAAAAAAAAACCATTTTCATTGATGTCCAATATAAGATAAAGAAACTTAATATTTCGACGATAATATCATATTAGCATATTATTAATTTATTATTCCATTATATACATATATATATATATATATATAAGATTAAGGAAGAGGATAAAAACAGATCTTGAAAATTCGAAAGGATGTAAAGTGTTTCTCCCTTTTTTTTCTTTCTTTTTTTTTTACATAATTCCACCAATTCATTATTAAATAAAATTTCTAATATCCAACTATTCGATTAATCTAAATAATGAATTTTATAAGTAATTTCCTGTCCTGTTTCATTGACATCAAATTTCTCACAACGCCTAGATATAAATTATCCTATTGTATTTTTTTTGTGATTTTACTAAGATTGGCTTTATCAAAGTTTCCCGTTAATCGACTTTCCCTTTTCTTAGAATTGAGGGTATCCTAGAATAATATAGCTGAATAAGTTGATTTTTTTTTCGTAAGACTCTTTTCAACGTGTTTTGAATTGTTTATTTTCGGAGTGAGACTGAAGGTCGATGTATCAATACTTTTAGACATCTTTTTTATTAAATATATACAGTATAAATATATATATTATATGATAAATGCGGTACAGTATTATATATATGAGATATTTTATATCGTTCTGCTTAAACAAAACCAATTCATTTTCTAACTTATTTATGCAGAAGTATAAAAAGGCACCAGTTTGTTTTTTTAAGAAAATAAGGGACTTCCTCCCTAAAAATAAGACAACAACCTAGAGCAAAATAATAATAAAAAAAACAGATATGATATCAAGTGCTTTTCCAATAAAAAGCCATGTTTTAACTTTTTAACCCAATCCTGTCAAAAAAAAATGCTGTATAGAGTAGTTTTCTTATTGAGTCTTCTTATCGAATTTTTCAGTTTCTTTCAAGCTCTGTTCGATAACAATTTCTGCTTGGGAATCAATGACGCTTAAAGCTATACCCAACTGGGCTATGTAATAGGTTGCCATTATTAATTGATGGGCGTAGGGAACTGGAATTCGGAATTTATCGATACACAATATATAATCAGATATGACAAAAAAGATAGCGCCACCACAGCTGCATAATTTGGTCCAAGTCCAGAGGTCGTTGAAGAGTTGAACTCTAGCTATTGCCCGCCAGAGCATACAACCGATTAAGATACAGTAAACTATTCCTATAGGTAGCATTGTACCCTGGAGAAAAAAGATCAATATTATATATAGTAGAAGAGATAAGTTTGCCAAAGTATCTTACATTTAAGCCTGGCAAAAGGAAAAGAAACATAATTGAGAAGAGGACGGTACAAAAAATTCCATGCTTAATTTTTAGATCGTAGAAGCCGAATGCAGTGGCATATAGGAATTGAGCCAAGGCAAACATAACCACTCCGTGAATAAAATAACTGCTCTTCCAAACCAAGAGAGCGTCACCAAGAGCTGAGAAGATTAATCCAATCAGAATTCTCCTTGAATAAACATAAGCTTCCGAAAAGTTCATTCCATGAAGTAGGACAAAAATCATTAAAGAGATTATTGGTAGAATTTTGACAATACAATAGAAAACCGAATCCAAGTGAGGTTCATTTCCATAAAGTACAAAAAATATTGTAACCGTTTTAAAGAAGGGTACTAATTTAGGTCCAACGCTCTTTAGCTGTAAAGTAGAAAAGAAAAATAACAATAACATTAATTAATACGCTTTAGAAAAAGAATAAAAAACGGTGGTTAATCTTTAAATTGGGAAGAAAAATATGAACATAACCCTGTTTATCTTTTGCATTTTAATATAACAATAATTTTTAACAGTTTCAGCTCTCTGAATTCTTTTCAAAAGAAAAAAAACCACATATGCGCCGGTAGAATTTATACATGTGTTCACTATTCAAATTTCGATTAATGCTTTAAATTCACTCCAATAAAATTGGGTTAATCACGATAACAAAATTTTATTTCCTGTTTTATACTTACTACAGCTGAAGGTTTCAAAGGTGGTAAAGGCTTTGTAGTCGCCATGAATTGTTTTTTTTTAAATTTTGGATACTGATCGTAGTTTTTTTGTATTTTATGAGTTTTGAATTGTTATGACGTCAACAGCGTGTGTTGTAGTATAAAGTAAAGTGTATGAGGTGATTGGCTCTTCGATTTGGCCTCAATGCTGACCTTGCGGAATCGAATTTTTGTCAGGAAGAATATAAAAATGGCAGTTAGTTTTAGGAATTTAATGGGAGCCATTTTGAAAAGGGAGCAAAGACACAGAGTCTTAACTGTTTTTTTGCACTATACAAATAACAAATATCCCTGGTGGCTTTTAATCATAGGTCTTTGTTCAGAGGACGGGGATTAATCGTTAAAATCAATCAATACTTGTCAAAGAAAATTCCCAAAAAAAATTTTTTCTTGTCTCAGCTAACAAATATGGTAAAAAATTCATTCTGACTTTGGTTAATCAGCAATCCCAAAAGTCTAACAACCCCTATCATCATATGTAACTTTGTTTAAAGAAAATTATAGTGGATAATCTGCTATAATAAATAATAATAACAATAATAATAGTAAAAAATCAATATATAAATAATCCTTGGAATCATTCTCTATAGAAAATAAGAACGAAAACTGAAAATAAAAAAAGAACGAAAGAATGAAAGAATAGGAAACAACGTTCGAGAGAAAAACGGCAGAAACAATAGAATATTAATTACTTTCTGTTATAGTATTCAGAACATATAAATGATCTATTGAAAAGGATAATGAACAACAAAAACCGGCTAATTGTGCACAAATTATTGTAACATTTCCAGCCTTTGCAAATTGCATCTGTGTCATTCCGATTGTTACGACTGCTGCATATAGATTTAATTATATAGATGAAGGCTGAATAACTTATGTAAGAGATTCTATATTTTCACATAGCATGCATACATGAGTATACTTAGAGGCTGACAAACATGCCTAAAATCTCTTTGATAAACGATATTGTTGTAATCTTGGAGATGAAAGGAGTTATTTTCTATTTTTTTCTTCCTTTACGACTCTTCTCTGTCTTTGTTCAATTATTCGAAACTATTTAATAATCAGAGCGGAAGGGTTTTGAAAGCCGTTTTAAAATGTGACAGACTTTTTTTAGAATTGTAACAGTTTTGATGTATTTATATATGTATATATTTAATGCAAGTAGAATAACTATATAAGAACCCGACAAAGTATAAATTGAAAACGAAAACTGGGTATCCAATATTTTATCACATTTCATTGGGAAATCCAATTTTTTCGTCATTTCCAATGATTTTATTTTTATTAAATACTAATAAAATCCATTGATTGGAAAAAATAGGATATCCAATATCAATAAAAAGAGAAATAAATTGTATTGAATGTGGTTCCATCTATCGGAATAATTGACAACTAATTCGAAGCATATACTCAGCTTGCATATATTTTTAATATACTGTACATACAGTATAAATATACGTCGTAAGTAAAATAATATAAATTCTGCTAATGTTAAAGTATCTTCATCGAGAGAATAAAAGTAATAGAAGGTGGATATCTTTCCAAACTGTAATAACAATTAAACGAGGATGGATGTTAATAAAAATTAATGATCTATTGCATTTTTCCCCCCTCCTTCAGCTTGATATATATTTCAGTATTAATTTTAGGGTTATTAATAGAGAATTGAAGTGGAAAATAATAAATAAAATATTTAACCCTTTATTAGAGATCTGAATTTTTTTCTCTTTTTGCTATTTTGGGGCCATTTAATTTCTCTCTAATCATATTTTCTCTATATTTATAATAATAATAATAATAATAATAATAATCGTATATGATCAATCTTTTACGAAATTAACTCAAGCTTGTTGACGCCTAATTCAGAATCATTTGATTATTGAAGCTTTTTCCTCAGAATTCTCATCTTTCTTGTCATTTTTTTTTCATGTTCATTTCGAATTTTTGACTTATCTGATTCGTCGATGGAATTCCTTAAAGGATTTATCTTGATATTTTTTTCAGAATTCGTATAAGAAATTTATCTAACTGCAAGGAAATCTTATGAGAGAGAATAGTGATGACGATATATAAAAAAGGAATAGCATCGAAAATATTTACTATGTAAATGTTACAATAAAAAGAAAGGAAGAGGGAGAGATAGAGAATGTGTGGAGAGGGGAAGGGGAGTAGAGAGTTAATTCTTTCATAAACTTATAATACACTCACTAGAATAACGGGGGTCTCATAATAACTAATCAAGGAAATGTGTCATTCTAATCAATTGAAAAAATATACAAATCAATACTAATTATACAACAATTTGAATAGGAGAGAGCTGACTTTTCAATTAAGATTTTCTTTACACTCATTGTGAAATTGATGATTGATATTGAACCAAAATCGAAACTCGAACTTTTTAAGTAGTCTTTAACCACTTCCTTATTATTTTTTATTTAAAAAATATACCTTTCTAAGATAGATGGCGACAGTGTTAAATAACATATACAAGTCTGTTATACTTGAATAAATATTACATACTAAATATATATATATATATAAAATCTACAAATAGAATGACAAGCTCGAATGGTTAAAATATCCGATATGCTACAAAAGTAGTGAGCTTTTTACAATCCTGCGTGTATAGAAGTTTATTCAATTCTATATTTTAGACCATATAAAGGACCCAATTACTTATTTATTTGTAAAAATGTGAAATTTTCTCCACAATCAAATAGGAATAGAAATACATTTAGCTTATTGGAATTATATGCTCAATTCTCTTCTGCAATGAAGCTATAGATGATTCAGAAGGAGAGAGACAGAGACAAACACACACACACACATATATATATATATATATAGAGAGAGAGAGAGAGAGAGACAGACAGACAGACGCAGGAAAAAAAAAAGAATCTCTACAAGATAAAATCGACAAAGGTTACAATCCCTTCTTTTTATTTATTATATCGCTAAATAGATAAGAAAGCACGTTCTGTTATCGTTTTTTTAAGGCGGGATTTTCTTCAAGTAGGGAAGAAATCAGTTTCTGATTAAATTGTACAACATATTTATATAGCATAAATTAAAATAAAACTATAATATTAATAAAGTTAATATTATAGAAAGTAAAACAAGTCAATGTTGGTAGATTTAAAGGAGACATGTAAAGAAAAAAAAAGTAATAAAATCAATATTAAATAAAAGGTAGAAAAGTTACTATTTTTAAAAGAGGAATTAATATAAACAATTAAAAACAAAAGGTTGACTTAATAAATTATAAAACTTTTGTTACTTTTTGTTTTTTTTAAAAAAAAATTTCTTTCTTTTTTTTTTTTAAAGATTTTTGAAAGGAAATATCTAATAGTTAAAAATAGACTGTTTTCTATTTTCCCTTAATTGTTTGAATTTACTGCGAATAGTCTTATTAAAATAATCGAGTGTGCTCTAGTTATTGTACTGTACAACAGATATACAGTATATACAATATATAAAAGTTTTAAGCCTATTTTCGCGCCCACGTAACTATACAATGAAAATAAACTAATAACTACAAATTGTTTTTTGGATTAATTACTTTCTCTCTCTTTTTTTTAGTTTTGTTTACTTTTGTACAATGACAGAGAGAGAGAGAGAGAGATAGATTGAGAGATATTATTAATACGAATATACTGTATATACATTGTATGAAAATAAACTTGAATATTGTTTGTATATCTTGTATGTTCAGAATACTTTGGAATGAGTGAAGAATGTCTCAATAGTGATAGATGATGAGAAAAGGCACATATTTCTATTGTAGTCACGTTTGAAGATAGATGAATAGTAAAATTACCATGCCTACGGTATTCTTGCATGTTATCTTATCGATGTAATAGACCTACTGAAGTTTCTGGAATTTTAATAACAATACTTGAATTTGAAGCGGCAAATAAACACGTGGTTCTAATGATAGATATAGCAAATACGTGAACTAATTTATAACTTTTCAAAATGTCGAATAATAAGAATATAATATTCTCCATTTTGTTATTACAATTGAGTACAGTTCTAACTGACAACTCAAATACGACCAATGGAAGAGAGACTGACAGGTTGAATCTCAACCAATCAGCTTGCCGCTTATAAATTGAGTATTGAACGAACTCGGTTGCACTTGAGAAAGGTGTATTATCGGCAACTTTTTGATCTGTGAAACAGAATTTTGTGTCGAAGAATGGCCAACCCAAGGGAATCCATGTTGTTGACAGAAGATAAGTTGGAAGAATTAAGAAACGCCTTTCAGACGGTTAGTATTATGAACCGGATTTTAAATTCCCGTAATAGAATAACAGAAAAAAGGCGTGTTATGTTGTTCTTTTCTTTCAACATTTCGGAAATCCGTATAAAATTTCATCAAAATATATTAAAGATTCTTAGAAATATCTCACTTTGCATGAATCAATTTTTATTTTTATCGTACATTACTAAATAAAATATAGCAATGTAATTTAACAATACTAAGTTCTATATTGAAAAATAAAAAAATCGTCTAGATTTTCTTACAGTCTTGTAGACTGTTCATTTGTATAGAAACTATTAAATGGAAAAGAATTAAATATAATTATGATTTTCGATTTACCGATTAAAATACTTCCATTTTGAAATCGCAGCTGCTGTCGAATTTCCACAAAAAATTTTTATAATAATAAAAAATAATAGTTGACAGATTTTTAACTTTATATAACATATATTCAAATATATTATATATATACATGTATGTATGTATATATGTTATTTATAATTACATTATATGTATAGGCACATTATGTGTATATGTATAGTATATTATAGAATGATTCATCGTAACTTATAGATACTGTATATAGATAATTAAATTCATCGGATGAATAAGATATATGTAGGATTTTTATCTATTTACTATTTTGGATGAAAAATTTCTAATGATGATTCATAACAATCACTTAAGCTTATATGGTAATGCTTAAGAATACACTGATTCACGGAAGAAGAAATTGCTAACTAGTCACGACTTACTACTAGATTTCTACTAATAAAATTAAAAACTTGCAATTTCCAAGATGTTAATGTAATTCATTGGGTTATAGCATCTCTTACAGAGAAAAATCATTAGAAATATATATATATATATTTAATGTATAAAGAAAAAGAAACAAGAAACTCTTGTCTATCATTTTGAATTTCATTTTCTTTATCATGCCAAATAGTGAGATAGTAAATTTTTGATTATTTAATTAACAGTAATACAAATGTGTTTGAGTAATTTTCCATCAATTTTGTAGCTAATTGCTAAAGCTATTCAATTCGTGTAAACATATATATATATATTTATGTTTATATATATACATATATATTTCTACAAAGCCGATATCTAGAACTGAGCTATCATTCTGTTTGCCTTTATAGATAGTATATATTTAGAATAATTACTACTAATATTGTTGAACAATATTTCTATTTATCATTTAATGTGCAAATTTAACTTGTACTTGTAATCATATTAAATACTATAAATACCTATATACTTATATGCTTATATGCATGTCTATCAAGTTTGATAATTTATTTTTTAATACAAGAATTTAAAGAATCAAAAAAATATTTTAAAATTAACAAGAAATTTAGTGTATATTTAAGGAATAATCAATGTCTTTTTTTTTTTTTCCAACAGATCGATTTAGATGGAAGTGGCCATATAACAGTAATGGAACTAGGTGATGCATTGAAAGTTTGTGGTTTTACTTTACCTGGCCATGAAATTCGCGATCTAATACAAAGATATGATACAAATATCAAAGACGGAAAAATAGATTTTATGGAATTTCAACAGGTATAATATTTAAACTAGTTTCTATTAATGCTTTTATATATTTATATGTCGGGGCAAATTCAATTCTTTATCAAGATTAAACTTTCTAAATATTCATAAGATTAAATTTGTAATTTAAGTCTTATCAGAGAACTACGTCTCAATTTTAACTGTTCCATAATACGAGAGAAAAATTTTGATAAAGTACTGAATTTTGGCAAACTACAGGCATAAGCTTATTTCTCTTTTTACTTTCTATTATTTAATATTTTAGTATATTATATGCTACCTTTCATAAACAAGGAAGTAACATTATGGAGCCGCAACTGAAAGTAGAAAGTGAATAGAATTAGAAAATTATTATAAAAAGATTATAAACATAAAAAACATTATAAACTCTCGTTTCATCTTTAAAAATTATAACAAAAATAAGATGGATTCAGGTAGATTTGTTTTAAAAAAAAATCCCCTCCTCCTTTAAAAAAAAAATATATCCAATATTTTTAATGCTCTATTGTTACCCTTAAAATGTGAATAGTCGTTGATTTCAACTACTAGTGTTTACTTGTGTGTGTGTTTGTGTTTGTTTGTCTTTCTTTTTTTTGTTTTGTAATATTTTCAACTAAAAAGAAAAAGAGTAAAAAATATCTTCTAATAGCACGGACAATTTGATGTGTATTTTATTCCTTTATTTACTGTCACAAATAGAGATAGTTACGGAAGTAATTGTATTTTTTGCCCCCTTTTCACTTTTCTCCTTTTTTATTTGTTTATTTATTTCAAAACAAAATGATATCGATTGAACTCTTTAGGTTTGTATTTTAGTCTAATACAAAAGTATAAAATTGAACTAATGAATGTTTAATTTTAGAATGAGATTTCTTTTACTATATATATTTATATTTATACGCGTAAATACCTTATAAATATTTGCTTTTTGATATGACAGCTATATGGTGATGTTAAAGCCAAGTACGATATTGGCCACACCTACAAGAAAAACGTTGCTAAAGCTACTAACGTTGTCACCCATGGAGGTACGTCAATGGCATCATCGGTGGGAACCACTCATACTGTGAAAATAGAAGAACAAATGGCCTTTTCCAAATGGATCAATAGGTAGCATTATCGTTTATTGTTAAGAATTTTATTTTATACATTTAAATGTCAAATCATAATTATAGTTGTAGATTCATTAGGAGCCGTTATTAGATTAATAAGTAATAGATGATTATATATATTTATATATATCATTTAAAGTCTTGAGCACATTTGTTGTTAATGTCTTCAAATGTCGTTTATATTCAGCTGAAAAAATTGATAAAGTTTATAAAAAGAATTTTTTTATGATTTATATTACGTTTATGGTGCACTTGTAGACTGTATGATTATTTGAATATTTCTTTTATGTTTATATTAACCACAAAACATATATTAATATAAAATTTATAAATTTCCTATTTTTATATTAAAACACAGCAACCTAGCTTCTGATGGCGATTGTCGAAATATATTACCGTTGAATGCCGAAGGAAATGATCTTTATCATAAGTGCAGTGATGGGATTTTATTATGGTAAAAAGAAATTCTTTTAGTATTTATAACAAACAAACAAAAATACAAATTTTTCACTTTTAATGTTTTTTTAAATATATAAATTTTTATACAGCAAATTAATTAATAAAGCTCAGCCAGGCACTATTGATGAAAGGGTAATGAATAAGGGAGCTAAATTATCGCTTTTCTCTAAAATGGAAAATTTAACATTGGCTCTTAAATCTGCACAATCAATTGGATGCAACATTGTGAATATTGGTTCGGATGATTTACATAAGGGTGCTCCTCATCTGGTTTTAGGCCTTTTATGGCAAATTATCAGAGTAAATTGCTTTTTTTTTTTAATTTATGTTTAATTATCGATTTGCATAGTTAAACGCCTGAAAAAGGCTTATATATACAGTATATATATTTATATATGTATATATATTTATGTATTATTTTTCACGTACAGATTGGTTTATTGGCTGATATCAATTTACACGACAATCCTGGACTTATACATTTATTGAATGAAGGTGAAACAATCGAGGAATTAATGAGACTATCACCAGAGGAAATATTAATTCGATGGGTTAATTATCATTTGGCTAATTCCGACGCTAACCGAGCAAATGAGAATGTCCGCATAAACAACTTTGGAAGGGATATTGAAAATTCTATTGCCTATTACTATTTGATTCAGCAAATTGCACCAGCCGATACCAGAATTGATATTTCTGGTAAATCAGTAAGTAGTAGTTTAGAGATATAAATACATGTATATATTCAGTAATTGTATATGTGTATGATTGAAATTCTTTTAACCGGCGACGTTTATGTCGATATGTTTCGATCAACATTGAGCTTAACCGATATTGAGTTTAACTGACAGTGCATCAGCCAAAATACCTTCTATATAGCAAAATTTCTTATTATCTTTTAATCAAAAATTGTACCCGATATAATGTTTGATGAAAGTTCTTTGAGGATTAATGCTGATCGAAAGGTTATCGACAAATGATACTGTCGTATTCAAAATATTGTACATATATATTAATTTTTTTTTATCCTATTTGAAACCTAAAGGATGGAAATTTAGAGCATAGAGCGGAAAACATGTTACAGCAAGCCGAGAGAATCAATTGTAGAGCTTTCGTTCGTCCCTTGGACGTAGTAAAGGGAAACACAAAATTGAATATGGCTTTTGTTGCAAATTTATTCAACAATCATCCAGCCCTGGATAAGGTCACTGATAACGACCTCCTCGAGCAAATTGTCGACGAAACTAGGGAGGAGAAGATGTATCGTAATTGGATGAATTCCTTGGGCGTTCGTCCCTTTGTTAATCATCTTTATTCCGATTTGAAGGACGCTCTTGTATATTTTCAACTTTTTGAAAAGATAAAGCCCGGTTCAGTCGACTATAGTCGTATTCCAAGTAATTTCAGTAAGCTAAAACAAAAGAGAATGATTGAAGAACTACGTAAGTTTTTAATGTGGTATTTTTTAAAAAAAAAACACACTTAACGTTTTATTTTAATATCTCCTCCAAACAGAAAATTGTAATTATGCCGTCGAATTGGGAAAGCAATTTAGATTTTCATTAGTTGGAATAGACGGTAGTAATCTAGCTCACGCTTCCGAGCATAAGAGCTATGCTCTTTGTATGTATTTACTTATAATTTTTCCCTATTCCTTTGATAAGTTTTTTTTTCCGATTTCTTACAGCTCTAATTTGGCAACTAATGAAAGCTTATACGCTAAGCGTGTTATCTAAATTAAGTGGTACTGATAAACCGCTGGCAGAGAGCGCTATAGTTAGTTGGGCCAACCAAAAATTATCCAAAAAAGGCAAGACTTTCTCCGGTTTCGGTGACCAGAGATTAAGCGACGGAGTTATTGTTATCGACGTGATTGATTCTATCCAGTCAAACATAGTCAACTACAGTCTAGTAAAGCAAGGTTCTGGTGAGGAGGTAAGACTAAAGGCTTAATTTAATTTCCTTAGAAGAGAAAAACAAAATCTATTCACTTGAAAACTATTATAGTTTTAGAGTAAAGAGTAATCAATTATTTTTTTTTCTTAGGAAAAAACAAGCAATGCTAAATTAGCTATTTCTTGGGCAAGAAAAATGGGTGCTGGCGTCTATGCTCTACCGGAAGATATAGTAGAAGTTAAACAAAAGATGGTTATGACCATATTCGCATGTCTAATGGCTGCCGAATTAGAGAATGAACAGAAAAAATCTACACAGTCTTAAAAACGATCATTTTTTTTTTATCTGATTTCATCTTTTATTTTTGTTTATATATTTTTATTTCTTATATTTTTCCGCTTTTTAAAAACTTTAATAATTAGTTACTTAAATGGAATAATTAAGTAAGCAAGTTAATATGGCTGTTACAGCCACAAGTTGTACCTTTGAGAGAAAATTTTACATAATCTAAAATATTTTTTCCACTAATAATCACGTACAGTTTGGATTATTACAACGTTCTTTCGTATCTCAAAAAAAAAAAAAAACAAAAAAGACGGTTAATTAAATTTAAAGCCTTTTACTTTAACATTTTATTGAACAACGAAACTGTCCTGCAATAAATGATAAATAAGGCATCAGAGCGAGTGTGATATGTTCTGATTAATTTCTTGTATTTTTATGTTTACATGTTTATACATAATGGTTCGATGCATAGTAGTTTTCTTTTATTTGATTCCATGAATAATAAGAAAGGGAACACTGATGATTGACGTTTATTTTATTCTGGCATTTTACCTAATTGTTTTGTCGTTGCAAGTCTAGTAGTGTTATTGACATATATATCGTGTGTATTTGGTATATATGTTTCATTTTATAACTAATTGTGTTTCTTTCTTTGCGGACGATAGATGTTTTTATTAAAGAAAATGTTTTTTTTTTTTAAAATATATTACGATCATCGAATAAAAAAACTTAATGACACAAAAAAGGATTTTTTTAACACTTGCCAAATATTTGCTGCATAATTTATTTTTTACTAACTTATGTATAATTTATAAATGTTTCGTATAGCTGAGACACTGACGTGCAGAAATTCTCTACGATATGTACAATTTATGACTCGTTCGTCTTACACATCTATACAATACTTATACAAATACATAAGTATATTCAATTTTTTGATTTTGTCAGCCAACTATTCGGTGAACAATGTAAAATTAAAAAAAAAAATTCGCCTTTTAGCAGTATATTATATATATAATGAATTTTTTTTGCACGCGGCGATTATAATTAAGCATAATTAGCAAATAAATTGTTTGTAAAAAGTAAAAAAAAATGACAGAAAAAAAATTAAACAAGAGGTATTTTGTCAATATAAATATCTTCCCCTTTCCATCTATCTATTATCTTATCTTTAGCTCTCAGATTTCTTAATAGATGGCGAGAATTCAAATTCGTGTACATGCATACATGGCACGCATGAACTAAATTGATTTAAAAAAAAAATATTAATAAACATATATAAACGTACAAACAAACAAACAAACGATACATTAATTTTTGGCAACTGAAATTGACTCATGACTAAAGAAAAATGAATAATAAATAGAGCTTGTAATAACAAGACTAAATCAAAATATATATATATTTAAATAAGTAAATTTAAACACACATGTATAAGTATATATATATATATATATATATATATATATATATATATATTATATGTGTATTTCTCTTTTTGCTTCAAAAAACGAGTGCACGCCGAAAATATTCTTTTTTTTTAGTAGAAAAGGAAAAAAAGAGAAGAGAAAAAAATTTCAATCTAAATCCGTTCAACGAGTAACTTGACAAGAGCAATACCGGAAAGTTAATTACTTTATAGGAAAAAAGATTCCAAAGGGAGATTGAAAAAATCGTCCAAATCAATATCATTTTGCGACAGGTTTTCATCTCTCTCTTTGCTTTTTTCAAATTGATTAAGCTTTCAAAAAGAATCTATATATATATATATATATATATATATATATATATATATATATAGATATATATATACATATATACAAAATGAATGATGTGTATGTACGTATATATATTTATACATATTGCTAAATTTGTGCGATTTTTTTCTCCTATAATCAGTGTTCACTATCGCCCCTTTTAGCGCGTCTGGATGGGGAATTAGACGCAGAAACCGAAGGACTTTGGCTATCTTTCGCCTTCAATTTCTTTCTCCAAGATGGTGCCCTTTTCAGTTTCGCGTCTCCCTTCTGTTTGAAAAAAAATAAACAATAAAATTATTCATTTTCCGTAAAACAATAAAATAGAAAAAAAACTCAAAAATTAAATGAAATAAAAATATTAGAAATAAAAAATATACATAACTTTTCTTTTAAAAAAAAAATATATATTTAAAACTAGTTTGTCAATTCTAAGAGTTATTGAGATAGCATGTTAACAAGTGTATACAACGTCATTGCCTATGAAATCGTTAAAAATGTGTATACTTTCAAGTATAAAAAATAAACTACATAAACTGTAATACAACATGCATCTAAAACGAAGTCGTATATTTGCACAAACATTTCCGCCCAAGTGTCTACTATTGAACGAGCTACACATGGCTCCATCAATCATCCATAACCAAACGAAAGTCGAAATGACAAGAAGGCTTTATAAATACATTCTACTTGCAATCGTATCGGTTGTGTTTGTTATTATATGGAGGAATTCAAGTTCATCATCTCTACAAAGGGAGAGTAATAAATGGGCTTCACATAAACGTAAGAATAGCCATTTAAAAAAGGATTTTCAACCGAAAAGGACAAGCTACTATTATACTTGGCAATCTCAAAATGGTTTACCGTTTTCCATACGCTCCAATAGCGTTACTTTAAATTATTTGGGATTTCATAGTAAAATCTACATTAAAGAATCACAAGCGCAGTCAATACGACCAACAGTAATCTTAGGCGGAGTTATTAACAAGTTCATACAAATAAAGTCTACAATAGCGTCTATACAGAAGCAACTGCCTCTCAATAGGATAGTAGTTTACGACATATCTCTTACTCCTTATCAGAGGAATTCGGTAAGTCAGCCACCGTATCCTTATCGCATTCTTGTCTGAAATTGTACATATTTACGATACCTTTCTCTCTAAAGATTTGACTTTTTATACAAATAAAATATTTATTCTCTAGCTCAAGAACTTGTGCAATGTCGGAATTCGAGGTTTTCAAAAACGGTTTATCAATCCAAGGCGAGTTCGCTTTAAACACACTTGGAGGCCACTACTTTTACAAGTAAATAACAAATATACATAATACTATAGTCTTGTCTTTTTTTCTCTCCTCTACAATACAGGAGGGGATAGGGAAAAGTACAATTTAGGTCATATTTATATAATTTATAATGAAACCAACAGATGGCAGTGATTGAATTTGGCTCTATTCTCTGGCTGGAGCCGGGAGACGATCTACATATAACAGAAAATATATGGCAAACAACGATCGCTTCAGCCCACAAATCCGGTGGAATTCAAATATTCGGCTTCCAATCTCGTCGTCCACTGAATTTATTAACCCATCCACAAATGTTTCTCTACTTGCCAACAAACCCTACCCGGGCATCCGGCTACAGCTTTCATTACATTTCCGGTTTACTTCTCTATAATACTAAAATAGTTAGACAGCGTTTTCTCAAGTGGCTAGTACTTTGTAGTCTTGACGCAAACTGTATATCGCCTAAACGATCGACATCCACCTGTGGGACGACCAAGAGGCGAAAGATGGCGGCTATCTCGAATAAATTATGCCACAAATACGACTTATCGGCTATGAACATCGTTTTGAACAATTTATATAATTACGATTCGTCTCATTTTATCAATCCAACAAATAGAATAATTATACCTAATATTACACCAAACAGGCCCAAGTATTGTACTTCAAACAATAACTAACTAACGAACTATTGATCTACGTTAGCCACAGCAAACTCATGCTTTTAATTATTCATTTTGATGATAATAAAAAAGAAAATACAAATAATGTTATCTATTTATTATAATGTTCTTATTATCATTATTATTATTACTATTATTATTTATAAGGGAGGTAGATTCAGCAAAAGAAAGGAGGGAAGGAAGGGCAAGGAAATGAGAGGAGAAAGGAAATAGTATAAAATAGATAGATGAATAAGAAAAGAGTAGTTGTAATGATGATTAAGTGAAAGTCGGGGGAGGGATAGTAGATTATTATGAAAACAATAATAATAGTAATAGTAATAATGATAATAATAAAAAATAATTTAATAAACAAAGAATGAATTTTGTTTGTTTTCGAGAAAACAATTTTGTTTGTGTTGAGCTGTTAAGTAAAAAAAAAAACCCAAAAAAAAAAGCCATAGCCCTATCTAATTATTAGTTTGGATTAGTGCAAAAAAAAATTCGGCAACATATACAAACATATATACATAGATGTATGTTACTATAACAATATTCTAATAGATATAATATGATATATATATATGCATAATTTTATAATACAATATTTAATTAAAAAAAAAAAGGAAAAAAAAAGGTAAGAGGAACATGAGCGATAAAGAAAACTTCCTTACCATCTCGCTACGTGTTACTCTGAATAAATATCAAGAGAAAAAAATGCACGCTTTTTAGAAGTGATATTTAAATAAATAATATATAAATACTATATATATATATACAGTATATATATATATATGTATATATAAAATATATATATATATGTAAAAGTAATTATAGCATATACAAAGTTAAAAAAAGGATGCTAATAGTAGATGATACCTAAAAAAAAATTACGTAAAAAGGGAGAACAGTGAATGATAAAATATGAGAGAAGGAAAGGAAGGGACTATTTATCACTAAATACTCTATAATATTATATAAATAAAATATAGATGTTTTTATGTATACGTGTTGATGTTTGTTGCTTTCTTTTTTTAAAATAAATAGAAATAATAGATGTGATTTAGAAAAAAACAGGAAAACGTATGATGCAATAAATATATGTTTTTTTTTCTTTTTTGATAAAAAAATACCAATTTCAAAGCAATGTTAAAAAGAAAACAACCTTTTTGTCGTTAAATAATTGTAATTATTTGATAAAGAGTGACTGGTAGATTGGGAGAAAAGGAAGGGGGGAGGGAAAAAAACTGCATTCTTTAGGCTATTTTCTTGTCTAAGAATTATTTAGTGGATATAAAAAAAAATTGTTTTATGGCTAGTTGGAAAATATACGAGGGTGGAGGTAAAGGAAAAGGCTTAAAAAGCTTACCTCTTCAACACGTCGATCCGTTCCTATCGTGAGTAAATGGTTAAATTCTTTTTCAAGCGTCTGGCGTGCCTGGGAGACGAAAGTAAACGAGTTTAGGATAGAAATTATTGACATAGAAATTGGAAAAGAATCTATATGCAACTAACGTTTGAATCCTGAGTTGGTATTTGCATAGCCAAGGCTAATATGCTATGCGTGAAACTCTCATCTAGAGCAATAAGGGTGCCATGAACGCCGCTTTCTATGAGATTATTACAGTATTCTTTCAACCCTATAGAATTTAACCATTTTATAACTCGTTCATTCGTCCAAACGATTATATCATTCAGTTCGGAATTTTCTCGGCGAGCTTCCAATTCTTGTCTATTGTAGTTTAATCGCTTCAAGCAGGTTATACCGTATTGTAAGCTAGTTCTATGGAAGCTATCCACCATTTTCAATTGGCCACGTAACTCCTTCTTTGTTAAGTGCTCCAACATACGAGCGTCGACTAGACATTCCATAAAAGTCGTCCTATACTGAGGTAGGCCTAAGGAAGGAAGCCATTCGTTGCCTATCCATTCGTGGTTCATATCGCCAAAGGCTAATGACATCCTAGAAGTGGGTGGTGCTGACGGTGACGTCAGCGAAACCATTTCTTGAATTGCTAATCGTAATTTTAGTCTGTGCAATGGATTGCTAATACCGATTTCGCGTTGAATTTCTTGCTCAGACAAAGCGGACATAATCGCTCCGCTTTTGACGTTTGCCCTGCAAGCAGCAACGTACCACGCTGGCATGCCCACCCATAATTCTAACCATGCAACCACCGTTGGGCCATTCCACAGGGCAAATGGCGTACCAGCTTTCATGGCTTCCTCTAATAATTCATTCCTGTTTTAGAGAATAATAACAGAGGTCATAAGGTTTTACAAGTAAGGTTCTGGAATAAACAACAGCTTACTTCTTCTTTTTACGTCTATCAAACTCGGATTGTTTACCAAGAGTCATTCCCATGTTTTCTGTGCCAATTTCTACTTCAGCATACGGCGAGGCTGTTATAAAATAAAAACAAGTAATATTGTTGAAGAGCTCTTTTATCATCATGTTATAGTAATTATAATAAATTCACTATTAAAAAATAATAATTAAAAAAAGCTAAATGATTGAAGGTTAGGGTCAAGGGAGATAGGTAAAAAGAGTATTCAAATCTTTCCTCTCTTGTTTGTTTGTAAATTTCTAATTATTTAGGTAACAAATAGACGACATAGATTAGGACGACTTATATGTCTTACGAACTAGTATTAAGGAGTTCGTCGTCAATGTTCTGAAAATTCGCCGCCGAAGCGGAAGTTGTTGTACGTAGTGTATCCGTTAGGGGTCGCCTTATTGTCGCCGAAGCCGACGATACTATTCCGCTGTTAGTTTGTTCTGTTTATATGTAAATAAGCTGTTTTACAAACTGCTGGTAAATGAGGGATTATGAATTAACAATGACTGTTAGAATGGAACACATTTTTCATTGTCATTCTTCTTGCTTTGTTAAAAACTACTTACTACTTGGCGAGGAGGAATGATGGGCATGGAATTGGGCTGTTAATAGCTCCTTTCCCCGAACCTTATCCTTTTTAAACCAGCGGCTTAACGATCCTTTCAATCCCTTCTTCTTTGGTTGTTTATGCAAGGAATCTTGTGACGAATTGTTCGAACTTAGAGGGCTGGGTGTACTTTGTGAACTATCCATTGATGTTCTGCAAGAAAAATTGGAAAAGGAGGGAGGTGGAAATGATTAAAAATAAACAAAATTTGTAAAGTGGAAGGTAGGCGAGAGGGAATTCGCAACATACCTGATAAATGTTGGTTGAGCAATCACAGATCTTGTGCTCATAGTTGTTTGTGGCGCAGTGGAAACTGTTGTGCTGGCAGCCGTTCCAGCAGTTGTTCCAGCGGTTGTTCCGCCGGAAGAAGATGAAGAAACAGACGCATTCATTAATTGCTCGCCTGTTAGTATTCCATAGCTGGTATTTATGGTATGATCACTTCTGTCCAACCTCATAGAATGCGGTGTTGCTGGAGGACTACAATCTCCTTCTCTGGTTGACAAATCGTCACGGGATGCGCTTGCAGGCTGCTATAAATTTTTTTACCGCAATAATATTAATATGCTCTTTTATAATTATCAAAATAGGAGGTAAAAACTTACTAAAGGCTGTAAATCAGAACTATTTGACAAGGCAATTTGCGGACTAGACGAATAAGCATACATATGATGACTTAACGAACCAGCCGGTGCTGTGTTATACTTATGCATGAAATCTCTTGGAACGGTCGGGTAATGTGGAGAGGGCGTTGATCGCCCAGATAAAGGCGGTGAGACACGCTCCAAAGAGGAACGTTCAGGAGGAGGCCTCCATCTGTATGACCTTACTGAAGCTACGTCCAAATTACCACTACCTACTCGACTTTCTAACTCTTCCGCTCTTTGTTCTGTGGATTCTTTTTCCTCCTGGATTAATCGAATTTCATTGTTAATAGCATCCAATTGATCTTGAAGCATAAGTGCTAGTGTTTGAGCATCAGCATGACCAGTTGGAGAGAGAACATCTACAGGTCCAAACATAGATTCATCATCTGTTACGGCTTCCGTATCGCTCGCGTCGAAAGCATGATGCACATTTGCCAAAACTTGAGCTTGCTGTAGTTTATCCCATTCTTGCTCATTTAAAGTGTGAACTTTATTAGGATCATCAATCAGCCCCTGTCTTCCACGTTGATTCCTTCTATATACTTCCGGATCCACTGGTGCCGTATTACTAATTAAGAAAATTGATTAGAGAATGGTTAATTAAAGGGCTGCAAATGGCTTCTCCTACTTTAGTCTATCGATTTGGGCTTGTAGCTCGATAACGTCGCGCTTGTACCTATCAACTTCGGATTGGCAATGATCCCGCTCCATTTTCATATCTTCGCCGCTTTTCCTCAATTGCTCTAATTCATTTTTCAGCTTATTTTTATCCTCCAGTGCCTATTTATAACAGCATAGTTATTAATATTTTTTCTGAAAGAATTTTTTTTAAGGAGAAATCCTTAATTACTTACCTGCATCCGTTCTTTGAGATGAAGTTGTAATCTTTCATTAGATTCGGATAAGAGCTTGTCGACAGTAGCTGATAAACGAGCATTATGCTCTTCGTTCATCTTCTCTCTCTGTTTAGCCTGCATGAAAGTAAGCAAATTATCAAGTGTACTATTCATTACAAAGGGTTATAAATTGATAATATGGGGTTTGAAAGTATATAAGTAAAAAAGAATTAAAACCAACATAATCCCCCTCAACCTATCTATAAATATTATAAAAATACATTTAAGAACTTTTCCCGTTTTTATCCTTTAAGGTGTGCGTGGAAATAGTAATAAAAAGATTAAAGAGTGTTAAAATTTTTTACGTTAATCCTGTTTGCTGTAAAAACGAGCCGACTCGATCAAGTGCACATCGGTGCGTAATTAGAGGAAATGAAAAAAAAATCAATTAAATCAAATGAAAATGTACCCTTTGTAATTCCTGACTTCTCTCTTCCAGTTGATTTTCAAAATTCTTAATCCTCTCTTCATTCGTCCCAAACCGTTCTTCAGCCTGATTATTTAAAAAAAAAATAACAATAATTCATTTTGATAATTACTGATAATTATTGAATTTAGATAGATATCTTACTTGGGATAGGGCTTCGGCTCTTTGAGCTAATTCCGCTTCAACGGACGGTAAAGTTTCAGAATTGCGTTGCAGTTTCTGCTCGACAGTATCCAATTTCTCTTGAAGATTACGTAATTTGTCTTCAGTCTAAGGAAAATCGATGCGTTAAAAGGAAATATCGAATATATATAAAGATATTTACATATTATACACCTATATTAGGAATAATATATCTATTTAGATTTTCTCTTATGGCACCACTTTAAACATTAAAGTATTAGTTTTAAACAAGCTAACCGTTTTTAACTGTGCTTCTTTCATAGCCAATTCTGCTTTCATTTTATCGTTGGCGTCGTGTACTGAGGTAGATTCACGTTGGGCATTCAAATATCTCTTTTCCAAAGTTGCAATTCTCTCTTCCTGATCTTCACGTTGAGCTAAAGACTATATATAGTGGAAGAGATTTTAAAAACACTCCTTAAGGGTAAACTAATCAAATGCAAACCTCTCGCAAATCTCGTTGCAATTTCGAATTTTGATCATGTCCTTTCGCAACTTCTTTTTGAGAATTACTTAATTGCTCTTCAATTTCATTCAATTTATTGGTTAATTCAATTATTTTAACTTTAGCTAAGCGACTATCGTTTTTATCATTTTCTTTATTGTCTCCATCTTCTAGACAGCCGTTCAACGTATGCTATAAAAAACAAGAAGATAAAATAGAAAAGAAATAAAAAATAAGACGAATTGGAAATTTGCGGATAAAATTGTCTTTTCTCTCTAAATGAATCGCATTAGGCCAAGTAATAAGTAAGAATCGCGAAAAAATCGTCTACTCTATTCGCAGAATTTGTCATTAATAAAAGCCCTAACAGACAGTTGAATGAGAAAGAGAACGGACGTTTCCTCTAATTTACCTTATTAGACTCTTTGTCTTTCGTGTGGGAAATATCATTGGAAGTGTTCGAGGAATCTTCTATAGTGGAATGCCGATGTTTGGCTTCTTGTTCCCGTAAGTGAAATAATTCGTTATTGGCATTTCCTAATTCTTCTTCAAGTTGTTGAATTCTTTCCAACGACATCTTTAACCTTTCCCGAACCTTTTAAAAAGTAAGATGAGAATGTATATATAGAAAACATTACTTTTAAAATGAAAACCATTATGAAATGTAATAAGTAAAAAAAAAAACATAGAATGTAAAGGAAAGAAAAAGAAGTAAAACTGGATATCTAAATAGCAAAGTTGCAATTCGAACTCGATATTTTTTTTTCACTCAACAAAAGTACAATTTGATATTCGATTGCTAATACAAAAGCAATTAAGGAAAAAAATTGTGTGAATATATTAAATGTTCGGTTTGTCAACATTACAGGTTTTTTTTTAACGCTTGGTTCGAAAATAGTATCTCAGTTTTATTGTTGTTTTTTTTTCTTTTTTAGTTACCTTTTCATCGAGGGCTTTATGATGTTCGAAAAGCGATTTAAGAGCTTTTAGAACTTCCACTTCGCTAGAAACACCAGCCGGGGAAGATGCTTGTCGTTTAACGACGGTCATTCTCAAAGATCTCTCATGACGGGCTACAAGACATTCCAAATGTTCGAGGAGTAGCTGGAAATTTAAAAACAAGTATAACTTTTTTTCAAGTGGATAAGTATAAATAGTCATTTAATCTTTTACTATTCCCTCTTCTCATAAAACCTTTCCCGCCTCTTTCCAATTAATTCGCTCAACATATTAATGAAAGGAAAAATTGATAACAACGGATTATTTACTGTATCTTAACAGATAATCTTTCAATTAAAAGAATCTAATTCAATTTATCAGCGCTTTCTAGGCATATATATAATAACAAAAACTTGTCTAAGGACATATAAAAAGCCTACTATTTCTTGAATATATATACTTATAAATAGATCAAGATAAACTATAAAGCAACTCATTCTTTCAGTTTATGGGGGCGGTTACAGATAAGAATCAGCTTTTTAACGTATTACATAGAAATTTGATATCGAATAGATGGTAAAAGTGTTAGGGAAAGAGAAAAAAATTTCAGTACTATTCCGTGTTTGATTGATTGCAATACATATTGCGGCAAGAAATCGGTACCACGTGTATACTAAAAAGACGTAGTTAGAAAAAAAGATTCAGTAAAGGGGCATAGGAAAAGCGACTAATAGTTCTTTTTATCAAATATTCGAAACATCTGCCAGCGTAAAGCGCAATCTTGTAACCGGGATTAATATGTAGCAGCTTTCGAACGTGCACTAACTTTCTTGGGTATAACAACTTCTACACGTATTTTGCCAGTTTAGGATAATAGGAAAAGAAGTGGGGGGGGGGGGGAATCGATGGGTGGCAGCAGAAAGGGTGGGTAGAAAGACAGATGTAAGAATTGGCGATTAAAAGGGGGAAGAGGAAGGGCAAGGAGGCAAAAGCTTGGAATGAAGTTTGAAGTTAAGTTTTAATTAAAATAACCCTAAAAAATAGATAAAAGAGATATTTTTTGTTGCTATTTTGGAGGTTATTATTCAATAAATGTGATCGCTTAGCTCCGTTGTCATCGGTTCATCGCACAAACTCAACGAGCAGTCGGCTAGAGTCAAGCGCCGGGAAAATTCGGCGGTCGAAAAGTATTAACGCGATCGTGCGACAGAAAACAGACTTTATCACGAAGAAAAAACATACATATACATCATTAATTGTAGTATATATAAAAAAAGGGAGCTCCTTTTTTTTCTAACCCTTAAAGGCGCTAGCAATCGCTTACACCTGCCACCCTGCTTCCCATTTCTCTTCAACGCCCTTTCGATTATATTTGCAAATTTCCTCGCCGTATTACACATACGCTTCGGCAGAGAGTATGGAAAACATCAAAAGCAATTAGCTTCTTTTGGTTACATCGAAAATTCTACTTTTTCCCTCTTTCTTATCTTTTTCTTTTTTAAATGTCAAACGAACAAGAATAAAAAAGTGGCGAGAGAGAGGGAGAGAGAACGAGCAGACCAGACTTTTGAGAGAAGAAAGAGAAGTATAAAAAGTATAAGTCAACTTACCCGTGTATTATTTCTTTCGGCTTTTAATTCACTGACTTCCTCTTCCTTTTCAATTAATTTTTCTTTGGTGACGCTTAAATCTTTAGTTAAGTTGGAGAGTTCCTGTTGAAAATAGGAAAAAAAACTATTAATATATAAAATGGAAATTAATAGTAATAGTTATGATAATATAAATAACAATAGTAATAGTCGTAAAAGGGAGAATATAAGTTGAATTATTTATAGACGAAGCATTATGACAAATAAGTAAATTACTACAGATTCTCGCCGGATGTTAGCGGACAGTAAATTCTTTGCAATTCAACGATTTCGCTGGCAGCTATAAGAATAGTATATACAAAGTTTGGCGAAGTTGTATTATCGGTAAGAACTGAATGACTTTTACCGGTCTATATAATAAGCAAGAATTAATTTGAATGTATCCAACATTGGTAACCAACAGCATTCTTCATTCATTAACGCTCGGTCTAAACAATGGTGACATAAATTGTGCATAGAGCTGCTTGGACGATGGTTGAAAATAATAGATCGATTGCCGCATCAACACCATCGACACGAAAGGCAGGCGATAGCTTTCTCTTATCCATCAATTGGATATTGGATAGACTAGACGACTAATTTAGCTAACTCGCCGAAATTAGTCAAACGACTATTAGAATTCAGGCGACATAGATAAATTAACCACTAAATGGAAGACATTTCAAATATCGTTTAAGGAATGTTAGGATAAAAAATACCAATAATTACACAATAATAAAAAATAATTAATACCTGAGGAGCGTTACATTGTATTTGCTTTTGTAGTAGGTCGCGCTCACGTTCGAGTTCCTGTAATTTAGCTTTACTGATCATTAATTCCTCCTGAGTCTCCCTCAGCGTCTCCATAAGTTTATCGCGTTCATCGAGCATGTTGACCATCAGTTGTTCGAAATTGGCGTCATCGCCCGAATATTGCGAGTCCCTATCGTTTGGCCCATCTTCTGAGATGGTTGGCATCACATCACACATCATTTTGCTAGTTTAACGTTTAACAATCTTTAATCCAAATCTAATAACAGCGCATGTAATCCGGTTAGCCGGTCGGCTCTGTCTTGCAGTAATCAAGAACTGCATAGAAATATTCGCTAGATTCTTTTACAAGCTCCCACCAGAGCCATACCAATAAACGGTTATACTTTCTACATCCTTCATATGTCCGTTAGTTAAATTTTCCTTTATATATGATCGAATAATTTAGTTGAAATATCCGTTAAATTAATAAATCTTACTATTCCTACGTTCATCGCATCTCGATGGAAGCCATGTTGAGAGCCATTTTGTTTAAACGAATCCTATCCCACAATGCATCAGTATAAACATTCCATTATTTTACGAGTGAAATATCTCTTAATATTTTTTTTCTTATTTATACAAATATGTAAAACAAAAATCAACGAAAGTGAAAGGTATTTTTCAAAGTGGGCGGAAAAATCACTCAATTTGAAATTGCGAAAAATGTCCGATAGATGTCGTATACAGACGATTGGTTAACCCTAGTGTGCTTGAAGAACGAACCTTTAATAAAGAGAACGTTCATCTGCACAAGCTATTTAACCTCAGTTGACTATTTATTTTTTTGTTAGCCGTCCAGATGCCGTATTTTGTAAAAATAGCAACAAAAAAATAAATTTATTTTCAGCGTATTTGATGGCGAGATCAAAATTTTTGGCAAACATTTATCAAAATTTATATCAGTTTGCTAAATAGGTTCTCTTATCAAAGGTGTCCAGAAGACGGTAAAGTCGTATCGTAAAATTCGTAGGCGTAAAAAAGGTTTTACAAATAAAAAAAGAAAAAAGAAAAAAAAAAGAAACGAGGGAAAAAAAGAGAAATGAAGAGGAAAGAGAATGATGTAGTGAGGTAGAATAGCGGAAGGGTTAAACTAAAAAGAGAAAAAAAAACGAGGAAGGAGAAAAATGCACAAGGCGCCCTTTAAAGCCCTGGAAACGGCGTTGAAAAACTATTCGGGGGCCACGAAAATAGAAGCGTTTTTATCCGGGACATTGGCACAGCACTAGACTGATGAATATCGATTTGGGGCAGCGTTTCTCTCTGCCTGTATAGTTAAGTAGAGGATAGCAGCCGCAAAAGCAACAGCAGCAGCAGGCGGCGTAGTCGTCGTTGTCGTCGAAAATCTAGACGAGATGCTAGCATCGTATAAGAGCAACGAGATTACGTAGTATAGCGTATCGTCGTAATTATAGTACATGTAAAGCGTACTATAATGAATATACTATACGATTAAGTGAAATTCCTTTTTCCATCTTCATTCAATCATATCAATATATTATGATATATTTCACACCCATTTTGCATTATCTATTTTGCATATTGTATATTTTATACATATATGTCGTATTCTGTATTTATATATATATATTCTATATGTATTTATACATTTAACAGTATATTAGCTTCTAATCTATTCTATATGACGTTTTCCTTCAATTTATGTATATGATAATGTATACATAGATACATTAATTCATTTATGTAGCTTTTTTATCTTGAAAATATACAGTTTACTTGTATAAGTAACGCATGCACGTATATATTTATATACACTAATATATAAACAGTATATATATACAGTATTGTCTGCCTATTCTCCAGATGAATATAAGTATATATATATATAAATTTATATGTACATGCGGCGTTCTATACGACATTTATACGAAAAAAAAGCAGCTGACGCCGGGTGCAAGTGGCGCGCAATTTTTTGTCGCCGATTGATTTATCAATTAATATTATGGTTATTAGCATTAGCTTTAAGTTGCATAAATTAGCCGTATTTATTTATTAATATTAATTTTAGATATTAATATATATATATATATATAATTTTTATAAAACTAGTCAACACTCTTTTATGCTAGAAACTGGTTAAGTTATTGTGCCGTTATTATATTATTAATATCGTATTATTGATCCAATGACGGTCGTTTGGCCCACCCTGTCAGCCCTGTCCGAACTTGCATCGTCCTGAGTCTACGTAGACGAACATATTCAGCCGCGTATATTCGACATTGTGTAATGACGTTATTAATACGCTCAGCATCCCTACATCATCGATTGAGGCCGCCACTGACGTTCTCTGCTTCAGATGACGCCCGACAGTGGTGCAGTGGCGCCATGTCCGTATGATAAGCGCCGCCGTTCTACCGAGCATGACGAGGACGAGGACGACAAGGAGAACTGGCAAGAAGAGGCAATTGAAAGCTGCAAAAGATTAGTAGCTGAACATTCCTTCCTCATCCTCCTCCATATCTCTAGTGTTATTTATACTACTGTTAACGTTCCCTCTTCTTCCCCCACCTACTGGAATAAACGAGGTGGAGTGGGAGAATGTCTCAAAAATTTCATAATTTATTGGACTTTTTCCATATCGAGCGAAAACCAAGCGGAGGGGGATGTAGTCATGTGTAAGTATCTACTGATTTCTTTTATAAAACAAACAAAAATTGAAAAAATCTTTTCCTCTCGAAAATCTGACGATTAGTTTCAGTTGAATTTTTTGTATGCCTATTTCGCTGTAAGGTTTCGTTAAAAACGTTTTTTCGACGCTAAAAGCTGTAGGAAAAGTGTATTTAGAATAGAGGATGGCGACGACGACAATTTGCTGCAGTATCCATCTGCCGGGCTAATAAAACTCTCCCCCTTTCGCCCCTTCCCGTTCTCTCTCTGTCTCTCTGTCTCTCTGACTGTCTGTCTATCTGTCTCTCTCTCTCTCTCTATTTCTCTCTTTCGTTCGCTCTTTTACTGTCTGTCTGTGTGTCTGTCTTTCTTTCTTCCCAACACACCACCTCTCACTCTCACTCTCTCTCTTGCTCTTTCTTGCTCTTTCTTGCTCTTTAGTTATATCTTTTTACTGCTTTCTATACGTTTTTTAGTTTTTTCATTTTTTTTCAGGGAGTTTTCTCAGTTTATCCCTATAAATTCTCTATCGTATTTTTAAAGTTAAAGTTTTCCTTCTCCCTCTTTGTTCTCTCCGACAATATATTTCTCTGAAGTGTATGTGTACGTTGTGTATACAAAGCTTTTCTTGTAAGTTATACGTATGACGTATATCAGCATTCACTAGTAAGAAAAAAAAGAGAGGCCAACCGAATGAGTAAATGAGAGCAAGAGTGCGAGAGTGAGAGAGAGTAAACGAGAGCGAATGAGATAGAGAAATCCGCCAGGCACACTGGGCCGCTAATTTTAGAAGGCTATATAGCTACAGTGATTTTGGTGGTTTGTAGTTGGCCTGGCGCATGCATGGATAGCGAATGGGGTGGCGAAGCGGGGCCGTAACCGGCCCTTCGTCGGCCCCTCCTCCTTCATCCGCTAGAAGATCGAACTTAGAGTCTCTACTAACACCTCGCCGCCCCGCTAGACGCCTGGGCTCTTCACCGTCCGCCGCCTCTTCCCTAGTCAGCGCCGGTAGCGCCTTATTGGCGGCTACTTGCCACCGTCAATTAGTACAAGATGCAAAAGAAGAAGAAGCGTCGTCGTCGTCATGTCCAAAGGGGTAAAACACATAGATAAATAAAATACATGCTTTAATATCCAGTATATACATACAATATATACAGCGCATATAATATATATATATATATATATATATATATATGTGTGTGTATATATATACTGCATAAGAGTGAGTGAGCGTGAGTGTATGCATATCTATATATACATACGAGCCTATACGCCAAAAAACTAATATATAATCCAATGGTAATTTTATATAAATGTATCTACCGTGTTATATAATATATATATAGATATATTTATATATATTTATATATACTTATATATATATATATATACACTGGTAAATATATAGTATATTGCGCATGTAAATGCAGTATATGTTACTAAGAATACTCGATGGACGAGTATAGGTGTACTTTATGGAAAGATATTATAAACTGTATTATGTATATATGTATATATATAAACTGTATATACAAGTATATACTTATTTCAAATCATGTTTAGAATTATATGTACTATATATATATACTGTGTATATAGGCCGCAGCGATCAATTAAATTATGCAGGGGTGCGTTGTAAATAATTAATCGTTTGTTCATAGTCTTTCTCGGCCGTAGTCAGTGTCGTTTGACGTTGCCGTTCGGAACTAAATATAGGATCATCGGGTGGAATACGACGCTGTAGCCCTTTTCGTTTGTCTTTTCCCCTTCGATTTTTCCCCTTCCCTACCCTCGCTTTGTTGGATAAGAGGGCGCCGAACGCCGGCGCGATTATGGCATTCGTACCGGCTTTACTCGATACGAACTTGTAAGTGTTTGTTACGATTCATTGATCGGCCCGCCAATAGAATAAACGTAAAAGGCGCGCTGGAGACGTGTATAGTTAGTCGATCTTTCTCTCTCTCTCTCTCTCTCTCTCTTTCACCCTGTTTCTTTCTCCCTCTCTCCCCTTTTCTCACTCACTTACTAACTCAGGCAGTCAGTCATTTACTTACTCACTCATTCACTCACTCTCATTGCTCATTTTCTACCTGATCCTCAACCTTTTTCTTTTATTTTGTATCTTAGTTTTTTTCTTCCTCTCACTACCATCTCTCTCTCTCTCTCTCTATCTCTCTACCCTGCACTGTGTATTAACGTAGAGGCGCATTTATACTTGAAGCTGAGCTTTTCGCTCTTTATTTTTTTTTTCGCGCTCGTTAATCTCTGAGCGCCGACGCCGCCTGATTCCTTTTGCCTCCGGAATAATACATTGCACGTATATAGAAAAATTGCGTGCGTGATCGCCTTTCTGTTTTCTTTTTTTTACCCAATTTTTAACATAACCCTTCGCTTCATCTCTAATTGAGAAAAAAATTTAATTTGATATTTTTTCATTAAATTGAAAATTAGAACGTTTATATATATATATAAATTTATATATATATGCAACTCGTATACGGCTCGAACAATGTTGAAAAAATCAATGGATCATTCGAGCTATTCACTTGCAAGACAATCGATAATAATGATATATATGTGCATATGTTCTAACACGGTTTATTTTAATGGTGGCGAAAAAGTTTAGTAATAAAATATATATCATTTGCTTGAAAAATACACAGCAAAAGAAAAAAATCAAATGCCAAATAGAGAAAGATATAGAGATAGTAATAGGGGAGAGAGGGATGGATAGAGTGAAAAAAGAAGGAAAGAGAAACAAAAAATAATGGTTGAAATGAGAGAAATGAGTGAGAGTGTATATATGTGTGTGAGTGTATGTAAGAGAGATAGAGAGAAAAAGGTTCAGTTACTAGGTACCTTAGAGAGCGAAACTACTTTCAACTTATGCAAGAAAACATGAACATTTATATAAATATAGCTTAGATGCGCTAAAAGATGCAAAAGTGTTTATGTTCTAAAAAATCCATACACCTCTGTGTAAAGTCCATGGAGAAAGATAAATTTTGCGCAATATACTATATATAATGTAACAATAATAATAATAATAATAATAATGCAAATCTTTTATGTCATTTATATATATATATATATATATATATATAAAATTTATATATGTGAGTAATCAGACTTTTAATTCACTCGGACTGTACGAAGTATATAAGCATGTTATTAACATTATTATTTTTATCACTATTAGGGTTTTTGTATTGTATAATCACTAAAAAAACATATTTAGCAGACGTTGCATTCACATGCAACATTTACAAACGTACATAAATAAACACATGCATAAATGTGTTTATATATTGCAGTTCTGACAAACTAGGTATAGATTCAGCATAAGCTGAAATGTACAAGCGTAAATGTATAGTATACACTTAGATTACATTAATACATTATGCATGAGAGGTCTCTAGGATGCAAATTTTTTGGGATGCTAGTGTTTAAAAAGGCTGAGAAACAAAATTTGCAGTTGCGATTGCCCTGCTATCGAGCGGCGGTTATTTTGCAGTTGTCGGCCATATTTGAATGGCGGGTTGTGAAAATGTATTGCGGTTCGTGATTGGCCGGTTCCGACGGTCGACGATGCGGAAAAACGACGTAATTAACGTCGTCAAACGACGAGATGAATCGTCGGTCGGCTAGAAGACGTTTTAAAAAGATATCAGGCTTTGATGACGTTATCATCTGCCTTCCCAAACAGGTCGTTCCCCAACAAGCTGGCGCCCGACGACGAGCATATCGCTTCGGCGGCAGCCGATGGCGGATGTACGGACGCGCTCGGCATGGGAAGTGAGTTCGAATCGGCCGAACGCGTAGTGATTAACGTCAGCGGCCTAAGATTCGAAACGCAACTGAAGACGCTCAACCAATTCCCGGATACGCTCCTCGGCGATCCGCATAAACGTAACCGTTACTATGACCCGTTACGGAACGAATACTTCTTCGACCGGAATCGGCCTTCTTTCGACGCTATACTCTACTATTATCAATCTGGGGGACGCCTCCGGCGGCCAGTTAATGTACCCCTAGATGTTTTCTCCGAAGAGATCAAGTTCTACGAATTAGGTGAAGAGGCGATTGAAAAATACAGGGAAGACGAGGGTTTTACAAAGGAAGAGGAAAAGGTTTTACCCACGAATGAATTCCAGAAGAAAGTCTGGTTATTATTTGAATACCCAGAAAGTTCTATGGCCGCCCGTTTAATAGCCATCTTCTCCGTTACCGTCATCCTGCTATCGATCGTCATTTTCTGCCTAGAGACGCTACCGCAATTCAAACAATATCAATCAACTAACACTTCGGAACTTAGTGATGTGACAACGGTCAAAATCGAACCGGAAGATATACCGAAATTCACAGACGCCTTCTTTATTATCGAAACGACTTGCATTGTATGGTTTACATCCGAATTGCTAGTCAGGTTCGCCTCCTGTCCCGAAAAGTTCGGATTCTTTAAAAATATCATGAATCTGATCGATATTGTGGCGATCATTCCTTATTTTATAACGTTAGGTACGGTAATAGCCGACTCGAATCAACAGCAGAACAATCAAGCCATGTCTCTGGCTATACTCAGAGTGATTAGATTAGTTAGGGTGTTTCGAATATTCAAATTATCACGACATTCTAAAGGATTACAAATTCTAGGGCAGACCTTAAAAGCCTCAATGAGGGAATTAGGACTACTTATCTTCTTCTTATTTATAGGAGTAATTCTCTTCTCCTCAGCCGTCTACTTCGCCGAAGCCGATGAGAAAAAGTCACATTTCAAGAGTATACCAGACGCCTTTTGGTGGGCTGTCGTAACGATGACGACGGTCGGCTATGGCGATATGAGACCCGTCTCCGTCTGGGGTAAATTGGTCGGCTCCCTGTGCGCCATTACAGGCGTATTGACCATAGCCCTACCAGTGCCTGTCATCGTCTCCAACTTTAACTATTTCTATCACCGTGAAACGGACAATGAGGACAAACAGAACTATGTGCACGTTCAAAGTTGCCCTAACTTTCCGAGATCTGTTAAAAAGGATTCGAATGCTGGCTCTGAATCTTGCTCGGAAATTATGGAGATGGAAGAAGGTGTCGTTATTGTAGGTGGAAAGCAGAATCACGCCAATTCAGCTAGCGTTGAAACGGACGTTTAAAAAAAACAAACAAACAAAGTGACAAACTTTAATATATTTATATATATATGTTTTTATATATACATATATATATATCTATTTTAACATATATATAAATATATATATATATATATATATATATATATATATATATATGTATATGGATATATATATATTCATCGGATATGTATATATCTATATATGTATATATCCTAATACGGAAAATATAAATCTACGGAAAGCGAAGGAAAGGAGAGAAAAAAAAGTAAAAACAAACTTAAATATAATAAATAAATTGATATAGACAAGCACCGCCTCCCGAGCCGTCGCTCTTGCCATCGTCCTTTTTAATCAAACTGCAGGTACGTATACGTTTTAATATATGTACAGACTTATCTGTCTCGTTTTGGTTCTATTTTTTTTTTCTTTCATTGTTTGTTTGTTTGAAAATTCGTCCGTTTGATTGTTCTTGTTTGTTTTACTTTAAGAAAACATACTTCTTTTAATTTCTATTCAAATATTTTAATATTACTTTCAATATACTTAGATACATATTTACTTATACATATATATATATATATATATATATATATATATATAAATATATACATATATATATATTCTTTATTTATACACATATACATGTACTTCCTTCATTATACTAGTTAATTGAGTCTTTAAGTGTTTACATTTTCTATATGTATCTATACATAAACTCTCGAATCTTAAATATATATGATAAAACCAATATAAGATACATATAAAGCCATATATTTGTGCAATATTTAAATAACATACATATTAAGTATATATGATATATATTTTTCCTTATTTATATGATACTTTGATATAAAAAAGGAAAAATATTATCTACATATGTTGATATAAACACGTTAATATGTATATATTTGCATATGTACAGTACAACTGAACTATATTTATTTAAATATATATCTATATAGATAAGTAATGCTGCTGCTGGTTTACAACAAAAATATTCAAAAAATATCCAAAACCATAAAATGGAATGATGCAGAGTCAGCAGTATCCTGACACGCCCTACAAGACAACAGTGATGAATAGGATTGGTGCTATGGCTATGGTGCAACGGACTTAAACTAATAAGCTACGTCTCTTCTCATTCGCCTCTATTTTTAGAATTCAACGCCCATCCATATAATTCTCTCTATAAAATTTGCGTGTAAATACAACAAGGAGGCAAAGAAAACAAACAGACTGTTGACTCTGCTTTTCTATAGAGACACAATCGTTACTTTTGCCCGGGCGTCGATTTGTAGGTGAAAGGAGAAGTAAGAGAACGTGTTTGTAATCGTATTAGAGGAGTGTGTTGGTATATATTCTACCAAAAAGATGGAGTAACAGAAAAAACACAGGGACAGAAAGAAAGAAAAGCATTTCAGAGAGTGAGAAAACACAAAGGAATAATTCGTATTCCATAGTCGTTACCCGTTTCATTGCCATAACTATTGTTATTATAAAAGTGTACATACTCATGTTTTTATCCTAAGTCTTTATCTAGTCCATTTTCCTTATTAATCATATCTTTTTTGTAAAATTAAATCTGGTCCTCTGCCTCTCCGCCTCTCCCTTTTTCATTTATTTTTTTTTTTGTTGCCTTTCTATTTGCCAAAAGAATAGGAAAAAAAAATAGCAAAGAGAATGACAATCAGTAGTTGAACTATTTATTACTTGTTTTGTTTATTTTAAATTGCAACAAAAGTGAGAGAGAAATTACTATTTAATAGATAAAAAAAACAATGAAAATATTCACTGTACAGAAAATTTAGACCGGTTATATCGAGGCAAAAATATAGGACACAACCTATAAATTTCGCTTTTCAGACAGACCAAGGTTATTAAAGCGTTACATTAACAAATTTTTTACTTAAATAGACAAAAAGGGTTGATAAATGGCATTGTACTGCATTTAAACGTAAATACTGCCCTTTTTCATTTGATAAATCCATGTATAAGAATGTAAGGGCAATGGCTATATTTAGTGTGTTAGACTTTTTTGCCAATCACCCTGTTCCGTATTCATGGACATTTATCGATTGATTGTTCGTCCTGCATCATTACCATATATATAGAAGAGTTTCGCCTCTTATATTTCGCCCCCTTCTCCTTCCTCTCGTCTTGATTACGCAAGCGGAGAAGTTGATTTCAAGTCAATCAATATCCATTCTGAGTATTAGCGATGAGAAATTAGATTGATTTTATATTTTTTTAGACGCCTATTTAACGACCGATTTTCCCTTTTTTTTTTCTACCGACAAAATTTTACTCGTCTACGTATATACTTCCTTTTTGAGCGTCTCTCCTCAAAAACTCATATTCTATTGCTTCTCTTTCTTTCTTTCTTTCATTTTGTGTATTTTTATTTGTTTAGTTCATTCTCCTCTTGTTCTCCTTTATATGCCTTTGATATACAAAAAAAAGGGTATTCTACATAAATACTTCAAAATTGTATACGCCAACAGCAGCATTATTTCCAAAAATTGCACATATTTTTCATTTATCAAAAGATTACCAAAGAAAATTTGCAGTTGCTCATCGTTCTTTTTTAGAGATCGTTTATTTAAAAATTTTTTTTTTGTCTACTTATACATTAAATCATTAAGATATCTTTTTTTCTTTCCCGTTTATTCATTAGGAAAATATTTTCTTTCTATTATTTCTTCCAACCTTTTGTTAATTTTTTCATCTCTTTTCTTCACTTCCTCTTTCTACCTCTCTTTTCTTTGTGAAGAAAAAACGATAAGAAGACAAACAAAAAATTGTCCATGTGTGTGTGTGTGTGTGTGTTTGTATGTTTGTAAGTTTGTGTCTTTATGTATCTATGCGCACGAGCATGCATACATCCATGTATATATACAATATATATTTGTGTATGTGTGCGTGTGCGAATGAGTTAGAAAATCAGAAAATGAGTGAAAGAAAGAAAAGAACAATAATAAATAAGGATCTTCCTTTTTTTTTTTGTGAGTTTTATTTTCTTTTTCCTTCCGTTCGTTTTCTTTTTTGCAGCTTGCCAGGTAGCGTTCTGTGATTTAATGGATATGGCGCTCGATGGCAAGAGTGGTGTTTTTCTTAAATAATCATTTTTTTTTTGAAAAAAAAAGGATATTATCAAAAAAAAAAAAAAATATTATACGCTCCGACTATATATTCCGTAATGTTAAGGAAAAATTATATGCCTGCATTTTGTTGTCATGTAGAAATTGTTGGTGCTCTCCACCATCATTATTATATAAAGATGATTATGAATATACGTGCAGCTTTTAAGTTTATATATTAATATGCAAAACGTTCTTTTACATGTGCATATAGCTATACTGTTAATTATCACGAAGCCAATTGAAAACGAAACAGAAATAGATTATAATTAGTACTTGATAAATTATTTAAATTTTTTTCACGCCATCTTAACGGTTTAAAACACGAACATAATCTTGTTGAACATTTCCCCTTTTTCCTTTTCTTTATATTCGTAAGTATATTAAGTGTGTACAGAGTATAAATGTATCTATATCTATATCTTTTACTTCTTTCCTAGTATTTGCTTTCGCATCGTTTTCTTTTCAGTATTTACTTTTCCGCCAATTCGAAAAGCTGTTTAAAAAGTAAATAGCAGCAATATGCCATAAAAATTCAAGTCATGATGTCGCATACGGCGAAACAACGTGTTTGCAATAAGATTTTATCCGGTCAGGATCTCTGAGAAAAGCTTAACCATTTTCCAACAATTTCTAAACAACGTCTGATCAATAGGCTTCAGATAGGAATAAAAGGAGAAAAGGGAGAGAAAAATATCCATTCGTTACATTCTCTATCGTTTTTCTCTTCCTTTTTTTTTACTTGACTTATTTATTACGCCTATGCCGTTTTAACGTACGGCCTGGGGAACGTTCTATCTCGTTAAAAAAATACGAGAAAGAAACCAAAGGAATACACAGAGAGAGAGAGAGAGAGAGAGGGAGGGGAGGGGAAAAAAAGATAGAGAGAGTAACGGTAAGAGTAGGAGTAAGAAAACTATATTAGGCCTATTCGCTAAAATAAACCGTCCACAAAAGCCTAACCATCCCAAACCACCTCTTTCCACCTTGTTTAAAATCTCACTCAAATCCCCCAACCTTACCCTCTCACCCCATCTCGCTTTCCTATCGCTACCCTTCTTCATTCTCCTATCTATATTACATGCGAGACAAATAAAGGTTAGGAGGCGTCGGTTTCTTGAAGCTGGTGAAAACGTGCGCACTCGTTTTCTTAGATGTTCCCCAGAAACGCGGATCATTTAAAAGACGCCAGGGGCTAGATGGATTTAGGCCTATCCAGTTAGAGAATAGAAATGTTAAGTGTATATACCGAAGATGGCGCTAGTGATCAAAAGAATTTTTCGCCTCGAAGGACCACCATGAGCATCACAAAAAGACGAGAAGCCAACAACAACAAAAATGAAAGATTAACAACATTAAAAGCTTATGACGTAATGAAAAAAAAACGCAAAAAAAATATTGAGAGATGTACGAGTCTCCTCTCATTCCAGTTATTAATATTAATTTATTAATAATCATAAATTTTAATAACGTATAGAAAATCCACATATATAATCATAATCCGTTGATAACCCCGCTTGTGTACTAATACAAGCGCCTATGAAGAGTCAGGCCATCAAAGAGTTGAAAAAAGGCAGCCGTCTTGGTATAATCTTTCGATAAAGCGGCGAACGGCAATGCAAGATATACAACTTATCTCAGCGCCAATCGCATTTGCGCCAGGAACAGCGCTGCCGGGTCTGCGAACTGGGAGAGTTACTTGCCGCCCCTGCAAAAGGTATACAACGGCGATGAGGAGCGGTTGCTTCTATTGCGTTAAATATTCGCTATTCGTCTGCAATTTCCTATTCTGGGTAAGTTGCAAATACTTTACAAGTGAATGGAACGTTGGGTAGTCTATTCCCTATTACTTTGCGGATCTTAGAAAAGTAAGACATAGACTAGAATGTGGCCAAGTTAAATTAGAATAAAAGAAGAATAAGAACACAAAGTAACATAGAAGAAAGAGAGATAGACAGGGAGAGAGAGGGAAAGAGAAAGAGAGAGAGAGAGAAGAGGGGGAAATAAGTAAGTAAGTAAGTAAGTGAGTGAGTGACTGAGTGAGTGAGCGAGTAAGTAAGAGAGAGAGAGAGAGAGAGAGAGAGAGAGAGAAAGAGAGAGAGAGGTTATAAGAGGTAGGTAGATGGCTAGGTAGACAGAGTTAAAGAGGGAAAATCTATATTCGCCTACCTGCATAATGAATAATATAAATTTTCGACTTGGACGCAAGGTAATGGAAGAAAAATTACAATGATAATAGAGTAAAAGAGGAAGACGAAAGCACCTGTTTAGCCTGTAACGCATCAATCGCAACCGACAAGCGAGTACTAGTTTGTTTACGAACGTCTCGGCGTAATTAGGTAGAGTAGTTTCAGGAATTGAAAACATCGAACCTAGCAAAAATATTTTTTTTGGATAGAATTCTTATAAGATGTATAGGATTATACTATATAATGTATATTTATAATGTAATATATAGACATATAATATAAACCTAAAAAGCAATAAGACGTATAAAAAAAGATAGCTTTCATTAGAAGTTCTGTATTATTTTTTTGTCAGGTAGTTTTTGCAGTAGATTGACGTCAGTCAAACGAACCAGTCTAGCCATCAGTTGACAATATATATATATATATATATATTAATATTAATAAAGAATGATAATTTGATAGGAGAGAAAAAAGGCAAAAGTTCTATTTTTATGCATAGGATACACATACAGTATTACTTTGTAACAGTTTGTTAAATTCAAAAGGAATACGGGTTTGATAGTTGTTATCTTCTTGTTTTCTTTTTATATATTTTTTACAGATTCTTGGTTGTACACTAGTTGGAATTGGTATATGGATAAGAGTTGAAAAGAATTTTAGTACTTATTCTCAACATACAGACGGTTTTGATTATCTGTATACAAGTGCCTATCTTTTCGTAATTATCGGTTGTTTAGTTACGATTTTAGCCTTTCTTGGTTGTTGCGGAGCATTAAGGAAGAGCTCGTGTATGTTGTGCGCAGTATGTTACTATTCTTTCTCATTTGAAATTTATCTCATTACCGGAGATACTCGGTTATCTTCTTATTTTCTTCCTCTTTATTTTTCTCTTATAAAGAATGTAATCAAAAGTCGGCCTTCGGTCTAGATTCTCTCACGTGACGAAAAAAAAATAGAACCAAAACAAATACATATAGAATAGTGCTATTGAACCACGGAAATTACAATTTCTTTCATTTCTTTCTTTAGTTCTTCTTTTGCCTGTGCGTCGTCTTTGCTACTCTGGTTGGTTTGGCTATTTTAGGTATAGTTTTTAAGCACAGCATTAAAACGTCCTTGCACGAAACGCTGAAAACCGCCATTAAGGATTACTCCAATCCCCGTGAAAGAGAATCGAAGGAATTGATAGACGTCATTCAGGAGACGGTTCGTTTTCTTAGACAACATCAAATATAATTTGAGAAGTTTATTAATTATTTATAAGTTCGTTTCACCTTTTCTCTCTTTTTCTTTACTTTTCTTTTTAATGTTCATATAGATGAAGTGTTGCGGAGCGTCGGGACCGGCTGATTACGAAGAACAAACGGCTCCTTGCGCCGTCGAATACCTTCAAGAAGTAATTTTATTATTTGTATATTCCTATCAAGTGGTATAGTTTTCCCAACCAAATCTTTATTATTCTTTTATTAGGGGTGCACTGACAAGCTTATAGCATTCTTAAATCAACCGCAAATTATATCCTTGATCCTGGCAACATGTAGCTCCGTTGCAACCCTTATGGTAAAAATTTAAATAAGCTTCTAAGTGAAACGTAATAAAATTTAAAAACGGATTTACTTTTAATTCTCTTTCAGATAATCGGAATGGTTTTTTCCGCTTGGTTATGCTGCTCTATTCGACGTTCTTCTCGAGCCTAAGTAAATTTTTATTGCTCGAAAGGAAGAATTCCAATGGAGGATATTACGAAAAGAAGCTTTTTTTGAGCAGGATTTACTTTAATTTTCAGGTCATTTATATTTCATTCAATGACATTTTTGTGTGAAAAAAAATAGTCCCTTTTGAAATGAGGACAAAAAGTTGTATTTTATAAAGATTTTTTCATAAATATATCTATTTTTACAAAATAAGAAACAAACTTATTATTAATCTTTAACACATAATCTTATTTTACACCTTTAAAGGAAAAACGTGTCTTTCTTTTACATTTCCAAATCACGTGTTTTCAGTTAAAAGTACTCAGTGGGTAAAAAATATATAAGCACACGCGCTAATTTCGCACTTTCTTACGCCGAAGAACACTGTCAGACAAAGCGTATGTAAACCACGTGTTTTAATTATTTTAATACAAATATATCCCTCTAAATTATTATTTTTCTATTCTAAATAGTTCTAATATCGTTCTTTGCAACTACCTTTTGAAATCTCTACCGTGACAGCTAATTTTGGAAAGTTTGTTATAGCTTTATTTCAACAACATGGGCGACCAAGTGATAAGCTATGCCAATGGACAATTTTATGGTGAGTAAAATATAGTAAAAGCGTAGGTTGTAAGGTTGTAGTTTAAAAGATGAAAAAAAAAGATTACCAGACTGAGTGTAATTACCTTAATGGTCAGACATTTTTTTTAAAGGAAATAAAAAGATTTCCAGAAAAAAGTAACCTAGTGAACAATTTTCCAATGTATAAGACCTGAAAGAACGTTTTACGTAATATACAGTCGGAAAATATATCTAGTTACTTAAAACCTGCCTCCACATACTTCTTATCTGAGCTAAAGTTAATTATATCGCCACGTGTTAGATTAAAGGGAAACTATCTTGTGTCAACGAATTATAGAGAACACGTATACGCTTTGAAAAAGTTTTCCAACTCTGTGAGATATTTAAAAATGAAGTCTCGTGTCTCTTTTTTCTCAGTTTTCTATTGCTATTATGTGGGGAGTAAAAAATATTGGTAAGAAGAGTGCTGTACATATATGAGACTACCCGGGTTTGCGTATAAACTACCGTGTGACAGTTAATATCACAAACTGCTGGAGGGCAGGCAGCTTCTTCGTACTATTACACGTTAATGGGTGGCTAGTTGTCTTTTTCAGGCGTGATAAACCGCAAGGGGAAAAAATCATCAGCCTAACATATAACGATAAACGCTAATGGATCTTCGTGGCCTATTAAGCCACTTTCACTCTAATTTCCAATAATATTTTTTCTATACTATTGTAAAATAGTAGTTTATAGGCTTTACCTTTTCTTCTCCAGAAGAATAAATTGAATTGATTATAATTTGTTAGCTACGAATTAAAACGTAAGTTTATAATTGTGTCAATTAGTTATTTATTCATTTTTAACTAAATTGTTTAATATAAGGAATACCAATGATGAAATATTTATAAAGACTAATAATAACATACCATACAGTGAAAAACAAGCAAAAAAAGGAAAAGCAATAAAGGAAAAGTTAAAATTCTTTGCATATATGGATTTACATTTTACATGTAGCTTAAGCATGCTCTTACATTTTTATTTTTGGTATCATCTTTAGAATTATACTGAAATAATTGCTAGAATTCTAAGAAAACCGAAATAATAACGAAAAAGCCTTAAGAGACTTTGTTTGACTTTGTAAATAAAAAAAGATTAGGAGTAGAGGGATTGAGTGAGGAGAATAAAAAACAACAAAAATAAAAACATCCTTTCATACTAATTGAAGTATACCTATAATGCATACAGTAACAGTCCAAATATAAACTTTGTTCGATACGCATATATTAATGAATGTGAAAAATATAAGTTACTTTTAGGATATAATTATAAACATTCGCGTAATTATGTATAGATATGCTAAACAATTATTCTAATATACTCTATTTTTAGTATATTTATTTCTAGAGTGATAGAATTTTTGATTGTAATTGCGTGATCAGATAATTATCGCTTAATTTTCATTCTTTCTTTCATTTTAACACCTAAAATTATTTCAGAGGTAAGGAAATTAAAAACAAAAAATTCTTTAGATTTATTATAGCGTATATGTAATATAACATGGAATAGGCAATGTGGAATAAAAATAAATACGAGAAATATTAGATGTGTAAGCAATTACGTAAGTGCGTAAAAGTCGAACATAATTTTAATGCAAAAGTTAGCATAAGAAACAGATATGATAAAACTGACGTTTTTCCCTTTCTTGATGTTGTTGTTAGAGAGATGTTATGATACAGTTTGTAACGTAAACAAAGTGTGAGTTATCGCTATCATTGTTTACCTTTCTTTACCTCATTACATATTTTTGTTCGGAAGGAAATTCCTTCATTGATAAGAATTTTTCTCGTATTTCAGATAATAACTACTGTGACGGTAATTGGCCGTATAATCCACATACTGCTCCACCACCAACGGATTCGGTACTTTACTGGATGAGCCCTCCACCGCCTGTGCCACCTCAACATTTCAACACGGCTTTAAATTACCATCATAGTCCATTGAATACCAATGTGTATAATTTTGCCGATAGGCCCTGCCATTCTCCATTGCCTATGATGGCTCCTGTCATGCCGCCCGCAACTTTTACTTCAGCAACACAAGACAGCCAAATCGACATGTTCGAGAGGGCGATGGATCTTAAGTGTCTGCGCGAGAAGAATATAAAGTATAAATTTTCTTTGAATCTTGTCAATAAAAAAAAAACTAGTTGGTCACTCTCGTTACAATTAGATTGGTGGATGAAAATCAGCTACCACCCTCCGTTCTGAGCCTTGAGCGCCTTACTGCACTAGGGGGAGGACAACAAAATGCTTACGAAAAAGACCAGGGATTAGGGGGAAAAAACTGGACTCCTCCACACTCTACAAACAACGCTTCGCCTCAATATCATCGTAGCAGAGCTAATAAATGGAATCAAACCAAAGCCCGTACACCAAAAAAGAGCAGTTTAACACCTGCTAGAAAGACTGAAGCTGTTAATACGCTAGGGCAACCTAACCATAAAGCTTACTCCTCGAAAATTAATCCACAGGAGCTCGAACAACCAGAGAGGCAGATGTTTCACATGTTACCTACATTGACTTATGGTAAGGTTACTCTTGTCAGTTTATATAAACCTCTTATATCCAAAGCCGATAGATAGCGCTCTGAATGATAAATATATGAAATGTAATTAAAAATTAATATTTTTTCTAAGAAAATCAACTTCCACAAGTAACTAAGGATGGCAAATTGGAATTTAAAAATAATACGAGCTTACCACGCTTACCTCCTCCAGAGTCTTTTGAAAAGGTAACATTTATTAAATATATCCATATTTATAGACAATATATTTAAATTTTTATTATTATTCCATATGTAAATCTCATCAGCTTATAAAGTCGAAGAGGAGGAGAAAAAAGGGATCGAAAAAGTCTGGTGTATTTAATTGCGGATTTTGTCGCAAGAACAACATAAACAACCCTAGCTTCCAAACGCATCCTTTAAAAGATGAAGAATTCCGCGTTCTTTGCCCTATGCTGAGAGCCTATATTTGTCCTATATGCTTAGCGAGAGGAGATAATGCACATACATTAAAGTACTGTCCGTATGCTGTCAAGCCATGGTTTATAATGAAAATTACTTTGTCTCATTGGTCTTCGCTACCTCTTTCTGTACAAATTCGCCTTACGAAATTGGCTAATGAAACGGGAATAAAATCAATTGAACCAATTTATCCAAATACCAAATTAGACTATTTGTCTCGATCTCGATTACATATGAATATGACTGTTTCCAATGCAGTAACTCTTCTTCGTAAAGGATACTTTCATTTTTATCCCGTACCTCAACGAAAACAACCAACGGAAAATCTAGCCCCGAGACATCCGGAAAATTCGTACAATGAAACATATGGGAATATGAATTTCGACGTGAGCCCTAACTCAAATGAAAATTCCACAATAAATCCAACTTTACTATCCCGTGTTAATGGTAATAACGTACAAAGCAATGGAATGACAATGCATTTAAATACGAATTTAAATAATCAAGGGCAGTTCCTTCCACCAATAGCCACTGGTGTAAATATGAATAATCAAGGGCAGTTCCTTCCACCAATAGCCACAGATATAAATATGAATAATCAAGTGCAATTCCTTCCACCAGTAACTACAGATATAAATATGAATAATCAAGGACAAACTCTCCCACCACTAACTATGGATATAAATATGAATAATCAAGGGCAATCTCTTCCACCACCAGCTATGGATATTAACATGAATAATCAAGGACAGTATCTTCCGCCATTACCCACGGAAATGAATATGAATTCGAACATAAACATGAATATGCATTCAAACCTGATTCCAAATCTCCATATGAATATGAATCCTGCCACGAATCCAAATATTCCTATAAATATAAATCCTGATACCAGACCAATTTTCCACATGGACATGAACAATTCAACGAATGTAAATAATCTTGCCTATCAAAATCCAACTCAATCTTACACACCACCGTCAAATATGACTCAAACAACCCAGTTTCCACAGAATCCTCTTGTACTTACTCAAGGTTACAAGTTTACGAGAGAGAAGATTCTGGAGACAACTGCTGCCATTGGGTCGGCTATTTTCCCTCCAATTATCAACAATACTGGATACGGGTATCAAACTGTCCCGGAGCCTGTTACGTATCAAGAAAATCACAGAAATTTTGCTCAATCAGAAGCTATTAATCATATGCCCGTTAAAAGTTATAAACACGTAGACGGATCGCACAAATATAATTATAATAAGAAACACGATGTGACTTTGACGAATAAACCTCGTAAAGAAATTACAAAATTCAAATCAATACCCAGTCATTTTAATACCAATTCAGTAAAAGGACATAAATTTCATACCAGCACTACTACAATTCAAACCAAGCCAGAAAAATTGGAAAAACCCATAGAAAAATTAGATACTGTTTCTGATATAAATGGCAAGAAGACTAGTGAGAGAAATGACAAAATTAAGGCAGTCACATCAAAGGGGTTTTCGAAAACCACCAATACAAATAAGATAATCCCAAAAAGTAATTCAAAATCTTTACATAGAGAATATCGTTGTGTACAAATTACGAGAGGTGGGCCTAGTAAGAAAACTAAATTTAAGCATTCCACTAATCCGGAGGTCACAAAGGAGAAAGATGAATTAGGCGAGTTAACAGCAGAAAGCAGTGAAGCTGATTTAAAGAATACTCCAGTTTACAAGTCAACGTCCAGTACTGTTAGTAAGATAAATACAAAACGTGAGGATGAGAAGAAATCACGAGATTATAATACAAACGTTGATAAGACTAAAAATCAGCAAAGCGAAGCAAAACCTAGAGTTCCAACCTATTCAGAAATAATAACGAGAAATACCAATAATAAATCAAACTGTTTAAAAAACACCAAACTTCCGGATGCAACAAAATCGCAATCTTTCCAAAACTCCAAAATTTCAAAAAATGAAAAAATAGAAAATTCCGGTAAATTGAAATCTGAGAGAGATACAGTTCGATCAAATGCTGTATCTAATAAACCGACAGAGGACTCAAAGTTGGAGATAGCACAAAGCGAAGCACCCAAGCCAAAAATCCCAACATATTCTGACATAATTATGCGAAATAATCCAATGAATAAAAATAATACAACTGTCGAAGGTGTTAAAAAGCCGATTGTTAATAGTCAGAAAAAGTTGGAAGACAAGACAATAAATCCAGCGCGGGAGGGAACCAATAATCCGAAAGAACGTTTAAATGACTCAAAAAAAACCTGTCAGGTTAGACCAATAGGATTAAAAACTTATACCAATCCAAATAGAAACAGGAGTTTACGAAATGAGAGGAGTGTAAATGACAATCAACGGACCGATGGACACCTAAAGAAAAATGGAAGGAAAAATCATATCAGGTATTCGGAAAGATGTTAAACAAAAGCTAGGAAATGGGGTGTAAAGACTAATATTAGTCCATCAGTTTTCATTAAGTTTTACTTATAAAGATAGCTGTATGATTACGAAAGACTTTTTTTGATCCAGACATTTCCTACATGCATATTATTAGATTTCTCAGAAAACAAAAATAGCCTTACAAATGATAGACCGACTGCCTTTGTTTTATGTTATACATCATTTCAAAGGCTAAATTTGACATACTAGAAAAGTCTCGATAAAATACATTCGCGAGCATATAGGTAAATAATCGAAGTTTGTAGGATATATTCTTACTTAATATTCTAGTTTATTTATCTTAATATGTTTTGAGCCATTCTTCATGGTTTATGCAATAAAGGCAATTTACATAAATACATAGTAGCTATATTTTTTCTGATTATAACCAAATTGATGTACCACAGATCACCGTACTGCTGAAAGTAAACTAGGCTTCGTCGCTTCATTTTGATTGATAAAAGTAAAATCCACAGAATTCCAGACTTAGACTGCAATTACTATCTATTAGGGGAGATGTGATCTATATTCCCCAGTTAATTTATTGTAGTAATTATAGCAGATGTTTTTCCTAAAATAAAATATAAACGTTTGAAGTTGACATATTTGTTTAAATTGTAAAACTTTACTTGTCCCACTTGAACAGCCAACCAGGTGGTGCCTCACTTTTTTCGTACTTTAAGAGGATTTCGTTGGTTTCTTCTAACTTTTCCAGCAAATACCGACTAGAGAGTTGGCCATTTTCCCAATCTTCTTTTCTAGTCTGCATCAATTAATGGAAATGAGTGGGAGAGAAGGGTGGGGGGTATAGGGTTTTGAGTAAAGAAAATAAGGGATAAGGGTATGAATGCACTCTAACTATATTTACTTTCTATATGGTTTTTTGTTTTTAAATTTTAAAATCGTTAATCAATCAAGAAAATAATGTGTTTCTTTTTACCAAGAACTTAACAAAGGGCTCAGAAGTCTTTTGAATGCTAAAGAATTCAAATTTCCTTAGAAAAGTATCCAATTGGTCAATAACCTCTTCCTGTATTAAAAAATAAAGTCATTAAATGATTATATTTTATCCCTTAAGTTATGGTGAAAAGCATGACAGACCTTTATTTTATTTTCATCGATTGGTTTTTGCTTGATTAGATCAGCTTGAGGCGCATTACAGTGACAACCTAAGGTTAGAAAGTTACAAATGGTTGAGAATCCGATTAGGAAGAGTGTTTCTTGTTTTTAAATTTAGGTTATATATAAAAAAAAAGCATAAAGAATTTATTAATCACCCGGTGGAGTTTGCGTGCTGCGGTCATAGTTTGAGAGTTGCTTCGAACGAAAGTCGAACTAAATAATATTTTACATATATATTAATTTATCATCGTTATTCATGTTGATAATAATATATATATATTTACTGTATAAATATATCTATAGTTATATATAAATAAGTTATATGTCAACGAATCACCTTTTGATCAACGGCACTTTCTAGGGCATTATCTACATCAAATTCGTCATTCAAGGCCAACTCCGGATCTGTACAACGCACTTTCGCTGCTCTTTCTTTCCTTCTGTCTTCATCTTCATCTTCCGATGCGCTTTCATCATAGGGTATTAGGCACAAACCAACAGATCCTTTAGATTTTCGTTTTCTATCTTCCCTTTTCCTAACGATGAGCTCATTTTCTGATTCTCGGCTAATTTCCTCTCCCCTATTAAAAAGTAATTTAATGCTAGGAGATGAAATTAGGCAGGAGTGATGTTTTCTAGGAAATGTGTAACCTACTTGGATTCGTTCTTCAATGCCATAATCTTATTGTACTCATCAACTTGAAGCAAATATCTTTCATATTCTTCAGGTACTTCCCATGTTACCTTTAAGGAAATAATTAGAAATAATTACTTGACAATCTAGACTTGTATTTAATATTACGGCTCCAGTTGATGTATCATGATAATAGTAGCAATTAGTATTCTCGTCTAGTACAGTCTCCCATTTTGTTTGAGGTTCTAGAAAGCCACAATTTTAAACATTTAAAGCGGAAATATTTTCTCTAATACTTACTGGATAGTGGCAATGGCGGGGGCGGAGGTGGAGGAGTTGGGGGGGGAGCGGGAGGGGATTCAATTGGCTCTTCTGGTTCAACTATATCACCTTTTCCATTATTTAACTCGTCGACTTCTTTCACATCAGTTGAATCGTTACTCATAGCGTTTATCTCCTAATATTATACAACACAAAATTCTGTATTACTCGTTAGTTTTTATGCTTTAATATTTTTTAACCAACTTTTCCCACCCATTTGTCTTTTAACTACCGCCTAATTTTTCTATCCTTTCTAAAACAAACTTACAGCCATGAAATTTTCCATTTCCTTGCTCAATGGGTCATCTTTAATGGAAGGCTCCTCCTTATAACTATAATCGATTTCACTGTTTCCATTATCTTCACCATTATTGTCTACTATAACCTTTTCTAATTGGAGAACTGGTTTACGAGAGCGAGGCAAGCGAGACATAACTTGAGATTTAGTGCTTCGAAATTGATTGGAGTTTTTTTTCACTTATTATCGTTCAACAGATACAGCGTCTTATCAAGCTTTGTTGGAGCTATAAATCAATTTGCTCCGATTTAAACTTCCCAGAAGGTTTATTTTTAAATTTCCTTTATCAATAATCGTTGTATGTGGCAGTATAAGGTGAAATTTAATATATCGACCTGATTTGGGGACCGTAAAAACAAAATTTTTTAACTAAAAAACTGCAGTTCACTAAAATCAAAGAGTAAAAAGTAGTACATTTCTTCCTTATCTATGCTTAAAGCATTGTTTACAGTTTATACTTATTCCTTAATCAAGAAATAGTATTATTTTCTTAAGTAATGTGAGGATAGGAATTCATTCTCCTTGATCAAAAATCCTTCCTAAACAGTTTATTTTTTATAAAAAATACAGTGTCCACACTTCCCGCTCTTTTTTTTTTTTTAAAAAACAATTTTTATATCCCCCCCCCCTCCCTCCAATCCCAAAAAACTTCAAACTATATATCAACAAAACAAGAAAATATGGTGTAAATAGAATAATTTATTATAAAAAATGATTTCAAAAAATCACGAGGAAAAAAATAAGGTTAGAATAATGTAATTAAATCGATTTAAAAGAATAAATAAACTCTATATATATATATAATATATATATAAATGGGGCAGTTTAATTTATATATAAATATAAATACCATGTTATTCGTCTTAAAAACATTTGAAGACACTTTAGTTTATAGAATACTTTAATATTTTTTAAAAATATGAGAGCTTATATTGACTTTTCATTTGGAATGCCAAGCTAAATATTTCCTTAGTTACTTTGTTCATTCTTATTCTCTTGTTCGTTATCATCTTCGTTAAAAACCTTCGAAATTTTACTATCAGATTGTTTTTTACTACTTCTAGTCTTTCTTTTATTATTCCTCCTTTCTTTTCGCGTTGGTTCTTTCTTTAACGGAGTCGTTATTATTGCCGATTTATCGTTAATGGGATTATTGATAATATTTGAATTAGTAATTGCTTTTGTTTCCTTAATCTCTTTTGATAATTTTCGTCTTTTACGGTAAGCAGATGATGAAGATTCGTTTGAATCGTTTAGCTCATCTTCATCCGATTGAAAACTTTCGTTAACTGGTTGTGGTAATCTTTCAAGTTTTGGTGCCGTCGTGTCCATAGGGCATTTCATATAAAATAATAAATAGCTAAAAGAAGGAAGAGAGAGAGAGAAAGAGAGAGAAAAAAAAAACAAAAGTTTAAAGGAATTGATTATCAATTTGCATTTTCAACTAAATAAAACCCCCCACAATTTACTTACGCTTGAGCTGCGAAAACGTCCTCTTGACCAACTTTATAAACTTGAGCATCATTACATTCAAACCAATCACCCAGTTGATGCTTTATAAAAGCTATGTAATGACCATCATACATATTTGCACCAACATGTACAATAACTCCGTATAATAAATACCTAAAAATATTTAAATAAAACTACAGAAAGTGGAAAGTCTATCCTTGTAAAACGATAAATAGATGACGTCAATCATTAACATAGTATACCGTAATATTCTACATTTACATATTTTAAAACGAAATACTGACTTTGCGCTGCTGTTCCGATTACTCTCTGAGTTGTGTGTAAAAGGTGTCAAGTTTAATTCTTCATTGAATTTAACAATGTCATGCAGTTTCATACCAACTCGAGTATTCTTCTCATAATTGAAACGCTAAATATAACAACATGTATAAAATATTTATATACTGTAGACATATTGATGCTAAATATAATACCTTTATCTGTAAAACCAATACTTGAGGAAGATGCTTTAACAATAGCTGTTTCTGACAGAGGCCATTGCATTTTTCGCATCTTTTACCACTACCTTCCAAATCTTCAGGATGAGTATATCTATTGATAAAAGATTTAAATATACATATAAATATACGCAAGTACTTACAGTTTTAAACAACGTTCTAACGTTATATCCGTTGGTTTTTCAGCTTATTTCATGAAATAAAAATAAAAACAATGGATTATTATTAATAAAATATACAAAAGAAAAGTGTATAGAAAGAGTATATACAGTAGATGTATATAATATTGTTCTTAATTAGAATCCTTACTTTCGTGTTTGGGTATAACAAGCGGTATTTCTAGGAACGGATCTTCTTTAGTTGATTGTTCTCTAGAAACAAACGCGTACGTGTGGATATTAATACATTTATACTGTATGTAAATATATACAGTATATATATATATATATTATATACACCTAAATCATGATATATTTACCCGCATTGTACACACGTAAGAGTTGACAATTGAACTCCTCCAAATGTTAAATCTATTATACATTTGCATTTCAATTTGTCGGCCGATTCCTTGTCGACAAGACACGGATTAGTATTATCGTCAATCTGTCGTTTTTCTATAAAAAGAAAGAAAGAATATATAAAAGTATATAAATAACATATTATGTCCATTTTGTAATAATGTTAATTAAAAAATAATAAAGTATTTGTATACTACTGTTTTCTTTCTATCTCAATTCTAGTTATTTATGTCTCTCTCTCTCTCTCTCTCTCTCTCTCTCTCTCTCTCTCTCTCTCAAGTATGTTATTTATTTCCGGCTACTGATGATAATATTTCATAAATTGTGAAAGGGAACAAAATTAACTTGTATAGATTAATAAATCGTATTATTATCTTATTTTCCCTTGTCAGCACCTCTATTTTCTTTCTCTCTCTCTCTCTCTCTCTCTCTCTCTCTCTCTCATTTTTCCACTTTTGTAATATTAATAAAATAGAAGATAAAAAAAAGATAGACTTTAATTTTGAGAAGAAAACGAAAAAGTCATAGAGTAATACAAACCGACAACTCTGTGTTCGTGCAGCATATGCGTTGCGCATGAATAAAACTCATGACAATCCTGCATACCGATCATACCATTTTCCATTAATTTATATTGAAGGTTTTCAGCAATAATACTGGATACTCCATAATCGTAAAACTGTAAAGGAGAATTGATTGAATATTAGAAAATTTTATTCACCTTTGATCTGTTATTGTATATGGTTACTTTTGAAAAAAGATCCTTAAAGATACAGAAAATACATTTTCGAATTGTATGACCTTTTTCATCGGAACCTAAACATTCGTGAGCACCGCTTAGAAAGAAATCTCGCATTGTTGGAGTATGTATAAAGACTTGGACTAATGACAGCATATAACAGGCATTTCCCATATTGTACATTCCCCTTATACCACTATACAAATCAGGCCGGTAATCTGTTGTAGATTCTGCTTTGATTAGTATACGCTCTTTATAAGTATTCGGATACCAAAATTGAGAATATAAGCAATAGTCATCGTCCTTTCTACCATTACTAATCGGTTTTTCTACGTCTTCCACTTTGATTTTACTGATAGCTTTCCGTTCCACTTTTATTGGAAAATCGTAATCTGTTGCTGTGGCAACATCCTTCTTTGACACACGGCTATTCTTCTCTTCCGTACACTTATAAATAACGCTATTCTTAACTTTTAGCGACTCTTTCATAAACTTATCACTATAAATAACACGACAACAAGTCGTGCAATATATTCTTGTTGTTGATAGATTAATCGCTACAAAAAAGAAAGAAGGAATCAAAATAGAGTTAATTCATTTATTGTAAATAACAAATCAATTTATTTCTTTACCAAATTGATGATCTCTTTCCTCCAATGTATGTTCGTGAAGGTGACGTCGAAAGCACAAAACGGTAACACAAGACATGCATAAAAAAAGATTCTTTGCCAATTTATTCCGGCATACTTTACATGATATTCCCTGTTAAGACAAATAATGAATATAAATCAAGGAAAATTATTAAGAGACAATTAATAAAGTATCATTATACAAATTCTTCAATGGTTGATTGCAAATTATTTACTTTGGCATAAGAAAGTTCCTCCAGATCGATTCGATGACTGTGAATAAGGGTGCAAATCAAACGAAATTTGCTATGGAACTCGGCTGATTTACTACTAGACTTGAAATGAACGCAAGATTCCATAATCTATGATCCGATCGGTTTAATTAGCATTCTGTTTTACTAGATTTACATCTTTAGTTATATACATACCAACTAAATAACGTGTTATCGCTCGATTTTCCAAAATCAAGAAGCATGGGCAATTAAATTGCCCCACTGAATAACAGTATTCGCTCGCAAACTTATAACCACGTAATTTGACATAAAAAAACAATCAAGTCATAAATTAACGTTAAAAAAAGTTTGGATTGCTACTTTCCAATATTCAATGCCGTTCAATATAAACACATTTATTAATTCATTTCTATTCCACACCCAAAATGGCCATGTGTATTTATTTGTTAGTGAATGCCGAATACGGAACCAGTCAGTGTACCAGGGTTCAATTCATTATCCGCTTTTATGGATTTCAGCGCGAAAAATAACGAACAACCCTCTCGCAGCAATCATTTGTTTATAAATTTAAACAAAAAATATCGTTTAGACTCAGTTTCTTAGGCTTAATTTTTCAATTTAAAAACAGACCTCCTGCTATAAGAGTTCAGCTTGAGTGTGAAATTCAAAAAAGAGCGGACAATCGCTAAAATACATTATTTAATGTTTATTATTATGGGCTAATAAAAAAGGGATGGATTTGAGATTCAGATAAGATATTTTAGCGTTGAACAATATTAATTATAGTATATATATTTATATGGTTTCATAACAACTCCGAAATTAATTGTAAGGTGTCTCTGATTTATGTATATGGAGTTTAAAATTTACAGATCTAATTCTAGGCTGACACCCCTGGGTTTTGACGTTAGCAGCCACGTGATGAATAACCAATAGGCTACGACTCGTCACGTGACATCGGCCACAATTGGCCTGTAAAAATGGCGGATACCTCGCAAAACAGGACTGAAATTGTTCGAGGTCAGATTTTCGAGGTTGGGCCACGATATACGGATTTGACGTATATCGGTGAAGGCGCGTATGGAATGGTGGTGTAAGTTGCACTAATCTTTGTTCATTGTAATTTAACTGTTATTAAGAAATTGACTAAACTTCGTCCGGTTCCGTTCGATTGGTCTCTATGTAACATGAGACTCGACTTAAACGAATGTTGTTGGATGTTATTGATTATACATCCATCTTTGCAGATCGGCATTAGATAATGTAACACGGCAAAGAGTTGCAATTAAGAAAATATCGCCGTTCGAACACCAGACGTACTGCCAAAGAACGCTAAGAGAAATAAAGATTTTAACTAGATTTAAACATGAGAATGTAAGTATATTAAAATAATTCGTCATGAATTTACTAATTTATATTGATATAATAATAAATGTATGTTTACTGTATAATTTAGATAATAGATATACAAGATATTATACGAGCTGATAGAATCGAAGATATGAAAGATGTGTATCCTTTTTTCCTGGTTTCTATTATGTATGTAGAGCTTACTCTGCACTACGTAAATATTAATAGCCAAAAGGTAGATATTGTTATTAGCGATGCACCGATGAATAGTCACTTTCCAGTTCAACCGATCTCTTTTATTGTTTATATACAATACCACAGTTGGAAACATAGACATTTTGTTTCTTAGATGCATATAGAAATGGGCTTTGTGTCACAACAATATCTCCGTCGTAGAAATGTTCCTTAACTCTAACTTAACAGATATATAGTTCAGTGGCTGATGGAGACAGATATGTACAAGCTTTTGAAGACACAACGGCTAAGTAACGACCACGTATGCTACTTCTTGTATCAGATACTCAGAGGTTTAAAGTACATTCATTCTGCCAATGTTCTTCATCGGGACCTTAAGCCTAGCAATTTACTTCTCAATACAACTTGCGATCTGAAAGTTAGTTTTTTTCTATCCTTGATATCCCATTTCAATTTTATTTCCTTTCCTCATATAATTTACGAAATACCTGTAATATTTTTCATGTATTTTGTTGATATTTTTTTATTATTCTTTCCCCCTCATTTTACAAATAAAATATTATTATTATTTTATATATATATGTATATATATGTATAAATATATTAAGTATATAATCAGCATAATTTTTTCTCCCTTCTCCACTATCAAACATCTTTAGATATGCGACTTTGGATTGGCAAGAGTCGCAGATCCAGACCACGATCATACAGGATTCTTAACCGAATATGTAGCGACTCGCTGGTACCGAGCGCCTGAAATTATGTTGAACAGTAAAGGTTACACAAAGTCGAGTATCCTTTTTTTGTTGTTATTTTCAATTATAAAGCCACCATTTTTTTTATATATAAATTTAAAAAATTTTTATACTCTTCTCTCGTGTATTTTTTTCCCTTAACAAATTTTTCTAGTTGATGTATGGTCGGTTGGTTGCATTCTAGCCGAAATGCTCTCAAACAAGCCCCTATTCCCTGGAAAACATTGTAAGTGATTCTTATATATTTACAACAATGAGCGTTGATGGCTAAATGTAATTTTTAGACTTGGATCAGCTGAATCATATTTTAGGAATTTTGGGAACCCCGAGTACGGACGATATGAATTGTATAATAAACGAAAAGGTACCGCGTAGTAATTCTCTTTATTCTCTTTTCCTTTTACCTATCAATAGAAAGTAATACGTTTGTAAATTAATTAGGCTAGAGGATATTTGCAATCTCTTCCATTCAAGACAAAAATTCCATGGAATAAATTGTATGCGAACGCCGATACGAAAGGTAATAAATTGTGTTAAAGTTTCAAAATTTACTTTTAATAATTTAATTTACTCATCAGCGTTGGATCTACTTGATAAAATGTTGACGTTCAATCCTAATAAACGTATAACAGTAGAAGACGCGCTAGCTCATCCCTACTTGGAACAATATTACGATCCAGCGGATGAGGTTATTAATTTTATTAAATATTTATCAAGTAAACAATGCAAGTATTGACGAGATATTGAACAATATATAGGCTGAAATGAATATTTTTTTATATGCTTGTCAGTTTATGCACAGAAATGTTCTGTAATGTGTATGCGTAGATAGCGAATTATTAATTGTATAACTATGTGCTTATTTTCTTTTTCGATACAGCCTACTGCCGAAAGGCCTTTTAAATTCGAGGCTGAATTAGATGATATGCCCAAGGAAGAATTAAAGCTTCATATCTTCGAAGAAACTAAGCGTATAAAAATGCTAGTATCTACAGGTAGATTATAAAGTGAGTAGACTATTTAACTTTCCCCCTTATATTTAATTAATACTATTATTATAACGGAGAATTTTTTCATTAACTGGTTAATTATTTCTTTTTTAGTATGAAAATGGTGGATCAGACGACTTAACATACCTTTAATTTCTATTTTTATTCGAGTCCAAACTACTCTCTGTACTATACTGCTTTCCGTCTCGTGCCGGCTCTTATCTTCTTTGCAGAAAATGCACAAATTATATGAGATCGGATCTTCGTCCGATGTGTTTTGAATTCATGGCTTTAAAAGATGTTCTATATTTACATGTTTTTTTTATATAGATGTTGTTAGTAACGTCCTGTGCGATGCAATTAATTGCTAGCTGGCTGGTTATCGTGAGTTTACCTAATAATAGGAAGCACAAATGATTCTAATTAACAGATTTTATTTTATTACATTAATTGCTTGTTCATTTATCGGTTGTACCGTTTTAAGCAGCAAAATTTAAAGCTGTTCAATGTTCTACGTTTTATATTTTATACGTTGTGAGCGGCGTGTATTTATTATATTAAGTGTTCCGAGATCAACGTCTTTTTTCTAACTGCATTATTTTCAAATGTGATCCTGAGGAGTGCATTTGTTTTATCAGTCTATTGTGTAATTTACTGTAATGAGAGCTCAGTGAGCATGCAGATTTCATGACCTATTCATTCGAATTTAAAATTTTAAATAATTGGCGGATGTTTTAAAACAATACTTAATACTTATATAGTGTATTCGTCTTTTTCTTCTATATAAACCTCTACATTCAGTATCTATTATATATACATATATAAATATGTGTATGTATTGTGCATGTATTTATAAAAAATTATACCTTTAATATTGAAAATGATTATAATTATAATAAATAATGCATGTATAAATTCTGACAAAAAAAATGCTAAACTCTTTTTCTTTGCAAAATATTTTACCAAAGAATACAATGCAGTCTTTAGAATTTTAAAAAATTGCTCTTTTTTTATCAATTTTTTTTTAATAATATACAATTTACATCAATCACTCAGTTTCCAGTAGGGGTAACATTTTTTGCATTTTTTTTTTAACTTTAAAAGCGAAATAATCATTAATATTAAGAATTAAGAAACAAAAAAGAAATATTTTTTTGTACTCGAAACATCAGACTTTGACGTACTAAATATGCAATAGAGCCTCAATAATTATTAGCAAAAAAATTGGGATTATAGAGTTTCTTTTCTTTTCAAGAATAATAATCAAAAAATTATAACATCATTACGTTCTTTCGGCTCAGCACCTCATCCGTAATTTTTTCAAGGATAACGAGGCAAAGACGATCGAATTATCGAGGTTTCGCAGTAACAGTACAATATACAGTAATATATATATATATATATATATATATATATATATATATATCTATGCAGGTGAGAAAGGACAAACAAATATTTTGTCTAGTTTTTTTTTCGTTGGTTAAACGAATAATATCACTAGTCGAATTTGACAGATCTTGGAAAACTTAGGCCATTGCAGTACTAAAAAACAATATGCGTCAAATCGTTTTTTCACTTAGGGCAAGTTCGGGAAGGTAGACGCTTGAAATGAAAGTCGTACTCTGTAAAATCTATGCCCATACGGTCTTGAGATAAATCACAAGTGTTATTCATAAGTTTAGAAGAAATTCGAAAGGTATAAATTGTGTCATTAAAGTAGCCTGCAGGGAGACTCCAGATATCCTTTAAATATTGCAAACGATATAGTAAAATTATAGCATCTAATTAATTTCAAACAATTATTTTTAATTACCTGTCTCAGTTCATCTCTGAAAGGTAAATGCTGTAGTTGAGTACCTTCACAATCGGTTTCTGTATCCGCTCCTGTACCCTGAGAATAGTGGCACAACCAACTTACCGATACACTTGCATTATTTAATCTAAATTAACAAAAAATGAATTGTTATGTGTATCCAATAATTAAAAGAAAGAAAAGAGAGTATTTCTTACTTAAGATTGACGATAATATTTCTAAACTGAATAGTTTTATCTAATTTAATTAAGTAGCGATAGCGTCCATCGGAGCCAGTGCACGAGTTTCTTAGACAAAACGGTGCCAATGATCTATTATAAGTTATAAAGTAGGGATCGGCCATAATATGGCGAATATTTTCGTTCGTCTCTATATGCGTTTTCCCTCTATCAGGCATTTTTGCCATGGTAAAAGCCATTGTGGTGAACTTTGACGTTCTAAAATTGCTCTCTTCGCGTATGACATTAGCGCTTTGGATATGACTTTTATTTCCCGATCTAGAACTGGATGATAGACAGCATTTCTAAAGAAAGTTAAAATCAATATTATAAGATGATGGAAAATAAAAAGCCAACAAAATTACCTCGTCGCAAACATTTATTCTACAAAACGATCTTATAAGAACATCAGGGGGGATAGGAGTAGGCTTTACAGTTCCTCTAGTAACTGCTGGCGTTCCAGGTCTAGTAATAATTGTAGGTATGGGGCTGAAATAATTATAGAAAATTCGCAAATTAAACATGACAGTTTTTTTTTATTTATTTAGAATTTTAGCTTACCTGGTACCTTTCTTCTCCGTCTTTTCTAATATATACAAGGTTAAAATGGATATTAAACTGAAAAAGAAGAGAAATATTCAAATCTAAATATTAATATACAACGTATATAACTTACCATAGCGTCATTACAAAGACTAGAGTAACGATAGCCGAATGTAATAATCTATTAGAGCATTGTGTATCTTCGGGTTGTGATGGTTTCTTTGATCTACGAGTGTTTTTGAATGAATTCGCTCTATTCAATTTATTCTGATTCGGCCGTCTAGCTCTACTTCCTTCCGAACCTAAAACTGGTGAGCTGATAACTGATGACGTTGTCGATCTAACACTATCTCTTTTCTGTTTTAATCTTTCATTAAATGTTTCTATTTGTACAATTCTAGTTTGTAGATTATCAGCAACTTTACATAACTCTTGAACAGCTCCTAAACCTTCCATGTAAAGACGATCTTTATTGACAGTTTGAAAATTTTCTACAACTTCTCCATTTGTCAATTTGACATCTCCGGCCGGATGAACAGCTTCTGGTATAACGGTTTTTACCTGTTGGGCAAGGACACCTGTTGTTTGCCTCTCCTGAGCTTCCATGCCAACGGCGTCGGCGTAATCGTCTTTATACGAAAAATTGTACATTTTTACTTTTTTTACTTTTTCAAGCTGTTCTGACGAATCAACTTCCTTAATATTCTCTTTGACACGCATATCAGACGGTTGTAATATGGCTCCCGTAACTCTAATATCTCCTTGGACGTCTAAGGCTTTTTCTGGCTTATCGGTTTTAATACCGACATTTCCACTTGAATAAACACTTTCACTTCCCTGAACTTTTTGCCACGGATCAACATCTTGCTTGAATTGGGAGGGATTCGACGCTCTTACAATGATCTTCTCCGATTGCATAGAACATATTGTCCACTCATTACCGCTTAGAGTGTGAGCCTTTAATGCAACATTTAATAGGAAATAGCGTTGGTCAGGATTAGGTTTCCCGTTCTTTCTTTGATTATTCAACGTCGTGTCGCAAAAATGTAATCTACCGATCGTACAACCCTTTCCAGCCGTACCGCTATTGCTAAACTCGATACTGTACGAATATAAAAAAGTGATGTCTAAGAAAATTAGAATTATTTCGAGAGAGCAACAACAATCAATAATTAACAACAAATACTTACATTTGTGGAACAAATGGCTTTTTTGTTCGATCCGATTGGGATTGTTCCACTTGCACAGTTTGTTGTTTAGCTTCTCGCTTATTCCCGTAAATATGAATGTGAAACGATCGTATTTCTTCATAGTTATTTTGATTAGTAGCCACGAACTTGGGATAATAACTATTATTAGCTAGATGAACAGTTACTTGAAAATGATTCTTCTTTTGACAAATAAACGAATCGTCAGGTGCCGAAAAGATAAAACCTTTATCGGCTTCAACAGAAAAATTCACATGTGGTCTTTGTTGTAAAGGGAAAAAAAATAATCATTTTCTTAATGAAATTTTCTTTGATTCTATTTTTTAAAATAATATTTACAGTGCATTTCCTCCACTGTCGTATAAAACGTAGAATTTTTCATCATGATTTACATAAAACTTGAGGGAATTTTGACCGCTATCCGAATCGGCAGATTGACAATGATTTGGTGTATCTCTTTCGCATTTAACCAATGAAGATTGTTGAAGATTTTCATCAATTTTCCTCTTTTTTGTTTTCTGGCCCTCTTCTTGTCTTCTATTAATATTTAAATAGAGTTATTATTTATATATATATATATATATATATATATATATATTTAAATAGAAAAAGGGGTGTTAAAGAAATGCATATTAAATAAACATTGTCATGAAGAGAGAAAAAAAATTCTTTTTTTAACTATACGCTTTTTCTGCTATCGATCATTTTTCTTACAATAGATAAAGAATTTGATTAAATACGATTACAAGAAAGCAACACCTACGTATTTAATGTTGGAGCGTATGTTGGATTTGACACAGTTTGGCTATATATCGGTAATCCATATTTAGATGGTGGAGGTTGATCTGAAAGAATATTTTTCCATATATAAAATCTATCTACGCATTTATAATATATTATAATAATATTATTTACCATTGATCAATTGTTCAGGTGGGCTGTATGGTTCAGACCTCTCTGATTCTGGTGGAGTATCCGGCAAATTTCTATAACAAGACGAAATAATAGTTAAATAAATATATTTATATACATATATATATATATATAATAAAAAAAGGACAATATTATTATGTTATCGTATACCCAAGTATTGAATTGAAGGTGTTCAAATCAGTTTGTTGCTCCAATAAATATGTAGGGTCTATGATATTCGGTAGTGATTTAGCGATTTCGTTCGATAAGTCTCTGTTAAATGATAAAGATAGAAACATATTCAACTTTTTTTATAATCGATAAGATGACAATATTCAATTCTTTTATATAGGTTTAATACAAAGTTTTATATGGTCTATTTAATGATTATTAATGTTCTATCTTATTGTTTACACTTTCTAATCAGTTATTTATTTGTTTGTTTTGTTTAAAACATACTGGGATAGCCTTCCATTAGGATCAGTAGGCGTTACAGGATTATATGCAGTATCCGGATATCCTAATTGTTGCGATATATAATCGTAATAACTATGCTCTGTTTCTCGGCAATCGAATCGTTGAGTTTCTTCATTCATAATTTATCTCGAATATATTTTTAACATGCTCTTCCTACCGTATCTTATTATCTCTCGGTAAATTTTCTCTTTTTTATAATTATCATCCAAAATATCAAAAGAGATTAACAATAAATAAGTAGAAGGAGAAAGTAGAGGAGAAAAACACAAATGAAAATATTCACTATTCTCAGATGGGACCTGTTAATACTGAGTCATATCCTTCAAGTGAACGTTCAATTTCTTATCAGACGTTAATATCGATAAGATACAAGGGAAAGTTTTTATTATTGTATGAAGTATAGATATTAATTTTTAAGAAAAGAATTAGAGTAAATGTATAAAAATAAACTATAATGTGTTACTGCATGTTTATAATATTATAAGTATTAATTAACCATATGTATACTGTATATAGACAGTAATCTAAAAAGATCAGAATTTTTTAACGATAAAAAGGGATCGTACAAATTTTATACATATCTTATGTTATTCTCAGATTATGATTTATTTTTTATCAACTTGACAAAAATTTACATTCCTTAGGATTTTAAAAGGGCAAAGTAGGACACCGTTGAGCCATCTATAGGCTAATTTTTATCAGTGAGAATTTTTTTTCATGCTTTTCGACTGAAAGCGGTGGTCCGATTACTTTTTTTATATAGTTATTCAGGATATAATTATTAGTTAAGAATCGGTGAGATAATGTAAATAAGTCTTTTTTGTTTTTTTTTTTTAAAAAAAAATTTTATAATTACCCATCGGATCCAAGACAATACTCTTCAAGAGCATTAACGTCCAAATTATCGAAGTTGCATTCATCTATTATGAAAAAAGACGGAATCGTAAGAAAACATATATAAATATAGCTAGATTCACCCTATAAAGTTGGTCAATTGTAATTCGCTGAATAGGACAACTTGTACCGACCGGTACTATAGAGCTTATATATCAGTTTTTCGGGGGGGAAGGGGGAATAATTTTTAGTTCGCGAAAAGATCGTAAAATCTTTATTAATCTTTCGTCTTCTTGACCTTAGACATACCAATATAAAAAAAACAAATGCCGATAGTAGTAGATAAATATTACACGTAAAATTACGTACAAACAAGATAAATAGAACGAATTTTTGGAACTGAATGAAAATGAAGCACTTTTTGTATTTTAACGTCAAACTTACTTAAAATATTATTCAAATTTTTAGTAACGATATCATCCTGAACTATCGACGTCATCACGCTAATAGATCCATTCAAATAATACCAAATCCAATAAAATTAACGATTAAAAACATTATACTTTTCAGACAAAACAATCAGCTCTTCCGTTTATGCCTTACTCCTCATTTTGGTAACTTTTTTACAAATCACATAAACCAAATCTTTAATTTCAATATTCTTTATTAAATAATTTATTAATAATCCTCCAAGCGTTTTAATTTGTCAATTTTCTAAAATTTTGTGTATTACGTCTTACTTCTTCGCAGGTTGTTGACAATTTTACTACTTAAAACGCCACCTATTAATGAATCATCATAGTACTCATTAGTTTCTTTTTTATTCCGAAAGAAATTTAAAAGAACATTTTAAAACGGTTTAATAAAACATTCTAAAAATATAGTTTAAAGAAGAATCTACGGGAAAAAATAATATTATTTGAAATCTGTTAAAATATCTAAATTTTGTAAGGAATACATAGACTTTTCAAAGGAAAAGAAATATGCTAGAGTTTTTTTTTGTTAAAAAAAAAAGAAATAAAGAACATTTATTGTTCTTCTTCTAAATTGCGTTTTTTTAATAATTTGGAATTTTCTTCAACCAATTTAATAGCTGCATCGCCATGATAAACTGCATGTGAACCCAACTGTCCTCGAAAGATCAGAACAATTGCTGCTCGAATATCTTCAACAGTCATAGTTTTTCGCTGTTTAAGTGATTTTAAGTCTCTTGCTTCCATTGCAACACGATGAAATATACTTTTAAGAATTTCGTCTAAGATTGCAAGAGCTTCACTAGAAATACCCATATCCGGATGTAACGTTTTCAAGGTTTTCTTTATACTCGATCGGAAATTTACATCGTTCAAGTGAAGGTAACGCTTAGGTTTCTTACTCTTGGATTTTGACGTTTCAGCTTTAGTTTTAGCCATTCTCTTATTTACTTTTTTTGTAATTTTTTTTCTCGGCGACGTTGTCTTTACCGTCTCTGGGGATATTTCTGATGTATTCTCGTCTATCGTAGGTAAGATGTTGATATTGCAAAGTGTATTTCTGACCGGAAAGACTATAGTTTCTCTTCTTTGCTTTCCAGTCACGGTAGCTATATTAATCTTTTCCAAAACTGGCTTTATATTATCTTCCTCTTTACCACCAATTGCCCCCAAGGCTTCCAATTCATTGCCGCTGGAGTTGGACGAATCAGACAATAAGATAACTTCGCTTGCAGAACTATCGCATAAACACTCACAATCCAAAGATGACGAACAACTGCATTCGCATGCTGAACAATGAGTGTAGCTAACGGAAGTTTCATGTATTTGCTGCGATTTCGACATTTTGGTAGCTAATGGAAAGGACAATCCAGATTGATCTATTCATATAACTACTCAACAATAGTAGTACTCTTATGGAAAGTTTGGCGAAACATACATACTTAGAGGGGGGTGGGGGAAGTTTTAGAGAGAGAGGTGGGGGTGGGAGGTGATGGTGAAAAAGGGGGCGATGAGAAAGAACTTTAAAAAGAAATAAAACTAAAAAAAAGAGGGGGGAGAGTAAATAAAGCAATTTTAAGTTTGTTAGGAAAAAGGAACAAAATGAATAAACTACAAAGAGGATAAATAGTTTTAATAATTATAATAGAATATAATAATAATAATTAATAAAAAAAATGTATATTAATTAATAAGAAAAGGTCAGAAAAGAGAAAGAAAAATAAAACGTGTATGCGTATATGTATGTTGTATGCGTGTATAGGATGGTAAAGTAACGAGATATTGCGGCTAGAGATAGGCGCAAAGCATGCTATTTTTAGAAACGCCAAATAGGGTATGTGCTCCGCCACTCGGTGGCGTTGATTCTCTTATCCTGCTAGTAGCTTTGTTAAGTTTGTTTCGTTTGTAATAATCTTTATCCGGATATGTTAAAAAATGTATAAAATGTACGTATGACGGATTTTGATGCATGTAGATTTGATTTTCGATTGGTTGCCGGAGGCGAATTACAACCGTCTAAGAGGAAGAAAGCATCTAGGCCGAAATGTGATGAGGATATATTATTAGAACATTGGAATTATAACGAAGAAAAGAGGCAATCGCCAATAACTGATGAAGTGGAGACAAAAAAGAGGAAGCTAGATTCGATTGCTAGTCGACTATGGAAGAGCAAGTTAAAGAAAAAGAAAAAGAAAAAGGAAGAAGAAGAAGTTGACGGAGAGTTTAAACCGATATCGAATGGAAAGATGACGGATGGTTTTATGTTTCATATGAAAATGCCTTCCAAACAGAGAAAGTTGACTAGAAATGATTCAAAGAAAGAAGGTGATGAGGACGATTTAAAAATTTATATGCTGTCGCCCGAAAACTTTGAGAGCTCCAGCGAAAGCGAACTAATGGATCTACCTACGCAGGTACCACTCTCCTATCGATTCGATGCCGATACTAGGGAAGAAGGCGCCGAAGAGATGGAAGAGGATAGCGACGACATTGATGACGATGATAAGTACGTGTGTTCTATTTGCGGTAGCGTTCAACCATCCGAATGGCGTCTGCTACTCCATACCAGGGCCCATCAGGGACTTCATTCGAAATTGGCCAAGCTTTCCGAACGTAGATCGAAAGGACAAGTTAGACGAAGGCCCCCAGAGCGAAACGTTACAAAATGCGACTACGAGGGATGTAATCTCAAGTTCGAAAACACAAGACAACTAAAACTTCATCAATGGTGGCATATGGGTTACAAACCATTAGCTTGTTCACTTTGCGATTATGTCTGCAGTCAAAGAAACTCTATGAATTGGCACATGAAGAACAAGCACGGCCTAGATAAGGTGTTAACTGCTCATAAAAGAACGGCTTACGTTGGGGCCGATGGTGTTTTAGTGAGCGCAAAGACAACTTTTGCTCCTCCAGCCGTCGAATCTGTCTTAGATCTACGAACACGAAAAGAAGAGTCGTAATGTAAGAAATAAAAAGAAAGACAAGCAAAAAGGAATAACAGTATCCTTTTATTCCCCTGTAAGAGTTATTTCCTGATTTAGGTCTATAAAAATTTATAAATACACATGTACATGAATGTATACAGTATATATATATATATATACAGTACGTATATATATATATATATATATAGCCAGATATATATTAATATACTGTATAAGAATTTGTACAAGTCAAGTCCCTTTATTGAATAAAATCTTATAAGTACTTATATGTACATATATTAATATATTTATTCGCAATCTTTTTACTCTTCTATGTATATTTATTTATATTTAATAGAGTTTCTCTGTAAATGAATATTTTCACCTTGTATTTTATATGAAGAAATATACAGCAACAACAACAACAAAAAATAATAAAAAAAAAACAAATCTTATCAATTTTTATTCTTTATTTTTAGTGCATTTTTTAATTCATACTTTCTTTTCAAATTACGTAGTGAACGCTTTGTTCTAATTTTTTACACTTTTGAAATTAAGAATTATAACGTCTATTATCTCTATATAAAATACACACACACACACATTCTAGATTGATGTTTAAAGCGTCTAACTCTCATAGTTACTTAGGTTGAAAAACTAGCAACAGTGTACTTTTTTTTTTCCTTTCTTATATTTATTTCCTTTGTAAGAAATAAGGGGAATTTCTCTAGTATTTTTAGAGACGTAACCACTGATTGCGGAGGTTTAAGAAGAAGAAAATGATGCAGCGTCTACTATTTCGATTTATATTCGGGAATAAATAAAAAGAGAAGACAAGAGGAAAAAAAGAAAAGGAAAAAAAATATCGAAATAGGTTGAAATTGATAAAATCATATCCTATTTCCAAAGACTTGTCTTCCTGCTTTCTATTCAAAAAAGTTTCTTCTATATTTTTCTTCTAAAAAAATAAAAACAAACTTAAAGATTTGTCTAAAAAATTAGATAAAATGAGATTAACTCTTTGCACTTAATAGATTATATATATATATATATATATATATATATATTATATAAAAATTTATTTATAGTTAGTTATAAATTAAATATATGCATGAATATTTATAAAATTTAAATAAAGGTCAAATTTTTGAGATAAAAGATTAAAAAAGTTCTTCTCTAGTCTGAAAAAAAATTGATTTCTTTTTATCGAATTATGCTTCATCCCTACAGTGATTCGGCCTATGAGAAAGATAATCTACAATCATATAAGTTGTTGAAAAAAATAAAAAGAGGAATAAGCAAAGAAATAATTGTCGTAAAGTGTATTTTGTTTATAACCTAGTAATATGTCAGTGTATCTTGCCCACATTATCTTTGATATATGAGGAATACGATAATTTATCGGAGAACTTTTAAAAGAATAAGTGCATAGACTGTTTCCGGCGAGAATGAAAAGCGAGAAGGGAATTATAAGTTAGCATATTCTTTGTATTCCTATACTATAACTGCATTCTTTATGCACAAAAAGAAAAATATTCATGTATCTCATATATGCTTAACATTAATAGTTGGCGTCGACGGTTCGGCTTCCCTTGTTGTGTTTCTCCTGTACGGTAGCGACGCTGTTTTTCTAACTGATTTCTTAGACTTTTGAGTTTGACCTGGAAGGCTAAAGCACGTCTTTTTCAAAAACAAACGTGCATTACCAGATGCTGGACGGGCTCCCGGATGAGTTGTAAGATCATTCAAATGTTGGGCGTAGCCACCAGTAAGAACAACAACCTCCTTTTGATGCTTTTTGGACGGTTTTCCAATAATGAAAGTATGAGATTGTTCAACCTCCAAAGTTTGATAAACTTGTATGTCTTTGCATGACCCGTAGGCCGCGTGAATTTTTATATTTGCATTTTTAACTAAGTGCTGCAGGTATTGAGTTTTTTGTTTCATCGGCTCGGCCGTTAATCCATCCATGAATGCAACCATACCGTATGGAAAGTTATGTTGAGCCAGCCACGAGACGACGACTCTATGCTGCATATCTGGTCTGGCTGTAATGTAGAGTATTAGATAGCCAAGATCCTGCCACATGCGTACAACGTCGACCGCTCCGGCTCTAACCTTTGGGTCCTTTCCTCTAATAGAGACGCTAGCAGTAAATGAACCATCTATACTAAAAACAACCGTTTCCGTTTTGGGTGGTAAAACGGCTAAGCTAAAATCAGCGGTTGTATGGTCCCCTCGCACGGTCATTACAACAGGGTAAATACCAAGCGAGAGACGCTTATCTTCTGGAACCTCGTACGTTACTCTACCGCTTGAATCGGTGCGAACCGTATCTAAAAAGCACCATTCACCGTCCGGCGGCGATCTTTGCACATGAATATCAACTCTTTCACTAGATAAAGCAACGTCGAGGATACCATACATAAACTTTGCTGTTAGTAATTGCTTCTTATCCTCAGCAATAAGAACATCATTAGCCCTATGATTAGGCGCTGTATTATGCAACTTGATCGCAGTTCTCCTTTTAAGCCATTTTTCAGTTGGTTCCTCAGGTTTGTACGATCTTCCTGATAAATGATTGGCACTCGGATTTCTCCAGTCCGAGTCTGTTTGGCTTAATAGTTGCCTGAGAAGGAATGCAATAGCGTCCATCGACTCCCAGAAAGACGACTGCAGTAAATATGGCAAGGCGGATGGATTTATCTCTTTAAGAGCATCCGGACAGTATAAAACATAATCAATGCGTTTAGTTCCCCACCATTTAGCTGTTACAGCTGTTAAGTCGGAAACGCTAATTTCAGTTTCGCTGAACAGTCCCATGTGATTTTGTATGGCTTCGGCAACGTGAACACTTTGGCCATTTCCTCTTGGAAAATTTTGAAATCTCGAAACGTTAATGGGAGATATTAAACGAAATTTTTCGCTAATTAATGGCTCCAAACGGCAAGCACACGGATCCGTTGCGTAGAAAATATTGTAGATTTGCTGACAGCTAGGTTTTGGTATGACATCTGTAGTTTATTAAAAGAATTATTATTATATAACGTAAAATAAAGAAATTGCATAATTATAAATATATACTATACGTGTATAAATATATATATGTATATATGTATATATATGCTATATATGACTAGTACATATATATATATAAATATACAACGTAGAAGGTGGGGGATAATAATTAGAATTAAATGATCATTGGCTAATTTCTAAAGAACATACAATAAGGAAAGAATATTTGAGTAAGAGATAGCTATATGCGGAAAGAAAGAACCAGCAATTGATTGTATTATGCACTTTAGACAGAATTTTCTAAAGGATGATGCTGGCTCCTCCGTTCTCTATGTTTGCAGTACATTATGTATACTGCATTTATACATATATACAGTACAGGTACCCTATTTTTAGCCACTTGTTTTTTTTTTTTTCCAAAAATGAATTTTTCTTTTTTTTGGCCTAAACAAGATGTTTTAAAGAGAAGTTAAAATAAGGACAACTCATCTATCTTTAAGTGAGATTTATAAAATCTTTGTTTATCACAATAGAAATAAGAAAATTATTGATTTATGCAAACATTGACTAAATTGGTTAATTAAGTAAAAGTAGTAAGTGATAAATATTCAAGAATAATTTTCACAAATTATCTAATACTGTTACAAAATGACTTTCATTTTTACCATTCGCAACTTCATTATTCTTATTTTAAAAAATATAGAAAAATCGATTTTAACACCTCATTGATGAAAAGATATATTTTTCTTATCAAGTTTGTATTAAATACAGCTTTTATAATTCTCAAGTAAGGATAGATAATTTGTCTTCATTTTAATTTCTGGTAAAAACATCTTGCTTAGGCCAAAGTTGAAAAAAAATTTAATTTTCAAAAAAAAAAATGGTGGCCAAAAATAGGGTATCGGTACTGTATATATATATATATTCTATGTATATTAATATATATATATATATAAGTATATAAAAGAAAATAAGGGAAAAATATGCAATAAATAAATTAAAAGTAATAATAAAACAAAGATTTACATAAATCGAATAAAAGTAAAAAAGAATAAAAGAATTGATATCAGGCGAAATGTCTATTGTACGCCAGTTTTCACTTAATATTTATTATTTGTTCTATTCTTTACTATTTCTCTTTCATTTTTAATGACAAAAAAATTAATAAGTGTCTCATTACTACACCATTTTGAAATATAAATTCTATAATTAATCTTTTTTCGTAGAAAACTATTTGTTAAAAATACTCTACCATTGTTCTAAAAAAGAATTCTTTTATTCTTTTTCGTATAAAAATAAATAAATAAAAAAATAAATTATATTAGTAGGCGTTAATTTTTTTTTGCAAAAGTAATTTTTTATGATTTCTAATAAAAAAATATTTGGTTAATTCTGTTTGTTTGTTTTTTAATTTTTGTGTAGTACCGCGTATTATATTGTGCCTTCCAAGCGTCAGAAGAGATGGATCGAGAAATTGAGGAGTTGAAGCTGTTAGGACCAGAAAAAACGGAAATTTTGTCGAAAAAAATTAAATTTTAGCAAAGAAAATAATTTAAAGCAGCTGAAATTTAAAGCAAAAAAAAATAGTTGTTAAAAAAAAGACAATATAAAAAATACGAAAATATTCCAAAAAAATATAGAACATAAAAAATTTCTCCCCAAAACCAAAGAACAATAAAAAATGCTCCAAAAAAAAAAGTTGTTTAAATAACGTCTTAGAAGAAATAATTTGAAGATTATACTGATATAAGGAAACAATTTCTTATTGTAAAATGATCTTTTACAAAAGTATCAATATTTTAAGAAAAAAAATTAAATTTGTTTTTCAAAAAGAAAATTTCTTTTTTTAAAAGATATTCTTTAAAAAAAGAATAGAAAAATGAAAAATTAATTGAAAAACTGTTTTAACTTACTTTGCCTTTCATCTGTCTTGCAAAGGCGTCTAAAGGCAAGAAGTAGGCCGAGTGGCGCACCGAACATAAAAAAATCATAAACTTCGAAATTGAATTTTCCGCTTTCTCCTCCATAACTTCCAGTCGATGTTCTCCTCGAAACAGGGCAAGAGGCTGGATAACGATTTGAACTTCTAGGTGATGCAGGTTTAGTGGAATAAAACTCTTCATCGGAGCATAAATCTGGATTGCTAATTATTTCCTCTTCTTCGCTGAGTTCATTCAATTGGCTATTGGACAGGAATGGATTATTTTTTATGAGGGCGTCGTAAACCAACAAAGATCCAACACTATCTCCAATAATACAGACCCTTCCCCTGAATGATACACCTTCTTCGGACTGCAGGAATTCATTATAAACCTGATTACATTTTTTAACCATCTGCAGGACACTTTCAGAATAACTATGTAGTTTCCCCGTAGCAAAAAGTGGCACGCAGCTAACAGGAATATGATTGGCGGCTAAAATGGCAGCGTCATTGCCAATTCTTGGGACTTGTGGAAATTGGAAAGTTGGAGAGAGTGTAGAAAGCAGTTCCAACGCTTCGCTACAAATAGGCGGGCACTGAACCAATCGAACAGCAAGCCTTCCAACCATAGCGGGATAATGAGACGCTAAAACAGCATCAATTGTTGATCGCAGCGTATTAACATCTGTAGACTTCAGCTCAGATCCACTTTCCACAACGCTACCCCCGTGAGCTACCAGAAATAATACAGTCGTTCTGCACGGTTGCTGACTAGAACTTAAAGCTGTTGACGGTCCAGATGCCGTTGTTAATGGAGGATCCTGTTGTAATCGTTTATAGCGTTCCAATTTCTTATCGAACGATGTAGCTAACTCTCCATCTGCAACATCGGGTATGCTATAGATTTTTTTCCAAAATATTGCATAGTGTTTACTTAAAAATTAATAATAAAAAAATACGTTAAAAAATCTGTCCAATAATCAAAAAATTATAAAAAAAAAGAAAAACCAAAAAAAATTAAAATATATGTCAAATTATATAATCATCTTCTTTTTACGGTATATAGATATATTTGATGCAATACTTCAAAGATACTGTATCAAATTGATTTATATATAATAAATTAATAAAAGCAATAAATAAACAAACATGTACAGTATGTAAATCTAAAGAAATACAAAGATTTAATGTACATATATACAGTATATATATATATATGTACAGTTTATGTACAGTATATATATATATATATATATACATATGCATAAAATAAACACATCTATAATTATATCTATACGTCTATTCAACGTTTAGGTCGTTTTTTGTTTTTTGGTTGTTTTTTTTTTAGTCATTATTATTAGTCTAAATTATTAGTGAAAAACTATATTATTAAAATGTTGAAAAAAGAAAAAAAAAAAACAGTGCATTATTAGATGTTAGTAATTATTTTTCCCTCTAAAAAGCGCGAAATTACCAAAGACCCGTTACCAATGGAAACGACTAAACGCTGAATGCCTAGAAGGGATATTTTTTTTAACGATTTCTCTTTCTAGCAACAAAGAAAGTTAGTACTTAGGTGTGTAAATAAATTTGCATATAATTTGTACATAAATATTATGCAGTGTATTATCACCTTGTTTAGTTTCGTCGCTGGGGACGATAAATTCCATAGAACTGGATTTGAGCAAACGTTCGCGAGTTACCTCTTCTATAAGAGATGCGAATACAAAAAAAGACATTCTATATTAGAATTAAAATAAAAGAGCGCAAAGGAACAAAAGGTAAGGATGGAAAAATTGGAAGGGGTTATTGAAGTGTTCCACAAAAAGGAATTGAAAATGATATAAAGATTGCAATTAATATAATTATAATAATAAATTAATGGGCCCGGATAAACGGAGAAGGATAGTTAGCTTGAAGAAAACCAACTAAAAAAAAAGAGCTCTTTCCAGAATTAATACTAACTAGGCAATCATTTTTTATGGGAAAGTGATAAAGCTTTATTGTAAGTATACCTTGAGCGTCGTAAAATTCGTCTTCGGAACTATCGTCTTCAATATGCTCCATTCCTATCGAGCTAATTGCGTCAGCCCATGAATCTCTTTTTTGTACATCTTCATTAACGACAAAAACCGCCTTTGACGATGTAGCTTCTATTTCCACTTGTTCGGCTTCCTTTTCTGACTTTATTCCACCATTTTCCGCTTGTTTTGCTAACGCCATCTTCTCGGCAAGAGCCAATTGAGTTTCCTTTTCCAATCTTCTTATATCATCCATAGTCATTCCATTATATTCATCTTGCCAACACCAAACTTGGCGATGAGCCCTAACCATTGTCTTTCTGAGAGCCACCTCGTGAATAAACCTCTCAATTTTTGTTTGCATTCCCCAATACTTAAACTCAACCCGGCAAAGCTTGTAAGCACACATGATACGATCACCACATTCATTTTTCCAATTATCCGATAGGGGGCCTCGGCCTGTCGTCTTAGAAACGTACAATTTTGGGTCTTCCTCTGGACAATACTCTCCTCCAGAGACCGAATCTCGAACGATATCGATAAAATCTGCTCATTGGTGAATTAATAATCGTATCAATAGAAATCCGCTTAGTGTTTCCCTTAATTATGTTGATGATTAAAACGGGATAGGATTTTATAGTAATTGGAAGAGTGGGTGAGAGGGAGAATATGAAGAAATATTTGTCATTATTTAAAAATCGATCTCTTTCTACGATATATATATTAGTGTTGTACGCGTGTGTGTACGCAGTAAGCAATTAAAGGAATATAATCATGCTCTCAACGAGAGAACCGATCTCTATAAATTGATTTTTGAATCATATCACGCTTTCTACTCTCTGTCTTAGTTTATCTTACTATGTCTACTCTCAATATACAAGTAGCGTATAATATTTCAAGGTGAGAAACTGTTTCATCAACATAATTAAGTGTAAACGTCATTAACTTACCAACTGTTCTATTACGCAATTCAGACGTTGATAGATTAAATACGTTATTCTGTTCTCCTTTATCTTTTAAATACTTTGTTTCAATCTCAATACTGAATTTCTCGACGAAGGGACAACGATAGATTGTTTTTGTGTATGGGTAAGCGTTCCATGCCTCCTCTTCAACTCTTAGAGCAGACTTTGGTAAAATCGAACGAAACCAAGCTGGCAAATGGGAGCCAACGTGATAGACTTTATGAGTGTATTGACCAGGCCCGCATGGTCCTCCACTCTCGTTATATGGCTGATTTATAAGTATCTCAACTCCAGATCCAGTTCCAGAACTCTCTTGTCGACTCTTCTTCTGAATCATATACAATTGAGCAATTTGGTATTCTTCAACGGTTAGCGGGATGCATATTCGGTACTCCTTGATCAACATCTGTTTATTATTGATAAAAGAGGAATCGTTATATTATCAATTATATAGTTTCTATTACTTTCAATTACAATTACGAAGAGCAAGAAATAGTTGGCAAAAACACAACAACACTGACGATAAGCTTGGTGCAAAGAGTAGAGAATTTATAGAGGCTGCGGGATTGGGATCTCTTGCGGACAATGAGGTAAAAGAAGGTCGCTGAATCAGCGTTAAAAACGTGACGACACGCGTAGGCGGCTAAATTCGTGCCCAGGCACTGGTTAAGGGAAAGATAGAAGAAGCGTCTGACGTCAAGGGCGTTGGCCGTCGAAATTGCCTAAATTGTTGTATCTGCAAATCAAAGATCGGGATGATATTTACACATACTTACATTATCGCTTATGTGACCCGGATCAATAGGAAATCACCGCTCAAAAAATGCGGAATATTCAGATATATCTTACGCTACAGAACACGTTGATATGCAGCAATCGTTCTTCTCTCAGTATGATTTAGTGACGTCATTTACCGAGCAACGCCCTCTTTCGGCAACATGTTAGAGCTAGGCCTATCGATTGACCAAGAATAGGTTATTAATGGTACTGGCTAGATTATATCATGTTTACAGTACAAATGTATGTTTTTACACACAAACTTACAAACATATGAATATACTTAAGCGCGTATGTTTGCTAGGTTTGGTTTTTCAATTTTTTTTTATCGGTGTATTTCAATTGAAGAACAAATATGTATACAAGTAAAATGTAGGCTTACATATGGCAGTCGAGAACTGTGTCTCCCCCATCTCTTCCTTTTGTCTATCTTTCGGTTTTTAGGATTTTAAATGTCCTTAATTGATAAATCCTCTTCGGCATTGTTGAGAATCTGCTGGGAGTTGGCTAGATAGCATTGAGGTAGAGGATACTTTGACGGGTCTGGAGCAGTTTCTCTGCAAAAGTCCTTCATCTCGCCACACTTGGCTGTATCTTCAAACCAAACGCCTTCGTAGACTTGTCCTTTATCTAGGAAATAATACTTTCCGTGCCCGTGTTTCTTATCATCTTGCCATTCTCCCTCGTAGCGATTCTCATCCGACGTTCTATACATTCCTTGCCCGTGCCTTTTATCATCGTACCATTCCCCTTCGTAAACAGAGCCATCTTCATAATACATTCTTCCCCAACCGCTTTTACGGCCCATGTACCATTCTCCTTCAAAGTAAGCCTTTGTGCCATAAAAGTAGGTACCATAACCCTATTAGAGAGAAAAATGGAATCTTTGGTTACAAGCTTTGTTCGTCGTTATACTCCTTTATAGCATAAAAGGTTACATACGTGCATTTTATCATTCTTCCAGCCTCCAGAATATATTTTCTCATAGCCTCCGTCTTCTCTTGGTACGCTTAATGTACCGAAACCGTTCCTTTTATCTTCTTTCCAATCTCCGTCATACATATTTTTTGTCGCCTTCCATTTATAAGTTCCTTTACCTAAATAATAATTCATTCTATTAGTTTTTACCCTATTAAATTTCAGTCTCATTTATCCTTTTATACCGTGACGTTTGTTATTTAACCATTCCCCTGTATATTCGTTACCATTAACTGAATATACAGTATTTCGGAAGCCTTTCTTATCTGCTTTATCATTATTTATTTTCCATAATGGTTGTTTGTCTTTAGGTGGACGAATCATGATTTTTTTTAAGCTGTCGATATTTAAACTACTTATTTTGTCTATATTATCATTATTATTATATATCGTCTGGTCAATTGTCCATGACAGTTGTTGCCATAGATACTGCCACCAACGAAATATTCGATAACAACCAGTTTTTATTTACAAAAATAGAATACCGTCTACGATAATAAGTAAAAATGGCTTCTGTACACTTTCGTTTGTCTACAACTCCATAATGGATTGCTAACATATATTTCCTATTAGGGTCTTATAGATAGGCTGTATTTTTTCTAATAAGGTACCGTGGTTGACATCAACTTTTACGGTTCATTAAGGGAAAGGAATCTGAAACAAATTATTCTTAAAAATACAGTAAAAAAACAAAAATACAAGAAACTTGAATGAAAATTAATAAATAAAAATGACTAGAAACGATACAATTAGACAAACGAAAGATCCGATTGTTGATATTTTATTGTCTTCCATAAGCAGATCGGGTAAATCGAATATTTTTTTGGGTGGTCCAAATATAACCAAGCTCAGCAGGCTTTTAACTTCATCGGCCGGAAATCAAGTAAGTAGCAAATTTCTTTAACACTATACCTTCAAAATTAACAAGATTTCTTTTTTACTTAATAAAACAAACAAACAGGTAGAACAATCATTGCATAAATTGGCAATTAATTCCAAATACACAACGGATGATCCACCGATTAGTGGGACATTTAATCAAGCTCAAAGAAAAAATATAAGATCTAGCGATAGTATACACTCAAGCCAAAAGTCTGCTAGAGGTACTTAATGTATATATTATTAATAAATATGATAAAAAGGGAGAAAGGAGTAGGGGGTGTATAGCTCCATTATTCGAGATAATATATTAAAATGGTTATATTTATGAATAGGTAACAGCGGGATTAAAACGAAGACATCGGTTATTAATGTAAGTATTATCATCTGTAATAAAAAAAACCATTTGTCTCTTTTTGTTTTGTTTTTCTTCATCTCTTCTTTTTTTTCGAACCAATTAGAATGAAGCAGAAAATAGATTCTCCGACTTAAAGGATTTAGGGTTTGTTTAGTTTAGCTTTTTTTTTTCCCTCCCTTATCCTTTCATTCATTTATAATGGGGACGGCGAGGGAGGGGAACGGAAAGTAAAGAAGTAAAAGGGATGGGGGAGGAAATTGTTTTGAGGGGAAAATTGTATTTATTTTATTTAAATTAGGCCAACAATGATCATTCACGTGTGCGATGAAGCGAGAGACGTAAAAAAGGATTTCAACTGTCCCCGTCAAGTACTCGTAAGAGAGATGAAATACTTTGCCGAATATTTGTCCGGTACAGATATGCAAAGGGCTGACGACGTTGATATAAGCGTTCACTGTGACGTCACAATCTTCGAATGGCTTATGACCTATGTCAAAAGACATTTGGAAGGAAATAGTAGCAATGTACCAAAATTAGGTTATTTATTCTTTTCTTTCTATCTTTATTTCCCTTTCACATAGAGACAATTAGAATAATTTATTAAATTTTTTTCTTTCCAAACATATATAGAGGCCAGCAATGTTATATCTGTTCTAATATCATCCGATTTCTTAAAAATGGACAGTCTTGTTTCGGAATGCATCACTTTCTGCCATAATAATATGGATAGTATTCTGGCAGCTCCGTCAAACATGAACTGTATTAATGACTCACTCGTTGCGAGGTAAAACTTCACTTATATCGTTAAATTAGTATAAATTAATATTGCACTCTCCGTCCTCATTTTGAGGCATTATCTTATGAATAAATGAGTGATTTGAATAATTATCATTATTATCATATATTCCGCAATATCTTCTATAAATATATATGTACAAATGCAGCTCATAATTACATTTCTTTTCTTATCTGTTTACTTGCCCTTGTATAGGATAGCGGATGGATTAAGCCATAACAAAATCGATTCGCTTAAGGACAGAAGAGATAAGTTCAAGAGTAAATTGTTCATGAGAAAGATTACTACGTTATTCGATGCTTCGTTTCATAATACGGATTCTCCAGAGAATGCTTCAACTTTATTCTCTTGTTCGGCTTGCGGGAAGCTGTTAACTAGGTCTTTAGAATCGAAGATACCCTGTTCAAATTCTAGAATGACAATATCGAATAGAGGAACAATTACTCATACTCATATTAAGGATCCAAACTGGGATGTTAACGATTATATATTAGAATTAAAATCGAAATCTCCAAAGAATGACTGGCGTCACGTTTATTGGAAATTATGGGGGAAAATTAATTGTTTAACGTGCTCTAGATGCTCTTCTGTTTTTCAATGTAGCCAATTAAATACCTGCAGATATCATCCGCAAGCTCCAGTTTTTCTACAGGAGAGCGTTTCTTGGGAATGTTGCAAACAGAAATCATTTAGATTGGACGCTCACTCTTTAGCCAACGGTTGTCAGTTTCGTGATCATGTTGTAGATACAGTTGATGTTAGTACAACTGGATCTGGCACTATTACACTACCGTTGAGATCTAATCAAGTTTACAACGACTTATTAGCTCATAGGAATATGATATGCACTTATGATAATAATCAAAAACTAATGGAAAACAACGGCGTATATAATATATTTGCCGAAGACGAAGCCGCCACTGCCGCTAATGAGAACAGTCAATCCAAAGGAGACGCCTCAAGGCAAAGCACCCCCTGTACCGCTCCTAGATTACAAGCTTTGCAGAAAGTCGATAGTTATGATAATAATAATATCAGTGAAGATATGGCGAGAATAAATTACGCCGACGAATTTCTCGACGAAGATGAAGAGGAAGATGTTATAGAGGAAGACGAAGATGGTATTTTAGCGAAATTACGAAAAGGTAGACCTAAAAAGGTTACTGTCAACCCCGAAGCCATATTAGTCGATCCGCCAGATTTCGCGTAAGATTAGCAATTTATTTTTACCCAATTTCAAAATAAATAGAAACATTTAATTTAATTAATTTAACCTAATTAATTCTCTAACATAGGACGTTAAAATCAAGAAAATGGGATTCGACTAGATCAATAAGATGGAATCAAGATGCTCAGAGGGAAGACGGTATAAAATTCTCTTAATAATTTGCGATTAAGATTTATAAACTTAAGAATCGTTACATCTTCTCCGTAGATCAAAGAAGAACAGAGAATATCATTTCCTATCTGACGAGATTAAGGGTCGTTACTGATAAGTCAGAAAGGAATAAACAAAAACAGCCAATCGTTAGCATTTTTTCCAAATTGGAATCTTCCTGGAAAGCGTCTAATCTACCAAATCAATCGTCCAATAAGGTTTCCGTTCAACAATTAAATAGGTCTGAACAAATAAAATATGCTTTTTTTCCCAACGAATTCAATAAATCTATTTGTTTTTTCTTTCAGAAACAAACAACCGAGAAACGTTCTCCATAGATATTGAAACAAATATACAACTCATTAATATGCAAATTTTATTAATTTATTAATTTATTCCAAAAAAATAAAGAAAATAATAATGACTTTTAATTAAAATTATCGTTAAAAAAGTAATTATACCAATCGTTATTCTTTGATCGGAAATACTTTGTGAGATATAATAAATGGTAAAGGCCTATATCTTTTACCATTTTCTTTTGTCAAGCGTTTACCCTTCTTTACTACTGCTGATCTCTTCTTTTTATAATAGACAAAATCAATCCTTAGCCATATCAATATTATCAAAGCGATGAACAGTATCAAACCGCAAGCGATAAAACCCTTCGACTCTGTATAGAAGATTGGAGAGGACGATAGAAAAAATTGTTAAGAAAGTTTGAAATAAACAAAAATAGAAAAACAAAGTGACAAACTCGAATTACAAACCAAAAATATAACAAGAATCCTTTCCAGACCATTGTCCATTGTTACAAACTCTTTTAATTAATTCGCCAGTATAGCATTCATAAATCACTTTTTTTAATGTTAAATTTCCGCTTTCCTCCCTAACAACCGAGTCTTCGATTGCCGGATAAGTTAGGCAAGACATATCTAAATAATACTTTACTCTCTCTTTCTCTCTCTATCTATCTATCTATTTGTTTATCTATATTTTCTCTTCTTCTCCTCCACCTCCTCTGTTTTTTCCGTCTTTGTTCTTGTTCTGTTTCTGTTTTCTCTGTTTTCTCTTTGTTCTTCCCCCTCCTTTTTTTATTAGTTTCCTATCCTCTTCAACCGAATGTACACTGATTAATGATCATATTAGACGCTATGTAATGAAAATGACGCTATACAATTGGACAAATCTATAAAAGAATAGCTGAGTTCCTTTTGAAGGTTATTTTTGATATTGTCTATAATTTATAGATCGCTTCATTACTTATACATTTTGCGCATTTATTATATATACTATCTATATTTATTTAATAATGACACAATCCCACCAATAGACCCTCTTCTTCTTCTTTCTTCTCTCTCATAGATTAAGAATGATATCATAAATATCATTAAGTAAAATGCGTGAAATAAACGCTAAAACAAACTTTTTACGCTTGTTCTATGTTCTTTTAACGTTCTTTTTAGATGAAAGTTTTTACAAGATTTTCTTTTATTACTTGTATTATAAATTATTATTTGATATGATAGAATTTTTAGTTTTAGCCTTGTTAGTCATTTCAACAAGTTTATATCATATGCTTTTAAATATGGAAGGACAGTTTTAACATAATCTGCCAGGGTAGTCGCCAATGGCAGCGTTATAAACATTAAATTGACAAGAACGATCGATCTTCGTTCGTAGCAGGTTTTTTTCTTTACTTGCTTGCTTTATATATATATATATATATATATATATATATATATAAGTTGATAGATACTATATTATAACTACATAGAAAAAGAATTATTTCTATTATTATGACTTCTATTATCGCTCTTATCGCAATTGCTTTTATCAAGTTATATTAAGAATGGAATGGTACTTTGATTCTTGATTTATGCCAGAGATATTATGGATAAAAGTCATAAATTCAAGTTATTTTTACTTATCAACTTTGTTCAATCTATACATTGCCTAACTGACGGTTAAGTTACTTTGCTTTTTTTTTTCATTTTTTACCTAGCTAATTAATTTACATAAATGAATATTCATTATTGAAAAACCTCCACAATTGTATATTATAATCGTATTGTTTATAGTTAAACGTCTATGGCGACTGGGAAATGGAATTGTTGCATCAGAAAATCAAATAGAAGATTCCAATACAGTCTTCCTTTTACATAGAAACATTTCATTTCCTGGAATGTTGGTGTCGGTTACATCCTATTTTAAGAACTATAATAATTTTAGTATACAAGTAAGAAAGATTGGATTTTTCCTTATAATTGTTCATTTATCTTGTTCATTTCCCAAAGGTATGGAGTCTAAACGACAATAGTTTAAAGTATACTTTAAAACAGGAGAAGAATATTGCACCTCAGAAATCGAGGGATGTCGATACGGTATTGCAAGATAATCTATCATCCTTAAATTTGTTTGATTGATCAAATTCCTTAAAAATAGATTGCTTTAGATTCAAATGATTGCTTAAAGATTGAAAAAGGAAATAGCCTAGCTATCCTTATTAAGGAGACTCCTAGCTCTATTGTTTATACTTATAATTTCTCAGCCCCGAATAGTTTAACATATTCCATTAAGGATAATTCTCCCTTAATCCCTAACAAAACTGTTGAGTTTAAAAGGTTTATAATCCCTTTACAATTTTCTATCATATTTACTATGCAAGTTGGTAAGGTCCCAATACTTAAATTGATTATTTAATTGCCAACTTCTTATACAGACCTCTTTCAGTTCCTAATTGGACAAGTTTCTCTTGCGACGACTTGAAGAATGAGGAGAGTACGTCGTCAGCAACAACAACAACAGCATCTACAAAATTCCCTTTTAATCAGGAGACGACTGCCAGAATAAATTTAAAAGGAGACAAGGGCGAAAAGGGTGAAAGAGGTGTTAGGGGTAAACCCGGCGAAAAAGGCGATAAAGGTTCTAAGGTCTGTTTATTTATTTCTGTCTCTTCCAAATGAGAAACGACTTTACTTTCCTTTACTGCGATAGGGGGAAGAAGGTCTAACTGGTCAGCAAGGTATTAAAGGTGATAAAGGTGATAAGGGAGATAAAGGTGATAAAGGCGTTAAAGGTGATAGAGGTGATAAAGGAGATCGTGGAAAACCTGGAAAGAGAGGTGAAAGAGGTCCGCCAGGTCCGCAAGCTTCCCCACCCAATGTAACGAGTCCATTAGTCGATTCTGCTAAATCGCAAACGAAACCCGAACATGATAATCTGGCAAAGAACTCGATTATAAGCCTTCTACTTGTTTGGCAAAGTTTATTAACAATTACTTTGATCGGTTATTGCTGTGTAACCATTTGTAGGAAAAAAGGATCAATAGGTTCAAGAGTTTGTCCGTCAACATCAGTTGCAGAAAGAAATTACTGTCAAGAAGATAATGGAAAAAGATTCCCTATCAGATGGAACGCTGGTATTCATTCCTTCAATAATTCCAAGGTCAAGGTAACATCTGATGCTTAATACTTGACTATATGAATCATCATTTTCCTCTAGCAGCTGACAATTAATAAATAAAAAATTACAAAAGCGTCTCTTTAATATTTTTTCTTATTCCAAAATAAATAGGCAGGGGGAAAGGGAAAGGGAAGAAAAGCTTCTCATTTCTTTTCCTTCGTCCTATATCTATAATAGAAGCCGTTTCAAGTTGCCTTTCTGATTTAATGTAATACCTTAAATAATAAACGAAAGAACAAAGTGTGGGGAAAAATACAACTGGGTCATTCGGAATTATTCAATTTCCTTAATTAAATTGCATCACTTAGAATGGTCCTTTAAAAAAAATCTCTCAACAGCAAAAAAAAAACAGGCAAATCGATGGATATATATGATATAGATAGAATATGAAATGAAAGGAAAATAGAGAGAAAGAGCAAGAGCGAGGGAGAAAGAGAGAGAAAGAGAGTTATTTGCATTTCCACGACAAAATGGATATAAAATAGAGTATTCTACAGATGATAGTAAAGCCTATTAGAATTGACTAGATTCTTTGTGATTCTCTAAAAACACTAAAGGGAAGCGTGATTTTGCATTTACGGAATTTTAGTTTTTCTTCTTTCTCTTCCTCCTTTTTTTTGCTTCATAATCTCTCTCTCTCTCTCTCTTCTTAAGCTGTATAAATATATGAATATACTATACATACGAAAGTCTATTTTTAGAAACAATTTATAAAAATTATACAAGCAATGCCCTCTATCGATTAGAAATATGAAGGGATATTTAATCATATCAGACGACTGGAAAGGGTTAAGCTTCTTGAGCCCCATTCTACTAGTATCTCAGGTGCCAAGAAATTAACAATATACTCATTACAGTTGTCGTTTGGCTTAATGAAAAGGGGTTGATACGTGTATTAGCTTTACCATAGTTGAGTATTATACTATATCGAGGACAATTACCATATAGAAATGATACAGCGTCATTATTTTATACAATACGCTCATCCAGGTTAACAAATGTGATTGTGATGAAAAACTTATTGTCTTAAAGGGCAACATAGTCTGAATAATAATTCGAGTCTCTTAGCTATTTCATCCATCTTCTGCAAACAAAAGTTATTTAACGGATGTTTTCATCTTTTCCTAATTTATATGCTAACTTGTTATCATAAGCTTGTTAAATGAGTTTGTATAGTAAATATTCTTACTCTAATTGGAATGTGGGGCTTATTTGTAAAGAAGACAGTTAAAGAGAAACAATCTATATAAGATGTATAAACGCTGCTTCTGGCGAATGAAAAGAGAAAGACAGAATGAGCTTAAGTAAAACTGTAACAAATATCCATTATTAATATTCGTAAAGAGTTGAGTCAGCGTTGAAAGGGACACATTGCCGTTTTAATAGTATTTAGAGAAATGGAGGATCGTCAAAGAACATTCCCTTTTGAAAGGAAAAACTTTCAAACCCTTTAAAGGTTTTAATAAGGAATATTTTTGGTTTCTTATTTAAAACTTGTACATTTCGTCCTTCACCTTATCTCTTTTCCTCTTTCACCTCCCAAACCCCGCCCCCCCCCCCCTCTTATTCACAGAGTGCACACTAAACTCCCCAATAGAAAACAGCAGAATAGACATATAAAAACATCTAATTTATCCTATAGATTTGTCTTATTAAAATGAAGGATTACTAATACCCATAGAAAAAAAAGACTAATGAAAACGTACACAAGTAATTATCATAGGCTGTTAAGTCGCTTATGATCATCATTCGATGCAGAGTGGCTTAATTGCTGTAATTATACATGCGCAAATTTTTTAGTCTATGACCTCTTCTACTATCATTTTTTTTTTTACTATTCTAAATGATTTTCAAGTATATTCATCATGCTATCAGTATTCTTGTTTTTGCTTGTTTTATCTCATCTTCTTCTTCCTCAGGTAAAAATTCTCTTCAAGATCGTAAATCTATCCTATCAGCTTTTTATTGAAATTAAAATCTGAGAGACAGAGAGAGACAGAGAAAATTTCTAAATTAAAATTCATTTAAAAGGTTTTAAAGGAGAAAAGGGAGAAACTGGACTAAGAGGTGATTTTATTTTGTATTCTATTTGTAGAGCTATAATATCTAGGTCTAAACATGCTACATATCAATCCTTTCCTAAGGTATTAAAGGTGTGAAAGGGCAGAAGGGAATGGATGGAGAACACGGTTTTAAGGGGGAAAAAGGAATGAAAGGAGACTATGGCGATATCGGTCCACCAGGCTTACCAGGTATAATGGGAAGAAAAGGAGATGAAGGAAAAATGGGCCTGCGGGGTTTACCCGGAATTGAGGGAGAACTTGGTCTTCAAGGACCGATGGGAAAGAAAGGGGACAAAGGTAAATAGATTAATGAGCTTGAAATGTATTATTCATTATTTGAAGATGTTAGGCGATAGGGGTGAACATGGCTTAACTGGGCCTAGTGGAGAGAAAGGTCCGGCCGGCGCAAAAGGCTCTCAAGGTTTAGCTGGAAAAAAAGGCGCGAGAGGTTGGAAAGGTACGCCAGGTTCCAAAGGCGACAAGGGCAATTCTGGTCCAATAGGTCCAATGGGTCCAGTAGGTCCAATCGGACCTTCTAATCGTCCCGGTCAACGAGGTCCACCAGGACCGCCTGGCAAATGTACTAATAAGAATCTTCATAAAATATTGATAATAAGCGCCGGAAGTTCACTAATAATGATCATTCTTTGGCTAACTATATTAACAATATACCTAATAAGTAAATCTCGTATGAAACGGGAAAAGAAGCGCGAGAAATCTCCTAGTTTGTACCTCGAAGCGACGACAAACCAATTAAATCATCAGTTGGAGTATATAAATGATAAAAATTTTTGATGAGTTTTACTTCCATCTATTGTTCTTTCCCTCTGTCTTTCTTTCGCCATCCGCCTTTTTTTCTTCTTACTCTCTCTCTCTCTCTCTCCGTATTATCTATTTTATTCATTTTTAATTGGTAATACAACTATTAATAAAATGCTATAAGAAATTATTCAAACACGAAGATAAAAGTGAGTTTTATTAAGCAAAAAGTTCCATTCTACAGAGTGTTCTTTCTAGTTAAAAAGTAGGAGTTAAATACGCCTTTTTAAGAACGTTAGATGGCGTTAAGTAGTTTACTACGAAATAACAATACACAGAGTTTTTATTGTACAATTCTTGGAAGTTTAGGAGTATGGTGTATAGGTAATGAGAGACAACGTAACTTCTAATTATCCTTTGTCCAATATGAAGAAAAATGAGAGAAAATATCAGAAAAACAGCTTTATTTTGATATACCTTCAATGCACTGCATACGTAATTGTTTAGTAGTAATCTATATAGATTTTCTGGCATCCATTGAGTAGTCGATTGGTCCAATATTACTGAAATCAGCAGGTTTTTGTTCTTCGTAGGGTGGCTTCGATCTCTGACTTCTACGATCAACTGGATTTGCGGTACGCGAATAGCCCAAACAAGTTGGAGAGTAGTCATTGTAAATTGCCGTATTTGGTGTAAACTGACCAAAATTTACACCCGAGTAGGAATAGCTAGAATTAGGATAAAAACTCGTGCTACTAGCGTTAGAGTTTGCCTGTCCATTGTATCTCATATGAGGATTGGACGATTGTCGATAAGTCTGTCTAAGATTCGGATTGACGTGCTTGTTGTACGAATACTGACAATAGCAAGTAGGAAAATAGCAACGAAAACTTGCGGGACTATTATCAGTAGACCTCATTGTTGTAGCAGATCTTGAATAGTCGGGTCCGTGACGAGATACGCGCTGTCTACGCGGGACCTTTTGAAAGAAAGATCTGTCTAATTGAAACTGCGGAGGTGGTCGTTGTTGTTGCTGCTGCTGTTGTTGCTGCAAATGATGTGTAAACTGGAGCTGTTGTTGAGTAGGGGGAATTGAACTTTGATTCTTTGAATCTTGTTGCTTTAGAACGTACGACTTTGATTCCAGGAGGAGAGTCATAGTACAAACCTTTTCTTCTTCTTCCTTATGAAAAAAGGCCTCAGATTGGGTTTCTTTATTGAAAGAAACCACTTTAGAACTCTCTTCGACGGCTTTTACGCAATCAGGAGGTTGAGCGATTTTATCTAGCTTAGCGTTTTCCTTCTTTAGAAGAGCTTGACTCTTTAATAATATCTTTTTCATTTCGATTCTTTGGCCTCTCACAGGATGCAAATAAACAACGTAATACGAATACCTGCAACGACGCTCAGAGTTCAAATGATGGCTCCTTGTGGCGAACAGAAGAGCAAATAAAATCTAATACTTTTCAAGCTAAGAAAATTAATTAATTTATTATGGCATAGCATTAATAATAAGTAGTAATACTTTACCTACTGTTTGTCTCCGCGATCGGAACTAAGACAAAACGAATCGTTGATCTCATATAATTCTATCTCACTTTGTACCGCATCCTTTCATTGTCTGCGCTATTCTTGTTACCTTTTCACAACGATACTTACCTTTTCCGGTATTATTCTCCCCACCTCCATTGATAATTTTAGAATGTTCTTCGTAGAGATCAAACGTTTATGTACAAGTTGAAAATTCTTCTCTTCTATAAATATATAAATTAGATGGAAATATCTCTAGTTTTTACCTATTGATCTTTTAACTTTCCTACCTCTTTATATAGAGATATTTTTGTTTATCTTCTTTATTTCTCCCCTTCCAAAGTCATAATACTTCATGCAGCTTGTTCATTTATAAACCAACCTAGAATATATTATAAAAACAGCAGTCGGTATGACTTAGTCGAATGCTCTAATTTCCATTTGTATACAAAATGTTACAACTTTATCTAATGTGCAAGGTATAAATCAAGCTCATTTAATTCCCCTAAGCTTTAACGGAGAATAAGCAATTGGTGTTGTGAAGATACACCAAAGCTGTATTCAAATAGATTGTAGAATATCCATGGAACGAGAAACTACTGTATTTATAGGATATTAAAATGTTTACGAAACAGTTTGCATAGATGATGATATCAATATAAAGTAAGCAAAATGATACAAAAACGAATAAATTATATATATATATATGTATACTTATATAATAATTAAACTTATAAATTACTTTTCATTATCGAGTAGATAATGTTTTCAACAGATTTATAGCGCTAGCTTTAAGCCAGCCTTTTCCTTACGAATTTTCTTCTTCTCCTTCGCCGTCTTGTCTTCTACCTATTGACATAATAAAACTGTTAATTTTTTCTCTATAGATATTCAACTAAAACTGTCAAACCTTATTTACGTCAATGTTTTCTTTATCCAATACAAAACTACTTATTTTCTCCTGATCCTCAGTCTTTTCTATTGTTTTCGCCGCAATATCACCTTCAACTTTGTTATTATCTTCATTCAACTTTTCAAATTGGTTCTCGCCGCCATCTTTATTATAAGTTTTTTCCATAATATTGTCGTTCTTCAAACGTCTTTGCCTTCTTTTACGCGCTTTAGTTGCTAACCTATTCTGTCCCACTTCGTTTGAATTAGTTGGACTTTGTTCCTCCTTCTTCGCAGCTGAATGGGAATTTTTATCACCTTTCGATCTAGCTTTTTCTTCCTTGAAAAAAGGCGCCAAAAGTCTTTTGACAATAATTCTTCGCAAACATAACTTTTTCTCAGCATCAGGGTCAGGAGATGATTCAGCTTGGACTTCATTTTCTTTGGGCTTATCTTTTGTGGCATTATCTTCTTTGGCTTCAAGTTCCTTCTTCTCTCTGTCAGCTTCGCGCTTTTTTTTCTAATTTGGAGTATATTTTTGTTCATAACAAAACAAAAAAACCTTACCTACAATACTTACGTTTTCAAGCGACTTCAAATATTTTAGAAATCTTATACGCTCGTGGGCGGGATTGAATGGGCATTTTAAATCACCCTTATCAATTTTACACCGACGGCGTATACTTCTCAAAATGGCGTCATCAAACGGGCCTTTACCACCATCCTTTATTGTACAGCCCCCAAACTTCCTTACAACTTTTAGCTCATGCTCTTCCCCGTTGGAAGTTATTTCCAAAACGATCTCCATCGCACAAGCAAAACGCTTGTCAGGAACTGTTTTAGAGAATTTCTTGTGGCACATAAGGTTGTTGGACGGTTTAGGAGGTATTTCAGTGGGCGGCTGACAAGGAATGGATGGTAACTTTTCTTCTGAAGTGGATGTTTTAGTCTCAGGGACGAAATCTTTAGCAGGCGCGGACTCTTTATTTTTTATGGGAACTTCAAACCAACTTCCATCTTCGGGATTAAATTGTTCCATAACTTTAAGCCTGTTGGTAAGACAACTGCTTTACAAGTTACTTAAGTGGAAAATAGTTCAACTTACGTCATTTTTGTCATGTTTGAAAGATAACTTTTTCTGGTAGCTCACGCACGTGTTGCACACTGTAAGGGAGATGTCGTAATGCTCTTTTACCGGTATATTCTACCGGAAGAGCCTCGTTTTGAAAAATACTGGCAAAAAAGTCAACTCTTCAATTTTATCAAATAAGTTTAAGCCTTCATAATGATTAAAAAGTATAAATCAACCTACTTAACTAATCGCTTAAATCTGTTTTCTTAATAATTTCGTTTACGAAATAATTAATCTATGAGAAACCGATATGAAACCTAGATCATTACTGATGAGCGATAAGACGCAGTCCGCAACTCTTTCACGTTGTAAGTATTATCTCTTTTTATTAAAGTTTATTTGATTTATATTTACATTAAATAGCATAAATTTACATTACAATAAAATCTGACAAATTTATATAATATAATGTTTAACAAGCTCAGCGTGTGACTAAAGAAAAGTTCTCTCTAACAAACGAGTGAATTAGGATAGAGTCGAAGTTTACATGATACTTCTTAGTATTTTATATTCTTGATGAATTTTTATATATTAGCAGATCAGATGTAAATAGCCATAATCAAAACGACTAATTACTTTCTCATCTATATCTAGATAAGAATCATCACTTCTGCTTTGGATGAGGGATAGAGAGAGATAAGTGGGTTATGATCGGGTCGGATCAAATCGACATCTCTTACTGTTAAATGTAAGAAGAAGAGAGAAAGAATTTTCAAACGGTAACAAGTGTTCGCCAAGAAAGGCGACGTCAATCAATTGCCAAATTCTGGCTTCATCAAGAAAAGTTGGGGTGGGTAAGGAGCAAACTAAAACTTCTTACGACGAACTGACACAGACAGAGAATTAACTCATGCTGGATTGTAGGTAAAAATGAATGATATACACTACAATCTGGTATTTAAGCACTTTACATTCGTAAACGAGGCTAGACGGTCACGTGCAGGACGGATCACCCGATATTATTTTTTTTTGTATACTTTTAATAAAGATTTTTCCCGCCAATCTCCTGATCCTGGTGCCAAGTTTTCAGTTGACCTACAAAATTTCAAATCGAAATCGAGACAAATGTGTTAAAATGAATGCATGCTTTATTAAATAATAAAATATTCAACTTTATATTATTATTAATTATATTAATTATTATTGATAATATATTATTATAATGATAAGAATAATTAAAATTTCAAAATGTTCCACAGTCATACCAGTAGTAATCTGTTGAACGCCCACCCATGTTTAGAATATGAAGACATAATCTCGACACTTCAAAGCTTATATGTTTTGACTCTATAGATCTTGTGAGCTTGTCAATTAAATTATTTAACATTTCAAAGAAACCCACCACAACAATAGTCAAAGCGTTAACCATTGTTCTGATGTTATAGGCATCAAATTAAGGTTACACAGTTGACCTTAAACCGTTCCTTTCTTCGTCGTCATTCATAACTTGTAGGCTTCATATTGACGCCTTTAGCTGGTCGTATTATAATTATTCACTTTCTAATGAAACTAGTTTCTCAATAAATTGTTCATATTCGAATTTTGGTTATTTTTCTTACGTTTATTAAAGAAATGTTAATGGAAAAAACACTTTCTTTAATTGTGAATGTGACAAGTTTTTGCTATGGAATATTGTATCTTTATCATAAGTGTCATGATGTAATACCGTTTTTACTTAAAATATAAACTTTGGCTAAGAATTATTAAAAGTTTAATAATTTTATTTTTGGTTTAATTTTAAAAAATGGCGGCCATTTTATTATTTAATGACCTTGAGAAAAAAGTTTCTGGAAAATTCTTTAATAAACCTATACTAAAAAAAACTCTTCCCGCCAATTTATTTGACCTTTAATTTTCATTGGATAGCCTCGTTTGGAGATAGCGTCCTTTTTACAATAGCTGATTGGTTGAAATTTAGCATATATATAAAATTTCTTCCAATAAACGTCCTTTTGAATTGGGAAACTTGGCCGGTCCACCGATTTCGATGAAAATTGTAAATTGTTGTTGACTTGGTCAAGATTGGACAACTTTCTGCAAGATGAACTATTGTAGGTGCTGAGTGAGTTCTGATATGAAATATGTAAGTAGTAATTAGTTTTTTATTTATCCATTAAATAAATAATTTAAAAATTATATCCTTTTTAGTCATTCAAAATGGCAGACCATCTACCCACGTGGATCTGTTTGGTTCATCTTTATCAATAAGTCATCAAGCCAAAGTTTCGTCCGTCCCAAAACAGTCAATTATACTTTACATTTCTTGGTTAACTGATGAGAGTAACAGCTTTTCTCTGAAGTCGGTTCACTGAAGTGAATTGTACTAATTGACAAAATATCGTCTTGAGGGAAGCTTCGCTAAGATGCGGTTCTCCAGCAGATATTGTAAGTAACCTAATAATTTTAAAGTATTGTTTTCTGATATTTTGATATTTTCAGTTGTCCGCCATCTTATTGGCGAAACAATTTTAGTCATCAGCATCACGTGCTGAGTCGATTGGAATTTATTCTATCGATCTCTCCAGATACTCGTACGATCCCACTATTAATGGTTTCAACAATACAGATGACCATTTGTCGCGACTTTTGATTCGACATTAAATTGTTCCTGCGCATGTCTTGTTAAATATTAACCTTACTGTTTTTTGTTACTATGTAACGTCTAACACCTTACGGCTTCATTCCTGAGATGTCTGATTAAAAAAAAGCATCTGGTTAAATGTTTTTCAATTGACGTGTATAGATACTTTATTATCATTTTGAATATGATAGCTACGCAATTTTTTTTTGAAAGTTTGTTACTCTGACAAAAGTTAATCTTGAAATAAAAAGTTAAATGACTGATGATTGAATACTGATATTTATTATTGATTAGTAAAAAACAATTACAAAGTTTTAGGTCTTCACTCAACTAATACATTCATAGTCTTGTTACCATGGTTACAGAAACTAATTTTTTAATGCCTCTTTCCACCGCATTCCGAAATAATTGTTACTTATTCTTCGTTATTAGTTTTACTTTGCATATGCTGAAAATACTCTTCTAATAAGGAGTTTCTTTGAAAATTTAAATATTGTTCTTTTATATATCTATATAACTTAGTATAAATATAATTAATTATATTAGGGTGTTTTGCAAGAAATTAAAAATGGCGAACGTCGCGTCAAAAAGGGTTTTTTCAAATTTTGCTTTAACGTCTCTTTTTTTGTGTACAAGCGTTTTTTTTAATTTGTTAAAAAATAATTAATGAGATAATTTTATTTTATCAGTTCTTTTCGAATGTGTATTTAATAATTTTGCGTTAAGAATTTTTTTTTGGAGTGTACGAGACTTTCATGCTAGGTCACGTGGCTTTATAATCACATGGTATTTATGTAATACATACATAATTAACTGATATTCGAAAATATTATATACGTCAATAGAAAGATGTCAGAGTCGACGAATAGAGAAAGTTACTTGGACAACAGTCCTAAAAAAAGCTCGGACCGCTTTAGAAGAAGTTTTCTCAGCGGGGAGTTAGAGCCAACTAAAGAACGTATTCAATTTCTAAAGACTGTACAGACGTTGAAGACTATAAGTGTAGCTCGTAAGAAGGCTGGTAAAACTTTAAGTAATCTAGCACCTGATAATTTAATTCCAGAGGACTATGTCAAACCGGATCAATTGGGAAGGCAGCCTATCAAACCAATGAGTGATAAACCATATCCGACCGAAGAAGAAGCTTTGGCAGCCGCTACGGACGAGAATGGCTATTTAGATAAAGATAGAGTGGTGAATCATTGTTTACTAGTTCTTTCCGGAGTGATTACAGAATTGGCCACTTTACTTCCAAAAGTTTATCAGCTACGTAGAGAAGTGGGTGTAAAAAAAATTAAAGAATTGGACAAACTAATTGAAGGCCTCAAAATGAATCCCTAAAGAAGAAGTTCAAAATTGATTAATGTGCTAAAAAATTATTCACTTATTAGTGTAAGTCAACCCTCTTTAATAATCTTTATTAATAATTTATTTCTTATTATTCTGAACTTTTCTTCACTACAGTATCAACAACAATATCCAACCGTTAATTTTTCTTCATCAGTAAAATTATTATATATATCTTTTTGAACGTTTGTTAAAAGTTGACCTTTATCATTGATCTCGTAATCTTTTTGGAAAACGAAAAAAAATTGTTCGTCTTAAGATGTACAAACTTTTTATTGAGTAGTAATTATTAATCTATACAGTAATATAATGTAAGTTTTGTTTACTATATATATATATGTTCATAGGTCTAGTAGGTGCGTCTCTTCTATTTTTTATGCACAATAAACACGAAAAATGATTGAAAGGATGAAAAGGAAAAGTTTTATAGACATAAAAGTAGTTCATTAGCCAATATTAAGAGATATAATATAAATATAATCACAAAATTTACAGCGAATAGTATGGAGGAATTATTCGGCAAGTTGCAAACGTTGGAATTTCCTTGGTCTGAATTATATATAAAGTGTTGTTACGGAAAAAAGGGAGAAAATGAAGGAGTAGTAGTATGACACTAACCTGCTCTTTCTCCTTCGTAGCTTTCCTTGGTTATCTGTTACAAAGATTGACTTTAGCTAAATTAGTAATTTATTCTGTCTTTTGAAATTTAAGAAATTTACTTTTTCTTTCATCTCGATTGCCTACTAAAGGTAATGTTCCGAGTCTGTCAATTTCAGAGATAATCAGTCCTCTTATCGACATAGAAGGGCCCATGTACGTTTCAAAATGGGGAACGAAAACTGAAGGAATTGGTATTTCTTTAAAATAATGCGCAAAACAATTATCTAAATGCAAACTGTTAGCTCTTGGAACCGGTAGTACAAATTGATGATTTTGGGAAGATTTATCTTCGCCTTCCCTCTCCAGAGAGTTTGATTTGTCAAAATTAACCTTTTGTTTTTCAAAATCGCTATCTAATTTGTTGTTAATCTCTCCCTTAATTGGATTTCCGTCATCGCTTCGTCCGTTATCATTTTCTGCTTTCTTTTTAAAACACGGCTGTATATTTACTACATCAGCTTCCTTTGGCATTGATATTGTATCCTTTCTGACGAGTACTGTTCCCCACTTCAGCGACATTGCATAATAGTGAGCTGGACACCAATCATCCCTATTCTTTTTATAACCACTGTTCTTGAAAATTTCAGGCATGATTGGTAGTCCTATTTTTTGGAAAAGTTATAAAAAATTTAAAAATTTTTGTCTCGGTCGTCTTTCTTAGAATAAAGTAAAAAAGAATTAACTTGCACAATTCTTTGGACGTCTATGCTCCACATTCAGAGAAGATAGTGATAGTTTAGACCAGTTGGTAAGCAAATGCTCAGCCGACTTTTATTGTAAAAGCTGGTAGTTTTTTTATACGCTTAAAAAAAGCATGTCTCAAGCAGTTTTTTAATATAGATTTCACAGTAAAAGTTGTCTTTTCTATATTATTATACAAATGCTACCTAATCCTAACAGTGCTAAGGCTGTTTTTTTTAATTGTTTTTTATTTGTTCTTTTTTTTTCATCTTGTGATAGATCTCTGCATCAGACACCCAAGTCAGACACATAAAAAAAACTAATAATTAAAAAATATAAGAAACATCTAGTGGGTTTTAAAAGTTATATAATAATATTTGACTAACTTGAATAGTTTTTCTTTTCAAAGAGGTGTTGGAACTGGAAAAAAGAAATTCAAAAGTATACAGTTTCATTTCCGGAGAAGAATCTGTAAGATAAGTAAATATATACTGATATATAATTGCAATCTTCTCGCAGTTAGGCTGAAAGCTCTTTCGTATAATATTTATGCAGTGCATAGCCAATAAGGCATAATTAAAAAGCTTATCTAGCAACCTATTTAACCTCCAGCATGTCAGCTCAGGATGAGATTACTTGCGAATTAATTAAGAGGACTTTTCCTTGATTTCTTTTTAAATATAACAATCTGATTTGTACAAAATACAATTAGATTGCAGCTAAACAAACAAAAAGGAAGGTTATTTATATAAATAAGCTAAACAAACAAAATTATAATTACTGAAGACAAAAAAAAGACATTTTTTTTAGATGTTTATGATAATGAGAATTGTATTCTTTACTTTTTGTTTCCTTGTTCATTTAGATAAGTTCGAGGAAAAAAAATACTAAAAATGCACGAGATGAATAATGTTGCACAAATGGGAATTAATAAGTTCTTGTATGAAAGGAGTAGCACGCTGATTAGTAGGAGCTAGTAATATACAAATGAAAATAACGAATATAAAGCAGTGTTTGTTTTTTCTTTTTTTTTAGCATTATCCGTTTGTCTTGTGACATGAATATACATTTTCTATAAATAAGCCTGAAAAGCTGAGTTTTCTGTAACAAATACTGTTTTTCAATTAACATATAAAAAAATAGTTTTTTTCGTGATAAGTCTGGAAAACGTATTACATAGTTATATACAGTTGATAAGACATTTAATGTTGAAATCTTTATTATCATTACAAAAGCATGAGCTTTTCGAGAGACGGTTGAAGAAAAGAGGAAAAAAGCGAAAGTAATAATTTATTCGTTATCTTCGTCATCTTTATCATTTTCCTTCTTTTCCTTTTTCTTGTCCTCTTCGATCTCTGGATCCTAGAAAAGTTAAACAAAAATGTATCTCTTATAAAACAATTTTATGACTTCAATATTTAATTACAGTTTGAGATTCAGTTACTTTCATATTCGATTTGATCTCATCAAAGCAGCTGTCGCAAGCTTCTTCATATACTCTTGACAATTCATCTAGAACATTGTTTATAATTTCGTCGGTTTGAACTCCCCAGGAAGCATGGGAATCTTCTTCTGACCTAAACCAAACATTAGGAAATTATTAGTGTTAATTCTAAATTATTCTCTGCTGGCCTTCTGTGAAAAAAATTAAAAGGATTGATTTTACTTAATTCAATCGGTTTAAGAGTTAAGAAGCTAAGGAAAAATTAGATATTATTGCAAAAAAAGAAAAAAACATCTACATATTTTATACATTAGTTAAGACTGATTTTGAAAGTACGAACCCTTTTAGATTTTTGTTAGGAAACCATATGTCAAAGTATTTCCAAATTTGATTGTTAAATGGTTCCAGATCAATGGATTTTTGGTGGGAAGTGTTTGATTCTTTGTGAGATCTTCTTGAAGTGTAAGGATGGAATATTTTCCTAGATCTGTGATGTAGACTCTTCAGCGACGGCCATACCGGGTCATCGTTATAATTATCTTTAGTCAATAGAAGATCTAAGGTCCCAAGATCGCGGCAGTCGTTCTGGGTGAACACTTTTCGGCTCTGCTCTATTAGGCTCGCTTTCAGAGGGACATTTTCTGTATTTTTGTCACCACTTTTGTAGTCAATTTGTGGAACGTATTTGTCATCGAATGGATTAGTTGGGTGATGCGTTGGTCCGTGGGAACCTAAAAGGACGTATCCTAGGGTCCATTCTGAACTCACGTTACTGCCACTATGATTATTTTCGTTCCACTGCTCACCATTTGCTGTTACAGATGTTGATGAGCATTCTTCAGATTCTTCACTGTCTTTTTCAAGTTTATCAGCTTTATCTTGCTCATAAGTAGATAAAAGATCGGAAGATGAAATTCCATTATATTGTGTTGCTCCCTTGTCTTCACTTTCTGAATCGCATGAATATAACTCCTCAGCCTCATTTTCAATATCATCCATCGTGGATTCGTAGTCACCTTCTGTCTGTTTTTTCTTCCCTTCTTCATCCTTCTCCTGCTCTCTCTGTTCTTGATGTTTGTTCTCTGAAGAATAAGTCTGAGCTCTTTCCTCGCATCTTTTAACCAATGAACTCTTTAATTCAAAGAACTGATCTCTTTTAGTTCTTAAAATCTTACGCATTTCCTTCAGCTTTTCCAACATTGACTCGAAATCTTTCATTAGATCTGACAGTATTATAATAAAAAATTAACAAAATAAAAAAGAAGTTAATTAAAGTGTATATTACTGTCAAAATTATCGATATCGAAAGGAGTTTCAGAAGGGTCGTCAACCGAATCACTAGTGATTTCCGACAAATCGGGGTCTTCGTTAAATTCATCGCTAAAAATTATCAGTCATCAATATGAAATACATATTTTTGTATGATAAATTGACTTACAGCTTGCTCTGTAGACTAGCTATTGACTGATCTAACTGCTGCATCTCACTTTCTGCTTTCCTGATCAACTTATCAAAACTCTCTATGAGATACGTACAAGTTTCACATTGGGAATCCATCTTTTTTTCTCAAACAGCTATTGACGATATGCTTTGTCCTGTAAAAAAAACAGAAATAGTATTATAATTTATAAATTGCCGCCGAAATAGTTATTATTCACAGTATTTTCGAGATAGTACTGGCTTGTATAGGAAGTAGAGAGAAAATATTTTTTTTATAAAATGCTCTCTCTGATGTTGGAGGCGAAATAATAATTATAAATTACTAATCTTATTACTCCTGCAAGCTCAGCGTTTAGAACTGGTAAAAAATATCTATTTATTAATTAATATTCATTAGTTGATACTTACCCTGACTGTGAATAATTACAATATTCTTTAAGAAATAGTTCTATTAATTACGTTTTATTACGTTTTTCTTTTTACCTCGCAACATATATAAGCTTTTGTTAGTGTTCTTGTTAAAATGCTAATTAAGAATGATAAGAATCAAACTATTCTTTATTTCGTAATGTTAATCTTTAATTGAAAGTAACAGAACATTTTGTAGCTCGGCTATAAGATAAAAAATATTCTTTTTTCAACCATAAAAAACATAAAATAAAAACTAAAAGATTAAAAAAGAGACATTCGCCTAATAATTTACAGTAAGAGTGTTAAATTTACAGATGTTAGTCACATGCTTGGAGCAACGTTTTCATTTACCTTTTCTTGATGAAACAACTCGTTGAAGGCCTGATATTATCCTGGGAGGGGGGAACGGCGGGTGGTGATGGTCAGAAGTATTACAAGGCGTTTGACCTTTCCGAAACCTAAATGTTGTTAGATATATTTCAAGTTTGTCAATAGTAACAATAGTATGAATATACCGTATAAATATAGAAACCAGGATCCGACTCTTTCCGACCGGTAAAACAATTCCACTTAGCTCTTTTAGACCTATGGTCTCGCTAAGAATTAGAAAATGCGCCAAAGTGTTTAATTTCAACACCTTAAATCAATTACATTATTGTATAAGGTTTGTTATAGCCGCTTGTCAGCTTTTTTGACAATTTAGCCTAGAAAAAACTTTATTGGCCTATAGTTTTGTGGCCTATTATTTACCGGTTGTGATTAAATACGGGCCTATTATTCATTAAATTATAAATTATAAAATATGCAAAATATTTTTTATTTTACTTTTTAATACCAATGTTTTTTTATTAATATTGAATAGTAAATATTATAATTAATTTTTTGCCTATTTTTACCTGTTTCCGCCCTTTTTGTCCATGCCTTTATTGGTGCTATAATTAAACTCGTTCAAGAGGAAAAAGTTAGTTTTTTAAATTATTTTTTTCAGTAATATTCTCAAAAACGCATTTAAGTTATGAATTTAACATATATTTAATATTTCGCGTAAAAATATTTTAAATAATTAGCGAGAAATAATGAAATTATAAGTCATAAGTAATTACGTGCCTTGAAAAAGTCAAAATGGACGACTTTTTTTTTAGTTGATTATTCACATTCTAATTATTAGTACTGCAATAAGTTTAAATATCTCAAGAAATAAGCTACTAGCTTTTGTTAAAAGAAACATATAATGAATTTGCATTTGGGAACTTTTTTGGTTTTTATGACCAAAAATAAAACTTATATTTTAGTTTATTTTTGTGTTTAGATATCAATATCTCTTTCGCTTTGCTATTGACAAGTATCCTATCACTTCGAAATGCCACGGGCTTGTGCAATTCGCCATTGTCGAAGCAATTGGAAAAAAGAATTGACTTCTTCATTTCCTGTGCCTGGCTTCTTCACTCCTTTGGAATTTAGTAGGCGTGCTGCCTGGATTAAAGTTTTACAAGAAGGCAGTTTTGTGAAAAGCCCTACTTTGGGAGATCATATATGCTCTTTACATTTTCAAAGTGGTCAGTTTCAAACAATTAATCTTTTAAAATATTTTCGAAATATTTATTGTAGGTAAACCTGCTTCGCCGCACGACGTTGATGATACTGATTGGGCCCCTAGTATATTTGTGCCTCCACTGACTGTTAAGATCATGTCCAAATTTTTCGATAGAGAATTAATTCTAGCTAATACGAAAGCTATTATGTTAAGAGAAACACCTTCTGGAATATTATTTATTCGTCAAAATTTCAGAAGTTATGAATCCGCCGTATCATCCACATTTGGATTTCCCAATGTCGGGAAAATGCGCTTCTTCCTTCGGCGATTAATAAGAGATATTTCTCCAGTTCAATTTTTTAATCAGACAGCTTACGAACAAGTGTTATTGTCTTTAACTTATGTTTGTCATTTCATTACGAAAGGTCATATTGATGGTTTAAGCGCAAGCCCATTGCCACATCTCTCTCAATTTTGGTTGTGTTTGATAAGAAGAAATTTAGAAGTAGTATTGCAAATTTTAAGCACGAAAAAATCTTCTAAGATAATAGAGAGAATTCACGACATATGCAAAACAGACGTCGTGGTCTTGGTAAAGGAATTTAAGTTGCTCGTATCAGGTAAAGCAGTCAAAATGCTTATTGGAGTAACATTATCAGATCAGATATGTTATATCTCGCCGTTATATTCGATAAAACAGTCAATGGAAGATGCAATGAATAAATACGGACTTTCATTGCTTATTGATTACAATGGAGTTGTAATTGGTAAAGCAGAAGGATCGAAAAAGTTGGTTTATAAAAAGTTTGATTTACCCGGTGGAATGTTTTGGGGCATACCTGTGAAATTTGAGAATTTTAAGAGTCTGAATGAATATATTGAAAAGATTTTTAGCTCAATACTTGAAAGAATGAATAATATTCAAAAGAGTATGAATGTTCATAATGGTGGAACAATTAAGACATTTAACTTTGCTGGCATCAGCCTTTACACTTACTTTTTGATTACTGAAGTCAACAGGATCCTCACTCAAGGTATACACGACTACTTTAAATATTTTTATTAATCTTTAAACCAATTTCACATATAACATGTTAGAAGTATTTTTCCTCCAATAGATGACAGCGAAACATTTTACAACTTAATGGAGAATTTTAATAACAAAAGCCGTAAGAGACTAACTGATGTAGAGAACAAAATAGCTGAGCACGATCATTTAATTGAGGTTGAAAACGCTAATAGTATGCATTTTTCATCTGAAGCAGTAGTTTCTGATCAAGGAAGGGTTGTTGATACTCTTATGAATACTGATGTTACAAACAATGATATTTCTACAGAAGAAAACTTAAATACTATTACCGTGAAACTACTGTATCCGCCACCAACTGATAGCAAACAAGACAATTTAGTCGACAGTAATTCGGTACCCAAAATATATTGCGGTAACACAGAGTTTATGATATCTGAAGGACAAAGAAACCATACTAGGAGCGAAAACTCTGATCCTAATTCAGTGAAAATAATTTATTCAGACCCACCTATTAATACGTGCGATAGCTTACTGGTTAGTGATTCAGTCCCATCAAAAGATTCTTTCAGTACGAAGCGTAGTCTAACCAAAAGCCTGGGAAAGGTTTCAAAAGAAAAACATATTGATAATCTTAATTTGAGAATAATTTTTTTAAACTCATCTGTTAGCCCAAGCAATAATTTAGAGAGCAGTCCTTTAGTGACAACCCTCCGAAACTCAGCTGGTGTTGAATCTTATTCTCAAAAAGATACAAATATGACACATACAGCTAATGGGGCAGAAGAAAATAGTTTAGGTTCGGGTTCGAATGGTACTGAATCTCACTCTCAAGATTCTATAAATATTGTAACAACTGGCGTAACAGAAGAAAATAATTCGGATTCCGGTTCAAATTCAGGTTCTAACTCAGGTTCTAAGTCAGAAGGTGCTGAATCTTCTTGTGAATAGGAAACAAGTATGGCAGCTAAAGGTGGCGTGACAAAAGACAATAACTCAGGTTCTGCTTCGATTTTGGGCTCGGGTCCAGGCTCGAGTTCTGGCTCTGGGTCAGGCTCAGACTCGAACAGTACTAAATCTCATTATCAAGAATTTATAAATTTGACAGTAACAGCTAGTATATCAGAAGAAAATAACTCAGGTTCCGGTTGGATTCAGGCTCAGACTCTAACGGTGCTGAATCTTCTTGTGAAAAGAAAACAAGTATACCAGATAAAGCTGAAAAGAACTCATCTTCGGGTAGTTCCCAACATTCTCAACTACAAATTTCCCAGTTAACGTAGTAGAAGAAAATCTCTCATGTTCTGACTTAGGTTCTTGTTCTCAAGAAATTATAAATATGACAGACACAAATGATGTGACAGAAGGAAGTAACTCGGAATCGTATTTAAAACATGTTAAAATGATTTCTCTTTTGTCTGATGATAACAGCTCTGTTCTACCCAGTAATATTAATTTTCCTTTGGCTGGATCAAATTTTGAGAGTTATGAGTATCATTCTCAGCGACATGAAAGTATAGCAAAAGAAAAAGACTTAAAAAGAAAAGATCCCATCACTGATAATACTTGTTCGAATAATGAATCACGTGCTGCTTCAGATTCTGATGGTTCGAACATGTTTGCGAATATTGACAATTTTGACGATTTCTTTAAAAGAAGTGCGACTTTGCTATCTATGAATGAAAACTCTGATTCTGAAGTAGATGGAGAAAATCTTGAATTTTATCCGCAATAAATTGTAAGTGATGTAGGTAATCTTAGTGAAAAAGATAACTAGTCCCGTAAATGATAATAATTCCGCAGCGCACCTGATTGGCAGTTCCAGTAATTTTTCCATTACAAGTGATGCTGAAAGAGATTTAGATTGTTCTGGATCACGGAAAAAGCCTCCAGGCAGGTATGATTTTTTAAAAGACATCTTCCTGAAACACCCATCTCAGGATTCCGAAAGCAGAGATAAAACTAATTATATCACTAAACGAAGAATTTATCTGATAAAGTTGAGAGCTATACGTAATAAAAGAAGTCACTCTTTAAAATTGTTTAACCCAGATGGCATACTTGAAAAGAAAATCGCGTGTTAAAGAATTTAGAGATGAGTCCTGGCTGTATTAAAGTATTTGTCTTTTTTTAAAAGACATTTTCTTGTAATTTGTTCGTCTGTTTTCTTCAGAAAATTGTTCAAGTTTGAAAAGAATTTACTTCATCGCGTTTTTGGGCTTTACCGGTATGAAAGAGCCAGAGCCCAAAAACGCGATTAGGATATAAAGATGGATAATGTATTGAAGAGCAGTTTACAAGATAATGAAAATTCAATATTCATACAGTGTAAAAAATGACTACTTTTTAGCTTGATGACAATGATTGTTTTCTTTTGTAAAGCTGAAGTCAAGAAAATTATTTTTAAAGATTTTGTTTGAATTATAGATTATTAAATTTCTTTTGTTATGTCGCTTAAAGTTATTCTTTTGTCTGGAAAACAAAGTTCAAGTATTTTACTGATTATAAAATTAAACGCGATGAGAATCTGAAATAATTTCCTTTTATGAAATAAACACTTGCGATAAAATGATTCTAGCTGAGCTATTGCATGACAATATTGTAATCGAGATGTAAGATATTCTAGCGCAATTTTATTTCGTTGACTAGGCATTTCATTAGTAACATTTGATGTGGGGACAAATAGAATATGATTTAATTGTGAAAAGTCTGTCATAGTAATCAATACAACAACATAAGCAACCTTTGCAATTACAGCTGAGTGAAGGATTTAATGTAAAAACAAAGTAAAATATGTTTGAAAATTTATTTACGTTGTTAACTTGAATATAAAAGAAATAAATGTTTGAACAGTTTTCGATCTCAACTCAAAGGCAGGCAAAAAAAAATTGAATTCGCCACAAGTTGATGACGTCAAATTGAGGGATTTTGCAGCAAAACGTGTCGTAAAAAGTTACTAAAGTAAGTTTTTTTAATGTAGGAATATTTAAAAAAAAATGAAACTGTTGAAATATTAATATTATATTTTTACGAATTCAAAAGTTGAGAAAAAAATTGACCAATGATTACGTCACAATAAGAGGAAATAAATAGCGAGAACCATGCTATTCTGCGTCCTTTCGGAGCCGAGCTTGGTTGCACTGCCATATTTTGAACTGTTTTTTTATAAAACGTTCAATTTAGAGGTATTATTTTATTTTTAAGTATTTATTTTGTATGGAAAGTGTTAACATATATTCAAAGAACATTTTAAACCTTTTTGCCAAAAAAAATTGTTAATTTTAAGACTAAAAATGCTACTTTTACTGTTCAGTAATCAACAACGAGTCGGCCATGACTGCAAGTCACTGTTGAAAATTGTTTAATTTTTTTCATGTATTACTTAAAAAGGCATATCTATCATGAAATTAAACTATATAAACAGCTCTATTAGAATAGTTTAATGGAAGAGAATATTATATAATAGAAATAGGCAAATTTTGAGAATAAAAGAACTGTCATCCTTATTGGACAATGATTATATGTGTTACAATGTTATGACAATTATGTTTAATTTCATTTCTCTCTTTTTTCTATTTAAGGTCAAAGATAGTAGCCTAACGTTAAGACTTTCAATAAGAGAAGGCATAGATCCTTGACGGTTTAAAGAATAAATTAGTTTGATAAATTATTAAAGGGTGAGTAGACATTTCTCATTTAGCTCTCCTTCCCAAACCCCAGCCCCTCTCCCGGCAAGCCTAGAAGGAACCACATAATACCTACAATGTTTTCAATAACAATATATTGAATTTTTTTTCCAATTATTGATCCAATGGTCGGAGGCTAAATCTTTGAGCCATAATCAGGAAGAGTACAGAATCTATAATAGTTGTCTGTTTTCTTTTATTTCTTTTATAAACGATTGAAAATTTTTTGAGTTATTAAATTTTATTTCATTAAATCTTTTAAGAGGCTTTTTCCTCATTTATAAAAATAGACATATATTTATATATATACTGTAAAATGTATATATATTAAATAATCCTATATATAGTTATATAGGTAGAGATGTGTTTATTAATTTCTATAATTAAGTAAAGTATGAAATTTGACCTCTTTTTTTTTCAATTGTTCCTGCCAGTAAAGTCTAACTAATATGCTTTTCTATTAAAAAGCGATGCTTTTATTCAGCGTAATCATTCGATAGCTTTGAAACAATGCAAAGAAACAAAAATAAATATATATATATATCTTCATTTCACTCATTCATATTTCTCTATACAATACAGAAATCAGTTAATAATCTTATTAATTTGTTAGTCCTTGAGAGATTTGTGAAAGAATTCTATTTGATAATCTTAACGATAAGTAATTGACCATGGATGATTTCAAGCAGCTAGAAACGATTTTAGAAGATATTGTTACTGTTATGAACGGCAATAATTTCCTTCCCGATTTAGATACATCGCTTTTTGGCTTAACGGAAGAAGAATTGACGAGGGATTATCCCAACGAAAAGTTAAAAGTTGATAGTGTACCGGAAAAGTCTTGTAATAATGAGATATCATCAGATTTGGATCTTATTTCGGACCTCGACTCTTTAACAGATTTACTTTCAACCCCGAAAAACTTTATGAATCAGTTCTGTAGGACGGAAGCTGTTGATCGACCGACTTCGCTACCATTGTCACCTTTGGATTGTCAAGCTCCGGTTGATTATTTCGCTCTGAGTCCAATTATGTCGGTGTCGGGGAACGATTGCAGTATGAAAGAATTGGGATCTGTTAATAATAAGAGGTCTTTGGACGATTTAGCTGAAGAATATAATGTCAATATTGCAAAGAAACCGTGTGTAAATAACGTTGTTGTTGATGTTCCTGTTAGTCGAGTTCAACCGTCCGTTATTAGAACAGAGAATCGTGATCCAATTCGATTATCTTGCAAGCCTAAATTAACTAATTCATGCCAAAATAATTCTTATGTTAGAAGTATTTGTTCACCATTCCATGGTGAATTGGCAAGGAAGAGATTAAAAGAGTACTATTTGTCGGATGAGCCGAAAGCTACTATTTCGCCCATGTCCGATAAACCAGTTGTTGAGAAGAGTCCTACCGTTGTTTTGCAATATCGTCCTAGTGACTTAATTTCCGATGGTCAGTCGCCACAGGCTAGTGAGCAACAAGATGGTCAACCGAAAAAAACTATAGGAGAGAAATTTGCGACTATTCGCGCGCTATTAAGCCAACAGAGTTCAAATATCGTAGCTAGAGTAATAGGAAAGCAAAATACTTCTGTTGATAGATGTCAACCTGTTCAAATTCAAGCTGAGGTAGCCGAAAAAATTTTTAAGGATCAATCAGACAATTTACAGGCCGAACTTGAGAGAACTGCAAAGAAAGCCGAATCTGGAACTTTAGTTGAACCGGGTGAGAATCTCAGCCAAATACTTTCCGATTCAACGGAAGTTCAATTGGAGATACCGCCGGATTCGGATGACGATGAGTCTGTCATCGTTCAAATTATTATGGAGCCTAATAAACCTCGAATTGTAGGTATTTCCCGATGTAGAAAGAACGTACTGGTTAACACGAGGTTAACTCGTGAGCAGATAATGCAACGATTCGAAACATATTTTGAAGGTCACCCACTACCGTTGATACCCTATGTTCCAACGTATTCCGAGTGGGCGGCCTGGAAGATGGGACAATATAATTTACCAGATTACAAGTGCGTTTGGAAACCATTCACCACAATGACCCGACAGCATTTTGAACAATTTCTAAAATCGTCGGAGCTTGTTGATGTAAGCGTTGAAAAATATAATGAACGTCCCCCAATTTCGATTGTTCAATATTTACTCACGTTAGACAGGCGAATTGCTATGTTACAGACGGCATTTTTGCAGTTAGAGGACGGCGATGTAAAGAGTATAATTCCAGAAATAATAACAAAGGCTTACCAAGAGTATTTGAACTGTAAGAGAAAAAATTTTCCACCAGAGTTTATTGAACGAAGTGTTTAAGATGGATGTATACAATTTATTATGCGATTAAGATTTACGAAAAATGTTACATCTTTTTGCTTTGCTTATATTTTTGATTTTGGTTACGGTCATACTCATATTTCGCGTTATGATTCAATTTTCTGCTTATTACGAATTAATTGGTGTATTTTTTGTGTTTATTCATGAAGAAAAATAATAAATAAGTTATCATGTAAAACGCATTTAAGACTTTGTAACAATTTTTTTTGCGGTAGTTTTCACTTTGTCCGATAGATGGCTCGACCATTTAGTTGCAGTTGCGTAGAGTATGGCATATGGATTTGATATATATATATATATATAGTCAATTGCTCTGATTAAAAGGATCTTGGGGAAAGCTAAATACGTTCTATCAATTTGATTCTCTCTACAGTAAGATAGCCAATTTTACTATTTTGTACCAGGGTATTGGGATATTGAATCATTTAAGAAGAGGAGAATCTCCTAAATTTTCATTTATAATTTATAACAACACAAGAAGCCGAAAAAATTCTTGAAATTCTAGGAAATTTTTTTTATCCTTATCTTTCGCTTTCCTACAAGATAAAAGATAAAAAAAGAGGCTTTTTTTTTTCTTCAAATATATAATTAATATAAAAGCCTTAAGGTCGCTAAACAACAAACAAGAATGTTAAATGTTTTAAAACCTAAAAACCTAGATGGATCGAATTTATCGTTTAATTGAATTTCAATCGAATTATTATTTTTTTTTTATTGGATACGATTGTCTAATAATTTTGATTTATTGTTTTAATTATACTCTAATAATACTAATTCGAAACCATAAAATAAAGATTTTGTAATTCTAGTTTAGTTTTTAATTGATAAAGAGATAGATGGATAGATAGATAGATGAATGAATGAATGGATGGACGGATGGTTGGTTGGTTTGTTGGCTGACTGACTGACTGGCTTGGCAAGCAGGTTTGGTTACTTTGGATAGATGGATGCGTGCAATTGTAAATGAACAAATTGGAATTATTTCTAATTTTTTTTTTTATCTCTACACCCTAGAGTTCTTTTTTCCAGCTGACGCTCGTAAAGCTGTCGGTATATTAATCACTATTATCATCTTTTCGAGTGTAAACCATTCTTTTTTACGAGTGTAGAAGAAAGTTTTTCTCTTATTACGTTCTTGTTCTATTCTAACATTGTCCTAGGATTTTTCCTTTAATATCCTTCTCTACTCGGTGACCTAAAAACATTTGATGATATTTTTAACTAAATAATTGATTTATCGATTATTGTCAGTGTGCGAGTGACATTAGAAAATATAAAATAGAGGGCGTTACCCATAGCAATTAATCAGGCAATGTGATTTTTTTTTCTATTGCTTTTTAATTATAGCTTGTTGCTTTCCCCTTTATTTAATCATACATAAAAAATTAATTTAGAAACGATGTAACTTACCTTTATCGAAGAGTTTTTGTTGCAAAAATTAACCTCATTCAGTAAAGAATGTTCCACAGAATGTTCCACAGAATGTTCTTTTTTTATGGAATGTATATAGTATTCATTTTACTATTTGTGTTATATATTTTCTTAACTCTTTTTAATATTGCAAAAGATTTATTTCTTTCCAACTTAAAAGGGAAATGTTATAAATTCGGCTTTGTTTTATCTTTCTTATCAAATAAGAAAACTGCAAACTTTTTTTTACGGTTTTTCTGTCTCTCTTTACAAGATTAAAGAATAAAAAAAAATAGACTTTAAAATTACGAAAATATATCGAACGTTTCTTTTTTAAGAACATTCTATAATGATTCTTTTTCGACAGAGAGAGAGAGAATTGCCATTCGAAAAATACTAAGTAATGAATCAAGGATAGTAGTTTTGTTTTACTGTCAACCGAAGGATATACCTTGGAGAATAATTCTTTTTATTATATTTATCTGCAAATCTCTTATATTAATATCTTATTGAGTGTACAAGAATCATTTTGTAATCCATTTTTTTTGTCGGTAAATTTAAGGTCAACATGCAAAGATTAGTTTAGATTATTAAATCAAATGGATAAAGTAGTATTTAAATAGTATAGCTTTAATTGATACATGACAGAAAGCATCCTTCAAATGCTGTTTCTATTACAGCATCATTAGTTTCAGTCAACAATATTGAACGTTTGTGGCAGGATATTAAACGATTAAGATTATACAAAGCAGCGAATTGCCAAGAGTACTTCAATCGAGGAGAATAGGTTAACTGGTTTGTTAGAAAGCTTATCTCAAAAGTAAAAGAGAGAGGGAGAGGAGTGCGTATTTATATATATATATATATGTGTGTGAGTGCGTGTGTGAAAAAAGACAGTGCCTGAGAAGCGGTTGAATGAAAATGTATGTAAAATATGAAAGTAGCGTATAATTAACCTTTAAAATTTTCATTCGATTAACCTCTTTCTTTGGAATTAAATTACCAAAAGTTCTTTGATTATATTTTTACTTTCAAAAGCCAAAAAGATTAACGATTATTATTTTTATTATACAGTATTTTACTTGTATCTGGTATAGTAAAAATTTACTGTATATATAGTATACAGCAATATACACAGCGAATGCTATATACACTATCTACATAGTGGGTTAGTTGTTGTATATACATCGATGCAACTGACTGGCTTTACCGTTGTTAGATCCTTTAAAAAAATGATACGTTTCTGGTCGAAAAGATATTATTTCTATCGAGAACTCTTTCAGTAATTGCAATTGAAATTTTTCTTGTTATAGAGTATCTTTGTACAATAAAGACCTATAATGAGGAAATTAACACTTTGTTTTTTAAGAATCATTTTGATAAAAGAGCGTAACCTTAGAGCTAATTATGACTATATCCGGTCTGGAGATGTCGCTATTAGTTGTTACGCTTGGCTATAGAGATATTTTTACGGAAACGATAGGATAGTAAATTGTTCATTTGACCGAAAAAATAGAGAAGAGGTGGCATAGAGTTGTGTTTTATAGGAAAAGAATGGACACAGTAAAAGGAAATTTGTAGGAACTAGAGTATGGGGCGACTGCGTTGAAAAGAACAGATCAACCCTGGATGTTAATGGGTTGTGGAAAAGAGTCCGGTATTTTTCTAACAATGACCGGAAAAGTAGAGGAAAAAAACGAGAGAGAGAGATAGAGAGAAAGAACGAGAGAGAGAGAGAGAGAGAGAGAGAGAGAGAAAGATAACGAGAGAATATCTTCATTAGAACCCTGTTCTTTTTTATCTTATTTTCTTTAGTAATGACTTTTATTAGGTTCAGTTATATATACTACAATTAGGACTGAGTTTAATAAATTATGTACAGTATGAGGTGTTTAATTACTACGTAAATATAATAGAAGGCAAACATTTCAATTAAAAACAAACTAATAAATAAACGAACAAAACAAATAATACTAGACAAGAAAAACAGCGGGAATCAAATAAAAAGGGGATCTTCTCCACCACTGAAATACTATAAGGTGGAAGGTTGGTGGGGTGCGCATATTTCTTCTACGCTTGAGCTACGCTAGCAGTCTACAATTGCCCAGGAGTTTCCTTTTGTCTAGGAGGTAATTAGGGCGTCTGACTGTTTAGGGTTTTTGTTGTTTTTGTATGCGTTATATATTATCGAGAGTTTAAAATCGGCATTAAAAGGATGATACGTGTGATTTTTCTTCACTCTTCATTTGAGTAATTATTGGCAATGAGGAAAATGAGGTCGAAAGTCAAAAAAAAAAAAAAAAATAACATTAGGAATACTATAGACTGTATGTAAATAAAGGGTATATACGATAAAAAGAAAATAGAGTAGAAATATTAATCTTAAACACAAGTGTCATACTAGATTGTAATTAATACTAAAATATTGAAAGAATAAAGAATAACAATATTTAATTACCAGGTGTTTAATCACATATTAATTAAAGTATATTAATAATATTTATATGCGTTAATATTTTTATATATTTAAATAGAAGACAATGAAGAAATATTTTCTTTTTTTTTGATTCCAAAGTTGTCCTGAGTAACACCTTTGTAATTACAGAATATTTTATATTTTAATAGTGTCGAAGAGAGTATAATTACTGTCTTTTTCCTTACATTTTTCGTTAGATCTATTTCAATGCATTCAATTATGGAATATATATACTGTACTTATATATATATATATATATATATATATATATATATATACAGTAAATGTACAGTATACAGTATATACTAATATATTTATTTATTTATTTATACCTTATATACTATTTCTTATATCTATCTATCTATCTATCAATCTACATTTGATAAATATCTCTATTTAATCCTTAATCCTTTCAGACTGATTATTTAATAAATCCGAATTGACTTTATTAAGAAAAAAATCCATTTTTTATATTTAGAAGTGCATAGTTTCTTTTTTAAATCTATATTTAACAGAAATTCAACTCCCGCCTTTTCTTTTTATCCTTCTCCCCTGAAAGAGGTTTTTCTTTTTTCTTCCCATATTTCTTCTATTATTTTATAGTTGCTTTTCTTTTACTTTCTTCTCCTCTTTATCTTTCTATTTACTCGTCCCTGTCTCTTTTGATTTGTTCATCCCTTTTCTTTCCATCATGTTCCCTCCTTTAAGAACAATCTTTCGTAATTTCAACGGCCTATAGAGTTGGAGATGGCATCAATTTGGAGCTAATTTACAGGAAGTCTTGTAACTATACGCTTGGTACATGTATGCCCGAGTGAACAAGGATGAAGAGGGCGGCGTTTATGTCAGCTTTTATCAGGCTGTTGAGAAACCTTATTTTTCCTATTTAATTAATATAATGAAAAATGCGTCTATAAAATGAATTAAATGTATATCAAATATTATAAATGAAAATTTCTTTTAAATTATTTAACTAAACTGGTATATAAATATTAGTAAAATATAATGTCATTCTTGGAAGAATATCGACAAAAGGTTGACTTGGTGCATCGAGATTAATCAATAGATGATTATAATAAACAGCGTGTTCTTCCCTTCAATCTCAGGTATACAAGAGATATACTACGCGTACTATGAAACAATACGCAGTATGAGAATCACTGTATATCGGAAAAAATTGTATACCTCTAAAGATCATCTGTAGATTAGGGCTAGGAAGATTGGTATTCAAAGAGTGAGAAGAACGAAAACATTCTATAATAATTTAACAAAATCAGTAAATTATGTCAATCGGAAGAGAGCAAACATATACATTTTTATTCTAATAGATAAAGTAGAAATTAAAAAAGAAACGATAACAGTTCATTTATAGACATTTATAGTGGGGAACAATGGAAATATTTATAATTAGGGTTTTTATTGTTGTTCGTGCTAAAATAGCTAATCTCTCACACATTTATTTAATAAAAATTTCTTTCTCTTCTTCCTTATTTTCCTTCGTTTACTCTCTCTCTCTCTCTCTCTCTCTCTCTCTCTTTCCTTAATTTTTTCTATATTTTCCATATTCTATGATTGTAGAAATCGATTATAAAATCTACGTAGAAAAAACAAAAACTATATATAAAACAAATCAAAGATCTATTTAGGAATCATTTTTCTTTAGATCTTCTTGCAAATCTTCTAGTTCACCTTTAACGCATAGTTCGATGTTGTAGAATAAAACCTTACTTTTTGTCCAACTGAACGAGTTATCAAAGATGACTTTATCTATTTAAATAAACAAATATATATATATATATATATATATATATATATATACATGTATGTACAGTAATATATAATAATCCATATATACGTATATACATTAATTGCAATTGTTTAACAATTAAATAGAATATTGAATACTTATATAACTGTTTATGAATATTTAACAAGTTTAATCGTTTATTACATTAAATAATCCAATACGGGAATTAAGGATTTATTTATAGAGTTATAACATTGACCTATTGAACTATTCTAAAGAGTCTAGCTCAAAGTATTGTCATATATAAAAGCAGAAAGTAAGAGGTGTTTTCTTTTTGCTACTATTACGTAATAAGGAATGATTATTGTAAAGAAACATGGTGGGACGAAGAGAGAGACAGAGAGAGAGAGAGAAAAAGAGAATAGACAAGACGGATGATAGACAGAGAGGTAGTTAATTGTTTAAAAGTAACTAAGAGTATAAAACATATTTTTTTCCTGGTTGGAATATAAATGCCTACTTTTATCTCTCCTATAGACAGTACAGGTATAAAATATGATAAATATACTTTTATTACTTACATAGTCCCAGATTTTCGCATACTAATGAGCCATATTCGGGAACAATATGACTATTAATTCTCGTTATTGGTAAAATTTTCTTTTCCTTTTCGTTACCTCGAAAAGAAATACCGAAACCGATATCCTTATCATTAGTTTGAAATTCCCATCTATATTAATTAGATAATTAAACTAGGAGTAATTAAATCATTATCTATTAGTTTACTTAAGTATAGAATCCTTTTCTTCCACTTGAAATTTGATAACCAGCTTATCAGCTCTCGGTACGGTAACTTTTTCCAGATGATCTAGAAAGTTGACATTCTTAAGGTAATACGACTCGGGTATTTTTCCTCCTTGAGTGGCAAGATGACAACACCTTGCATCTCCGTTCGGGCCGGTAAGAGTTCCTCCAAGGCACTGTGGAAGATATTCGGCGCCTATTTTATCAATGAGTCTCTGCCGAAAATCAGATCCCAAAAATTGTATCTTATTTCTCATATCGTCGCTTAACAAAGGTTTAGCAATTCTGTATAGTATAGGTAGAAAAGCCGGTGCTTAACGGGAACAAAAGAACGAGGAGGAGGAGGAGGAGGAAGAAAAGAAAAGAATATTAGAAAATTATAAAGATAACAACACTTTCATGTTTATTACCATTGATAACGTAGAGATATTTTACCATTTCCGGATAATTGTCTTCCAATAGCTGTACCAAGTACATGTACATTTGAATACCTGAACGCCAAAGGTGGCTCGTACCGCATTTTTCCATATCGAAAATTACTATAATACCATCGATTAGTTTGTTCATCTTGATTTGAGCAAACAAATTAAGAAGAGTAAAGAAGAGATAAACGAAATAAAATGAATGGTATATACCTTTACAGTTTGCTGTCTGCAATATTTTTCCATTTTGTATGCTTGAGATATTGTATTCATTTCCAAATCAGACTTTTTACAAGAGTACATTAAACCCTTCATATCTAATCTTCCGAATAATTCCCATTGAAATGGGTATCCATCTTTACTTGTTGGAAAGAGACCAGTTGCCGAGTATCGTTTGATCACCTTTTATTATTATTATTAATATTATCATAATAGTAACGATAACCATCAACATCATCATCATCATCATAGTTGTCGTCATTGTTTAATAGATAAAGACAAAAAAAATGAAACAAATAAACAATCTTATGGATCAATTACGATATTAAGAAAAACAGAATCGTATCATTTTTACCTCGGGCGGATCGTATTTATCAATATTTATCATATCGTTCTGAGCCCGATATTCCATACTCTAAGAATATTATAGATAAATATTATTAGGGAAGAGGAGGGAGGGGCGGGGTATGGAAGCGAGAGAAAAAAACATATACGACGAAGAGAGAGAGAAAGAGAGAAAGCGAGATGAAGAAAAGAGGAAAGTAATGGAATAAATTAGATAATTTTTAAAAGAAACATACATTTCTTATCATCTTCTCTGCTTTATCAATATCGAAGCATCTAGCTGGAAAAAATAATTACTCTATTAACTTAATAATCAATGTTAATAGTCTAAATGCTTTCTTATTATTATCTGTTTTATTTTTTATACCTTTCAACCATTTTATTACGTAATAATCCTCATTATACGGAAGTTCTAGATCGGAAATTCTATCCTTAAACTGTCAATATATAAAAAAAGAGGTGGGGAGAGAGGGTTATATATCTATACTGTATATTTATAAAACTATTATCTATTCAGCGTGGAAAAATTATAGATAATCAAGAATCAGCTCATTAAGTCGCCTTATCATTAAAATTATTATTCTTATCTTTTCAATCGTAAACAATCTGTATAGATTCTTTCTATTCTTTATTTTTGTACAAACCTTATTTAATATCTCCAATTTGTTATCGTCCAAATCAAATTGATTCATTTCTTAGTATTTCCTAATTTCTTTAACCTTTAAAATGGTCTTGGACAAGAGCCTATCTATGAATCATATATATATAGTGTTTAAACAACTCTTCACAAATGGTAACCTTTGACAATGACCTTGTTAAAAATATAGTAGAGCTAATAGGCTGAAAAAAGTTATAAGAAATAATATTAACTATATTGAATACTAGAGAGAGAGAGAGAGAGAGAGAGAGAGAGAGAAAGACAAAATTCAAAATAAACATGAATGATAATGTATTTATTCTTTATATACAGTATATTATGTTTGAACTCTTTAAATCTCTTCTCCTGTTAAAGTAATATATATGAAGTATACATAGAACATATATATATATATATATATATATATATATATATATATATTAATTAACAGACACAATTATACGTACAATGTTTATGAAAGTACAACAGTATTTATACACTATACATGTATATGCATCGACACGTCATAATCAGGAGTGCATGTACAGAGTATATACTGAGCATTAATGACGTCATGATAATACAAGTAAATCGGATTTTCCATTACAGTACGGAAGAATTAATAAAAAGAGTTTTTTTTCGCATTAAAAAAATCAATAATTCTTCGCAAATCATGGCATAAATCGAGGTCGATATTTATTATGAATCATTCCTTTCTATTCCTTTTTTTTATTATTATTATTTTTCGATAGTTGATAGTTGATTAACAACGTTCATTATCAGTTAACTTGTCTTCTAATTGGGTTTTCCAATTTTCATCAATTTCCTCTTCTTCCTCTTCGCCCTCTTTTAATTCTTCGACTTTCATATCAGATGTCTTATCTGGTTTCAATATCTCGATATCGTAATATACGGTTTTACTCCTTGCCCAACTATACGAATTATCAAAAATAACCAAATCTAAAAGAATTTAAAAATGTAAATTTCAGTCTAATTATTATTATTATTATTATTATTATATAACTCTATGAATATTAATTAGATATGAATTTATAATGCTTACAAAGTCCCTTCTCCTGTAGGCGTATAGATCCTGATTCTGGTACGAGATGGCAGTTCAATCTTTTTGGTTGAATTAACGGTTGCATATCTTTAACAGAATCTTTTGGATTTTTAGCCTTAAATATTCCAAATCCAACATCATGATTATCCGTTTGAAAAGCGTATTTCAGTGCTGAATTCTCTTCGTCAACGTTAAATTCAATCCTCTTAGCACTTCCCCTCTTAACATTAATCTTTACTGTATTCTTCTCATTCAATAAACCTTTATCCTTCAAAAAATATGACTTTGGCACTTCCGTCCCATAAATGACCTTCGTTTTACAAAATTCGTCGCCATTTTCATCTATCTGCGTTCCACCCCAACTGACGGGTAATTGATCAGCTTCAATAAACTTGCCAAGAACTTTACTCTTCCAATCACCTAATTGGTTAGATTAGAAAAATGAGAAAGTAAAGTGGAAAAAGAAGAAAGGAGGAAATAGAGAAAGAAAAGATGCTTACTTCCAAAAATATGAATTTTCCTTTTAGTATCATCACTCATAAATGGTTTTAACACGTTGAATACAAGAGGGAATATCCTTGGCGCTAGAAAAAGTATAATTGTTTTCTCTCTTAATTACTTATTATTAGTGAGAAATTTAATAAGGGAAAACTATTTCCTATACTATTCGTGTATATATATATATATATATATTTGAATATAGTATAATCTCTTCCCAATAGGAGTAGGTACTATTTATTGAATAGAAGATGGAGGGAATTATTTCATACCATTGATAACGTAGGCAGCACCTAAGAACTCTGGAAAATTCGATTCGTATATCCTTAATACTTCGTACATTTGATCCATTCCTAAAGAAAAAAAATGAAATCGATTTATATTATTAGTTTTCTTTATCTCTTCTTCTTCTTCTTCCTTCTCTTTCTCTTCCTCTTTTTTTATTATACTTTTATCGTCTAAACAAACATATTATTAAAAAACAAACCTGGAACGAAGAATTGCTTTAAAGTAAGACCATCCATATCGGCTACTACAGTTGTTTGATCGATCTGCTTTCCCGTCTATGGGATGAGATAGGCGTATATGTTTTATACTGGATTATAGCATATTATATAGCATATAAAAACCTTAGCAGTTTGTTCCTTTCCTATTTCCAACAATCTCATCATTCGTTTTATATGAAATTTATGTAAATCAGACTTATTTACCGATCTAAATATTCCTTTAAAATCCATTCCTCTACAAGCCATAAGAAACAAAGGTCTACCATCCGTATCAAAGCCGGTTGTCCCACCTGTCCAATGCTTCTCCAATACCTCAGGATCCTTAAATTCCGTCAACAGGCTATCAGTACCAAATTCATCCCTCCACTTCATACTATTTCGAAACATCGATTCAGCTTTCGAAATGTCATAGTTGCGAGCTAAATATGGTTAAAATCATATATACTATATATATATATTATATGTATATACATTTTTACCTTTAAGCCACTTTACAAGATAATAGTCGGTGTGTGTAGGCCGAATTTCATCCTTAATTACTTCTTTAAACTAGTAGTAAGAATATAAAAGAGTTAGTAATAGTCCAAGCCAAATTTTAAATATCATACTACCTTAGCTAATATATTCCATTGTTTATCGGTTATTCCTAATTCCTGAGCAGTTAGTTCTAGAGAAGCCATATCTGTCTTTTCTTGCTATCTGGTGTCGAGTAAAAATTTATACTAAAATGTATAAAAAAAAAAAGAGAACAAGCCTATTTTGGTCAGAAAAAAAAAATAAAATGATAAAATTACAGTGGCCTATTTCTATTTTTTATGTGTCAAGGTACGGTACCGTTTAAATATGTATTAATTCTATGGATATTTAAACGGTACTAACCACGATATTCTCTGGAAATGTACTCTTCTTCTTTAATCTTATTTGTTTTTTGTTCTTAAAAAAAATTGAAATAATCAACTAGTTCCTTTTTCTCGTACTTTATTTTTGTTTATTAATATTCATAAACCTATTAACGATGAAATCTTTCTTCCTTCCTTATAGGGTAATGTTATTTCTTCTTTATGTTGTTTTGTTCGTAGACGTCTATATTTTCTCCATCAATACATTTGTTTTTGGAAGATTCCTTATAGATGTCGTCGTTCTCTTAAGTGAAAGATTTTTAATATTCTACTCAAAACATTCGAGCAATACGTTTATTGAATACAGACCTCTTTTTTTTTCTCTTTCTGTATTGAACTCTTCATAAAAGCATTTGCCAGCTTGCTCACAGTTCTATCTATCTATCTATCTATCTGTTTTTACGCACCTTTGTCTCTCTCTCTCTCTGTCTCTCATATTTTTTACTTTCTTTCTATCTTTCAATTCTTCCAACCCGTAAGAGTCTTAGGACTTTTCTTCCCCTTTTTTATTGCGAATTACATACTGCCTATATAATATATATATATATATATATACTGTATATAAATAATTAACACTATTTAAAACGACTATTAATTTATATTTTCCAATAGCATAGTATTATAGTAAGATACTTGATTAAAATTGGAGATTAGTTTTCTTCTTTTTCTTCTTCTTATTGTTATTATCATTCTTAGCTTCATCCTCAATCTATATATCTTTCTTTTCTCCTTTCTTTATCATTATATTTACAATATAAACTTTTATATAATATTTTCAAATTCGTCGTCACTAGAACCGTCGTCCTCTTTACCCTTGAAACAATCAGCTTCCAAAGTATTTTTTCCATTTTCTCCTAATGCTTCTTCGACATCTTCCAAATTTTCAACGTCATAGGTTCTTTCCGTATCCGGTTCAATTATTTCGGCTTCGTAGTAGATTGTCTTTCCTTTCGTCCAACTGAAACTATTATCGAAAGCTAAGAAATCTGCTAGGAAAACGAAAATGAGCGTTTTTTTATCCTATACGATAACATGTTCTTACATAGTCCGGAGTCCCTTAAACTGATAGATCCTGATTCCGGCACTAAATGACAATCGACTCTCTTCGATTTTATTAAGGGCGTCATATCTTTAATGGAATCATCTGGAGAATTCGCTTTGAAAATCCCATATCCAATATCGTAATGATCCGTTTGAAAGACATATCTGAGACACGAATTATCTTTCTGTGCCTCAAATCCTACTTTTTTAACAGATCCGCGTTTAACCTTTAGCTTTAAAGCTTTATCTTGATTTAGCAGTCCCTGATCTTTTAAGTAAAAAGATCTCGGCACTGTAGAGCCATAGACCACCTTAGATCTGCACCATTCGTCACCATCCCTATCGATTTGGGTTCCTCCCCAGCCAAGAGGTAATTGATCTTCGTTAATATGAACACCTATAATCTTTTCCTTCCAATCTCCTATTTGGTAAGAATAATAAAAAAGATCGTATACAGAGAAAAAGAAGGGAAACCTAATAAAAAAAAGGAATAGTCGCTATCAAAAGAGGAACGCGAAGATATAAGAAGGATATGGGAAAATATATATGGAGAAAAAACTTTTCTTCCCCTCCCCACCTCCACCCCTTTATTTATTCTTCGATAGCTAGTGTTTAAGCGAACGTAGGACTACATTTTCATTTTCTTATCAGTTGTATCTATATACTGAGAGATCTGTACGGATAAGAAGGCAAGAGCTATACTACTGGGTTACATTATCACTACAAGCTTCTTTTAAACTTAGGACTATCATTAATACAGCAATAGAGTTGAAGGTTAAACACTTACGGCCATAAATATGAATTTTTTGTTTAGTATCTTCGCTCATAATAGGCTTGACAACATTAAAGATAATCGGAAATATTCGTGGTGCTATTATTCCAATTGAAAAAAGTATATTATAAGAAAGTTTGTACCATCCATCACCAATATTTCATCATTTTTATTACCGTTTACAACATAAAATGCTCCTAAAAATTCCGGATAATTAGCTTCGTACAACTTCAATATATCGTAAACTTGATTAATTCCTACCAAGAATTATTTAAATATAGATCGATAAATTATTAATTAAATATTATATTAAAACCTGGAACGAAGAACTGCTTAAGCGTTAGTCCGTTTAAATCGGCAATTCCAACGGCTTGATCAATTCTAACATTTAGCTTTTTTTTTATTTTTTATGTTATTAAGAATATTGTAGAAGAGAGGAGGTGCGTCGCGGATGGAGTGGGAAGATGACCAAAAATGATAGTAGGAGGATAAAGAGGAAAAAGGATAAAAAAATAGTTTATAATATATAATGTTTGTTTTGTTTTTTGTTTCTCTTCTTACTCTTTCCGATTCTTCAACGCAAATCTGACGAAATTGCTCCATTTTTAATAGGAAAAACTTTTGCAATTCCGTCTTAGTAACGGATTGAAAAATTCCTTCCAAATCTAAATCCTTTGCTGTCAATAAATAAATAGGTCTGTTGTTCCTGTCAAATCCAGTAGTACCTCCAGGTATATAATTCAAAAGAACTTCGGAAGGTTTAAACTTTTCGACAAGGTCATCGATTTCGAATTCTTTTCTCCATAATAAACTCTTTCTGATCATTATTTGTGCTTTTGAAATATTGAAATTTCTTGCTGTTTTATAAATATACTAATTATAATGGCTTGTTTTATATTGACAAACAAAACGTAAAAATCATAATCAATAAAGAATGTAATACCACCTTTCAGCCATTTTAACAGATAAAAATCATCGTGATGAGATTGTAGAACATCGTTTAAAGATTGACGAAACTAGAATAATAAAAAAAAAGAGAAATAAAAAAGATAATCTGCGAAAAGTACTGAAAAATTAACAAAAGAACTTGCTTGTATTAGAATTTCATGTTCCCTTTCGCTCAAATCAAGGTTACTAGAAGAAGATGCCATCCTCTTTGAAAAAAGAAACAATGTTTGTTTGTTGAATATCAACAGATTTATTATCTAATTTCCAAAAATAACAAAATTAAGATATCGATATAAAGGTAGAAAGAGAGAAAGGAATAGATAGATAGATAGAGAGAACGATCGAGCGAGCGAACGAGCGACAAAGAAGAAAAAGTTAAAAATTATCAATAATCTGTAGAAACCAATTGATTTATTTGATAAATTTAAACAGATATTTCTTATCTTATAACAAATCTTATTTGATAATATAAATAAATTAATAATGTCAACGTGCTGCCATCTAACAAATAAGTTTAAATTGTATTTTAAATAGTCATTTAGAGTAAATATTATTATCTACAGATGAATACATAGAAAAGAAAAGTACATAAGACGCGAGATAATTTTATGTAAATATATTTAAATGAGATTAAAATATATATATATATAGAAAGTGAGAGTAAGTAATAAATATATATGCATGTGCATATATTTTTAAATAACAGAAAGAAGGAAATCATGGAAAACAATCTGTGATTAATTATTAATATGATTATTATTTCACTATATAAGCTAACTGACTGAGTAAATCACAAATTCTAAAGATATTAAGCAGCAATGATGAATTTTCTTCATGTATATTAAATCAATTTTTATTTTATATATATATATATATATATAAATGTATTCAATATATACAAAATATCAATTATAATATACATATATATATATATATATATAAAATATATATAACATATATATATGTATATATTGTAAATCGGTCGAAACTTATTGACAAATGGCAACAGGCGAAAGCATGAACAGAAAGCAAAGTCAACTATTGACGTCTTATCGACAAACGCATGACAAACGCAATTCGAACGATGAGAAATACATTTAGGACATGTTCAAGATCAATAAGGGTAGCGATATTATCCCGTACATAAATATATATATATATATATTTATAGTATATACTATACATATGTATATAAAGAGCTATTTATAACATCTTACTATATACAAATTATGGAATGTTCTGTTATTAATATTCATCTAAAACATATTAAACATGTGCTATACTTTTTGTACGGAATACTTAAAGGAAACATTATTTGACTTTATTGAATTGTTCCGGTTAATGTTCAATTTTATTGTGTTTGCCTTTAGAATGACTTAACTGTGTGATTTCATTATTACTTTTAATTTCAATGTTCATAATTCAGTAGATTATTGAACACTCCCGAGCACTGACAAACTCAACACGTGTTCAATGCGTCGATCGAACTTAAATTGAATGATAGCCACGCTCAAAAAGCCAACCAATTGATTTTATATACGCCATTATATCGACCGATATAGTTAATCGAATATCTTGCTGTATGCATCTATTGACTTATTCGAAATAACAATCTGTGGCCATATAACTCAAACTTCATGGAAAGGTCACTTTTTTTCTTCTTCTTTCTAAGAGTATAGAAATTTAAGCAACCTTAAAGTTCTAGGTTTCAAGTAGTTCAATAAAACAAGGTATATAGTTGAAATAAGAGAATTAACAGTTGAAACTTTTCGCTTGATACTATTCTGCTTCCTTGTATTGTTTCGTAAAGACTAGACATTCTTTTCATCTTCCAGACGAATTCGAAAGCTTTTACATGTAGAATTTTTAAATTATTCGATAACAACAATGTTGACGTTAATGTGTCTGGCATAACGTTCGATACAAAAAGCGTTTAATAATTAATGTTACTGAATATCGTTTTTACGTTTATAAAAACGCCTACAAATTATATTAGTGAGTTCGGCTCTTCGGATAATACAATAGAAGCCGATTCTGTGGTCAATATCCTTAAAACGTCGTCGATCCCTTCGGCAAATTTTCTCTCAATAAAAGCCGATAAGACTGGAAGCAAAATTCGAAAACAATTATCACAAAGACAAAAAGTTTCCTTTTCTTTTTCTCAATCATTCAATCACTCACCTACTCTCTCTCTCTCTCTCTCTCTCTATCTCTCTTTCACTTTTTTTTTTATTTTTTTTTGTTAAGGATTGTTGATTTATAAAAGGAAAAAACTTTTTCCTTCCGACCCACTTTTTAAAAAATACACACACTTTCTAATATATCGATCAAACATATGGACTTTTCATCAACATATCATGACGAGAAATTTATAGACAAGGACGGCTTTATTGTAATTTTATGGTAAATAATCAAGATACAAGTTTACTATTGCGCCATTTAATAGTCTGGTTCGGTGGTCGATTATAGTCATTTTCTTATTAGTTTGAAAATGGATTAAGAATATAAATAATTATAAAAACACGAATTTCATGGTAAGATTGCGGTGTAGATATATTTTTTAAAAATTAACCAATTTGTTAATGTGATAAAAATCCATTTTCATCTTTTTAGGACCGGATTAGTTTATCATCTTAGACGTAGAGAACGTTTGCAAAGAGAGCAGAATATCGATCGAAATCGCGCCGTTTCTCGTTGATTGACGGAGGCTTCCTTCAAAACAATTGATCGGTGATTTTCTCGAATAAAAGGCCGAATCGAGCGAATTGATGCATCACTTGATGGCCGATAGCCAGTCTATCCATTCGCAATCGTCAAAGCCTAAGAATATTGTTTTCGTCGCTAAGAAAGTGAACTGTTCGAATAGTACTATCGATTTGTATTCGATATGACCGATTGATTAGCTAAAATCGCCCGAGAAGATCAAATATGGCCGCCTCACAAGTTCTTCAATGTTGGAAAGATTTTAATTTAAGGCAGCTTCAGGTGAGTGGATCGTGTATGTTACAACAGTTTTTTGATATATTCTTACCAATACTGCGTTGTTACTCGACTGGCAATGGTAAAAGCGGATAGATTAGGTCGAGTGAGGTATAGGGAAAACGCTGAGACAAGATGTTCGCTCTGAAGCGATCAGAAAAGTAATCAATATGGCGGTGAAACGATTGCATTTAGGCGCCAATGATCAGTTTGTAGAATATAAATACGGTTGAGTCTACTGTTATTTAACAGAGACGGTTAGATTGGTACCATTTAAGTACTTTTCAACGACAAATTCAGCAGAGTTGCTGAGTTGAGTATCACTTGTTGCTCGACTCGGACGTCTCTTACCCTGGTAAATAAGAGTAAGCTGTGTTTTTTTCCTTTTTTTTTTGAACATATTTAACTGATAGATTTGCGTGCAATACAACGTTTTGAGGTGAAACGATGGCCGTAAATATTTAATGGGTTTGCAAAACGAGAGTCGATTCCGATCGCCGGAGTAATTCTAGCTGTTGGGAACGCTTCGTAATATAAAAAATAAGAAAACGCGCACTTGTTTTTTTCTTATCACTAATAATCGAAAATTGACGAGAAAACGCGATTTTTCTTCCTACCACTAATATAATTGATAAGAAGTAGAAGTTGGAGCGAGTGGAGTATTAATTCGCCATATGGTGCGGCGTAGGGCGACGACGATTATCTATCGATCATTATGATTATGATGATGACGGCGAGCATAAAAAGTGGGAAAATTTCTCGGCTTTTGATTAATGAGTAACGTTGCTTTTATGACTTGTTGCTGCGTGCTGTTTGTCGAACGTATTTGTACGTTTGGTGCGCCTGTTTGTGGCCTGTTCGATATGATACAGAAATCGATAGCCGCGATTGGTCTCTCAAACAAATCACTAATGGAACTGAATCTACTCATCTCTTTGTCTTTCACCGAACAATGCATTGTCGTTCATCGATCTTCGATATCGATTCGGTTGAAAGCGACTTGTTGACTCGGCTATATTCTAATTGACGGCGTTGTTTGCGCGTCCGGGGCTACGATCAGTAATCGATTGATGAAAAAAGACAGATGGTAACGTCAAAGTGTTAGCCAAGCCTCCTCCTGTTTTACATACCAAGCCGCCCTAGTTTTCGATCTCTTATCACCCATCTTATCGATTCGTTGAAAGGGGCGATTGATTTGCGCGGGCGTTCCGCGTCGTTCTTAATGCGTTTTGAGAAACAACAGCAGATGACGGACGAGCCAACGAATCGATAATCGGTTATGGATTTCTTGAAAAACATATGCGGCCGCAGTGAGTGTGTGTACACACTAGCAGATGCATGCAGGTTGGCCTAAAACGGCAAGGCCGAAAAGCGAGGGGGTGATGGATTGATACCGTCTGGCGATCGGCGTTCCCTACACCGTACCCCAATTTTTTTTATTTTGTAAAATCTTCTATTTCACTTAACCCTCTCCCCCCGCCATCATCTTGCTCTCTCTCTCGTTTCCCTATCTCTCTTTCGAACAGTGTTCGACTATGGGCTAGAGGCGATTTGTTAAGAAACTGATCGCTGTTTGGCATAGTTCGTTTTAGCTGGCGCCGAAGAGCCGCACTAGCGTCGGTGATGGTGCTGCAGCGAGCCTTCTAAATGTAGCTTGATAGCGACGCGATCGTGTTACACAAGGAGTTTGAGTTGTTGCACCACCTGTTAGTGGTACTTTCCCTAGCAGGGGGGGAAAGAGATGGGGGTGAGGGTGATGGCAGCGGGATTATAAGATACTAGGTGGGACGTTGAACAAAAAGTTTTCTTTACTTGTTTCTTAACTCAACAAGCACCCCAGCTAGAACCCCTATCTGTATCTTCCCCTCCCCTTCAGATTACAGATCGGTAGTTTCGCTATCCCCTCCTGTTTATTTGGCGATTTTGATTGATTATTGGTACGGTTTGATAGGCGTAGCGCGTTGCTTAATAAAACATAGGCGCCTCGGTACCGACTGACGGTTGGCGCCGGCTTTTAAATAATGCACAACTATTTTGGCGGCTAACAGTGCCGAATTCTATTGATCCGACGTTCCCACCTCTCTTTCGTCAAGGCGTTTCGGCGCCTGTTAGTTTTTTTCCAATCTACGCTCTCGCATCTTTTCGCTTCACCCAATTAAAAGCAACTAACCAGGGTGAAAAGGTCAAAATTGGCGTCTGTAGGCAAAAGCAATATAAGATTTTTTAAAAGAAAAAGGGAGGGAAAAAAATAAAACGCGCTCAGCGTACAATGAACACGCCCTTAACAATGCTAATGGTATAGGTGATAATCAGAGTGAGTCAGATAGCGATTTTTTCCCTTTGTTCTTGCGCATCATTAAGGAAACGATTTTTGACGTGATCGAACTGCTAGTTGTGATTGATAGCGGCCGTCCGCCCGCCGCTTTCTCCTATCTGTTCTTTGTTCGTTGCTGCACTTAACCCCCCTCCCGTGTCCTTTTTCTTCGCTTTCCCTCCCTTTCTCCCAAAGCCCGCCGAGTAAATAGGTTACGTACGTTATTAGTTTGCCATTTAAGCGATTATTAGTTTAGTGTAATTAGGCGCCACGCGATCGCTGACCCGAAAAATGAGTCGACGGGAATATAAAATAAAACTAGTGCCATCTATTAGTTGCTAATAAAACGATTGATGGAATGATGTATTGGTTGCTAGCCCTGTCGAATTATTTACTATTTATTATGCCCGAGTAAAGGGGTAGATATGGATAGAAATGCTCTTGGGGTCGCTGCCACCGCCCTCCTCAAGATAAGTCGTCAGCGACGAATATTTTTAATGCGAAAAACAGATATACTCGATAGATTAATGAAAAGAAACAGTAACAAACATTTCTCGTCTTTTTAAACGGCTACATATATTATATATAAATTTATTTTCAATACTAACGTTTTTCTCTATTTTTCGTTTTATAGCAAGAATTAGATAAGACAGCCACAGAACTTGCAACCAAAGAGGACGAATCGGAAGCGGCCAAAAAGAGACTCGTTGAGCAAAGCCGCGATTTCAGGCGGAGTACTGCTGAAGTAAGTTTTAAAAAGAAAGATAATAATAAAAAAAAGAATCGTAACCGCGCGAAAAAAATTGCTTATTGACTGATGATAGGCAGTAATAAAGGACTGTATCAAAGTACGAATGTTAGTTATAAGAAAGTAAATAATAGTAGTTATTTGGCGTTTGCGAACGGCTTTTATCGTGTTGACGTAATTGGAAGGGTTCGCTACAGAGCCGAGTAAAGTTGATGGTGCCTTTGTAAATTTTTCATGACTCATGAGCCCCCCACCAGTCGAACTGTTCGGACTCAGGGTAATCGCTGATTTTCATCTATCTTTTTCTCTCCATCTCTCTTTCGTCATGCTCTTTGTTTCGTATTTATTTTACGCCACTAATTTTCTCTAGTCATTTCAATGAGTTAAGGAAACTTTTTTCTTTATTTAATTCTCTTTTCAAGGTATAAACAAAACGAGAATAGAAAGTACTAATAAAAAAAGCAACGACTTCAAAATATGCAAAATCTTTTTAATGTAACATGAAATATATATATATGTAAATTTCTTTCTTTTATTTATTCCTAGCTTATAATTCTGATCTTTTTTCACAATTAAAAAAAAAGTAACATCTACTTATTTATATTGTATATATGATATAGGTGCTAGGTTGTATAAATATAATATTTTTTCTTCTTTACTTCGAACTGTATATATGTAGTTTTTAATTATGTTAAAATCAAAAAGAAATTTATTTCCAGTACGTGTACAATTTCGTATCTGCATATAAACGTGTACGCTATTGAGGAAGGGGGGAAATTGTGAAGAGAACTTTTATAAACGGGTGCGCGCGTGTCACGTAAGAATAGGCTTGTTTCATATGTTTAACATTGCATTAAGCTTCAGGTTCTATTTGGCTTCACAATCTGTTTCTATAACAACCATTTTAGTTGGAATTAGTTTTTTTTCTGTCTTCTCTTCTGATGATTTTCAAGAATTGAATGAATGAATGAATGCCGATTAAATACGTTATTTTTCTCTATTGGAGATAATTTGGATCAGTACACGAGTCAATTGTTCGCTTTTCCGCCCCTCCTAGTTGATTCATTTTTCATCCCCCATCCGTACCAAATATCGTTTTTTCAGTTGTTTACCGAACGGTCGAGCGTTTAATGAAAACTGCCTCATTTTTCTATATGTTCCTCCTTTAATCTGGGGCTGAGTTTTGCCCGTCTATCAATTTCTATATCGATTTTTGCATTATTTACTCTTGGATTCGTAATTGTTTAATGGAGCTCACATTTGCGTTTATTTTTATTATTGTTACGATGATAGACGCCCGGTTGATTGATATTGATGATGACGCCCCGTCTATGATCCGGGAGGGGTAACTGGCTCCGATCTACTTTAATATTCGAGATGGATGTCCCTAAAAATAATAATGCTAAATGAACGGTAAGAACGTCTTTCTCGGTTAAGATCGCTGCAGTCAATAAGGGGGGGGGGGTTGTCCAATTAACGAGTATTTGGAAAACGCTTAAACAATAAGGGTATTGGTTCTAGCGAAAAAATAGAAAATGTCATCGTCATTATGGGGCGGCGTAAATATCAATTGGCGTCGTGCTTGGCTGCCCTGTCGTCTTCTCGACGTTCGGTCTCCTCGAGGCTGCAGAGAACGCCACCGAAAATGTCATACTTTCTTGATATGCTAGAGAGCTTGAAGCTCTAATTTCCCTCTATCTACTCCACTTCCCTCCTATCCTCCCTCTCTACTCATCTACCTCTCTATCTATCTGTCTCTCTAATTCTATATGTCTTTCCTTTTCCCCACCCACCTCGATTATCCGCTCATAATCGATATTCGTCTATGTATGATATTACCTCCCGTCGCTTTGTTCCCTCTTAATCATTATAAAGTTTCATTCTCTATAAGAATATAATGAGTTTGATTTATTTTTTCTCAAACAGGAACTACGTAAAGTAAGCGCTCCTCTTTTGAAAAGTCTGCAAACTGAAATCGACCAATTATTAAGGCGCTTTAAGTATGCCGAAACGGCCTTTTTGAACGTTTATAAAAAAGTGATTGATTTACCAGGTAAATTGACTCAATATTTTTACATTCACACAACCACACATACCAAATATGTATATATGTATTTTTTGTTGTGTCATATATAATCATACACTGTTTTCTTGTGTCAATACGAAATTTATAAATGCGCTGTAATATGAAAAGACGTATGGTATATGCGCAAATCCATACATGGAAGTAACAAAACAACATTCATAAAATCAAACACCTACGTATTTTGGGGTTTATACGTGTATAGTTTTTTTTTTTAGCTAATACGCATAATTTATATAGAAATAAGGAAACAAACAAATATGATTTATGTGTACAGTATTTATATATACATATAAATACTAATAATATACATACATATATTTGTCTTATATAAGGATGTATATGGTTGATATTATACTGGGGAAAAAGTGCCTGCGTGAGCACGAATGATTTGTTCCTTTTTCCTTTACTATCTGGCCACCATATATATTTCTCTATTATTATTATAGTTATTATTACGACTACGGTCTCCCTTTCACACCTCTATCCTTTTATCTTTCTGTATTTTGTACCATTACGCATCAATTAGTGTTTGTTCTAAAAGATTGGCAAAAGTTCGATATATGTGTTATGGAATCGCGCAAACATTGACAATATATGTGCCCCGGGCTGCGACAAACAAGACCTTGACGTGTGTAAATGATCCATCAGAAATCGATGCGGTCGCCATTAGCGGTGCTGATGCGCTTCGAATGGTGCTGCCGCTGATGACTTGTTGAACGTACCCTGTGTAAATATGACGACAAACTAGTTTGTAAACAGCAGTAATTATCGGAAGAAGCGCGTCTACTTCCGAATCTTTCGTGCACCCGCGTGGTGTTCCAGGCATTTTATATTCGATGTAATAACATTGTTATTATTATTACTATTATTACTACTGTGATCATTATCAGTGACTATCTTTTCAGTTAAAATGACAGACAATAATATCATATTTGTTCTGTATATTTACGCATAAATAGGGTCTAGTCGATGATGAAACGCTGGGAAATACGTGTTGCGCGTTTTGCTGTGACGTCACACCGCTCATTGTGTAGTCGTCATCGATTGATGAGCGTGATTTGTCGGTGTATGCGTTTGTCGCATCGGTGCCCTTCTTTGTTTATATTTCAACGTTGTATGTTCATCCAGCGTTCGTTTTTTTTCATCTTTACTAAATATTTTATTGACTTTCTTGTAATTTATAAATTTATTATACAGACCCCGTAGAAGTTCTTGAACATGTTCAACAATTACAAAGACGTGCGCAACGATCTAGTGAATTGGAACTTGAAAATAATCAACTCAGAGACACATTGAATGAATATAATAATGAATTCGCGCAAGTGAAAAATCAAGGTAAGACAGATTGTATTATATCAAAATTATAGTATGACTAATGAGATCAATGTTCGAAAGATATTATTTATATAAGGTGAATGCATTTACATTTCATTGTTTCTCTTACTCTTCGAAATTAAATTGATTTGTAAATGATATGATAGGGCCAAAGGGTAAATAATCTAATCAATTTATTTGAATTTACTAAACAAAAGCTTTTTTTGATTAAAGTAAAGTAGTTTTGATATTGATTATAGTGGCAAAGGAGCATATGTAAACAATACATAAAGTATATATACATATATAATATATTTATAATTTCTCCTTACCCAAAGTAGTAGGTTATCTTTAGGAACCAAGTCATGGCATGTCTAGCAATTATCGTAAATGACGCTCGCAATTTTTAACTAGCCCCATTTACGATCACATGCTACTGACACGTCGCATCTCTATTCGACGTTCACTTGAATTTAGAGAGAATCAAAGGTAAACATCTTAGGAGAATTACAAAAATTAATCACCGACTCTTACGAGAAGACTTATTAATTGAAATTTAGCGCGTAATACCTAGTCAGCGGCAGCGTAACAGTATAAATTGGGTATTAATAGAGTTAACGGTTGCAGTCTGACACAATTGCTTAGGAGTGGTAGTCAACCACCCTTGTAACAGTTAATCCTCGTTGAAACTAAGTAAACAATTCCGCTTTCCACAGAGGTTACGATCAAATCGTTGAAAGAAAAGGTTCGTTCTCTAGAGGAGGAAATGGAATCGAAAGTCTGTAACCAATTAAAGGAGAGAGAACGGCAGCTGGAGCGTTCGTTTGCTGAGAAAGAGCGTGAGATACAAGACAGTAATTTAGACGTGGCACGAAGATTGGGCGAAGCTGAAAGGACGATAGAAACGCTTCGATCCGCTCTTAGTCAGGCTCAATCTGAGCTATTCGACGTCAAGAGTAAATACGACGAACGTGCAAATGCCAAGTTAGTACCTTATTCTATTTAAAATCCGCAAATTCAACTATTAAAATTTTTGGTGCGGCTTCTTACCTTCTCTTTGGGTCCGTTCGAATGTTTACCGTCTCATACAAATTACCTGAAATTTGACAGAAATTGCTTGTAATTTAATGCAATTTTATACGATCGCGTTCGATTTCTAGGTGAATTAAACTAGAGATGATTGACGTAAAAATTCGGTTGAAGACTCTTACTAGCCAGTTTATTTAAGAAGCTACGAACTTTAGACGATTGGTAAATTCTTGTGGGAATTGAACGAAAAATTTACGATATAGAAATACCATCTCTTTTACTGACATCTGCAGTTGATAGTAGGCAGGTGTAAATTTAATTAAGATCGTTTAGTATTCTTTCACCGAATTCGATCATTCCGAGTGTGCAATACTAAACTCCTAGCCTATTTTTTGTACCCAGTAAGTCAGTAATACTTGCTCAAACACACATACTCAAATCTCTCTCTCCTCTACTCTACTTTTTCTTTTTTTCGTTGACCGTCACAAGCCTCATAAGCGGCTTATTGTCTTTGAACGGATACAATGATTACTTTTATTAATTGACTGTTGCATTGGACACAAGACACATGCTTTGCGATTCTACCGTACAAAATGAGAAAAAAATAAATAATGAGAAAAAAACCAAGTACAGAATGGTACTATTAATATACAACAATTAATAACAGTTGGAATAATTATATTTTAAAATAGAAATAATGCTAAATGTTTTTGCAACGAATAATATAATATAAATCATTCTTCTCTTCAATATGTTTTCTTTCCTGCCCCTCGCCTCTTCTTTTTCTGTTATCTATTAACTCATTCTGGAAATACGGTCGAATCAATGATGCAGCACCGAAAATTTTTCAATTTGTCAGAATTACTTATTGATTAACTATTACTGTCGATCGCGTATTTGGTGCTATGTTAATTAATGTTTTGTTTGTCTCTTAGATATATTTAACGTTTGTCTTCGATTAAGATTTATGTAAGAAAGAAAACATAAAAACAAGAGAAAATAGATAATATATATTAATAAAAGAGGAAGATTTAGGTTAGGTTTTAAATTTAGACTTTTTTCCTTAGTCATATTACGTCTAGAGTGAAGAAAAAAAATCGATTGAAAAGTCTTGATTCCGAAGAGAATGTTTCCTGATGTTTAAAAAGTAGACATAGAATCGAAAGAAAAGATAAATAGAATAAAAACTATAACATTGCAAGAGAAAAAAAATTATGCAAAAAAATTTGTATGTTTGTATTATAGCCATACAGTTTTGTTTTGTAATTTATCTACTAAATCGTAATTTTAAATAAGCCTTTTGTTAACACATAGTAAATAATAGTAATCATAAATTTAGTTAACGGATAATCATCTTTCAACTAAAACAAAAAAAAAAGTGAATTGCAGATTTAAGAAATTCTATATGATATTAGAACATGATAAGGTTCATCAGGGAAAACAATTTTTTTACCTTGGTTTACAATTCACAAAGTTCCCAATATATTGGTTTCTGAAAGAATTTTTTTTTAGATGTTTAGATGTAGGCAATCGGAGATGCAGGTGACGGGTAAATTTTTTTTATCATAAAAAGTTCTTAGAACCTTGTAATATAATAACACAATATTAATTTTTTTTCACCACTCACAAAATTTAATCATAGCCATTGATTAAAATGAGTTTTTTTTTAACAATAAGATTATTATTAAATGTTTCTTTTCTTCGTTTTTTTTAATCAATATTATGCTGATAATATAATAATATTAATAATAATAACAATTACAATAATAATAATAATATTAATAATAATAACAATAATAATAGTAATGATTATAATAACAACAATTGATATTATTATTATTGTTATAATTATTAGGGCTATTGATACATTTTTGTGTTTACTTAAGCTATCTTAAATTGGTTTGTATTTTTTTTGAAGAATTTATATAATTATAAAAGAAAAGAAATATAAAGCATAAGTCAATAGATGCTTATTTAGAAAGAGAACATTTTATTTATCACTATGAATTTAATGTCTTCTCTGTTAATTAATTAATCGTAATAGGAATCTTTCATATTGGTTGACTTAAAAACTTTATGATTCTTAAAAGTCTCCTATCACTTTTTATTAACAATAATTTAGCAAACGCCAATAAATGCGTATGCAATTGCGTGTACATAATATTCTATATACTGTACACAGTATATACTGTATATATATATATATACAACTTGTGTATGGTATATACGAAAATATACTTTATATTCAGTGTATCCTCTATATTTATATACGAAACTGATATGAAACATATTTTTAAAACGAAGTAAGAAAAATTATCTGTCTTAATAGGTGGGATAAAAGAGAGGAAATCATTCCCTTACCTCCTCTCTTTCCTTCTCGATTCGAATGATGTATTAACAAGGTTATTTATAACGAGTGTAATCACTTTGTAGCCCCAACCAACTGCCCTTAATCGTAAAATGTGCATTATATTGAAAAAAATTTTAATCTCTTCCTCTTCTATAACTTTTTTCCACCGTCAATCCCCACCCTTTTTAATTTACTTTCGGTAGGGACAAAAGAGCCGATGGCGAGCCTGTGCCTGGGCACTGTTGCATGATGGCGTTAAGTATTGATCGATTGGCGCGCGTACGCGTCCTAATGGTGATAGTCGCATAAGAGACGGCGCTCCGTGAGCAGACGGCTGACGCCTCGCGTCTGTTGCAGTTTACCAAGCGACTCGTTCAATTGACGGTGTTACGCGTGAATGATCGCGCTGACAAACTGGCGCGACTCGCACCGCCTGTCGTTAAGTGGCTGTTTTGTATTTGTTGCGGACCGACCTTCTACCGGTACTGGTAGTAGTGATACCTGCGGTTGTGCTATTAGGTATTGATAGTATTTTAACTAGCGGGCGTAGTCGTCGCCATCATCTTTCGTCAATCCATCGCCCGTCTTCATACGCTCGGCGCCGATTTGACGCCTTCTATTGTCCGATTGTACTGCGAAGTTGTCGCCTTTGGCGTTCGTCTTATATTTTATGGAGTCTAGATGAATTCCATCCTACCCTTTTTCTCTTTCTGCAGGTCTGACGAGATCGAAATGCTCTTGGCGGAAGTCGACAGGGCAACAGAGGTACGTTACTGTCTTATTTACATTACTTTATTTTCCATTTGCTTTGAAATGTTTTTCTCATTTATCGATCATTTTTTCCAAAATAGAAAGCCGCTGCTGGTGAGAAAGAAGTGGAACAACTAAAAGCTCAGCTGGAGACTCTTACTCAGAATTTGTCCCAAGCCGAACAAAAGAATACAGCACCTAATGTGGATCAGGCTATGAACAATTTAAAAAATTCTTCGCTTGAAGTTGAATTGGCATCGAAAGATCGGGAATATCAGCAGTTAATCGAGGAATATCAGCGTCTGCAAAGGACGCACACTCGATCTAAGGAAGAGGACAATAGCCGTATTAATCGTCTCGAAGAAGAATTGGAGAGTGCTAAAGAGAAGATCGACCAATTAGAAAAGAGATTGTCGGAACAGGCCGACTACGAAGAGCTGAAGAGAGAATTGGCTGTGATCAAATCTATACAATTGGGTGCAGCTTCCGAGAGAGCTAAACCGTTAGAGGTACTCGTTCTCGAGAAGAACAAGCAACTGCAGTCGGAATTGACGCAGCAGAAGAATGCCAACGCTGAATTGGCAGGTGAGTGACTAGTCTTTTTATGTCGTTATTTTTTTCCTGCTTTTGCTCTTCTGCTTTATCGCCTCCTTCACGCTGAATTTGAGTTGCTTTAAAAAATTTTCCATCCTTTCCCTTCGTATTTTCTGTAATTTTACTTGTTTTTTTTCTACCTTTTCTTGTCCCTATTTAAATGAATTATTACTTAAAGGAACTCAAATTCAGCTTCAAATAATTGATTATATATACATTATCGTATATACTTCTCGTTTATTGGCACGCTTCCATTCCCACTAATTTAATCAGTAATAGTTATTTTTATTTAGTAAATATTAGCACTAGTGGTAGTATTAGTGGTAGTAAATACTATTTACCTTTTATTGCCCGCATCTTTTAACCATTCACCACTCCCTATTTTATTTGTATTTATTATACAGACCGTTGTTTTAAAAATCAAAGCTCGTACTTGTTAACAAGAAAAATCGCCTTCCAAGGCCGTTTAGCCTTTCAGCACTTCATATAGTGAATATATTTAGGATCGAAGTACCGGGTTGGAATAGAATAAATTAATTGTATTAAAATTAATTTTGCTATTACGTAATAGATTACTATTTTATGTAAATAATTTAAGTTCTTCCAACTCGATTTGATCCTTTAGATTTGCTATATATATATATATATATATATATAGATTTATGTATAATTTCATAAGCCAGTTATTTTGACTGAAAAAGCATGATACGTCATTAATTTATATATTTGATTTATTTACAAAAATCAGGAAACTAGTACGAACGTATAAGATTTATGTTTATTTAAATAAATATATATCTGTATATATATATATATATCTGTATATATATATATATATATCTGTATATATATATATATATATCTGTATATATATATATATATATTTATATTTTGCTACTACCTGCCCGCGCATTGAAAAGACTTCTTAAAAGTTTACTTGCATCTAACAACAAAGCTACACCAATTATCATTTTCTTTCCCTTTATATACTATTCCTTTAAAACTATAAGAAAAGGGGCTATTAAATTAAATTATTAATATTTATACATTTATTTAATATCTTAATATTTATATATATATGCATATATATTCAGATGTCATAAGATTCTATTTACATGTATCATCTATATGTATATATATCTAAAAGTATATATTTATATTTAATACTACCATTCAGGCTTAATTAACTACTCTAAAAGAAAACGCTTAACAATTTGAATGCGCATTTGAACAAAAGTATTCAATACAAGCAAATAATTAAATTCTCCGAAATACAATTATAAACTTAATAATTATAGACAATTTTAAAATTAATAAACGATTAATAATTATTCTTTGGAAAATATAAGAATTAAAATTGCTTACTGCTAATCAACTATTTCTCTATTATCTTAACTATTATTGCATATACATATATATATATATTTTAAACAGATTTATATAAATGTATATTTATTCGTACTTGTGTATATACCACTTTTTCATGGTTTTTTATTTTGCTCTCTTTCTCTTTATTTTTTTCTCCATGTAAAAATTCTTTAGAAATAAGCAAAAGAAATTGGTGTCACTCTATAGTGAGATATATTTAGTCAGCACATCCCGGAATGAACCAATCACGTAATAGGCAATTTTCGTGCTATATCGAACGGAAGCGACAAAAATCATCGTTATTAGCGTTTTCTAAGAATATTTTTTCTTCTCTCTTTGGTTTGCAGTTCTCGACGTATTTTATTTATATTATATATATATTATATTTATATTCATATTGGTATTCATATTATTTATTCCGAAAACAAAACAAAAAAGCCATAAAAATGACAAAAATCAATTGAATTTATGAAGATACAAGTCCTTTCTCTCCCCGTCCAATTCCTTACATTCCGTTCGAAAAGAAGAGGATATATTTGTGTCGGTGCAATATCGGTGTACATCATGGGGAGGGCGGGTTATGGCGCGCGGCATGTAGTAGGCGTATTATTGTGTGCTTTTATTGGCTGTTTTTTTTCCTTTTTCCTCGTTTATAAACATTAATATATACATCATAATGTATATGTCTATGGGTATAAACGCTTGTGGTGATGTTATATTTTCCATCGTCGTCGCCGTTGCTGTTGTTTTTTTTATTATCAGTACGAGCGTGCTTTTTTATAGACTAAAAGTAATAATAATAACGTACTTTTCTACTAAAATTTAATAAGATGATAGTTAAATATTAAATTTACACAAGCATATATTTTATTCTGAACTTGATAAAATTTAAACAATTTATATATATATATATATATATAAAATAAGGAATATACTGTATAAATAGTATGTATATTAACAGAAAGATAAAAAAGAATATGTTTGTGTACTTTATAAATAAAGTAGTGATTTTCTTTCATACGGTAGATAAATTAGTGGCGATTAAAACTCGTTCGTGCGGATAACAGTTGTTTTTAAATCAATTTGAGGTAGCGACGTAATCCGTGATTTGTTTACGTTTCTAATCTATGCTCGGGCGTTATAAATATATATTTTTGACGGTCGCGCGCCATTCACAGACCCCTCGTCCTCGACGGCACAAATCAAAGCCGAACGGCCACCATCCAACTCTTCAACAGCGTCCTCTTCTTCGGCAGCCTTCCTAATGAATTCAGGAGTAAAGAAAGAGTCATCGACAAGTCAACACCAAACACCTCCGGCCGCTGTTGCACCGCAAGCGGTCGTCTCTCAGCTAAACGGCTTCTTCCCCCCTCCGGTCTCATCTCTGGCGCCAGCCGCCCTAGTTCCGCCCGCTCACCATCCAGCGGCAGCCCTATTTTTTTCCCCTCACCTACCTCCGCTCTTGCCGCCTACTCATTTCGGATCGATTGCACCAGCTCTACTGCACGATCATTTACTACGGCCTCCAACTCCGCCAACCTCCGTGCCGTCGACGGCTCCACCGCCGTCCCAATCGCCTCCTAATGACGCCCTCGATACGGCCGACGTGGCGCAAAAAATTAGAGAAATACTCTCTACACACAATATCGGCCAGAGGTTATTCGCTAAGCACGTACTAGGACTGTCTCAGGGTACGGTTAGTGAATTGCTGTCGAAGCCGAAGCACTGGGACAAATTGACAGAAAAGGGCAGGGAAAGTTATAGAAAGATGCACGCTTGGGCTGCTAGTGAGAAAAACGTTGTAGAACTGAAGGCTATTTCTCCAAAGAAAGGTATTGGAAAAACAATCAGTTGCAATTCCTTATCGTTCTCTTCTAATACTGTAGTTCCGGCAGGTTCCTCACCTATGATGTCGAACTATCGGAGCGAAGATGCTGCAACAGAGGAGAGAATTCAAAAAATTTTGTCTGAGGCGCATCATGCAATGCAGGCGAAGCATTCGCAGGAGAAAGAACAATGGAATCGTTCAATAGTTAGTTCTATATACGAACAAGAATTAGCCAAATTGGGCGAGAATGGGAAAATAACAAATGGTGTTAACTCGTTATCCGGCCAGCAATACGACGCTGGTGAATTTACAGAGCAACTTGTCCAAAGAATTTATCAGGAACAATTAGAAAAGATGATAGCTCACGCTCGAAAGAGTGGAAATGTGGCCCAATTGAATATGTACCAAGCAGAATTACTAAAAGTAGCCCAACAAGTTCACGCGAAAGGCAACAGTCCTCACGAGGATAATAAAGAGAATTTAACGGATACAAAAGATGAACCAACTGATCTGAGTATCAAAAAGAAGGAGGAAACTCTCGCCGATTCTTCTCCAGCTGAACGTCAGTCAGCTTTTTCAATAGTACGTCCGGAGAGCTGCCAAAGCAACGATTCATCTTCTCACAACGCCATGTCTCCTTTACAGAGAATGCAAAATATTGCCAATTCACTGATGAATAAAGGCCCAAACCAAGGCGGTACTGGAGGGCGACCCTTAAAAGCCGTACTGCCACCAATAACTCAGGAACAGTTCGATAAGTACTCGCATATCGGTACGGACGAGTTAGTAAAGTGCGTCAAAGAGACTCTTAGTCAATTCTCGATCAGCCAAAGACTTTTTGGTGAAAACATACTCGGCTTATCTCAAGGATCCGTTTCGGATTTGTTAGCAAGACCGAAACCTTGGCATATGCTAACACAAAAAGGACGAGAGCCATTTATCAGAATGCAGATGTTCTTAGAGGACACAGAATCCATATCAAAGTTGGTAGCCAGCCAGTATAGAGTTCCGCCTGAGAAACTATTGAGAGGGTCAATGGGTGACGAACCACCACCACCGCCACCGCCACCACCCCCTCCCCAGAGTACCTCGTCCCCTGCAGAATCCGATTACAGACAGTCGTCCTCTTCGGTTGCCGATAGTGAATTGGATACTTTAGCCATTACTTCGAAGGTGAAAGAGGTATTAACGGCCAACAATTTAGGTCAGAAACTATTTGGTGAAGCTATTTTAGGCTTGTCACAAGGTTCAGTTAGCGAACTACTATCGAAACCAAAACCGTGGTCAATGTTGAGTCACAAAGGGAGAGAACCATTTATAAAGATGCATATGTGGCTTCAAGATCCTGCAAAATTTGACCGACTTCGCCTCTATCAGTCGGAAACCCCAGCGGGCAAAAATAGTCGAAAGCGTAAACATCAATCTGCGATCATCTCATCGAATAGCAACTGCTGTGACAATAGCGCTTCATCTTCTGATAATCAGAAAAGACCGAGAGTATTCTTTACTGAACAACAAAAGGAAACTTTGCGCAATGCTTACGCTTCCGATCCTTATCCAAGTCAAAATGTTATCGAAAATCTGGCAAATCAATTAAACGTGGGTCAAAAGACTATCGTTAATTGGTTCCACAATCATAGAATGAGAGCTAAACAACAGCAACACTCAGTATCTAGTCCCGCGTCATCTGTGTCTTCATCAGCTAGAACAGCTGCCGTCGATAGTGACGACGCTCCAAGCCCAGCCTCAACTGCTAGTTCGTCGGCTGGTGCTCTTACAAGGCCTTTAAATGACGCAGCTCAATGGCTATTTCCAGATTTCATGCCCGTAAAAGCAGAAAAAGCTGAAGAGGAGGAGGAAATTGACGAAGAATCTTCAAATATGAACGTCACCGTTACAAAATCCAACAAGAGAAAGGCTGCAAAGCCCAAGCGTGTCTACGAGCGAGCAGAGCCAGAAAGAAATGGTGAGAGTTGGGATGATGAAGACGACGTGGGCTCCACATCTGGTCTCACCGTTGTTGCTGCATGCTAAAAATATGAAATGTAAGAAAGAGCGGAGGAGGAGGAGAGGAGGAGAGGAAGAAGTAATGATAATTATGGACAAGACATAAGAAGAGGAGGTTAAGTAAAAGTTGTTTTAGGAGAACTGGAGGGAGAAATGTGAACCACAAATGATAAAACCGAATATTTCAACTCATGCATTTACTTATTAAGGAGTAACGGTTTAAAAAAAAATGGCGTTCTATTTTCAAGACCCCAAAAACGGAGGGGAGGAAAAAGAGAAGGCATTATTCGTATTTTTTTAAAGTCAATCGTAGTCGTTCAAAACACAAAGGAAAAAGAAATGCACTGATGAAGCTCATCGTTGTGGCGCCTTGTACGATATCGTTCAAGAAAGTGTTGTTCTAATCAAGATATTTTTTTGGCTTTTTTGATAAAATTGGAATTTTGGACGGTGTTTCCCAGCTTACTAGGAACCCGCCCCCCCGCCCCCAACAAACAAAATCCCCTGCCCACTTTTATAAACCGCCCCCAACTTAAATACCCAACCCCATAAAACTGTTTTAATCAGTTTTAGAAAACATTTATCCTTGAAAAGTTTTGGAAAAACAGAAAAGTTGGGTCGCGAAAAAATATTATTCTTGGCTTATTCTTATTTTTTTTTAAAGAAAATACTTCGCGATGTTTATTAATGATTTAATTTCTTCTTTGGGATTGCTATGTAATTTTTTTCATTATTTGTGTCAGTATTACCGGTATTTTTCCTCCCGTTTATATATATATATATATATATATATATATATATATGTATATATGTATATATGTTTACTCTTTACGACGTCAATTTGTGACATAAAGTTTACAAAAAGGTATATATATACACGTACAGGATAATTGATATATTCATATGTATAATTTATGCGTATAGAACGCGTATAGAAAAAAAAACCTTATACATATGTTTATATTAAAAGAAAGTTTTAAAAAAGGTTATATTTTAAACGTATAAACATGCGTTTATATTTTAAAAATTTACATATTATATATATATATATTGAGCTGGCGCTGAAAATATTTCATATTTGCTCTACGAATGGATGGAACAATGTTCTCCTTTTTACACTGCTGGTGTACGTCTGCTGTTTTAAAGTATGCGTGCCTTCTTAATTGTTGTTAAACAGATAAAACGTTACACGTTACATATATATTATGTATTTATATAATTTATTCGTAACAAACCATTTATTTTCCTTTGAACGTTTTTTATAGCCAAAAAAAACAAACAAAACAAATGTAACAAACGTTTCAGATATTTTTGAAGGTTAAAACGATGTCGAAGTTGATGATTTCTTACAAACAGAAAGGGCAACAGCTATTTAAAAAAAAAAAGAAGAAAAAGCAATCATTACGACAATAAAGATAATTATCTCTCTTTTTGGGACCAGATTTAAATGATAAAAGGCAGAAGTTGATATATTGCAAATTATTCAGTTTTTGAATTAGTTGAATAGTTAAAAAAAATAGATTTACATATAAAGGAAACAAAATGAGCAAAGTGAGAAAGATTTATTAGAAAGGAAAAATATTCTCCTTCTTCTGTACTGAAACGTTTTCTACTATTGTAGGTTTTATGATATGTACATATATGTGTATACGAATATGTATGTATCGTATTTTCACTTGTGCCTCTTCACATTTTGTGGGTTTTTTTTAATTATTTTTGAATATTTTAACTGTAAAACTGTAAAACACTTAAACCTCTCTCGCTTTGATTCCCAATTTTTGAGCACAAGGCGGACGAAAACAAGAAACGAACGGTTTTTTGGGATCACGAACACAACTGTTTAATTATTTAAAATTTATTTTCTTTTTTGGGGTGTTCTTTTCACCTCCTGGGAGAGAAGAAGACCGAAAGGAAATGACGATGGCCTTATAAAAAAAAACAAAAAAAGAAAAGCTAAAGGACGATGATGGTTGAAAGGATCGCAACTATGTAGACAGGGTTAGGATGAAATATTTATCTTTTTCTTTTTAACTTTTGTCTTGTAAGATCATCTCTTCTGTTTTTTTTTTGGTATAGAAAATAATTTAAATTATTGAATTGTTGTAGACGTATTGGAATATTAACTTTGGCCTATGTTAAATTAATTAGATTCGTCTTTCGAAGCTATAAAAAAAAAAAAAGAAAGACGTATATACAAAATACGAGTAAAGCAGGAAGGATGGAATATAAAATGTATCTAAAAATGAAACAAAAGATTATTAGAGTAGGGTTTTCAAAGAAACAGCTTATCAACAGTCTAACAATAAATAGTCTGGTTAATATTCCAATAGTTTTAAAACTGATATAACGATTGTCCGCCGGTTTTTAATTTGTTTTTAATTGTCCTATTATGTAGTCATTTTTAACACTTAAAAATTGTAACAATTCATCGAACATCCACGCACGCAAATAGCCTACATACAAACACACACACACACACACACACACACATGATATATATATCCATTCATTCATTCGTAATATACAGCATATAGATGTTTTATCTTAGTATTTTGCAATTGCTTTCTTCTTAATTATTATTGTTATTATTATTATTCGCTTTAAAAACATGTAACTTAAATATCTTTGTAAAAGTGAAATCTTGATAAAATTCGACATAAGTGTTGTGTTCAATCGGTGCCTCCTCGTATTTTTCTACTATTCAACGCACGTGTTGTTGCTTTATGGTGCTATTAATTGAAAGAAAGGGATGGGAAAAAAGTGAGTGAAAAAGGGAGAGAGACGGACGGACAGACAGGGAGAGGGGGAGAGAAAATAATAATTAGTTATTCATTTCTCTCTCTCTCTCTCTCTTTCTCTCTCTCTCTTTCACGCTTTCTCTCTTTCTTTTTTTTTTAAGTTTTTTTGTAAAAAAGAAAAAAGTTGCATATTATTTTTTCTTTTTATTTTTATTTTAGAAAGGAAAATGTTATTATTTTTTTCTTCTTTTTTTTTGTAAATTTATATTGCCATTTAAAAAAAAAAAGAGAAAAAATGAATTATTTTTTAAAATGATTGTACCAGACGGCGTTCACAAAAAATTTAAAATTTTTTAATTGAATATTAATTTTTTTGTTTCCCGATTTTTTTTAAACGAAAAAAAAGAAAGAAAAAAATCGGAATTGTAATTTTTTTTTTTTAATGTTTGGCTTTTGTTTTAATCATTTCTGAATGTACAAAACAAAAACAAAAAAAGGAAGATTTTTCTCTTATATCATTTAATACTTCAGTAAATGACGATAGATTTTTATTTTGGCGTTCAGAAATAATTTTCTTTGTTTATTTTTGTTTTTTTTCTTTGTTTCTTGAAAAAAAAACTGCTTGTCGTTTTATCCTATTGTTGTGATGATGTAAATTGTATTTATCATATATTTTTTATATATGAGTAAACCAGTATTTATATATGTATATTGGACTTTCTAAAAAGAAATGTTCATACAATATTATTGTGTTGTGATGTCTCTTTATTTTTAAGCTCTCTTTACAGTGTTCGTTTTTTCTTTTTGTATAAATAGAAAAATGACAACAAATGCATATTTTCTATTTTCATTTTATTAATATTTTTGTTTATTTTAAATATCTACTTGTAACATTACTGCTTACTTCATTTTTGCTTTAATATTCAATAGTTTCTGTCTTATTCTTGAAACGACAAAACCAATAATAGTCTTATGTTCTTTTTTGACATAACTGTTAAAGTGCATGGTATACATATATACCTACTGTGTATTTCTTTGACCACTCTAATAAGTGATGATGTGTCGAGTAGGTGTGGTGCTATTTAGTTTTTAATGGTGAAGTGTGAATGTCGATGAAAAAAAAAACCAATAAGTGGCAAAAAAACTTATTTTTAAGAAACGCTCCATTCAGTCAGCGCCAGTTTTTTTTTGACTATATTATATTTCTTTTTCTCTTAATTGCATTAGGATGTATATATGTATATATACTGTATACATGTTAATGCAATGGTTCATATATATATATATATATATATATATGAACAAAATTATAATGTTTGTAAAAAATTTTTGAAATGAAAAAATGAATTGCTTTTTTGTCGTTTACGATTTGCTGTTCATTTTACGCTTTTACAGCTTATAAAGGAAAAAATGTTCATTTTTATCTCTCTACTTATAATAAGGTAAAGATAAATCTTAAAAGAAAATTATATATATTAGTATATATATATATATATACTTTTAATTGTTCATTTGTTTAATCCTTCAAGTTTTTTATACGTGCATATAAGTTGATGGATGGAAGAAAAGAAAAAAGAGAGATATGGAGTATATATATATATATATATATATATATATATAACAGAATAGATAATGATCTCTCTTTTTCTTTCTTATTAATCACTTTTGTTCAATTTACTCCGATGTTCTACATTTGTTTTTGTTTTTTTAACTTATATGTTTGGCATTTATTTTTTTTTATTTTTCTTTACGAAAAAGAAAAATAGTAAAAAATCTTTTTTCTGTGGTAGTCATTTTACTATTATTATTTGTTTTTATATTTTGTTTTCTCTAAAATCTTTTATTTTCTATCCCGGCCTTATCTTTTTTATAAAGATATATATGAATTAGCTATTCGGCTATTAATATTATCCTTTAGCTATCTGTCTTTTTCCTTTTTGCCTCCTTTACCCGAGTCATCCAGTGTTCAAAAACAAATATGAAAACCTATTTTTGATTTTTTTTTTGTTTTATTTTTTTTTTTGTTTACTTTTTTTTTATTTGTTAAAATATTTTATTATAATTATTGTATCGCCATTTTATCCCTTTTTTTTCTTTTATCTATCCATTTCTGAACTTGTATGTTACTCGCCTTTTAATCTAACTGTATTTGCCACATACTATCCTTCACTAAAACCTATCACTTTTGCCTTTTAAATAATTCCCCTCCCCCCTCTATCCTCTCCCTTCTCTCACTTACGGACCGCTCTCGTTCTCTATCCAGATATATTTTGTCTATTTTTGCCTTTTCAAAAAGAAACCTTTTCACCCATGTTCAGCTTTTTACTTTGCATTTTTTCTCTATAAGTATTATTAGATTGTAAAAGTAGAAATCGTGTACATAGTTGATATATATGTATACATTTAAAAGATAAAAAAAACTATGTTTGCTCGCGTCTTAGTGTTTTATTTTTGTAAATAACGCGCTTGTGTTCAAAAAAACAAAAAAAACAAATTAGTTCTTAATCGTAAACCAACAGCTGCATACGTTTTTTTCGTTCAAACGTAAGAAAAAGTTTTTTAAAGCGTTTCATGATGATACAAATTATGTGTGTATAAAAAAAAGTGACGCCTTAAACGGTCGACGTCTAGTCACCCTTTGTCCTTGTTCTATCTCTCTCTCTCCCTCCCGTCACTATACCGAAACCTCCCTCTATCTCCCCTCCCACCAACGTCTTCACTCTTGTTTATGTTTTTCAAAAGAAAAAAAGAAAAAAATATCTGTTCACTTTTTAATCGTTTGAACGTTTTAAAGTGTCTCTCTTAAAAAACAGAGAAGTGATGTGTCGTCGCTTCTTGTTTGTCTGCGTCTCCAAAAAAAAAAACAAAACAAAAAAGAGAGGAGAGAAGAAAATAATAATAATAATAATAAGAAAAATGTATAAATAAAAAGAGTAAACGATCGGAAAAAAGGCGGGTTTTTTTTTATTATTCGTTTTTTTTCTTTTTTTGATTGAATCGTGAGCGCAATGGATATGTAATAGCGATTGTTTTGTCGCTTTTCTTCAGTATTTTTTTTTTTCATGTTTATTTGATGGGTGTAAAATTTCAATTGAATATAAAAGTGCATTATTTATGCCTTAAAAAAATTTAAAGGGATGTGTTGATATACGATAATAAAAATTTATCTAGTTCAATTATTCTATAGTAGGAATAAAGAAATTAATAAGAATTTACTATTCTCCCACCAACGCTCCTGTCTACAATTCTTTTTATAGAGTCATTCATTATGATACAAACAAATAAACAATTATAAATAAATATATATATTGATGCTGACTGTAGGCTGGTTTTTATTTCTTTTGCTCTTTTGCTTATTTCTATAACCAGAGTTAGGTGAGAAGTAAACTAATATATATGTAGTTTAAGCTTTGTAGAATCTCTCCTATTTCCTTCCCGCCCCCACTCCACCCACACTTTCCATCATGTATATTATAATTAATTTTCTAAGAACAATGATAAAGTAACAAACAATCACCAAAAACAAAAAACAAACAAACTATCTAATCTGAAAAATAAAACAAAAAACAGGCAAACTGTCTCAGTTAGAGAATGATTATCGAGACATATCGAGCACTTGCCAAGAGCAGAAACATCTAATTGGTCAATTGGAGGATGATCTCAGATCAGTAAATGCTATGTCTTCGATGTTTAGAGGAGACGCTGAAGGCTCTTCTGCACCTGCCCCTAATACGGACGTTATAGTGGACGTTTCTAACAGCGCTTTGACTGATAAAGATTTAGATTTGAAATCATCGGCATCTGATTCGTTAATGTACATAGTCCAATCGCAAAGAGAGAGATTCCGGTTGAGAGCTCAAGAATTGGAAGTTGTTAGTATAACCAATAGATTTTTTGGCTGGCTTGTGATTGATTGATTGATTGATTAATTAATTTCTTTTTTTTCTCCCCCTTTTTTTTTTTATTAAAAACCTACAGCAAAATATAGCACTCCAACAGCAAGCTCAAGCAGCTCAAAACGAAACTGACAAGTTGAGATCGGATAATCTGAAATTGTACGAGAAAATTAAGTTCCTTCAAAGTTATCCGGCTGAGGTAAGTTCGGGGAAATGAAAGAGATGACAAGGGTAGAATTTAAAATCAATTAAAAATCTAGCTCTGTCTCTATCTTTTATTCTTTCTTTTTGAGTTTCTTCCTTCTTGTTTCTCTTTCCTCTTTTATTCAATAGTACGTAGAAAGATAGATAGAGAGAGAGAGAGAGAGAGAGAGGATGCTTTTCTTTTTTGTTAATAATCATTGAATTCTTCAAATAATTGTCAGAAGAGAAATACCGTTGACGAAACTGTTTCGAAATATCAAGTTCAATATGAAGCGAAATTGGATCCATTTTCCTCCTTTAGTAAAAAGGAAAAAATGAGAAAGTATATGAACCTAAAACCCTATGAAAGGATCACGTTGAGCATGGGACGTTTTATAATGGGAAATTCCGTTGCTCGTACTGTAACCTTCTTCTATACTCTATTGCTGCATATGCTTGTATTCCTTGTACTGTATAAGATCGCTCATACAAATGATTGTAAGAGAGACTTGGCGGCTGAATGTCACAAAAGGTTTGTATATAATATGATTTTTTTTTTATTATTCTAGGTTATCTTAATTATTCTATATTTTTTTGTATTCCTTCTCTCCATGAAGAGAGAGAGAGAGAGTTTATTCATTTTTCCATATATATTTTGCCATAGTATAAATGGACTTGAAAAAAGTAATAAGAAGAGATAAAATAGTTAGATTTTAATATTTTCGTTTCCTTTATTCAGCTTCGCGGACCACATGGCTAACGTACATGGGAAAGAGAATTGGAACGGACCGCATTAAATGTGTTTTAAACCGTTTTGTGAATTATAAATTATTTAAACAGTTGGTACGCAAATATGTTCTAGTTGAAAGATTATCTATCGAACGACCAATGATTCTTCTGGTGCTTTTTCTCGGCTTTACCGTTAGATCGTGGTTTAAGTCCTAAAGCGCTAGGACTATAGCGTCGGTTGAAGGGTTGGTTGAAATCCTTATGATTTGTAGGGCTGGCAACTTTTCGAAATTTTGGGGTCATTTCTTCTCGTTTATAGTTTTTTGATTGTTCTGCAGTTAAATCTTCGTTCGAGAACACTAATCTAGCTTGATTAGTAAATAGAGGTAGGACTTTTGCTGCCGCTTTATCTTTCGATTTTTCCACTTCCCTTCCTCCATCCTGACTAGATGAACGATCTGAGTAGGTGGACGATTGCCTACCTTCGTCGTTTTCGTTCGAATTTTGCGGTCCATACTCGTCATCGTCGTCATCATCGTCGTCTGCCGACAAGTCGTAATCTTTTGGCGGATAGACGAGCGGTCCTGTTTTTTGAGCGGGTCTTTGCTTACTTCCCAACTTTTCTCGCAGCTCGGCAGCCAATCGATGATAGGGCAACTCCTCGTCCATAACATTGGGATCGGCAATGACTTTGTCCTGTATGTAGGAAACCTGAGAAACAGGCTTGTACTCTTCGTTCGATTCCAAAGTTTCGTGAGTTCTTGCGCTAGTAACAGAGCTAACGTCGTCGGAGGCAATGGTGGGAGTTTTTCTCTGCCTGATATTTGTTGAAGCTCTTGCCATAATTTTACCCATGCTGACCAATTCCTCTTCGATTCGCCTTACTCTCTTCTCGTTCTCCTCTAATTGCACGCAGAGCGAATTGAAGGTGTCGACAAGAGCTTGAGCAGTGTCGGCCGAATCACAGCGATAAGCGTGAACATGAACCGCCCTTTTTGTGTTGGGATTATATCCAAGGAAAATGCAGGCGACAACATCTTCATCGGGAGAGAGAGCTTGTGTAGCGTAAGTGACGTCTTTAGATGGTTGAAACGGGTATTTGATCTTCTTCTTATCTCCCATCTGAATAATTTTCACTTCCTTCTTAGATATATCAATCGTTAATTTCGGTAGCTCATCATTATGCCGTCTCAAAACTAATTCTCGTACGATTGGCTCCGTAAACTCCCTTCCCCATAATCCGGAGGATTCCATCCATCCTAGGTACTGAACGTAGAACTTTTTACTTGATTTCCTACTGGATAACGACGACATAATTCTCAATTTGCAATACGAAACGAAATAAAAACCGCGCCCCGTTACGCTTCAATAGATTTTTAAGGCCAATTTTTTATTCTATTTTCTTTTGTCGCTTGCCTTATCCTTCTGTCGTTTTACCCCCTCCACGCCTACTTTGTCTCTTCCTCAATCCCTGCCCTCTCTCTCTCTCTCTCTTTAGATATCTACCTAATATTTCTATTTGTAACTATTTTCTTCGAATACATTCAAAGAGCGGCGGCGGTTTCTTGTAAAAAAAAAACAACTTTTTATCGGATACCCGCCCCTCCCCCCTCCCTCCCCTTGCGCAGACCGCTTAAAAAATTGATTGTTTGTATCGATCAAGCTGCCGCCTCGCAATGTGTTCGCTTTACAGCACTACTCCAGTACTAAACGCTATATTATACATATAAATACATATTAATTTACATACCGAACGTAAAAGGCAACTACTACTATTAAAGGAATCGATGGGAAAGAGGAACTCGAAGATGGCAAACTCTCATAGGATAGACGCTTTTTTAATGGCCGAGATATATTTATCGGTTTGGCCTCCGACATGCGTTCAAATTGATAAACTACGAGCATTTGGCCAACTGCAGAATGGTCGGAAGTCAACTATAACTTTACTAGAAGACGGTAATATTAAGACGAGAACCGTTCTAGGAACAAACTACTATAGATCTTGCGATGTTGAATGCCTAGATTCGGACGATGGCTTATCGAATTTGCTTCTAATAGCGGTGAGGTTAACGAACGCTAAATATGAATTAACTATATTCAAGTGCCAGAGTGCGACCGATTGCCGTATGTTTGTAAATATGTTTAGAGAATCTATTAGGCGACCTATGTCTAATTGGTCCTTCTATCCGAAAGAGGACGAAGTGACTAGGGGAATAAATGATGCTGTAGATAATGTTTTTGGGAAGGATGTAAAAATTCACGAGCCGAAACGTCCAATCAATTCTGTTCGAAGGCATCTAGTCGATCTTAGTCGGGAAGTAGAGAGGTTAAGAAATGTCGTTAAGAGAAAGCCGTCGTATAAGATGCCAAGCGCCGAAGACGTCAATCAGGGAAGATTGGACGTTATCGATCCGGAATTTAGTGGCATTATCAGTGCGAATAAGCAAGAAATCGAAGTTATCAAGGGAAGGCGGAATACGATTACTTTTATCCGTTCCAGCCGTCCAACACCGGTTAGGAAGAGATTCCCCCAACGTGGTTATCGGAGGTGACAAGAGATGGCGCTACTACTATCCGCTCTAATTCATTTTTCATTTATTAATATTTTTTAAAAGGAACAGACACCCATTTTAATACTGTATTTTCGGCGCATTCTTATGTTGAATAATTCTTGTGTAGTTCGATACCGGATAATTAACATATTGTTCCCCGTACAATGTTCTCTCCCCTAATTTCCTTTCGACATCCTTAAATAGTCTCCTTTTCTCGGCTGAAACTTTAGGCAAGCGCAAATCAATCGAATCGATACGGTCGTAGACTCTTGGCGTTATTGGCTTTTGAAAATGTTCGGATAACCATTCTGGATGAACCACGAAAGAGGATCTGAAATATCCGGTCGTTGTGAAGACGCTTCTCCTATGTACCGGCGGGTTGACATTTTTATAACGTCGTCCAGATTTCTTTCCGGTAATTGGATCACGGTCCGTTAATTTTGGTAGAGTTAATTGCGTACTGTAATGTAAAAGTTTTGTTTTAATGAGTAACGAGATAAGGTGAGATATCAGCAAAATGAGGAGGAGGACAAAGAGTTACTCTCTCATTATGTGGTTTGTTATTTTAGCCCTTACCCTTCTATGAACTGTCTATTTACTTCATTATTCCTATTAATCAACGCGCTCGGTGTTCCGGCGACCGTCTGGGGCGAATCGCTGTAAATTGCAGTAGTCATAACCTTCTAAAACATTCTAAAGCTCTCAACTGCAACCGCGCAGTTGCCATTGACTATTCCTATTCGATCTTCATAAATTATAAATAGGAATTTGGCCTACTTTCTCCTTTTTTTTTTTTTTACTTCAACTAATCCTTCGACCTCAAAAAAGACGCACGCAGAATAAAAAAGCATTCAGCCAACTATTCAAGCGTATTGAACATAAACATATCATAAATAATAGTGTAATGAAGCACAAAATACTTTCAACAGTTAATATTAAAAGCAGGTTTATAAAAAAAAAAGTTCCATTATTCTATTATTGTTTTTTATATAATTTTCGTTTTGTTTATCATTAATATTTTTATGTCTTTTTTTTGTTTCTTTCTCATTTTTTTTTAGATACTTTTTGTTAAGCAGACTTTTGCTTTTTTTTTTTTTGATTTTCTATCAATTTTTCTCCTGTTAGTAGTTTACAAAAATATATATATATATATATATATATATACAGATAGAAAATAAAGAAATCTATTCATAAACACTATATATTAATATATAAATATATATATATATATATATATATATATATATATATATATTTGTATATATTTGTATATTTATATAAAGATAAACAATAAATCCATAATAATATGTTTATGTATATATGCAAATATATACTACATATATGTTCAAAGATTATATATATTTATATATGTACTGTACGCATATAAATTGTCTAGTATATATTTATATACATAGATACATAGATGTATGAAATTTATATTAAATTGTGTAAATATTTAGAGAAACGGGACCTACCCTTAAAGAAATTGTTCATTTTTACTCTGAAAAAATTTTTTATGGGCTGAAAGCGTGAGGTGCCAATTTTTTTGTTAAGAATTTTCTGTATTGCATCATTGAAGCTATCTGTAATAAAAACAAAGTTTAAAGTAATGTTTAGTTTCTTTAATAATATATATTATCTGTATACAAAATGTATATATATATATATATATATTTGCATACAGTAAAAATATACTGTATTATATATGTATATAATTTGCATTATTAGCTTAAGAATAGTTAAAAGTGTGAATAATTAAAAACTAACTATATGGCGGTTTCATGGGATCATACCATTGAACGAACAGATCGAAATGAGCTGTTCTCACTAAATTATTAGTAAAACTTTGGACACTCTTTGGGCGTAAGCTTTCTATAAATTCGTCCCTCTAGTGTGAGAAAAAAAAAAAGAAAGAAATATAAAAAATATCTTATATGGATTTGATAAAATAAATTAAAGGCAATTTCTTGTGTTCAAAGAATCCCTTCCTTTACCTTGAAATCATAATACATGTCTGATTTATATAAATAATCACTATAATCTTGAAAAAGGGTAGCTAATAGCCGTTGGAAGCTCTCCCTAATTAAGTCCGAAGCTTGCTCTCTTTTATCTAAAAAAAAATAATAAAGGATATAAAATAAGAAAGGCTACGCTTTTTGATATTAAATGAATAAAATTGAAGAAGAAAACGGAAATTTACGGCAGGAAATGTTGGATAACGACGCTACAAGTGGTTTTTTCAATTTCTTCGGTAGAAGTACTGTATCATTTTCTTCGATGCTACCAGAATCCAAGTTAACAATCATTACGTCCTAATAAAATAAAAAAAAAATATTAATAAAAATATTTTATAATGATAGAAGTAGAAATTTAGATTATAAAACATTTATAAAAGAACGTCTGAAGGTTATAAACGTCTTACATCCGGAGGGCCATAAACACTTTCTATTTTCTCATAAAAATATAGTAGAAATCCGTTTATAGCCGGTCCTGGCTTTTCCATGGTAATTTTCATGCTGGACGGTGTTGCCGGCAAAATGAAATGAGGCCATTTAAAAGGATATAATAATTCCATGAAGGTCGTTGAAAATTTGGTAAGGACATGCAGATTTTCACTCACGAAGATGAGCTTCGATTCCAATAGAGCAGCAGAGAATATTTTAGTCAAACCCTCAACATCTGTACGCTCCAAAAGAAAGGCATAATCAACTTCCTTCCTACAGTCGACGTATGTTAAATTTAAGGCATAGCTATTGTTTTCTGACAGTTTCGTAGTCTCATTTTCTTCAGGAATTTTCTCTCTTGTACACTTACGTAATAGAGATCTTATATCGTCAATTTTATTGGCTGTCCTTAAAGTTTCAACGAAGAGTAGCAATTTATCATATATCTTATCGCATTGGAAATTAGTTAATATGGCATAAATTTCCATTTTATTCTCATTTTTAAAATATATTCGACGGCAGTACAAATAAGTATAGGCCCCTTCAGCACTTGTTAGAATTTGAACGTAGCCAAAAGAATCCTTTTCCAACTTTTCTAAATCAGGCAATGCAAGTATCTTTAATGCAGTAATATCGGATTTTTCGGGACAACAGAATTCAAGGTTTACAACTGGTTCATTGTTTATTTCATCAACCGTTAATATAACACATAATTCACTGATTCTCGTCGATTTCAGTTTAACGAATTCGTAAACCCCTTCATTCTTTATCACATTTGGATCCTGATGAGAGTTGTAAATTATTAAAAAAATCAATAACAATAAAATATATCAACAAGACCGGCTAGTTAAAATAGAAGGGACAGGAAATTATTCTACACATATACTTTACAGCACAAGTACTCAACAGAAACGACATATGCTAATGATATACATACAATATTAACTGTAATATTATTATTATTTTCTTTTTATATGGAATAAAAAATAGAGAAGAAAAATGCAAAAGTCTATCGTTGTATATAATAATTATATTTTTGACAATTTAAACAAAAGAGTACAAACCTGTTTTATACTTTTGGTTCTCTGGAGTTTAGCTTTACATCTTTTATGATAAGCAGACGGTTCTTCATCTTCACTGTCGTCTTCTTCGCTTGTCGAAGGTAATTCGCAAGAGTTTACTTTAGCTTTTTCTTTTTTCTTACCTACGATAAAACAACAACAGATACTTGTTAAAAAATAAAAAGAAAAAAGAAAAAACACATAAAAAATTCTTTAATTCAATTATAATTTAATGTAATTTGTTTTTTTGTAAAAAAAAAAAAAGATAAAAAAATCTATATATATGCATATATCTAATACATCTGCATATATAGACTATATATATATATATATATAAATTCGATAAATGATCTAAGCGAAGGAAGATTAATTAATATAAAAAAGAAATTAACCTGATTTCTTCTCGAAAATTCCTCCAGTACTGCTTTTAAGATTTTTGTTCTTATCATATATAGGTCTAAAATAAGCATAAAAAAAGAATAAAAAAAAAAGATAGACAATACGAGATAGGAGAAAAAAACGGAAATGGAAAAGAACGAATTGTTTATTTTAGTTTTAAAAAGGTATTCGTACTAACTTAATAATGTTCACATTGGCATAAGCATTGTCAACTTGCTCTATTACTGGGCAATTAACCTAATGGAATAAAATTAAATGAAAAAAGAAGAAAAGTAGAAGGCAATAGGAGAACAATTTTATTCTTCTCTCCATTAGGAAAAAAAAATTGCAAACCTCTTCAGCACCGTCTTCTTTTAAATGGTCATCGTCGAAAGTTTGATCGTATAGTGGATTGTCCTCCATCGTTAATTCTTCTGCGAAAGGAGGAAGTTCCGAATGTCTTCTAGGTACACGCTCTTCGTCGGTCGATTTGTCGAATTCGTAAGATTTTATGGTCTCTTTAACATTAACAGATCGTCGTCGAAAGACTGGACTTTTCCTACTGAACAATATATTTCCGTCCCTTACTTCACGAGTGAATTTAATCTTATAGTCAGAATTTTCATCAGAATTTTCAAATATTTTACGCCTTTCCGACAAACAAATTTTCTTAGCGACCTTTAAGCTTGGCATCCGATTAAGATCCATCGGATCTGATTTTTCTAAGAACAGAGGGAAACAATCAAAAATAGTAAAATATACAGTATATACATATAATATTAATATAAAATCACTATTCATAAACGATTTTCCATATATACAGTAAATGTATAAATACTAACAGTTATATACTGTATATTTATAGATTTATATTCATATTTTGTCATCAGAATGTAAAATCTATGTGAAACTGTGGCCTTCATTAAAGTGCAGATAACAAATTAGTCGATGTTAAAGTGTGATACGAAAATCACAGCTATTAACTATATCTTATTAAGTCGTTAAACTAAAAATAAATAAGAAATTGTGAAAAATAACTTACTCCTTGCTTGTAAATTTACACCGCTTTCAAAGCGTTTCGTCAGACATTTGACGTCTACGTCTCCGTTATAATATCCAGGACGTTGCATACGTTGTTTTCTCGAACAAGAGAGTAAGTCGTTTCCCTTTAGGGAAGCGGTACTACTCTAAAACATGAAAAAAGAAAAAGATTCTTTGTTGAGAACAAAAAAAAATGGTATAATTAATTGAGTTAAAAGATAAATTTTCTGCTAAGTACACTTATTCTCCACATAGAGTATATGTATGTGAAAAAAAAAATAGAACAAATTTTAAATAATACACTCTTTACAGTAAAAAAGAAGGTTTTGTATCTTTTTGTGTAGCGTTTCAGGCAGTTATTGGGACAAAAATAAAAAATAGTTATTAAAAATAAAATTCTTAAAATACGATACCATCTTCTTCAAAAAGACAAAAAGAACGTTTTTCCCTTAGAAAATGAATATGCACTTAGTTGGCTTTCACTTCCTCAAATTTAATTCCTATTCTTCTTATTTCTCTCTCTTACACAACGGACAGATTTATTTGTCACCTAATACGTGAAGAGATTTATAAAGGCGCCTTAAATGCAATAAAAATATACCAAACTATATTAGTTTGCGGTATTTCGCCTAAATCAGGGAATGACAATATATATATATATAAATATATACAGTATATATAAATATATATATATATATATATATATGTTTATATATACAGATAAAACCTGTAACTGATGGTTTTTGTGGACAGTTTCAGCTTTAACTGAATTACTTACCGGATATTGTGGGAATATGATAAATTTATGCCCAAACTAAATCATTACAAGCTTCTACATCGAATTAAATAGATAGTTTATAAGAACTTTTTCTGATTTGATTTTGTCAAAATTTCCTGTAGAGCCATTTTGTCGTCTGCTTCGCGGGCCAGGTTAAGGTTGTCACAAAATATTTAAATAACAAGCTGTTCATGTTGTTTTGACCAAGTTTTTATTCAAGATTGTCATTAATAATTGGTTTTTTTTGAAAAATATAATGAATATTTTACATATTATTTGAAAAAGAGTAATCAAATTACAATAGACATTTATACGAGGTTTCCGAAAGTATTTAAGAACTTCCGGTAGGCGGTCAGCCTTTAATTGGGCGAACAATTGATTATACGAGGACTAGTTTAATATATTTTTGATTGAGAAACAACGAAAAATACACAACAAACACATCATCGCCCCGAAAGTAGTGTGTTTCCATTATTCTGATGTCTGAGCTAGATCGTTTGTCGACGACGAATGTTTTAGTTTAGCCGAACAACCACCAGTTTTTTCGTTAAGAACGTGATAAAAATAAAGAGTCATGACAAACGCTAAACAAGGTAGAACCACGCCGGCGGCCTTAAACGATTTCGTTGTTTGTAGGAGATATAGGCCTGGCACTGTATAACAGGAATAAAGAAGAATTAATTTAAAAAAAAGGGAAAAAATAATAGTCTATTTATAGGCAATTGACTTGTCTAACCTATTCGTAAACGAAGAAAAATAACGTGACAATAACGATACAACCGAATAAAACTGGAACGGTGCAAACCAATCTAGGATTAGGGTAGACAGACACTGCAATAACAATTGATTACATAAGTACTGTATAAATATACGTAAAAGCAGAGGCGACATTGAGCGTAAACACCTCATCAATTCACGTTCAACGACAAACAAAAGCGACCGAATAAAAACAGATATACAAACTTACTGAAAAGTAGATAGAAGAAGACTACAATGGCCATAATCAAAATTCTTTTTATAAAATCCCTATCTTGAGATCTTGATGCCGCGAAGAAAAAGAATGAGAAGCCAGCTGTAAAGGAACGCCCGAAAATGGGCCGTTAGACAAAACTTTATACATACAGTATATATATATATATGTGTGTAGAAAGTTTATACTCTTGATGTTTTATAACATAAAAAAAAAAGTAAGTTGAAGAGAAAGGAGGGATAGAAGGGAGAAAGAAAGAAAAAAAAAAGAAAAAAAGAGATGACACAAAAAAAGCCCTTGTAGGGAAAAAAGGAAGAGAAGATGAGATAGAGATACTCAAATCTCATTTGATATGACACAAGAAAATGAGGAAGGGATAAAGGAAAACATACCGAAAAAAGCACCAGCAAAAGTCCGTAGAACAAGTGCAGTATCGCCGCTATCATCTTTTGGATAACTACCATATGAATGACGAAAGAAATGAAGCGGAGCGACTAGAACCCATATTCCTAGCAGGATAAAAGCCACTGATAGGGTGTACAACCAGGAAATTAATCCTTTCGGTAGTTTAATGTACAATTGTTCACTATGGCCAAGGATTTGAGAAAGCTGTCGTGAAAAGGGGAAGAAAAGCAATAATATAATAGGAAAAAAAGCTAATATAAGGAAAAGAAATATTTTTTCGACTGAAAGCAAATTACTCTTTCCATGCCTTTAATCGTCTCACCTTTGACCTATGGACATCTCCGTCGTCAGTTTCCCCTACTCCAAGTAATTTTCTCGTCTTCAAACGACTGTGTAGATCACCACTCGAATGTTTCCTATTTTTCATTGAAGATGAGGATTGCAGAAAAGACGGCGAGTAAACGTGCGATTGAGAGACAGAAGCGAGAGAGAGACAGAGAGAGAGAGAGAGAGAGATAGAGATAGAGTGTGTATGTATGTTTGTGAGAAGATGGATAGGGAAAAAAGGACGAAAAGAGGAGAGATTAAAATAAGGTAAATAGAAAGTAGAGTAGAGGAATAAGGGAGAAATGCGAAGAAAAAAAATAAAAGAAAACGACCTTGTTTCTTTCCTGTTTACCTTTTATTTTTTAACCCAGTAATATACTTAAAATTTCATTTTAAAAAGAAAAAGGTATTGTATAAAATAACTCTTCAGCCTACTTTTTTTATATCGCTTATCTATCGACGCACGTGGATATTGGCTAAGCGGGAATAATTTGCTGATTTATTGGGGATTTTATAATACTATAAATTGGAATGTCGCAAAGCTATTTTTTTCCGTGTTAATGCGTCCAACACGTTGCCAAATTATATATTGATCGGGTTTAAATGGTTAACTGTCTCCCACCAAATGTACATCAAAGTTTCCGGTACAGTTGGCAAGGCAACGCGTGCACTCTACTTGGGTAAGGAATATTTAATTATAGGCTTATTCGGAGATCCTCTCGATCTCCGTGTATATAGTCCGACTAACATTTTGCAGTCTATTAATAAAATGTCAGTGACGAAAATGCGCTTGCACACAGCTTATTACAGAAGCCTAGATTTTTTCTCCCTATATTCTTCATATTTCCTCTTATTCTTTTCCTAATTTTTCTTGAGTTTTTCTAACACTAGCCTTATAATTAGCTATCTATCAATGATTACCGTAATAATAATACTAATAATATAAACGATAAAAAATAAAGATTATGAAGAAAGAAAAATAATTAAAACTTCTCTTTTGGAGCCAACAACGTACCGTTCGAGCTTATGAACGTGACCTATTGCTTTGTTGACGATGCTAGTAGCCGTTGATCCGCTTTCGGCCATTGCATCAGGCGATAGACGTCAAAAAAAAGTGACGCCTCAAAAGCCGATAGGTAGCGCTTTTTTCTTTAAAAAAAAAAGGACTACGTATACAATTTCTTGTTTTGTTAGTCTTTTCGAAAAAAATAAAAAGCCTCTCATTATCACAATCAGTTATTTGGCTTGAGGTATGAAACGGTTTAATATTCCTTCTCTTGCAACATGGCGTGATAACTGATATCTAAAAATGGTAGGAATTGTAGGAAATTGTCGCATGTTAATTACCGTAATAGAAAATAGAAAAATTCTACTTTTAACCCTTTGACTAAGGAAAAGTTTTAGAAGGAACCTTTTAGTTTAAAAAGCTTATTAGTAAAACTACATTTGGGGTAAAATAAAAAGGTGTCTAGAACAACAAAGTTCTAACATCTCTATGGTAACCGATAATATACGAGTTACTTAACTGAATTTCAATGAAGTACTAGTGGAAATTTTTAGGTATAAAACTGTTTTGATAATAGATAGCCGACTAGGAAAATCGACTCTCTCTCTCTCTCTCTCTCTCCATCTTAGCTTATAGATAAAGAAATAAAATGAAATTCGGTTACTCTATCTAAAGATAGGACGGAGGATGAAGAAAAAAAAACCACTTGGCTATAGTTAGAATGTTATTTTATAATTATTTCTATACAAAAACGAAATTTATGTAACGTAATTATTGGAAAGAAAATATAAAAAAAAAAAGAGAAAGTCTCCTCTTTTTGTTTGTTTCCAATTTTCATGTGATGTTTTGGGGAGGGAATTGGGATATTGTGTGTTTGTATGTGTTTTTTTAAAGTGTTTAATTTCGTCTTACCTGTAATTATCGTCAGTTTGAGTAGGATCGTCAATAAAAGTTCGTCCGTCCATTGGGAAAGTAAACGCTAAACTGCGGCGTTGGTCAGCTACGTGATACAGCCACTTACGGCGCAAGACTCACTAACTTATAAGAATATTCATACTCCATGTATTAGTCACATGCTATGGAAAATTTCTACTTTAGTTAACGTCTATACGTCAGTTCCAATATGTTCCATTGCTTCTTTCTTAACTTTCGCCGTCTGGCAGGTAGTTTAACAGGTTCTAACGAGTTGTTTAAACGTAAACCAGAGTGCTCAGGGGGTGATCTGTAATGAGATATATTTGGCACCATAACATATAAATATATATTGATACAGTATACACTGTATATAGTTTTTGGTCTTCAATTTTCCGTAAGTAATTATAATTTCGTCTAATTTACCTTTTGATTAATGGATCTAATTCGATTAAACATGCCATTTCGTGATAAACATCTTGCAATAAACCATTCAAAAGGGGTCTCTTAGCCCAATCAAGATTTATTTGAGATAGTGAGGATAACTTTACAAACTCGTCCCTCTTATTTGGAAAATATTTTCCAAAGAGATTTTGTAACGAGATACTTCTATCCGGTAGACCGTTGTCTGCCATATAAGACCGGTAGATTTCCTGTATAGGCTTACATATTCCTAAAAAAGGCAAGGCAAACCAGTATGCTTATCTTACTTGGAAATCGCATTCTCTTTCTAACCGGGCGTCATAAACAGCAAGGATCTTTTTCAATTTGTCAACGTCATGACAAAGCTACAGGTTTTAAAACGTATTTAAAAAAAAAACATATGAATGGAGAAGATTAATTAGCTTATTTTCTTTTTGCAGTTTATTTTTTCTGCATTTTCCATTCTCTTACTGGAAATAACTTTTACAAACTAACGTAATACTTTTAGAAAACAATCTAAAGGGAATTTTCGCTTTAAGTACATACCTTTTCGATACCGTCCGTTGACAATAGACGCCATAATTCACCGTTGTGTAGAATACCAGGTGATTTTTTCAAATCGAAAATGAATACCTGCATATCATCTTCATCTGATTGGTCTTTCACTATCCCAAATCCCAGGATAGACAATTTGCCTATTTATTATCCGATCAGAAACAATTTATGGCACTACTCTATTATATTTAATATCAATACAGCTTAGATCCCTTCTACGTCCTAACAACAAACTTCATTGTTTAAATATACTGTATATATATATATATATATATATATATATATATATATATATATATATATATATATATATATATACTGTATGTATGTATGTATGTATGTATATATATATCTATAAAATTTCATTTTGTTTATAGAAATCTATCAAGTTCATAACGTTTTATACCTTATATCTATGTTATAAATTATTAAACTCACTGTCGTAGCCATCCAAGTAAGTTTTATAAACAAACGCCAATCGAGGCCCATTTACCGTTAAGATATGACGAACGAGCCTCCTACTTAAACTGACTTTATCAACCACTAGAATTCTCATATCCGAGCTAAACTAGGTATTTTTTTTCTTGTATACGTGTTCAGTAATCGATTTTATGTCGGCTTCGATCGGTTAGTTATTTTTTCCTTTTATTTTTCTTAACAATGAATGAGGACGTTTTAAGAAAGCAATAATCCATTCCTGCCACCTGTCGTTGTAATCACGCAACTAATTGGGCCTAGCTATCACCGTCTCGCCAGAAATCGGAAATAAGTTAAGGAAAGTGTCGCTTTTGTAGGTGTTAAAGTAATTTCGGCTAATATCAATCAACTTACTATATACGTATTAAACGTATACGTACATACGTATTTTTCTAAAAATGAAAGGGGCGTAAACATAAAAAAAAAACTTATTTTTAAAACTAATAGTTAATTGAAAAAGGTGTCTTTATTACTTCGAGACCTGTCGCTGTATTTCTACTGTCAATCATCATTTCGAAACGGTTTTCTTTTCTCTTTCTTTACAACAAAATGTTTAAGAAAAAAAACAAAAAAGAAAAAAAAAACTAATTTGAATATTTCAAATCTTTTTCTTTTCTTTTTATTTTTCGTTAAAGTTTTTTCTAAAATGTTTTTTTTTTTTTATACAATCTTTTTATTTTAGCTAGTCGGCGTCTAATTTATCCCAAATATTTTTCCATCCGATATCAGTCTCTCTAGTCCTTTTCTTACGCTTACCTAAAGATATTGAAGGAGGAGGGTATGAGAATAGAAAAAGAATAATAAAGTATATCAACAACGTTTTCCATCATTATATCTATTAAAATACAATTATATATCTATACTGTATATACTTCTATATCGACGTCGACCGTTTATTATTTTTTATTATTATCAGACATTCGTATTGTACTGATGAAATCTGTCAATATATTTTAACTGGAACTAATTTACTAATGGCTCTTTCTATAGTGTCTTTTAAAAACAAAAAATAGTAGATAAATCATAAGGGCGGCCGTAAAAAGAGGATAGAGATAACGACTAAACATTTCGGCGAAATTACCCGATCAAAAGAGATAGAGATGAGAGGCCGAGAGAAGAATAGTGTATAATCGACAGGAAAACACAATATCAATAATAAAAGAAACAATTATCGAAAACGAAACAAGAACAGTAATAATGGTAATAATAATGAAAATAATAAACAACAAAAAAAAATTGATATAAAAAGAAAACCGTACGCTTTTTATCTGTTAAAAAAAGAGAGGGAGAGAGAGGGAGAAAAAGAGAAAGGAGAGAAAATAGAAAGAAAGTGCTCAGATGTTAAAAGCCCCTTGTCGAGATTCATTGTCTTTTACGCGACGGGCTATATTAATCATAATACAACTATAAAGATTTATAAAAGAGAAGCTGTCCGTAAAAATGAGCATTTTTATTTTTAATTTTTTTTATCTTCGCTTCTCTCTTCTCAGTTCTATTTTGTCTTATTAATTAAACCCATTAAATTCTTCTACGTTCCTTTCTACTAACGATACAGTTTGTCTACTAAACTATATAAAAACGTTTAAGGTTCTTACTTACCGGGTGAAAAACACATAGGATCGCTTAAACAATTTCTAACCATATTCATCTTTAACCTATTCAAGTACGCCCGACCAGCGGATGAACCGATATGACTCAGTAAACACGGAAACGCCGAACATTCCGATCTTTTGTTGTAAACTTCGTAATTGAATCTATTGGTTTTTAATTTAAGGCGGAAAGGTTAGTAAGGAGGAGAAACAGAGAGAAGCTCTCAACTACTAAATTAGAAAATTGGTATATTAAATTATACGAGAATTCTTATCGAGGGATTGTCTGATAACTAATGAAAGAGACGGGTTTAATTAGATATTTCTTTAATTAGAATGAAATTTGTAAAAAATGAGAAAGATGAAAGAAACTTACCTACCGAAAGCGAAGGAGGGTAGAAATACGGCAATCAAAATAAATAGCTTTATCATAACTAAATTGGTTCAGAAACAAAATAATTGAATTAAATAAAGGAAATATTCGTTTAGAATAATATTTCTACCTTCAATAATTCTACGCCTCATCAGCGTATGCGATTTAGCGGTCGTCAGATGGCGGAGGCGTGTTTATTAGAATAAGTCGGGGATAAGTTTTATGAATTTGCATACATAATACTCATCATTTGAAAAACGGGTATAGGATTAAATATCGCATTGGGGAAAGTGTAATCACACTGTTATAACATAAACATATTATTAATATTTATCTTTAACCTTCCATCACCTCCAGAGTCTACAATTATTGGGGTTCGTTTCTTATTTTATATGCTTTTTGTTTTATTTTTGCAAGAAAAGCAATTTTTTTATCATTTTCTTAAGTGAAAATTTTAAATTAATTGTTTAAAAAGAAGAAACAAAAGATGGAGTGGATAGGGCAGGGAATCGGGAGAGTCTTTTTGTTATTAACTGCCAAATATACAACTCCATCGGTCATAGTGACGAGAGGTAAACTTCTCTTATCTTCTTCGACTTTGCATCTCAAGTAGCTGTAAAAACGTTGTTACGGGAACAATGAGATTGCAGAATAATAAAAAAAAAATGGAAAAGTAATTAACTGCTCTATATTCCGAAAATGAATTAATTAGCATAAAGGCGGCAATTAACTAAAAGCAAGAATTAGGAATGACAGACCCAAAGAGATCAATCTAAATTTACGCATCATCAGAATCAAACAATTTTTTACCAAGCACACGGTTAAGAGTGAGTCTACTTTGAAATATATCTGGGTTATATGGTCTGAACTTTCCAGCTCTCGACTCGTCTACAGCTAAAGCGAAGTCTGCAGAACCAACAACAGGTACTACTGAATCTACACTACGACGTTTCTTCACCTCACGAATACGATTATCTTCTCTTATATCGGATAAGTTGTGCAACGTAGTCCTATTGGCCTCCGAGAGTGCGTCCCTATCGCTGAGTAGTTGTTTATTGCGACGTTCGCTGTTTCTTAACATCTATTGAAACGAACATGAATAAATGATTTCACCCAATCTTCCTTTGCTTAAAACACCATTTCTTTCGTAACAATTATATTAGAAAAAAAAAAAAATGTTTTCTTCTTCTCATTACCTCTTCCAATTCCAGAATACGGTCTTCTTTCAATTCGATCTACAAAGAATAAAAACAATAGCGATATAAGATCATCTATTATATTCTGTTATTATATTATATACAATATTGTTTCACTTACCGTTTGCTCTTGCATTGCGTTAGATGATTTCAGACTGTCGATTTTTTGATTTTTCTCTTCGATAATCGCCGCCTCTCTTTGGACACGATTAGCCATCTGTTTAACATGTATTTTAATTATCCACTATTAAACAACTCTCATGAAGCTAATTAAAAAAAAAATAATTTACCTCCTCAAATAGAAACTTCGAATCTGCCTTGGAATCTTCCAGCTGATTCACCAATCTCTCTACGGTTTCCTTAAAAGTCTTAATTAAAAAACAGATCATTAAAATCACACTCTAAGAAGATATCAAGACTCTTTAACGTTTCTTTCCTCATTTTATTTTCCTTTTTTTATTATCCTACTCTATTTTATGTACCTTAGTTTCCTTTTCAAAATTATCCAACTTCTCCTGTAAATGCGAATTCTCATCGATTAAGCAAGATTTCTCATCATCAGCAACACTCAATTGTTTCTAATTAAAAGAGAAAAAAATAGAATAATTATGATAAATAGAAAAGTTGAAAGATTTAGGAGGAGGAGGGAAAAAAAAAAGGGACAGGGAGAGGGATAAAAGAAACTTCTTTAAAAGTCTCCTAAGCAATAAGAACCTTTGTGATTTCAATGTCATTGTGCATTTCCTCCAGAGATAATTTCAAATCGGAAATTTTATTCTCGTATTCCCAGCATAAATCCTCCTTTTTCTTCAATTCTTCGTACAAGCGTTCCCTCTCCTTCTCAAGATTCGTAACCTGAGACTTTACATCAGTAAGTTGCGCCTGCTATTGACAAATAAACAAATATAATTTCTAAAAATACAATAAAAATTTTTACCAATAAATCCCCATTTCCCATATACATATTTTTCATATTTTCGTAATCCTTTCTTTGTTGATCCAATTTTCCAACAACCTCCTAATTCCATCAAATAATAAAATTATTGAATAAGCCTACTTATGAAAAAAAAAAATGTATAATATTCATTCGTATACCATATGATTTCGCTTAAGTTTATCGCATTCAACAAATGCTTCTTCCTTTAAACGAGTCTCTTCTATAATATTATTTCTAAGTTCTTTCACTTCAATCTGTTTAAGAAATGAAAAGAGTTTTACAAATAAAAAGTAAAAATTGAAAAATATATAATTACCATTTGATTGTCGATTTTCTCGTCTAATGAATTAATTTCTCCTAATAGTTCATTATTTTTGTTTGTAAACTGACAAAGTGAAAAGAGAAAATAGATAATAATAAAAAAAAAAAGGAAAAAAAGATTCAATCTCTTTGCATTTTACAAAGTAGAATGAATAAAATAATATTGATCGAAATAAAAACCTTTTCGATAACAGAATTCTTCTCTTGTTCCAAAGAATTGAAATGATTCTGAAGTTCCGTAAGAGTTTTTCGACAGTCTATCAATTATAAGAAATAAATTGTCAATAAGAAAATAAAAACTAAACGATAGTCTATTAAAAATTTTAGTAAGGAACCTTTTTCTATATTCTCTAAACTAGACTTTTCTTCTTCAATTTTTTTGATTTTAGTTTCGTAATTCTTGTTGAAAATTGGAAAAAAATATTAATAGGCTGTTTTTATATATATATATATATATATGCTTTTCAATTACGAAATTGAAAACTCACAGAACGATCCGTTTGGAATAGCTTTCGTTCGGCTTCAAGATTATCTTCAAGTTCTACGTTTTTAAGCATGAGCTGTTGTAGTTGTTCGTGTAATTCATCGATAGTTTTCTGCCATGTGACTAAATCGTTGGCGATTTCTAATTCTTCGTCAAAGCACGAAGGGCTAGAGCCCAAATTTACTTTCGTAATACGATATGGACTATTCGGTCCGAATGAATGTACATATTTCCTATGAACATCAGTACTTTTACGTAATATGCCCGACATCATATCACGATGCTGCGTTAGCTTTTCAATAATTTTGTTTTTTTCATCAATTTTTGCAGAATACTCTCCAACGGTTTGAGCTAATAGGTTTTCAGCCTAATTACAAGAAACGATATGACAAATATTATTACTTAATTAAATGGAAATCAGTAATGTAATTTTCTTTTTTTTTTTGATTTTATAACTTACGTTCGTCTTCAACTCTTCGTAATCATTTAGTATACTTTGCGGTATATCGAGAGCTGTACGTAAATTTGGTTTTAAGTAATGGCTTTTTTTTCCTTTTTTGTTTTTTAATACAGTAAAGTTACGAAAAAGAATATCAGTAATAAAATACTGATATACAAATATTTCTCAAATAGACTTACACTCAAACTCTCCATAGTATTTCTTCAATTCTTGGAAATCCGCTTCATCTCTTGCCTCACGATACGGATCTATGGCTTTGAAACGATTTAATTCAGCGTTCACTCTAAATATATTGAATAAAATTGAATATATATATAATAAAAAAATAAATAAATAATGATATTTCTACTAACTCTTCAATTCTTAATCTTAATTTACGTATAACATCGTCATTCTTTCGCATTTTCAACATTAATTGAAGTCTTGTACTTTCATGTTTTTCGTTTGAATCATTTTTCTTATTTTCAATTTGATCTTGTAAATCATCAAACGACTTTTTTAAATCGTCGTTATTCAATTTATGCATTTGATTTAGTTCATCTAACACCTTTTTGATTAGAAAAAATAGATAAGTAATTAATATTAGGCACTTCAATAGTATAATAAATATTATTTATATTAGTAACCTGAATATATTGATGAGATTGCTTCAATAACCTCATGGCACGAAGAAATTTCTCTGTATCGTCATTGTGTAATGAAGACGTATTATACTTATTATCTTGCACTTCAGCTGCAGCTTCTATGTTAGCTGTTACGAATATTAAAACTGTTAATAGATTGATCTTACGTATATAGGGTATATATATATATATTTTATATATATATATATTCTAATATATTTATATGTATATGTATTTAACCATTTTTTAATTTAGCTTCCAATTGTTTGATTTTGGCTTTTGATTCCAAAAGTAAATATTGCAATTTAGCAGCGTCCAAACTTTCAGATTCATTTTTTTCGGCCTATAATCGAAAACAGTATTAGAAAAACAATATAAAATATATTGAGTCTTAATTTGGGGATGATGATTAAAAAACAAAATTAACCCTATTCTTAATGGTGGAACATTTTGCAGCAAAATCCAATGTATTCTTATTATCACTGTTATGTCTGTAGAGTAATTATTATTATGTAAGGCCGTACAAATATCAAAAGATACGATAACCTTTGATCCTGATGAATACAAGCGATTACTCCAGCTTTCGCATTACCTCCAAAGGCGTCCTAGACAAAAACATATTCAAATAGAAAAACTCTATATATTTAGTATATTATTAATTACCTTTAATAAATAGGTCAATTTATTAGAGCGAAAACTAGGTATACGACCAAAGTTGATTTCGTTTATAGCTGCTTGGAGCATGGTGAGAGATGTATTAATATCAATACCTTCCTACAATGAAAATAATTATAAAAAGCGAAACGGAGGAATTTATAAAACTAATTTACTTTCATTCTAGTTCCAGTTGCACCGGTTTGACTTATTCTCTCCGATCCGGCTAAATCGACGAGATGAAATCTTGATAAAGATTTCTTATTACCCTTCTCTGTAGTTTCCTGTAAGAGAGCATTCATTTTTTACTCGATTAATAACTTTCACCCCCAACTCCTCCTCCTTCTCTTTAATCTTAATCGTTTTTCCTATTACCTCAATCGAAAGATACATGGTAAATATCGCGTGAGATCGCGAACTCGTCGCATTCATATTTGTTTCACCCATATTTCTCTTGGATAAACCCATAAGCAGTGGCTGTTTATAACATATATAAAAGATTTTAGACAAACTACAATGTTTATATATATATATATTCAAATAGGTAACCATTTCAGCATCCTCTTCGGATCTTATATCAATCTTTCTTGCTCCCACAATATTAACCCCAGTTTTTTCCTGTCTAAGTTCAATTTTATTGTAGACCTTAGCATCCACCAATAAATCATAAATATTTTCCTAAACGAAAATAGATTAATACTATTTTTAGAATATTCACAAAGATAATTTAGCTAGGAGAATTTACTTTATATATTTCAACAAACGAGATGCTTAATTGAACTTTTCTGGAGGCGCTATTCGCTGGCATATTTCGGCATATATAGCGCACTGTTCGTGGAATAATTCCTGCCAGAGAAAAATCTTGATAGAAAGTCTGGTTGGCATCGCCAAGCATTGTAAAGGTTTTTCCACTTCCAGTTTTTCCGTAGGCGAATATTGCCGAATTGTATCCCTCCAGGAAGTTATTAGCAAAGTTTTCAGACGAGTACTTGAAAATCTCTTCCTACAATTGTAATTATATAGTTAATATCATATTAATTCTCTTTCTATCAATTTTGAATGCCCTAAATAAATAGCTTCACTTATCACTTACTTGTGATGCATTACTCGTGAAAATTTTACTGAACGTGTAAGCTTTTCCATCATAAACAATACAGTTACCATGAACCTTTAAAGAAAAAAATTCCTCATGATTTTTCAATATCTTTTAACAAATGGCGACATCTAGCGTTTATCAACAATTCGAAAACGGTTTTATCTTCAGGACCATACTTACATTAATAACAGCATTCCGACGAGCAGCTTCGTCAACAGGTTTAATTCGAATAAAGGTTTTGAAAGAATCTATATGAAAAATTGTGAACAACAAAAAAAATAAATGTTACACATTTGCAAAGTTGTCATAAAATAAGCAAAAAAAGTAGTTGAAAATTTTGAAAAATGCATAAAAAAGCGTCATGCACGCAAAAAACTATTCGAAGAATATGCATTGCATTTATTTGAGCAAAAATACAAACTTGATTCCATGATAAAGCAAGAAAAATATTCTTGAAACAAATAACTCTTTAAAATCAGCCGGCCGATAAAATGGCGACGATTTAGGCGGCAAATGCTCGCGTTAAATTATGTCTAAAAAATTATTTTTCAAGTTTGAAAAAATTTAAATTAACTTGACAGTAAACTAATTAAAAGATAAAATTATTTTTAAATAAATGAGAAAAAATTTACTTAAAATGATCTAGTTAAAGTTCCCAAAAAAAAAGTCATACTGTTGAAAGCAGCGGCACTTCGTCATTAGTATTCATGGTCCAAATCCAAAAACAAAATTAATAAAAAAAGGTAAGTCAGTTTAATCGCCAAAAAAGATGAATTTTTTTATTTTTATCAATTAAGGAAAGGTTTTTAGTGAAGAACAAAGACCTCTTTAAGGTTTTTAAACTATTTAAGATCAAATTTGTCTGTTTTTTTCATCTTTGGTTAAAAGTGTTTTTAACTTTCGCTGAGTCATAAGACTAGAATTAAATACACCAATTCTTATTTATATATTTATATATATGATTATACTGTATTTATCATTTTAATAACAAATATGCTTTATTCTAGATATGGAGAGTTTTCATACCATTCTAAGTATTGTAAGACAACATAGTGGCAACGTCACTCTGCTGAAGCTGCTAAGTGTTCATCTGGCCACAGTGATGATATCAATTGCGTTGTCTCCTGAAAAGCTCCTTTTGAATCTACGTAATCCAAATCTTATATATAACTCGTTTTGGAGTTGGACTGGATCATTGTGCGGGTATTTATTGTCAACTACCGTGCTTCAATTCACTGGACATAGACCTCTTGTATTTGTTCTAATGGCTGCTAGTTCACTCTACGTTCTTACACCTGGTCTACTTCTATTTCGAATAGCGACATCATTTCTATTTGGTCTTGGAGTTCCTGCCATATATTCACTGGCCTTACACTTAATTAAACCTGCTGCTATGATGTATGGACGTGAAGACTTTAGCCATAGAATCGTATGCTCTATTACTGGCTGCTTTTTTTTCGGGCATACACTGCTAAATATACTAAGACTAGTTTCTGCCTATCAGGAACCGACCACACGAAGCTACCAGATTGAAGACTGTGTGTTGGGTCTTACATCAGGACATCCATGGTTTAATTACAATTTTCCCCCAAGCCTTATCAACCCAGTCAAAATGGAAACCGTTATATTAGTTGTCACAATTGCTTCCATAATTGCTCTTTTGAAATATGCCTGTGATAGCCACGATCATAGTTTCGATACTTCTAGCGGGAAGGCAGTTGCCGAAAAAATATTAATGGGTGCTGCAGCGCCATACATTATGTTCAATTATATTTTGTCTGGTCCTTTGATTGCTTACTGTGGAATTCAATCTACCATTTCATTCTTTGGCTTATCCAGCGACTATCTAGCCGATCGTACGCCAGAAGAACTGATATGGTTTCAACTTGTTCGTTCATTCGCAGCCTCAGTCTCCTGTTTAGTATTCGCTCTCATTCCAAAGTTTGTGTCATCATCCACGAGCATGTTTATTTGTCTAGTTACATACATTGTATCGTTCTATTACGATGTATCATTCCCTAAACATCACAATTATGAATTGGTCCTTATGTTTGCGATTTATGGTTTTGCTTTTGGTGGATCATTCGTCAACTTGATGGTAGACGGATGTAAGAGATACCCAGGCCATTGGTGTGCCATAGTTGGCTTTCATTTTTTGTGCTTTGCAATCGGTCAAGGTGTTGGTACATTTATTACAGTGAGGGTATGCGCCTACTACACGCACGTCCCATGCTGGATAATATTTATCCTCAGTCTAGTTGCTTATATTGAGGGAAGACTTCATTACAATTATTTTTTTAAGAAACGATTTGAAAAGGGTCTCTTAACACCCTTTCACATCGTAACCAACGGTATCTTTAGATTGCCTGAGGATCCACCGTCACCACCCAAATATGAAGATATCTGTCAAAACGACGTCGAAGAGGATGAAAGTTCCTTGTGATTAATAACCAAATTTGTGCTATTTATTTAAATATTTATGTTCACTTGAAACATTTAAAATTATCAATGTAATGTGTTTTTTTTCACTTGTTTCCTTTTCATTCTAGTCATAAAAAGAATAAAAAAAGTCATTTATATTTATAAAAAAGCAATCTTGGAATTTTATAATATCTTTTCATTCTTTTCTTTCTAGTTAAACTTTTTGAAAAAACAAGCCTATTTGATTAATATGCATTTTTTTCGGTTATAACTGCTCTAATTCTTAATGAGAGCTTCTGTACTGACTATTGAATTAAGATGGTTTAACCTCTTTAATCGAGAGACAATTAATTGACAGTTTTTTCCCCATTGAGTTCTTTTTAGAGCTTGTTCAAGCAATTATTTTCGCTCAAAGGACGTTTTAATCGGTTTATTTTTCGGGAAAACCAATAGACAAGCAATGATCGATGCAAATAAAAGTTCATGTACGTGACTGTTATTGATAAAGAACTCTAATTGAGCATGTGTTTTTGGAGTTTAAACTAATCAAGCTGTGCTGATGACTTTTTTACAGACCTGAATAATTGACGAAAGTTATTCGAGAGATTCGCACATTATTTATCAATATTAAAAAGGCTGGCGCCAAGGAAGTGCATATTCACTTCCGCTAAGTTGAAAATAAATACCAGTTTTTTCTGGCTGAATATTTTTATAAGAAAACAAACAACCCCCTTTTATCAATCATCCCGATAGAATTATTCGGTTTAGATCTGCTGTAGCAAATTGTTAAGAGGTAATTATTTCGTAACATAAATAATTTTTATTATTACGTAATTTTGGCGGAGAATTGCAACAAGTTACGTATTCTATTAATTTTACGAACGTTTGCAGTTATTTTTCAAAATAGATTATAAGTTTAACCGATCATTGCAGATTATGGCTGATTTTGACTGGGGATTTGGCGGAGATGAGGATGACTTTGATGAAGAAGGAGGAGATTTTCGTGTAAGACTTTATCTAACGATGTAGATGATGTTTTTAATACATTTACATTTTCAGGCGCAACCGGTTCAAAGAGATGGTTTAATTTTGTTGATTGATTGCTCTAAGGCTATGTTTACAGTCAGGGATGAAGGTTCTTTTTTCAGTCAGGCGATAAATGTTAGTAAATTAGTTACAGAAATAGTTAATTGATTTTAATGAGAATACAAAAACAAAAAATCTATTTCAGTGCGCTGTCGGAGCAGCAAGGAACAAAATTGTTAGTAATGATAGAGATATGTTTGGAGTTGTTTTCTATTCAACTGTAAGTCAACAAAAAATTTTAAATAATGAAATTTTATAATCTCTTTGTATTTAATTTCGCAGAAAGAAACAAAGAATCCCAACGATTTTAAGAATATTTCTGTTGTCAAGAATTTGGAACAACCTGGAGCTGATACTGTATCAGATTTAGAAAAGTTTATCGAAGGTAAATTAATAATGTTCTGTTTCTCATTATGCTTCTTGTAAACGCCATTCATTTATTATTTATTTATTTACTTATTTAATCATTCATTCATTCATTCATTCGTTCATTCATTTATTCATTCATTTATTTATTTATTCATTCATTTTTTCCTAGATGAGGATTATGAAGAATTCAAAGACAATTATGGAAGTTCCGATACTTATCAACTGAGCGATGCTTTTTGGACTTGCTCCAATTTGTTCTCGAATTGGTATTTTCATAGTAAAATGCTATATATTATATTTTAACTTGTGATCTTATTACAGTTCTACCAAATTGGGTCAGAGACGTATACTCTTATTCACAAGTGATGATGATCCATCAAAGGGAAACAAACATTTTAAAGTTAGAAAAAAGAAACTATTAAAGGAACTTATTGAATTCTTAAATTATTAATCTATATTGATTTCAGAATTCGGCAGCTGCAAAAGCTGGTGATATGAGCGAAAACAAAATAGATATAATGCTTATTCCGATGATAACGTCTACAACTCCTTTTGATGAAAAAAAATTCTGGAAGGTTTGTTCTTTGTTTTATCAAATTTATCTTATTAATTTCTTTTTTGCAACAGGATGTCTTAGTTAATTTGACGGATGATAGTGAAGAATTTATAGCAAACGCAGCCCAAACGAGACGTGAATTAGAGAATGTGTAAGTACTAAGATGGAGACAATAATTATTTAGAAATAAGATAACTTATTCTTCTCTTTATAAAGGATTCGATCAAAAGCTCACAAGCAAAGGGCACAAACAAAACTATCCTTAAATCTTGGCGGAGACGTCGAATTATCAGTTGGAGTGTTAGTCTTATCTATTGATTTCACTTTAGCAAGTTATTTCAAATAATTTTGTCTATTTACACAAAATTAGGTATAATCTCATTCGAACTTGTACGAAGCCATCTGCTATTAAATTATACAATAAAACGAATGAGGAATTGAAAACAACTAGAAAGGCGTTCCTCGAGGAAACTGGCGAAGTGCTATTGCCTCAGGATATGAAGAAAAGTTTGAAGTTTGCCGATCGTCAAATTTGCTTCGAACCCGAAGAGATAAATGAAATGAAAAGGTACGGCGACGTTGGAATGTTTCTGCTTGGCTTTAAACCGATGAAATATTTAAAGAAAGATTATCATGTAAGACCAGCTCAGTTTATTTATCCAGATGAAGGAGGCACTTCAGGAAGTACAAACCTATTCTCAGCCTTATTAAGAAGGTGTTTGAAGAGAAATGTATTCGCCTTATGCCGATTTACAGCCCGCAAAAATGCATTCCCAAGATTTGTAGCCCTTGTACCTCAGGTATAAACTGTATTTTGTTTTTTATACCTTCCCAAAATTTAGGATTAGGATATATTTTTGGTCGTCGTTTGTTTGACGAAGAAATAGTCACGTAGACCATCCTTTTTAAACAGGATAATCAAGCCTTTTAGTTTTTTTAAGTTTGGTAAAAAGCTAATGCTCAACAACTTCCACGTAACTATTTGTTGTTTTCGTGTCCTCAAATTCTTAAGGTTGTTGATTGTCTCTTTAAAAGATGCAAAAAACTTTTAGACAAAACTCACCCCGTTTTGAGGTGAGAGGGACACCTCAAAAAATAGCTTAATAATGCTCAAAAACAAGTTGATTCTCCTCACCCATAAAAAATTTGGTACTCAACTCAAAAAACAACTCTTGTTTTTTTATGGTGTTTAAATTTAGAATTTTCGAAGTTTGAATTTTCTTTTTTTTTATTTTTTTTTATAAAAAAAAAATTAAAAAAATATTCAAAATAGAAAATATATGTTCTTTTTTCTCTTATTAATTTATATAAAATTTCTGTATGATTTTGTTTAATGGAATCTATATAATGGATTTTATAGGAAGAAGAACGCGACGAACAAGGCGTTCAACAAGTTCCATCGGGCTTTCATGCTATTTTCCTACCATTCTCCGATGATTTTCGAAAGATCAAAGCGGTCGAGGACCCAATAACGGGTATTTACCTTATTATACTATATGCATATTATTTCCCCTTAATATTTAAATAATTTTTCCTTTCCAACAGCCAACAGTGATCAAGTTGAAGCTGCAAAACAGCTAATTAGCTCTCTAAATATACCTTTTCAACTAGATATGATTGAGAATCCTGCCCTACAAACCCATTTCGCTAATGTAGAAGCAATTGCCCTAGATCGTGACATGCCCGATAAAGTTACTGACCTTACAAGTATGTATATATACAGTATATATATATAAATATATATCGTGTATTATACGATTCGCTTGCATTCAATAATTAACGAGGATAATGAGAGAGAAAAGACACGTTTCTTGGAAAAATAGCTCTATTTTAATAATACATCTTTTCTTTTAAAAGAATAGGAATGTAATTTAACTAATAATGCAACAGTATAGCTCTATAGCATTTTGCGTTTTTATCCCAAGAGGATAATAAGAACTATAGCTATAAGTGTCCCTTTTGTCTATATGTTTGGTCAAATATATTCCTCTGTTTATTTCTTTCTTTTTTCTCTCTCTCTCTCTCTCTTTTCAGCGATATGATTTTATAATTGAACATTGATATATAGCTTTACAAAGGTATCACTTTTTAATCGTTCGGAATTACATATTTAATAAGTATAATAATAAAGGATTGATCTGTTTATATAAACGACTATAATCGAATATAATCTTTTCGATATTTTCGAGTTATTGATATTTTTTACCTTGCTTTATTTTTCTTTATATTATTAATTATGCTATATTTTAAATATTGCAAATGTAAAGACTAAACTATATAAAACTTTCACTTTTTATAGAACCAGATGTTGGAGCCATGATGAAAAGAGCATCAAAAGCTTTAAAGGAATTTGGCGATTTACTTTTTCCATCCGATTATACTCCGGGAGCTAGGAAGAGGGGTGGACCACCAGCTAAACGACCTAAAGTAGATCCAGAAGAAATGGCTCGGAATGGAGCTTTGGGTAAACTAACAGTAGCTATTCTAAAAGAAATTTGCGCCGAAGTGAATGTTAAGCCTAAAGGAACAAAGAAAGCTGATATTATTGACGCTTTAAACAAGCATTTCGGAGTTTAACGTGACTATAGAGGCAAATTATTTACAAGTTCTATCTATTTTCTACCTAACAAAGCGTTAAACAGTAATAAATGTATTTAAAAAATGCTTTGGGAAATCAACCCTCTTCTTCCTCGTCGTAATTTTCGAACGCATCATCACAATCGTCGATTTTAGCATCTTGATATTGTTGGTACTCTGATATTAGATCTGTTATATTCGAATAGGCTTCGTCAAACTCCATTTCATCCATCCCTTCACCTGTGTACCAATGAAGAAATGCCTTTCGATTGAACATTGTTTTGAATTGATCAGCTATTCTCCTGAACATTTCCTGTATGGCTGTACTATTGCCAATAAAGGTCACTGACATTTTTAGACCTTTTGGCGGTATGTCGCAAACTGCTGTTTTCACGTTGTTTGGTATCCATTCGACAAAATAGGGGCTATTTTTGTTTTGGATATTTAACATCTGTTCGTCGACCTCTTTTATCGATACTCTCCCACGGAACATGGCTGCAACTGTTAAATATTTACCATTTCGTGGGTCGCACGCGGCCATCATGTTCCTTCCGTCGAACATCTGTTGAGTAAGCTCTTGAACTGTCAGGGCGGTATAATGCTCCTTTCCTCTAGCGGTTAGGGGTGCAAAGCCAGTAATAAAGAAGTGTAACCGAGGAAAAGGTACCATGTTCACTGCCAATTTTCTTAGGTCGGCATTCAGTTGGCCAGGGAATCTAAGACAAGTTGTTACACCCGACATTGTAGATGATACGAGATGATTCAGATCGCCATAGGTGGGATTCTGAAGTTTTAAGGTTCTATTGCAAATATCGTATAGCGCCTCGTTATCTATGCAATATGTTTCGTCGGTATTCTCTAACAATTGATGTATGGATAAAGTAGAATTGTATGCTTCGGTAACGGTATCCGAAACTTTTGGCGAAGGAAGAACTGAAAATGTATTCATTATTCTGTCGGGATACTCTTCCCTAACTTTTGAAATTAGAAGAGTCCCCAATCCGGATCCAGTTCCCCCTCCTAAAGATTGACAAAGTTGGAAGCCCTGTAAACAATCGCAGACTTCCGCCTCTTTTCGAACAGCATCCATAATAGGTTCGATCAGTTCGGCTCCCTCTGTATAATGACCCTTTGCCCAATTGTTTCCAGCTCCACTTTGACCATTGATAAAGTTATCCGGTCGGAACAAACCACCGTATTTGCTGGATCTGATAACATTTAAAGTTCCCGGTTCTAAATCAACCAGAATTGCTCTCGGTACATAAAGTCCACCTAAAATGTTTTGTAATGTCTTTATTATTTCGCTCTAATTTTTAATTAATAAGCTAAAGTAATAATTACCCGAAACTTCATGATAGTAGACGTTTGTTCTCTCTAATTGATAATCGGATTGTCCACGAAACTTTCCATCCGCCTCTATACCGTGTTCTTCCGAAATAACTTCCCAAAACTGAGGTAATAAAGACAATCGCTCGCTTTATTTAAACTATCGCCTTACACCTATTCGCTAATGTAAGAAGTTCACCTTAGATCCTATTTGATTACCGCATTGACCTGCTTGCAAATGAATAATCTCTCGCATATTCAGACAAACACAAACTCCTCTCTAGAAAACTTTGAAGAAATGACAAAAGTCCGAATAAAATCAGACAAAGAGAAGAACAGTGTAAGTTTACACATTGTCGTATTCAGTTACCTATAGCTAGATCTCAAAAAGACAGAGAGAGAGAGACAGAGAGAGACAGAGAGAGACAGAGAGGAGAGAAGAAGAGAGGAATACAAAGGAAATGTTGAGAGACAGAAAAAGAAAGACCTAAAACTTGCGATTGGATCCTACGACAAAATTATTTTGTACTATCTATCTATAATTCTAACACCTATTTTTCTTTTTAATCTAGATCACTTACGTATGTTGTCTGTCTTTTTTTGGTTAAAAGTGTAAATGTTCCTTTTTTTGTATTGTTTTCCTGGTTTGAAGGTTAAACGACAAATAATGCATTTTTAAAAAGAAAAATAGCTTTTACAAAATTTAAAATTAAATCTCTATAGATAAAGTACTTTTTAAAAATAAAATCATCGAAATAAATTAAGATCTAACGTCGAGCTGACTAAAAACCGAGACACGAAAGCCATTTAGATTTTATATGATATTTTTTACTCTTAACCCTTAAATATCAAGAAGAGCAATCACTCACAATCAAATAAACTTTGTAACTTAAATAAGACGTAAACGGACACCTTCAGCCAACATCTTCCAAGTGACATTCTGGACGATTTCGACGTCGCAACTAACCGAGTAAGCTATCGGTTTCTTGTAAAAATACTGAATGTTAGTGCATTCAGAAGTCAACTGGCGTTGAAAGACAGCCGCCATAATTTTCATCGCATCCAAAAGTTCTTCCTCCGTATAACCAGTCCATTTTTCCCAAGCAGTAGTCCATATTCCAGAACCGAGAATACGGTTCGACAAACAAACAGCAGCAGCCGCAGCCAAAGATGGCTTCAAAGACGCTCCACGCTCGCAAAGTACGCAAATATCTAACAAATAAGCCGTTAAAAATTGTTGATTCTTACTCGGAGTTTCGGTGGTCTGGTACCAAGCGCTGGTAAAGCAGTACGGGGTTGGTGGCCAAAGGTCAAAATTAAGTTTTCGAACAATAAGCTTTTCCATATCGTAAATTTGCTCTTTGGTATACGCGTCATCGGTATACCTAATCAATCTCTTAACAGAAGGCACATAACGTTCATTCAACTTAGCCGCTAACAAAATAGAAGTAGATGAAACAAGCTGGATGAGAGCCAAGTCAGTCGGAAAGACAGACAAGGTTCTATCCATAATATTAACAGCAATATGAAACGATTGACGTTGCATCTTTTCAGAGCGAATAACAGCATGCATCCAATCAACCACAACTTGCCTGGTTCTTTCGGTGATGTCAACGCAACACTTTAAAAAATCAGGTTTAACTGCTAAATCTCTTTCGCGATCTTTCAAATGACGTAAAACTTGAACAACATAATTACTGCAATCATAAATATGAACGCCAGGAGGGGGTTGAAGTTGAACATCAACGCAAATCCCTTGATCGTCATCTGGCTCTTTCTCTTGTATGACTTTAGTCGTTACAATGTCTTCGTCATCGGTAACCTCAGCTTGTTCTTCCTTCTTAGCGGTCGCTCCTTTATCAGAGCGTCTCTTAACAGGAGGACTTTTCGGTCTCTTACTTTTTCTACTTCTTAAAAACGGTGGTAAACGAACTCGTTTCTTCTTCCTTCCATCTCCATTGGTAACGTCGGCAAATGGCTTTCGCTTTTCTAATACTTTAGCCGCCCTTGAATCACTTAAAACGGCGTCAAACGATGGCAGCTTGTCGGACAATTCTACGAGGGCGTTCCTTCTCCTTGAACCGGACGCTTCGACCCTGTGTAACTTGTCCTCAAACAAACTTAGAGTATCGTTCGTGTTAAACCTCCGCTTATTCTTCAACATCTCGACGTTTAACCCGGGCGGGATTGACGAAGAGACTAGCGAAAACACGCGCCTTATATGCTGTCGGTGATTGTGCTCGCAAAATAGAGTATTTATTAATTACAAGCTCAATAAAACTTCAGTACTGTCAACATTGTTACACATTTTTTATATGACCTCTACAAATTAATCATCAGTTTTCAATGTCAAATGTGAAAAAAATTGGATTATCTTCCCTAGAAAGATCCTCATCTCTTCAATTTTGTCAAGCCTAATGTATGTTCATCATATCTAAACGCTAGAGATCATACATTTTAACATCTACCGGCGGTACATTCTTTTTTCCTGAATACGGTGGGGGAGGAGTGATCATTACAGGTCCAACAGCATTCGAGGAAGGTCCCGGAGAACCTCCACCACTACCTATGCGTTGTATTCTTGTGCCCCTTGAGCAGCATTTCAAACAAAGCACGATAACAAAGTCCAAAAACAGTTCGAAAAATTCCAGTATGGTTAACACGGAACAACCCAAGTATAGACCCAATACTCCTCCAATATCGGATAAGAATTGTATTGGAGAGTATTTCGGTTCCTCCTCGATACTTTCAAAGTTGAATTCCGTATAAAATATTGATACTTTAAGGAAATTTCTACTGGGCTTGGTTGTGTCCGAATCATTGATGATTTTCTTCGTGCCATTATTCAATTCTTGTAAATCTTTGTACAAAGCCTTCTTATGTTTGTCAGAGGGCCATAAATTTGAGGATACTATAGGTCTAAAGGTGTTTTCTGAGCATTTATTTGGGCAACTACAACTTAACTCTCCATTAGAATAGTCTGTTTCAACTTTCTCTTTGCAAGCAACAGTCGTATCATTCGTAGAATCGCATGCCGTCTTATTTAGACCTGGCCAAGTGTTCCACGCTTCATTTAAAGCTTGTCCAGTCAATGGTATCTGAGGGTCGGCGCATTTACACCTTTTTATCGTCCAGGACTGAAGACATGTCTTATAACAGGCTGTTGTGCTATACTTGACGTCATAGTGTTCCTCATAAACATTTTTATCTTTATTCAAACTACTAGTATCAACGCAATCTCCGTAGACTCCACCTTGTCGTTTCAATTTTATCATACTTATCCCTATACTCGTTGATTGACCAGGGCTGACTGATATTCCTTCATCCTCGGGAAAAGCCATTTTGGTTTGATTATGAATAACCACCCGTACACCAGCAGATTCGGCAAGATCACCAATATAATCGTCTTGCTCTATATTTAGGACGAGTGTTAAACCATATTGTGGGCCAGGTTTATAGGATTTTTCGACGGCCAGTGATCCCCATCCAGAGTTGAAAATATAACAATTTCCATGTATGTTATTATAAAAGTGAACGAAATCTGAAGTATTACAAACATATCCAGCATATTCACAACTTAAGAGCATGTCTTCAAGTTGATGACCCATAGCAGTCTTAGCCGAAGTAGGAATATCAGCTAAAATAGTTGTAATTCTCTTCTTTAGTTCAAAGCCTTGGTTTGTCACTTTTCCGTCTTCTCTAGGTCTAGGCTTTACACCAAGTTGTTCCGGTTTTGGTTCTGTTTTTTAAAGAAATTTTATATTTTTCGGATATAGAATGGTACAAAATCTAACTTGTACTAGGACCAGGGGGACCACCAGGACCACCAGGACCTCCAGGACCTCCAGGAGCACCAGGAGCACCAGGGCTAGACGGACCGGCTGGAGAACCAGGACCAGCTGGACCTGCAGGACTACCGGGACTGGCTGGACCAACAGCGCCTGGTGCTGGAGCAGGAGCAGGAGCAGGAACAGGACCAGCTCGTGCTATTTATATTCAAATGGTATTTAATAATAGCATTATAATTGATTAAAGTGTATTAAGTCTTACCAGATCTCTTTCGACGTTTTTTAGAAGTAGTTGTTTCGTCTATACTATCCGTTGCTTCCAATAATATTTTAATATCATCACTGCGACTAACTTCTTTCTCCTTGATTGGATTTATATTGCACAAGGTAATAGCAGGAAAATTTAACTCCGGTTTGTGATCGATTTTTACGTTTACATCTACTCCAAAAGAAGCGTAATCTTTTGCCAAGTCTTGAATGTTATAAGCAAGAATTCCTGCCATACCCAAACTAAATATCAGCCATATAGCTTTCTTAATATATCCTATAAAAAGAAAAAGTTATTGTATCTAAATCAGAGTATTATTAAAATATTATTACCCCTCGCAAGGTTAACGTGAGGTATTCCGTGGCAAGTTGTTTTATTAACAAACCCTTTAAATACACTGGAAACAGGTCTCTCCGACATTGGAGATTTTTCATATTCCTCACTTGTTACTGAATCGTACATTAGCGGTGAATTATCTCGATTGTCCATTTTTGTATATTTCTAGTCTATCTTTCTTCTAAGTTAACTGATCTTTTAGAGATTGAAAATGAAATATAATGCAATTTATGGTTGAAGGTAGTAGTCTCGATCCGTCTAAAAATTTTCTTAAAATGCCTCAACAGCAAAAGAAGTCTAGTTATTTAGAATATAAAGTTGTAACTAATAAATAGTAATAAATAATTCAAATTTAAGATTTCTATGACACTGCAGGGTTTAGGTCTATGATACATTGTGAATGGTTTTAAGTCTGCCTTAAAGGAAGGTTATTTATCTCAAAGATTCAATTTGATTTCCTATTTTAGTCTTATACGTTGTTATACAATAATACTATTTTACGTCGATTTATTGACAAATACGATGATCGCTGTGATTGGTCACTGTCACTAATGAATCATATCTACTATTGAATTGAATCGAAACGCAAAAATATTTTTATTATAAAATTAGTCGTTTTGACAGCAGTAAATATTATTGACCGGGTGGGGTATAGATATTTCAAAATCCGAATAACGATCAAAGTCTTTTACATTTTGAAATATTTAATCAAGTGTTCTTGTCCACTAAAGTAACAGTAAAGTAGGTGGCTAATCCTGTTGTCAATTCGATTGCTTTCAAACAGAAATCTCCTTTTTAAGTAAATAGCAACCAATTAGCCGGATTCGAAATTAGGATTTGATTGATTGCGTCCCGAGAGATATCTCTTACAAGCATTTTTGGCACAATATTCTCAAGAATATGGCAAAAGCCGTGACCTCCATATTTTTTCTGAAAAAGCAAATTAGATATTCAATTACATCATCTCTTCCATTAAGGAAACTTTTAAGGGATAAGCTCACCAGTCTATGAAGGGTATGAATATCTTGAGCCACAACAATCTTATCTGCAAATCCATCATCAACTAGCCTCTTTATGTAAGCCACCCTCTGCGAGTCTGAAAGAAAATCAATAGTTTCATCGAGAGGATAGTTGATGACCTCAACTCCAAACAAGTCATATTCCAGATAGCATGTTGTATCCAATAGATCCATTAATGTACAATAATCTTGTACAGTTCGATCTATATGGGAAATAACCACCTTATCGATATTGCATCCAGCTTCCGACAAAATTCTGATAATCTCCATTGGCGCTCTATGATTTCTACCTGGATGAATAGATACTCCACACCCTAAATCCGCCTGGGCGATGGCTGCTCCTTTCAGAACTTTTCTCTCTGCGTCTAAAATGTAAAGCAACTATTATTAACTAAAGGTTACATTTTAAGCAAGATTAACAAGCTCTTAAGTTATTTATTCTCTATTACCAGTCAACGGCCAAGAACAACCTATCTCCCCGATTAGTCCACATTTCACACCATCGTAACCAACAAGTACTTCCTCCTTAATTGACTCTGCGATGTCTTCGACCGACATACCAATCATTTCAGGCGGATGAGCACTATCGACATAGTAACCAGCCCCTGCAACTACTTTTACGCCGGTTTCCTCACTGATTTTTTTCACTGCCTGTATATCACGTTTTAAACCTTTCGTTGTACATTCAACAACTGCCGAACCTCCAAATTTCTAAGAATAAAAAAAAAACTATTAGGAAATTCGAATACTACAATTATAAAATAATTTTACCTTGAAGTCCATTAAATCGGCTTTAACTGCTTCAACATCAAACAACTTCAGATTCGGTATGTGTTGCCATCTATTAATATTTGTCAGATTTTTAACATAAATAAATAAATTACAGTTTCAGTGAAAAATTACATACGGATTTCTAGATATCCAACCGTAATTTTCCAAAGTCATTGGAATATGAGAGTTTTCTGTCTCTTCAAGTAGCATAGGATATTCCATATAGAGATGTTCATGAGCCAGCGTTATTCCCAGGGTAGTCGGTTCGATCAAACCGGTGACTGGAAATAAGACATAAAATATATTTGCTTTTCTATTTTATGACAAGCGTGCTATCTTTGAAAAGTATATAACAACGGAATGGGTTAATGAGCTGCAAAAAAAAAATGGAAGACAAAAAAGGCCCATTCGCCGCCGGGAAAGAAAGGGAAATCTGATAAGATGACACCAGACCTTAATTATCAAAAGAGTGACTTTTATAGCTTAATCTGACTTCTTAATAAAGATGCAACATTGTAATTAACAAATATCAATCTAGAGGAAACATACAACTGGTTTCGAGACAGATGATATAACGTTACGGTTTATAGATTTATTACTAATAAAAATTGAGAAATTTGGATTGTATTATTTATTCTTACCTGTTTGTATCTTTGTACTAAGAGAATTGTCCATTTTACTCTTGTTTACTAGGAGAGTTTACGTATATGGTTTCCGTAAATAACACCCTCTTGATGAAACGTGTCTATATATTTTGACATCCAATAGGAAGTCTTACAATCATTTAATGCGGAGTTAGCGCGATGTCTTTATTAATTGCTTAAATGTACAATAAGACTAGTTTTTTGTAAATAATTCTACGCGGTCAATTTTTTAATTAATTAGTTTTCTTAATTAAACAAAAGGAATAATCTGTCCTTTAGTGCGGATTAATAAAAATTACACTGAGTAGTGTTGGTAAGCACTGGGGAGTATTTCAAAGTTAATAGTTTGAACTAAAACAGAGGCCTATACCACTTGACAAGCGATATGGCATAAACCAATATACAAATAGCATTACTGTTATCTACAAACGAAACGAAAAAAGTTCTGTATAAAGTACTCAAAAATAGGTAGGCGTGAGGCGTTTAATTATAATTTAAACAAAAAATGGAGAATATTAAAAAAAAAAACGTTCCAAAAATCGAATAAATTATTATTTAGTTCTAAACTCTTTGTAATTTTCTACAAAAAAGAATTTATATATACATTATTGTTTAAAGAAGAAATGTTAGAATAATCTTTAACAATATTAGTAGATGTATAAAATTTCTATAATGGAGAAAAACATACGAAATATGAATAATGGTTTGTCCTGGTTTATTATTTTCTTTCTTTCAATCGTAAAGAAGTTGTTTTGTGTATTTTGTATCTTTAGTGGATTTTTATGTACCTAATGAACTTTGTGAAAAAGAATCTGTAAGCGAACGACTGCGTATAAAATGCTAATGAGGATAGAAGAGGTTTTTTTTTGCAATAAAAAATATCACTATATTGGATTAAACAAAGATAATTAATATTTTTTTTTGCATAATTTCTTCAAAAAACTATTTACAGATGATTTTGTCAAGAAGACTATTAGTGATTAGTATCCTGTAATATCGAATAAAATTTTAAACGTCATACTCCTCTTAACAGAATAGAATGAAAAGGGCTGGAGAAAAACGTTATTTTAGGGGGAAAAAAGAAATTTTTCGCTCTCAAAATTTACCTTTAGTCAAGTCTGCCTTGACTAATGCAAGGTGATAAATGGGGAAAAAGATGTTAGAGTCAACTTCCCCCTCCTTTTTTCTCTCTCTCTCTCTCTCTTCTCTATTTCTTTCTTTCTATTTATTTTTCTTATCTGTAGAATCCTCTTTATAAATCAATTGTCTTTATAAGTTATAATACTACGTTATTTAAAACTGAAAGAAATTTGTGAAAGTTTTCTTTTTCATTTTCGAGTAACAAGATTCTTAAATCATCTTTCCTTGATTCTTAAATCATCTTTCCTTACTTCGTTATTCGATAAACAAGGAGTTTTAATCGATCCGACTGACTTTTATGGCTATTTTATGAGAAGGAAGAAAGTAGATCAATTAGCTAATCCATCAATTCTAATATTTGTTTTTCTTCTATTCTTTGTTGTCGATGTTTTTCTTTTTCTCTTTTTTAAACAGCACAGAATAAGTGATAAAGAAGAAAGAGGAGAATGCTAAATTTTTATACAAACTTTAGAGCAAAAATGGAAAACTATTCACTTGTTTTTGGTATAGTCTTGAATTGATTGATAATACAAAATAAGCATATACATAGTTCAGAGAGAAAATGATGGAGTAGAAAATAATAGTAATAATAGTAATGACAAAAAAGAGTGGGTCGATTTCAATCACGATTGTTCGCCCCCAAGACGAAAGCAAGGTAAATACAATTACACAGAGCAATTTATACAGTCAAATCAGATACAATAATTACTAACAAACACTATAAAGAGATGGAAAGGTATTGTTTGATCCCCTTAATGTCTTACCAATGCCTTGATAAGGATAAATAAAATCAGTTAGTTAATTTTTTCCTTTTTTCACCCTTTTTTCTATCAATTGTTATTGCTCTTGCAACATTATAGTACAAATTAAAGTTACTAGCTATAACAGGTATTGGTAAACCAGTTGATAACATACCGGAGAGAGCGCAAATGGCGCCTACTAAATATCCCCAACCTGAACTTGGGTGTTTATCTCCGTATCCAACAGTAGTCATAGTTACAATTGACCACCAGAAACCAATGGGTATATTGACGAAGTGAGATTCTTGAAAAAATTCAGCAAAGTAGATAAGAGTGGAAAAAAAGAGCATACCCAAAACTATTAACATAATAAGGAGCAAAACTTCTCTTAACGAGGCTTTAAGAGCGAGCAATAGTATTTTCATCCCTGTAAAATGTCTCGCTAACTTAATCATTCGAATGGTCCTCATAACGCCCAGTACACTTAAAAAATAGACAAAACCGAAAAGCCTATCATCTGTCAAGTATGAAGGATTCGTAAATTCAACGATAGTAAGGCATAAGGTTGATAGAACACACAGACAATCAATGATATTATAGAATGATAGAACAAACTTCTTTTTGTCGGGACTCAAAATAAATCTGAGTAACAATTCCACACCAAATAATACCATACAAGCTATGTCGATATTAACAAGCATTGGATAAGGCGTTGTTGTCAACTGAAGTAACATTTTTGGATTTGTTTCCCCAGTTACGTTCCGTTTTGGTACTACAAGATTAATTCTAAATGACCTGTGAGTAAACATCACCAATAAAGTAACGGAAGTAATTACGGCCGCTAGAAAGAAAAAGGCCCATAATTTTGCCGGCATACTTGACATAGGATTTTCTAGGAAATTCCAAGCACCTAATCTCCATCTCGATATGCATTGATCAGCCTTTGGTGCTGATTCGTTATCGATTTTATCAAAGAAATTTATCACTTCATTTCTCATCTTAATTTCTCTTTCTTTGGCTACGAAAGCGGCCCAACAGCAATCCGCTATATATTCTTCTCCTATTCCCCAATACTCTAGTTCCTCTTTTAGCACTAATCCACAAACGCTTTCAGCCGTAACGTGTATACGACCATATCTATAAGCGTCTAGTATGTAATTGAATAGCGTAGGATTCCTATCAAAATAGTATTCTCCCACTGCTGCATCGTAGGCGTCATTTTCTGCTGATAAGGTTGAAAGTTTCGTACCAGGTAAACTCCTCAATGTATCTGCTCGACACTGGAACTTAACACCTCCGACATTTAATGTAATCCTATCTTCCATAAATTCTCTTGCTTTTAGAAATTATATTGATAAGGAAGGAGAAGTTAATGGAAGAAAGCAACGCAGACACACAGATAGAGTAAAACAAAAAAAAAGAGTGGGGGGGGAGGGAGAAGGGGGAGGAGAGAGATCGAAAAAGAGAGCAAGAGATAGGGGAAAAGAGAGATATATAGTTTTAGAGAGTCAGCTACTGGACTTATCCAAGTGAGCGAAGGAGAGAGAATGAGAGAAAGAGAGAGAGAGAGAGAACTATTAAAGATAAACAAAGCTACTAACCGCACTAAAGCTTGTAAAGACAATAGGAAGTTTGTAAGGCTATAATAATAAATATCGAGAAAATTAATAATAAAACACCGCAATAAAGCATCTATTTTAAAAAAGAGCAGAAAAAAGCATGCAAATAAACTTCAATTAGCTCCGCCGCGCATTCGGATGACAGCGATAAGGGCGAATCGTGTTGACTGCATCGCGTCGCTGCGTTAAATAAATATAGGCCGTAAAAAATCGCCTTTTCAACCCCACAAATATTGACTAAAACGTAAAACGTTTGTTTGAACTATATAAACAGTATATATACCTGGTCCGATTAAGTAGTTCGCTATCAAACAATCTTTCAACGGTTGAAACCTACTCGAGTAACGATATCATTTATTATTTTTCCATCATTCCTCATTCAAGCTCTTTATTTATCTTTTCTTAGTTAAATATTTTAAACAACAGTTTGTTAGTAAACATTAACTACAAACAATAAAATAAAAGAATATATAGATAAAAAGGAACAAAAAAATTGGTAAAATATACTATTAGTTGTACAGGAAATATGTTTTTTTTTTACCTTGTTTACACAATTCTGTCTGTCTTTTTTTTTTCTACATATACAGTATAATCCCACAATCCAAATGTTTGTAATATGCGCAAAGCAATTCTTGACCAATTATTGCTTTTCTGAACAAACTATAAATTATGTATTCTTTTATATCATCCTATACGCATTGACGTGTAGAAGGATATATTCTAAAAGAGATAAAAAAAAAAAAAAAGAGGGAGGGGGGCGAGGGGAGGGCTTGTAAATTTTCTCTTTTTTCGAATAGAGAGAGCAGCTTTATAGACTGTGTTTTATGTGGTAAAAATATTGCTTAGCATGCTAAAATCTCTTTTTTTTTTTTAATTATAAATATAAGGAAGTTCAATCTTTTAGTTAGAGTTTATTGGAAACCAAACCTAGGTATATTGATTATCATTGATCCAGGCGTCGTCGCTGTTACATTGTAGAGTGGCGCGTCAGGCAACGGCGTTCTTTCAGTAGAAAATTTCAAGCCGTCTTAGACGCCGCATCAATTGAGAGTCAGAATGGGAGATCTTGCTGAAAGGTTTGTCTTATCATTTATTACGTAGTTAACTCTATACTGTTATATTTTATCATTAAACGTATATGTCGAGTACATTTCCTCTCCATTGTTATCAATTAGTAGTTTTTATTGTAATTCTATTTATCTGTTTAGGAAGACTAACGAATATTGAGTGGCATTCCACAAGTATTTACGAATATCTATAAAAGCCTACGCGCACTCTCGCTCTCTCTCTCTCTCTCGTAATTAATTTAAAAACAGGTTGTGGAGAATCTTTTCTTTTAAATTAAAAGGCTAAATTAACTATTCCATTTACTTTGTAAATAATTATATTTTGTGTTTAAAGATTCTTTTATAAATAAAATAGGAGTTTTACAAAGATTTACACACGATATCAAGTTTTTTTCTATTACCTATTTCGCAATTTTATGTCATTGACTTTACAGAGAAAATATAAATGTAAGCCTATAAGATATATTGTATACGCCTTACAAGATGGCAGAGTTTTGACACAGATAACCTAGTTGAGGAGAATTTTTTTTGGTTACTTTACAAAAGATGACTAGAATCGGTAGGGTTATTTTTTTTGTTAAATTGCCTCTCAAAAAGTAATGAAAGGGTGTGTCCTTGTCTTTATTCAAATGGGCTTATCTGTTACGTCAAAATGTTAAGGTCGAAAGGCCGTTTTTTTGTAATATAATACAAGAATTTTGGCCTGCGAAATAGAGTTTGAGTGTGTAGTAATTCAGATATACAGCGCGCTCTCTGTGAGAGAAGTGAAATATACAGTAAGAAAAAAAAAGAGCCAGAATCAACTAGAGAAAAGATATTAAAAGACAGCGACAAGAGGAGATTGAGGAAAAGAACAGAGAGAGAGAGAGATAAAAAAAGATACAAAACTACCAATAATAACATTAAAGAATTATTTCCTTTTTACATCTTTTGTTTAAAAAACTAGATTAGTCATCAAAAAAACAGAGAAAGAGAAATATTATTGCGAGAGAAACGTTTCTTATGGTCCTTTATTATTTCTTTTATAACTTGTCGTTCAATTTATGGTTTTATGACAATGACGTGTAAAATTAGTTCAAAGAATGAGGAAGCCAATAAAGCGCCACAGGTGAATAACTCTCAGCCCGAAAATGAAGAGGATCGAAACAGTACAATTAACGCTCGCCAGTCAGCCAGACACAGGCAGAGACGTCATGGAATTTGTCATACTCAAAATGATGCTTTAAATATAAGATCAACTCTAGCGCCAGAATCAAATACAAATGAAAATTCGTGAGTTATTATATATTTTTTGATAATTTCTCTTCCTTTATTTTTACCTTGTTTTGTTATGTTTTTATTATTTGAGAAAAAAAAAGAGTTGATAAAAGTTTTTTTTTTTTAAAAAAACAAAAAAAATATCTGCAATAGGTTAAAAAAAAATATCTCATCGCTCTAATCCTGCTTATTCTGAAAAATGGTTTTTTATTAAAAGGACATATATATATATATATATATATATATATGTATATATAAATACATAAATGTATCAAATATTTAATATATTTATATGTTTATCTACCCCGAAAATGTTACAAACATACTGAATGTTTATATCTCTTTTGTTATCTGAAAAGAAGATTAATAATAAACTATTTTTTCTATGTGAATAATGAATTTTTTTTATGTAAGAACAATTACTTTATACGTATTAGTGTAAATAGTATATTTATTTAAAAGTGCTATTACTTATTCGATATTATCTTCTCATATAAAAAATGAAGGGAGGAGGGGGGAAGGGAGAGAGAAGGAGTGAATTAATAATAAATTATCAAATAAATCAATTAGCGCTTTTATTGAATAGAAGGAAATCTTTAATTGAATGCCATACATTAGAATCGTCGTATAAGTACGTCATAGAAGATTTAAGTGATGGTTGTAAAGTCGATCTATGATGTTCGAATAGCCAAAGTACTATACCCCATACAAGAGCTCCAAAAATTGGGAATGGTTCTCCTTTCGGTTTTGGAATGGCACCTTTTTCGACGGCTAATTTGGCAAGGGCGTATAATATTCTTGATAGTAGATACAAATTAATCTATAATAGAACAAAAGAAGAAGAGAATGGAATGTTTTGAATATAAGTTGAAAATCCCCCTAGTTAATTAATACAAGTAAAGTAGCTTTGGAATAGAAATAAATCCGGTTTGATTAACGAGCGCTACTGGTAGCTCTTCAAGGATTCATTATAATATGTAGCGTCACGCAATTAGGCTTTGAAGTTGTCCACGTAAAGTTATTAATATAATTCTAATTATTACGTTGCCATAGAACAAGCGTGTTTCTTACACGGTGGACAATCGACACTTTTGACCATAGCCTATTAATAAACCATCTACGTAATATAGAGTCTATTATTCACCTGTTCGTTGATTTTGTTGTATCTTCCAAAAACGATGTAACCGCCTATGAAAGCTGCCACAAATGAATGAAATTGATACCGATCTCCTTGTAGTTTTTCTAGTACTGACGATATACTTTTATATATGAAAACAAAGGAAGCCAAATTTTTCGAATGGGTGAAGGTTGCCTCTAGAATACCTTTCAATTGGTTCATAAGTCTATTGAGAAAGTCACGGTTCATTGGTTTAGTATCAATAAGCAGAACACCAAAGTAAAACACTTACGGTCCTCCTTTGAATAAAAATGTCATTACCAGGGCATGAGGAGCCCTAATCTTAGCTCCATATCTGTAAAAAAAATTATACTGAATCTTTAGATCTTCTCTTTATTAACAATTTCCTTAGTTGCAATTTAGAAACCTTCTATTATCGCTCAAAAGTATGTCATCTTTTGATAAGATTTGAAAACTTTTACTATTTTATAACTACTTAAATCAATTAAATTAGGATATTATCTTACACTGCTCCATTTCTGAGACCTTTTAAGGGTGCTAAAACACTCTTATACTGTCCTGAAGAAAGAATTTGATTTATAATTTGTATTAGTGACATCCTTGAACTTCGCCTAGTGAACTCGTCGCCTGACTATTCTCGTATAAATTCGATTCGTCTCCAAACTCTTTCATTCATTTTAATTGAGAAACCTTTGGAAAACTCTCCGAAAGGTTAAATAAGTCAATTGGTCTCTCATCGATTACTAATTCTAATGAAAGGTTATTGAAATTTATTCTTAGGCCTACTTTAAATGGTTTACCACTATTATTGTCTATTATTGTTATATCGTCATTACTGATTTTTTTATTGTTGTTGTTGTTGTTATTATTTGTTTTTTCTTTCGTAGTAAAATTTTAATATACTTATTCATTAATCATTGTTTTCGTACACGTAATTTGAAGTGTACAAATTTATTCGGTAGGCGGATATTTAACCAACTATCAACTTTTGTTAGGTTGAATAAATGACTTTATGTTTATTCTTTTCAAGCTTAAAAACTCTCTATCTATCTCTTTTCTAAAAACAACAAAACACTATCTGTTCGATTTACTACGTAAATATTGAATTTATTGTTGTTCTTCTCACTTCATCAGTGATTATAGCCAACCTTTTGCATTTATAACCTTATATATCCACCAACATAATTCGTTTGCCCTATTGATCAATCAGCCTTTGTTAGTTTGCTATTAGCAAAAAAGAAATATTCTATAATCGTAACGCTGTTCATAAATTTTAATAAATTAACTTCTATTCTCAAATTTCGTTATTCGATCGACTCCCCTCTTACTCTCTTCATCTCTGATTCCAATCAGTGGACAGTCTCCAACGCATAAAATATTTAGTAGTTCTCCTAAAACTAGCCCATATTTTTTATTGAAGAGAAGAAAAAGAGCGAAATCTTCACGGGATAATGTTAAAGATATTCAACTATCGTATTCTTGTTAGTTTCTCTTGATCGATTTCAATAACTAGACTTTATACGAGTATAAAGTATAATATATCCTCTATGATTAACAAATTTATAATGATTTTTCAATGAAAGATTGATAAAGAGTCTATATTTCCTTTTATGCTCAATAAGGCTTTTCAAAATGTTACTTACTTAGTATTTATTTTGATGCTTCTAGCGCAAACTGTAGATTCACGTAATTGAATGTTCTATTTTAAGTAAAAATTATATATTTAATATTCGCATTTAAGTGAATTTATCCCATAATTTTCCACTTAAATCCTCTTTTTTTCCGTAGCTTTAACATTCTTCTAAATTAGAATATCTTCTTTTTTTAAAGATCAAATTTGTTATATGTTATCTTCTTAGATCTGGTACAGAATAATGATTCTGTAGGAGATTTCCGGTACAGTTGGCCTTTGATCTTCGTCCTCGTTCCTGTATGAGCTCCATCGGCATGATGTACTTTCATACAATAACTATAAATAGTTACCCATTCCTCTTATTCATTATTTTCAATGAACTAAAAACAAACTCATCTAAATATTTGAGTATCACGTGATTCATTCTGCAAACATTCTATAAAATTTGCGTTCTAATTCTTTTTCTCTATTCCCAATATATTTATCATTTAGAACCTGGAATTATTGATGAAATTATTAACTCTTGAAAAGGTCAACTAACGATATTATCCTCTAAAGAATAATTCGTGTAAACTTAATAGAATTATGCAATGTTTCAGAATAATGAGTAAGAGTTTCTTAGAAGAAATAATTGTATCGTTTGAATTATTAGAGAATGCGGAAATGAGACGCAAAATTGAAAGCTTAGAAGCTTTTCGACAACTTTACCGTGTATTATTACCATTTTCAAAATAATAATAATTTTCTAGCCATTTCATGCTTTAGGACGGAGATATGCGTCAATTCTATGCAATAAACAGGTATGTTATTCAAACTCCTTAGATAATTATTATATAGGTGATGGGAACTTGGTCTCTAAATGAAAAATACACTCTGCTTTACTAAGATTACTGATACTGTATTTATTAAAAATTTTTGCATATATTTCGCCAAATAACGTATTTTTTCGACAACAATCAAAATATCATGTTAAAATAAGCGTCACACGACAAATGAGTATAATCACATTGAAAACTTGAGCATAAAATCCATTAAAAGTAGACTGCTGCAAACTTAAAAAAATTTGTCTAAGCAAATGTTTCATAACCGTTAGAAAATCTTGACAAAAAAGTTTGTGTAGCTATCAAATGGTTAATATGAAACGTATATCTGTGTGCATAATTAGTCGGTCTCAAGCACTGATAAAAGAAAAATAACAGAGCACCATCTATTTATATCAATTAGGGTAGTCAGTTTGAATTTCTCTTTTATCATTAACATCTAAAATCTGAGAATTTGTCAAAAGAAAGCAAAAACAAGTAGTACCTTGAGACCGTGAAAAAACAAAGCTGATATAATTAGACAAAAATAGTAAACCAAGTAATAATTAGCGAACACTTTCAGCATCTGCATGTCTACGAAGTACAGATATGAAAAGGAAAAAGACTATATTAAATTTCATATTTTGTTATATATTTTACAGGCAAGTCGGGCAACGTGTCTCAAAAAGTTTGCGAATCATTCAGTGGACAATCTTCTGTGTTATGATTATCGAATTCTGTTGTGGAAATGCAAAAAGCAATAATAAATAGATAGAGTTGTGCAATTTCATTTTTTGACAAACCTTCGCAAATGTCACAATATAACCTTGCTCTGCGTTTTATTGTAATAGGATCTTGTTCTAAAGGATCGTCAGATTCACTATGTACGACAAATAGAACAAATAAATGATGGTAATTCCATATTCTGGACAGAAATTATTAGTAATGAAGGCAAAAAAGAGACTTACTCTCCAGTTTTTAAGATGTCAATTTGCCTTTGTAATTCAAGTATCTGTTTTTGTTGATCTGCAATTATTGTCTTTTGGAAATCCAGTTCGGCCTTAACCTAAATTAATAAATAAATATACTTATAACTATTTAACAGAGAAGCTTCTAAAAATTTGTACCTGTGAGCTATTATCGTTCCTATCTCTTTCCTTAGCAGGTGAACCTGGAAGTGAAAAAAAAAATATTCTATTACACTATTGTTCGATAATTTACAAAAAACTTTTTTTTGCTTACTTCTATTTCTATGGGATTTTAATTCCTCCGCTTGCTGAGCTATCTATTAACATAAGAGATACTTGAAATAAAACAGTTGATTTTTTTATTGTTCAATAAATTTGACCTTAGACTCGAAATCTTGTTTTAGTACAGCTTTCTCGTTCTTTATTTTTTCCAGCTCAGAAGTAATCTAAAAGTTTAAAAGAGAGTTATGTAAATATTTCGAGATCAAACTAAAATATATATATTTACCTGAGTTACTCGTCGGTGGAGGTCTTCTTTCAACTCAAAGTTCAAGTCACTGGTCGCTCTACGTATGGGAAAAATGATCGATTAAAAATTTCGATGTTTAAAACTTTTTTTATTATGTGTCGTCCACTTACTGTAGGCGAGCTTTTTCCCCAGATAACAAATCAATTTGATTAGATTGCTCGACTGTCTATACACAATAAACATTTAATTATTAACTATCACTCTCAAAGTGTAGCACTTACTTTTTTACGCAGTTCCTCTATTTGAGAATTATTGCCCTAAAAGATATAAAAAAAAGAGAAACAATACCACTATTAGTAAAATACTCTGCAAGTATTGAAATATTACATTACCGATACATTAGTAGTGTGTTTAGTTAAATCTTCTATTTGTTTCTGCAGGTTTATTAATAACTCATCTTTTTCAAACACTTCACTCTCTAGCTCATGGCACTTTTTCAGCTGAAAATTATGTTTGAAAATATTGACCGACAAAGTTAAGTGTTAAAGCTAATACCAAATCATCGATTTGCTGAGTGGCACCGGGATTCAAAATATCCGATGAGGTTGCTTGCCCTTCGTTTCTGAGCCTAGATTTGGTGTCGGAAAAATTAAATTAAGTTTCTAAACAGTATTCGAATATGGTAATTAGAGCTATTGTCAATTAATTTCGTGCAATACGCCAATGGGTAAATCATGCAATGAAGATAGATAGATAGACTATAAAGAACTACTTTTAAGGTAACAATTAAAACGGGTCAACTTAAATTTATGCAAAACGGTTATCATAGTCCTAATTGCATAAATAATCATAGATAGTAGATTAATATCTATTAATACTAGCTGAGCTTGGTAAATTATTTTATCAATAGAAAATTGGTAACTACTATTGAAATTGGGTAAGAGCAAGATAGTTAAATGTTATCTGCATCAGACTAAACTGTTAGTGAGTTTTAAACACTAAAATATATAAAATAAAATTAATCATTTCAGGTTTAATTGATTTAACAAATTAAATTAGGATCAAATTTTCAACCAATTTAGTTTCTGTCAAAAAGACGAACCTGTCACTATCCTGCTTGACAGAGGATGATTCAGAACTGGCAGCTTTTCTTAGATCTTCCATCATTGCCCGCTTTAGTTATGAAATAATAAATCAAATCTAAACACCAAAACTAGATAGTCAAGACAATAAAACTAATTTCAAAATAGAGTTATTATATAACAATTAACATTAGATTTATGTATTGACCAATAGTGCCAAAATACTTACATGCAATAGATTGAAAGTAGAGTAAATAATACACCAAAGAAGACAATATAAATTTACTTACTAGGTTCGTAACTTCAGCATCCCTTTCCTGTTTTTCGGTAGAGACTATAGCCAATTTTTGCTTTAAATCTGAATATACAAATAATATCAAACATTATTATTCTTTTAAAAAGAAAGCTCTCCTTAAATTTTTAATGATAAACCTGCTATTTCCGTTTTAAGGTCTTTTATAGTGCATTCTAAATTATCATTTGCGTGAGCTTTCAAAGCATCATTTTTCATTAATTCTAAGTATCAAAGATATAAGTAAGCATTTACAAAGACAATAATTGCATTAACTACCGTTTAAATGTGTCTGAACATTTGTATAACGTTTTTCTAGTTGGTTATAAGCTTCTTCTTGCTGACCCACTTGTATTTGCATATCATTAACGGCTTCGTCATGTTTGAAAATCAGATTATCCATATTCTCCTTCAACTTAATTATCTCATCTTCCAAATTGTATTTATTTTTCTTTTCTAGATCTAAAGTTTGTTCCAAATCCTGAACTTTAGTCTCCAGAGATGATTTTTCCTGTAGTTCTTTCTTAAGACTGTCTTTCAGTTGGTCAACTTTCCCATTAATTTTATCCTTAAAAAAGAAAACAAACACCGATGTATTTACAGACAATATAAATTCAAAATCTCTGAAAACCTCTGAGTTTTCTTTATCAGTAAGCAAATTGTTGATTTTAGATTCATTGTCTCGTTTTAGCTGCTGTAATAATTGTATTTCTTGATCTTTACATTTGGAGACCTATTTAAAAATTAAGTAAAATTATTAATTTCCTTTTTGTAAGTCAATTTCCTCACATTTTCCAAGTCCAGTAGTTTCTGTTCCAAAGATTTTATTAAATCTTCTTTTTCGGATTTGCAGTCTTCAAACTGTTTGGCTGTGCTGGCTTTTGAATGTTTCAATTCTTGAATCGTATTCTAAAAATTATCACAAAGTTTAAATATAAACTACAATTCTTTATTAATTATGGAAACCTCTAAAGTGGAAATTTTCTCCTCCAAATCGTTTCTGAATCCATTTTCCTTTTTCACAGATTCCTGTTTGACTGACTTAAGTTTTCCATCTATGTATTCCTTTTTAAATTATAGTACAAAACATTATTAATACAGTCTCTAAATAAATAAATAATATATTTTTTACTTGGACAGCCAATCGAAAAGATTCAACCTGAAAAATATAAAAATATATTTGTCCAGTAGTCAGAAATATTTACTGAATGTCTAATATAATTACCTCTGCTTCGTCAGTTTTAAAAGATAAAGAAAAGAAATAATCCAAATTCTCAATATATTCCTTCAAACTAACAGCTTTCAATCTCTAGAAAAGGATTAATGCTTTGAATTTCGTATTACTATTCACGTGGATTAATAAACAAACCCTGTTCAGTTGGCTTATTTGCTTTTCAGCTTCAGTTAATTCCGAAATAGTTCTGTCTTTCTCCGCAATAGTGTCTTTCAATTTTTTATCATATTGTTCTTTATCCTATTGAAAGAAAAAAACAATTAAAAATTATTCTTGACATAATAATTTCATTATATAACAATACTTACTGCACTCAGTGTATTCTTTAGTTGCCTTATTTCTCTCATAACATTTTCCTTCTCCGATATAATTTCCTTCATACGTTCCCCATCCGAGCTCAAGTTCTTGGAAAATATCAATAATTATTAAATGCTATTACAAATGGCAAAAATTAAAACCTTTTCATAATTTTCTACTCTTTTAGTCATATTGCCTAGATCGTCGGCGATGTTTTGTTTTTCCAAAACTAATTGTTTTATACGCTTTTCCTGTTCTTCCTCCAGCTATGAATTTGTAATGGTTAGCTCTTAATTACTCCATTGAAAACAAAGTAAAAATGTACATACTGATTTAAGTTTGTTATTGCTTTTTAATAAGTCTTGTTTAAGATTTTCATTTTCAAAATGTGAATTTTTGAGGTCAACCTCAATAGATTCTTTTTGCTAAATAACAGTGTTTTTTTTACATTCTATCTGTTGAAAAGATTTATGACCTACTGTTGTTAATTTTTTCTCCAGTGCAAGCAATTCTTGTTTAAGATTTTCATTTTCAGAAAGAGTTTGTTGTCGACTCTCTACTGCAACCTCTTTATCCTACAAAGGTATATGTATAACTTTCTATAATGCATTTTATATCTACGAATATTACCTTTTTCAAGCTATTTTCCAGTTCGAGTAGTTGACGTTTAAGAATTTCATTTTCGGATAAAGCGTTTTGCAAACTTTCTTCAACGGCTTGCCTTTGCTGTTTTTAATTATACACTCTAGATTGATAGTACTATTTCAACTAAAAAAAACTATGTTATTTACCGATTCAACTAACTGCTTCATGTCATTTATTTCGTACAGTACTTTTTCTTTTTCAGCCACTGCGTTCTGTAGCAGCTCTTCTTTTGCTTTTTGATCCTTTTAGCGAAATATAAATAAATTACAATTCTTTAATCACTTAATAATAAATTTTTAAAAAATTTTACTTCTTTCAATATTCCAATTTCATCCATAAGATCTTTCACGTTGTTAGCAGCTGTTTGCTTTTCTAATTGTTCTTTCCGTACAGAATCACTAATAGATTTCTGATTCTTTTAAAGCAACAGATTAAATTAGCAATGCCAAAAAATTGAACATAACAGATTACTTACCTCTTCCAGGAGTGATATTTTATCCAAATATTCTTTTTCAGCTGTATTTTTCTCTTCAAGAAATTCCTTAAGCTTTTTATTTTCATTATCTTTTTCCTATAATTGAACAAGTCAAAATAGAAATATTTCTTCTCGAAATAAGTAAACCTACAATCTTCAGGGAAGATAATTCAGTCTCAAGTCTTAAAACTTTTTCCATTGCAGCCTCCCGTTCAAAAATTGACTCCTTGAAACTTTCGTCTCTCTGCTTCTTGTCCTAAGAAAACACTTAATGAAACACAGTTAAAAGTATAAACTTCTTTCGCTTACTAATTCCATGTAAGCCAATTTTTGTTTAATTTCCATCATTTCAGTTAAAGCAATCTCTTTAGTTTTGTTATATTCTTCACATTTCGTTTGTGCCTCCTCAAGTTGCTTCAACAATTCCTTATTATCTTTCTGTTATATTAAAAATTTTATTAAATATTTAAAATTTGTACAACGGGAAAACTACCGTTTCTATGATATTTCCCCTCTTAATCTCATTTAGCTCTTTTAAAGCTGCATCTTTTTCGTTAAGTAATTGGATATAACGTTGATCTTCTTCAATTTTCTTACTCTGTAAGGTAATTTCATTTCTAACATGCTTTTCATTAGTTATTTTTCATTTACCTGTAATTCTTCTTTCTCGATCGTTCCCTCCTCCTTTGCAAATTCCAATTCTTCAACTTTTCTATTATGACATTACATTACAGTAATAATTTATAATAACTATTGCAATAACTATTGCAGATAGGGTATTTACCTTCTTTCGTCGTCTAACTGATCTGTCATTGCCAACAGATCATTTTCTAATTTTTGAAGTGTTTGTTTTAATTCCATGTTCTCATCGTGTATTATATTAAATTCTTTTTTTAAGTCTTGTACATAGCATTCAGCCTGAAGAGAGTTGGTTAAGTATCAAATAGTTTTTGTAGTATATATATGCATGTATGTATGTATGTATGTTTATACCTCATCCTGTTTATTATAAGCAGAAGCGATCTCAGCTCTATCGTCATCTCTCTCTTTTAATAACTGGGTGATGTGTTGCTCTTTTTCTTTAATAGCTTTTTGTAATGTTGTAACTGATACAGAATTCATTGATGGTCTTGAATTGGTCTTCTTCGTCTAGATATGTTCGATTAAAAGATCACTATTAATATCAAGAATATTTTAATTGCCCTAGATGCAAGCAATTTACAAATAAAAATAATATTCAATTTACAATATTAATGCTAAACTACAAAATTGGCATGCTTGAAATGATGAAAAAAATGAAATATTATCTATATTAAATAACTCAGATAGATAATGTGAACATTCCGTAATTTAAATTATTACCAGCTTTTAACAAATACAAAAAAATATAATAAAATACACAAAAGAAAGATATAAAGCAAAAGTTGCTCAAAATTGATTGTTAAAGACTTTCATTCATTTTTTTTCATTTAGATATTGCAGATTTTACTTAGAAAAGTTCTCTCTCAAATGAAATACTGTCAAGTTTGTTTTAAATTGTTAACTTTGGACAATTTGTAAATAAACCTTTTGAATTTGATTAATTGCTGAAATGGTATTTTTTCTGGTAAAGTGTAAGAAAAAGAAAAGAAAAGAAAAATAAATGACATCACACCTGAATAGCACCAACACCCAATCTTACCCTAGATCGGGACACACTGGAACAAACCGATGAACCGATAGAGGATATACTCTCCATACTTCCTGACAGATCTCGAGACATTTTTCTTCCTCCATACGGCATTATTGGAGTTTTTCTGGATTGCATGGGTGGTTCTTTCATAACATTTCCTGGTTTTGCAAATAGTCCATGATCTGGTTCGCACATGAAATATCTGAGGAAAAACAACACGATTATTTTTTTAAAACTTTTATTAAAAATATTATTACCTTTGTCCTTTCACTACTCCATTGTTTTTTCCTAACGGTTGATCCAATTCCACGCCTATCCAAGTTCCATCAGAAAATTGAGTGAGGCCAATGAAACGAACTGTTCCATGTTTTGTTCCAGAAACAATAACTCGATCTCCTATACCATAGTCTAATGAGGACGGCGGGGCGGGAAGCACTGAATCCGTGGGTGTGGTTTTCTCTAAGGGTGGTGTGGCACTACTTGAACTGAGACTAGAAATGGGTTTCGAGTTTGCATTAAACTCTTGACTAGGAAGCTTCCTCACCCTGTCGGCTCTAACAAAAGTTCCTCTGTTTGGATCACACTATTCGGAGATTGAATTAGATAATATTATATTGTATCATGAGAATTCGTGTATATGTATATTTACTTGAAAATATCGAATACCATTATACATTCCATCATGATTTCCATAACATTCATCTAAAACTAGTCCAACTAAGAGACCTTTTGCAAAGCTAGTCTCGCCAATATAAGCGATTTGTCCTTTTTTTCCTTTAGTAGTGATAACACGATCTCCAACCTTTAAATCTTCAAAAGAGTTATCAGAAAAATCCGGTACTTGCGCTTGTGGATCTGCAATTGCAGGTTCTTTAAATTTTGCGATTGTAAATACATGATAAAAAAAATACAGCAACATAATCGTATTAATTCTATGAAATAACAAACCAGGCAAACTTTCTAAGACGTCATTCTCATACTTTGCCAATAGTTTATTTGGTACGCCTGCGGCTCTAACACTCTTCTCAAAAGCGCCTGCATTCAAGACATACGAAATAAGAATATGCGAAATAAGTAGGTTTATTATCGGAAATTGTCGATACAATATAAATTAACTGTAAATCAACAGTTGGTAATGAATTTAAGGGGAAAGTACATTACCTTGTGCCTTAACTGGTCGGGCTAATTTGGAACCTGGCCCGGGTAATTTCGAATTTCTCTGACTCATTTATTTTAAAATTCTGCTCCTCCCTGAAACAAACAATATTATAAATATATTGTGTCGAAACTTGAATAAATATTGCGTAGGTCATATAAATAAAAGGCTTAATAGGGTCTGCAAATCATTACTAAAAACAGATCATTAAAAAACTTGCGATTCAAATGAAAATCAGCATGGGGGAAAGTTGATCATCATAATGTCACAAAGCATCTTTGAACAATGAAGCGTGTCTGCACGTACAAAATCAATAATATACACTTGTACGATGACTCACAACTTGTACATTTTCTAGGGAACTTTGATGTTCTTTTTGAAAACGACATATAATCTAACAGTACTATATAGTCTTTAGCTTTCGATCAACTACAGATATAATAGGAAATCAAATTATCTTACCGTAGGGATATTAAAAACAATATATTAAACGAGGTAAAATGTTAAAAGAGACGCTTAAAATGCAGACAGCGTTCAAACATGAGAACAATCAATATGGCGATATTAGAATGATTCTAAGTCTTGCGTAAAATATACCACTCAATTCTGTACGTTCATTTTCCTTGAGACTTTTTAAAATAATAAAATATTTTTTATTTGCTTATTGATATTTTAAAAAATAAATTATTCTATACTTTCAACTGAAACAATTTTTTTCATCCAGTGTACATCTATTTTGAAAGTAAGTAACAAACATCCGGTCACATGATTTGGAAGTGGAAAGTTGTCTGCTCCACCGTTGTCGCCATATACGTTCTCGCCCCGTAATAGCTTCATTCACAACTGGCAATGATTTAAAAATACGCAGGGAAGATGTGGATCAAACCGTCCTTTACCAGCCATAGTTCCCTTACATTATGGTAAGCATCTCATTTTTTTCTGAAAAAGTACTTGCCCTAAATAAAGTACAAGTAACTTATTGAATCAGCTGTTCGTCAAAAAATTTGCACAGCATTCTCGAAAGTTAGTTGTATAAATTATTTGTTTTTTTACAGGGCTGTGGAACGAGCCAATCCTTATTTTCAGCTTCAAAGAAGAAAGGGTGTAGGTAAGGGGCAAGGATTGAGTGGTTTGTTCGTAGGAACTTTCGACTCTGTTTTTGACTCAAAGGTGAATTATTTATTTAATACTAAATACTAGGTGACGATTAGAATGAAAATAGACTGAGACATTGTGCTTTTATACCCGTATAATTGCTAATTAAAGCGATACATATACTGTATATATGGAGAATAGCTAAATATCATAGTCTTTTGTAATTTAATTTTTTACTAATGTTCTTTGTATGCATATATAGGCACCATCATATCGCATAGTGCGTACTCCTGAGGCCAGTAATAAAGTCATGAGTAAATATTTTAATTAAATATAAGTTTTTACCTAACTAATTCATCTCTATTTTTTTAAGCCATTTCACTCGCTTGGGATAAAGATGAAGCCTATAGTGATTTTGAATGGCTTGAAAAACACCTATTGCCTACAATTGGTATGTTTGGATTGTTTCTTTTTATATTATCAATTTATTCATTCGGAATCATATTTTATTCCATTAAGCCACAATTATTTTGGAAAAGGACGAAGACGTAGCTCAATTTATACAATGTAAAATTGAGAGTATTATTGCTAACTCTCCGACTCAAACACGTCTAGAAGATCCCGACAACTTTACACGCTCAGAATTAAAATTTTTCAAACTGTTCAACATGCCCGATGAAGAGAGATTAGTCATCTGTAAGCGATAAAAATTTATTGAATAATTATATATTATTCATAAATGTTATGTGTTACAGATTATTCCTGCAGTTATTGGAAGAATAAAATACCTAGACAAGGAAAACTGTATCTTAGCATAAATTATTTATGCTTTCATTCATTCTTTATTGGTATAGAGACAAAATTAGTTATACGTTGGACAGACGTTGTAGTATGTATTTTAATCATTCTTTTAGCAGTATCTTTAATTCCTTTTTTGAATCCAACCTTTTCAGGACTTGCATCACGGTGGAAATGTTATTTCCGATTCTCTTAACATATATACTCGAAAAGAAAAAGTAAAATTAAATAAGATCCTTTCACAAACCCTTTCTAATTATACAATAAACAGTACTCTTTCAGAGTATTATTACACGGGGAAGAAACGTACAGATTGTGCGAGCAATTAGCCAACCTGGCAATGAGACAGTAAGAATGCTAACGTTTCCTGAGAAATAATTATAACGAGCTTTATTGTCAGGTTAATGTCCGATGAAGTTTTTCAAAGGGATCGCTCCTTGCCTAAGAACAGGTTTTTTTTTTCGTTTTTAAATATATCTAAGTATACCAGATGTTACAATTTTAAATTTATAGGAGATTAAACTTGAAAGATCAGTCTTCGATAAAACGAGATTTGGATGCTAGAAAACGAAGTGAAACATACAGGTGTCAATTTAATTTACCTGTGGAGGAAAAATTAGACGGTGAAACAGAGTGTTCATTATGGACTCCATATGATAAAAAGAACTCCTCAGGAAAACTGTATATTTCCTCAAGCTATATATGCTTTGCTAGCAAGGTCTGTAGCTTATAAAAAGCAATTTCTTCTTCTTTTTTTTTCCTTAAAAATAATAATCTAATTTATTTATTTTTTTTATGTAACATTTTCTTCAGGTTGAGGATCTTGTTACGTTAATTATACCAATGAGAGACGTGTCGGTTGTGGAGGTGGTTAATAGTAATTCAAATAATCGTGTATTACCCAATGCTTTAGTTATTTCCATAAAAGGCCAAGTAAGTATACAGAGTATTAATTAATTATTATATGAATGGAATAAGACTTTTTCTCCTTTTTTTTTTACTTGCAGCCTAGCATACTAGTTTCTAATTTGATAGATAGAGAGCAGGTTTTGGCGAAAATAACAAATTTTCTGGCGAGCCAAGGTGCCCCCAGAAGGTAGTCTTTTCTCATTTATCGAAATTGCAAATATGATAGCTTTTCACTGTCCTTACAGAATTGATTCACGACCTAATTCCTTTTCCGAAAACGATAGCCAATTGCCGGCCATTGGTGAAAGTTTGTATTGGTTCATTTAAAATTCATAAATTAAACTATATAGTTTAACATTAATATAGGTAAAATTGAATTTCAACCGCAACTACTCAGCAAATTTCCTAAAGTACTCGATGAAATAGAGTTGGCTTTGGAGAAAAAAAAAATAAAAGAATGGGATAGATTATTTGCAGATTATGGACGAGGAATAACCATGTATAGGGTTCACGAAGTTAGACTAGCAGTCTTAAAAGGCTTACCGGAAAAGTATAGAGGTGAATTGTGGATGGTGTTTTCTGGGGCCATTAACGAAATGGCAAACAACCCTGGATACTATGAGAGTTTAGTAGAAAGATTTATGCATACTGTAAACGTAGCTACAGATGAAATTGAACGCGATCTGCATAGATCACTTCCTGAGCACACTGCTTTTCAGTCAAACATTGGTATTGACGCTTTGCGTCGTGTTTTAAGAGCGTACGCATTTAGAAATCCTCATATTGGATATTGTCAAGCCATGAATTTGATTGCTGCCGTATTGCTCTTGTACGCAAGTGAGGAGGAAACATTTTGGCTCCTAGTTGTTCTATGTGAGAGAATCTTACCGGACTATTATAATACGAAAGTAGTTGGTGCTCTTGTGGACCAGAGGGTATTTAGCGATCTTGCTAAGGACCACATTCCTGAAATCCATAATAAACTGGACGATTTAGGCTTACTCAATATGGTTTCGCTTTCGTGGTTTCTGACACTGTTTATAAGCGTTATGTCTTTTGCTGAAGCAGTCAATATAATGGACTGTTTTTTCTACGATGGAGTTAAAACTTTATTTCAATTCGCACTAGCTATTCTTGAATCGGTAAAAGACGAACTACTCGCATGTAAAGATGAAGGAGATGCTATGACCGTTTTGAACGATAAGTTCCGATGCATTGTCAATTGCCATACTGAACACAGAGTTAAGGAGGTTGAGAAGAGAATCTACGTACGTCTTAAAACTTTTACTGTTTATTAAACATAATTTATATGCTTCTTTCAGATAACGGAGTTAGTTGATTCGGCTTATAGACAATTTCAGACTCTCACGAATAATCGAATTTTCAATTTGAGATCTAAACATAAAATTAGTGTCGTTCAAAATTTGGAAGAGATTTCCATGAAAAATGTTATACGTAGTGTAGCGAAATGTACAAAATTGGAAAATGAAGCTCTTGAAGAAGCTTTTATTGTTTTCCGCGAAGAGTATGTTACATCTAAATTCTATAGAACTGATCCACGACCTGCAATAGATATATTAGATAAATTTGATCCTCAAAAACCGTATTATGAACATTACAGAATAGAATACGAAGCTTTTTCTGCAATATTTGTTGGTGTAACACCGTGGGGAATGTCTGAAACCGGACAGGATTTGTCACTCAAGCTCTTTCGATTGCTTGATAGCAGAAAGAGTAACCTTATTAATTTCAGAGATTTTGCCTGGGCTATGGGCATTTTAAGCTCAAATGATCCAGTGGCGAAAATAAAATTACTATTTAGAATGCATTTACCACCAGCCTTTAGATTTGAAGATGGAACAACATTCGAGAAATCTTTCCTCTCGCCTACATCTTCTATCGGTAGGTTTGTCGAATTTCTTTTGAAATTCCACATGAATTTTATTTTCGTTTAGCTATTCTAGATGATGGAGTTGAAGCAGAAAATTTTTTCTCCGGTGAAAGTAAACCTAAAACCGCTGTTAATCCTTCAGACCTGGTAGTAGATAAAGAAAAGAAGGTAGAAGAACCTCTATCACCTCTGAACCAAGTAAGAAGTGTTTTGTGCGATAGTACACTTGTATTTTTGTTAAATTTGTCATTTATTCACAGCCACAGTTTATTGAACTATGTAGAATACTTTATGCTCTGGTGAACAGTAGCACATCTGGAAGAGAAGATCAAGAATTGTATCACGCCGTAGCAAATTTTAGTTCCGTAATTCTTCGACTAGGAGAAGAGGAAAAGAAATTGGGCCGCTCAGTATCAACTTCATCTGGTTTGACTTCAGCTTTGAATGACAATGGAGATGATCTACCGAAAAGAAGACACAGTTTGACAGAAGCAGATCTAGAATGGAGAACCACATTCAAACAAGTCTTAGCCTCAATTTTAAACGAAGAAAAGTTGAACGAGTACTTTTCATCCGGATTCAACCTAACCAAGTATATTGAGGACTATCGGAAAAAATCAGCAAAGTTTCCTGTTTAAAAAATATATATTTTGAAATAGTCTGAAAAGTTTGTGTTGAATATTTGTTTGAGGGAAAAAATATGTAAAGGGTCGAAAACACAAAATGGAAAAAAATAAATAAACACAATATGTGCTTTTTGAAAACCAGTAAACGTAAATTAACAATTTGTAACATTTTCATAAAGGTCTATATGTCATTTGGAATATGAGAAAGTATAAACATTAAAATGTAGATGATAAGACATAGTTTTTTCGATAAATTTTAAATGGGAAATAAAATAAGTTTATATTCATTTTGAAAAGATCTTTTGATTCTTTTCTCCCTTTTGAAACAAATTGCAGTTGCTGCTTCCAATATAGATGCTGGTACGAACTTGAATATTTTGAATCACGTGCTAGAGTAGGCTGTTTCCAATTGGCTTGTAACTGAACACGTGATTATCCACTATATTATTTTGTTGATCATTTTCTCTTTGGAGTCTCCGTTGAGCAGGATGGTTGACCGTCAAGATAGCAATCAAATTCTGAAACCTCCAACTCCACCTACAGTAATTATTATTAACTTTAGTTTCGGGTTGGCTAACTAGACTCTTTTCCTATATAGACGATGGAGGAGGATAGAGATTACGAAAATTGCGGTTTACTTATAGAAAACTATTCCACCGATGAGAAGTTGGGAATGATGACTGAGAATCGAAAACTATGTCAGCTGAAAGAGGAATCCAGAAATCAACCGATCCAAAGTGCCCCACAAAATTGTGTAGCAATTAAACAACAACCGAAACAGTCTGAGCTTGTGGTTGGTCCTCCTCCGATGTATTTTCTTCAGGAAAATAGAACAACAGCTGCCAACCTAAGACAACAACGACTCAGATTGGAGCGTATCCGCGCGGCTAGAATGAGTATCAAAGATCTTCGCGAAAGCGTTATGAATACAAAGGAGAAGGTTATCCTTTTCCTCAGTGTCGTAATTATTACTTTTACTGTTGTACTTGTAACGTTTGTTCTTTCTACTCCCATTTAACTTGTCATTTTGATCCTATTTTTGTCATCTTAATCCTAAGTAGTAGGTTTTCTCTATTTCTACTAATGTACATTCTAATGTTCAGCTTGCATTTTTGTCTTCAACGAACAAATCAAAACCTATCTAAATACTATCTATATTCTTTTCTTCTCTCTTTTTTCTACGTACATGTTACGTATCGTCTTATATTACTAAATGACAAATATCACAATTGTGCGAAAGCGCCCTTATCTTTTGATATCCATATTAAAATGAAATCAAATTAAAGTAATTAATAAACTTTATATAGTTTGTAATTTTATTTCACCTTATAATGCGGGGTTTGTAAAATATATACTGTATATGAGAATGTAGTTCAAAAACAAACTTTACAAACCTTAATAAAGGTAATTAATAACCTTTTAAGAAAATTATTACACGTGCAAACAATCTGTCTATTCACTTCTTGCAAACTTAATATCACAAATAAATTTTCTTCAATAAATATTTCGTTTAAATAGCATTATTTGTAACAGTAAATTAAAAATATACGGTGGGGAATATAAGATGAAAAGTGAGAGAGCGGATAGGCAACTTTCATCATTTTTTCGTCTTTGGTGAGAGAAAAAATTCTCTCAGCAGGTTTACTGGAAATAAATTTCGTCTTTTGCACCATCGCGTTATTTCGTGGGTGGAAAGCATCCCGCCGAAGAAGACTATTAGGAAAAGACCGTTTTCTGCGAAGAGAATCAGCAGCACTTCTGAGAAAATTATAAACGATAGAACCTGTTTGAAAATAATTAATTAAAATTATACATTAACTCTTTGCACATTATCTCATATCATGTTCAACAAAACTAACTTACTTTGACCATCAATATTATCATACTTAATCTTCTTGCTCTCATTTTGTTCAGTAGACTATTTCAACTTCCAGTCACGTGGTTTAAAACTGAGCTCTTATTATACGGAACAGAGAATTTTCATTGGATACTAATGCACTTTGAGTAGATTACACTGGTAAAATATTCTATATTTCAATATACTGATTCTAGCCTAGACATGAGTCTTGTTAGTAGCTTCGTCATATCATCTTATGTAATAATAATACATAGAAAGCAGTCGTAATTTATGATAAAATATTACTGAAGTTATTAGAATAAGAAGAATTAGTCTTTCGTTCATTCATTTCATTATAGTTATCTTTCTTTAGTCCTTTCATTCTTTCTCTCTTTGTCCTATTCCTCCTCTCTGGCTGTAAGAACACGCCATAGATAAGCTGAGAAACTTTCGTTTGATCTTGAAGCTTCCCACCGAATGTAATAATTAAAGATAATATTGATTATCAAAATGATCACTGATATTGCAATAAACATAACTTGATTTACTGGAAACTCTTGTATAACGATCATTCTACAGGATATTGTAACAAGGAAGAGCTGTATTTGAAGATGATAATACGTTAATGAGTAGAAAGGAGAGAGTGTGTGTGTGTGTGTGTGTGTGTATGTATGTAAGAGAGAGAGAGAGAGAGAGAAGTAAAGATAGATAAGGAGAAAAGAAGGGAGGCGGAGAAAGAAAAGAAGAAATAAAAGAAGGGAAAGAGATATATATACAGCTAAATAGATACATTTTCCTTTATTAAGTAAACAAACTTTATTTATTTACCAACCTCAAAGAGTACTTGAGAATTTATCATCCTGATTTCAGTCATTGGAATTTTAGCTAAAAGGGCGACTGCATAGATCTGCAATTGAATATTTTGCATTTTTCAATTAATTAAACTTTAAATTATTAACTTATTTTCTCACTTCAACTAGGAAATGAATATTCCCTTTTGGATTCAATCTGAAAGCGTAGTAAATGAGCATCGTTAAACAAACGTTCTGTAACAAATGTAACGTTTACGATTAGACAAACGCCTTAAATATTTGATCCTGCTTTATTACTTGTAGAAAAATCTTTAACATTATTAATTACTTATGAGATTTACAATCAAAATTCAAAAACTTTTCACCGTTATCTTCAATGACAAACCGGAAATTTGACTTGAATATAATTAAAATCACGTGACCACTGTTACAAAACGATGATTGGCTTTAAGATAAGAACATTGAAAGCGTATCGTCATTATGGAATCTGTTTGCAAATGGCGTTCTAGAATTTTAAAATAATAGCATTTGTATAATACTTAAAATCAACGTTCTAAGACGATAAACAAGCTTTAAAAGTCATAATATGTATTCCTTAATAGATAAGAAATGTAAAAAAGACTTAAGGCTAACTGTTAATCAAATACTTCATGAACAAAATCAGAAATTAAAAGAGACATTAATCTTCTTTTTCGTGTTTCTTTACATAAAATAGTTCAAGATTTCATTGAAAGGTACTATCAGCTGAAAGAAGTAAAGAGCTCGAAAAATGTACTTTTCCGGGAATCCTCTAGTTATCATAATCAGCATAATTACCGAGATGCAAATCTAAAGGTAAAACAATAGATTACTATAATAAAAAGTATATAAATAGAGTATAAAAAAGAAAATCCGTTTTTTTTACCGGCTGAATCAAACGTCTTTCAACTTCCAATATTCGCATCAAAAATCCTAAGAACATTAGGAAAAAAAGGAGCTAAAACAAAATTCATTTTATTAATTAAGCTTTAATGATTTAAAATCATTTAAAAATAATTAAATATTACCGGTATGGGGTTAACATTTTCATAAAATGCCCAATATGGAAATGTCATGATTGTTACTTTTTTATTACGTTTATTTCAAGTGCCGGAAATGGGTCTTCAAAATAGAATCACGTGACATTTTGTAACATTTTCATTGGTTTTAATTTCGCGCCTGTAATAAATATGGAAAGTTTGTTTTTTTTTCATAATATAGCTAATCTGAATAGCAAAAAAAACTAATTGGACCGAAAATAAACTTGTATTGTTACAATGATTATTAAGTAATTATTATACGAACTGTATAAGAACGGCAGCGTAATATAAATTTTGGCCCCTTCATAAATACCGCAACGTTGAATTACGAATAGGATTATTGTTTAAATTGAAATTGAAATGTATTATAAATGACATATTTTAATTCATTTATTTCCAGTTACACCATAAACCTTTCTGATAAATTATTTCCATCCTTTAATCGAATACCTAAGGCCGGTATAGCAGTCAATCTACTTGAGATAATCATTAACAATTTGCTTTAGTATTGGATTAAAAACATAAACAGGAAAAAAATGTATTTTAGGCTATTAATTAAAAATAAAGATATTATATTATATATATATATATATAGTTACGATTGCGTTTAGAAAGTTTAAAAACAATAATTTCAACGAAATTTTAAAAATACATAGTATATCAGGACAAATACACCAACAAGTATAAGAATAATATAGCAAATTAGTTTTCTATTTGTTTTTGTTGCTTCCATCATGTTTGTCAATCTTTTTCTACCACCACCAATGAGACCTATGGAACTTTCAAAGTCATCACCCTAGAAGAAATAACAATAGAATTTTACAAGATGGCAAGTATATAAAGAACGGATGGCGTATGAATACAATCTATTAAGTTTACTGATCAAAACAAAAATTTTTCATAAATTTAAATTATTCCAAAGTGATGATGGTACTGCTCGATATTAAGTAATTACTTTACATTTAGCAGTAATTTATTCTCACATTTAATAAAAAGTGACTTAATGTAAATTTTAAAGCTGTTACCACGTTTGCTTAGCACAGAATATATTTAAGAGAATATTCTTTTTTAAGAATATTTTATTTTTAGATTATGTCCTTCGTCTTTAATTAAAAACAGCTTTAAACGTTATTATTAGTATATTACAAACGTTCTGACATAGTTAATGTAGTCTTACCATATCTGATATATGCTTGTCTTGGTCAGTAACCTCATTTCTAATATCTCCGACAATCTGATATCAATTCGAAATTATTATTTAACAACAATAGTTATATTTATAAAATGTAAAATTTATTCAGGATTTCTGCTTACGTTTTTCAATAAACTTGCTTTAGACGCTAATTCTTCAGTTCTTAATTGATTTTCTCTGTCTAAAACTTCATCATAATTCACTGAAACGGAATACTCTTCTTAAAGCATGCATTATCGCTCAGAAACATTAATACTTCTAAACAAAAAATTAAAAGAAATTTTTCAAGAAATTTTTTCCATTCAAAGTATCAATCATCTACCAATTATAATTTAAATTGTCATTAATTTAAGTATTTCGCAAACTCACTGTCAGTAAATATAAAATTCGTATTCTCCAGTTACACAATATTCAATATCACGCAAAACATACGGCATCAAAACTGGTATATAGTTCAAACTTCTGATGTAGTTATTACTTAGTGTTGCCTTCAAATTACAAGATTGATATTCAAATATTCATCCTCAATTATTAAATAGGGGTAAGAATTTCAGTTTTATTTTCTATAATTTAAACAATTTCTCAACTATAACAAACAGGTTCATTTTTACCGTCAAAGTAAAGTTCATCGAACTTTAATCAAGACGGTTCTAATCAAATCTTTAAATCATTTGTCCCTTAAAGACAGTAAATAATCAACGATTTTCTCTGACTGAAGATAAAACATTTAAACGACAAGAATATATGAAAATAAATAAATATTAAAGCTATATCATAACAATTCGATCCATTAATTACTCAAAAATAATAAAATCATTTTGCAAATAAATAAATTAACGAGTTTTCTTCAATCTACGCAACTGAGCGTAAGCACCAATAAGAAAGAATAACATAATCAATGATATTCCACAAAAATTTCTCCATAGATCCCAAGTAGTTTCATAACTTATTCCTTGTCCACGTAGCCACGGATTTCCCTTGGTGCTGTATAATTTTTATTTCCTCTTTCTATTAAAGATATCGAAGTTATATTTAAATAAAATACTCACCATACCTCCTCTTCTTGATTGAGATCTAGAACAGGTACTTTTCCCAGATCCGTTGATTTTACTATACTACAATATTCTTGATCTTTTATCTCATTTATTGAATACCACTGAAAGGAAACAGTATGATATTCACATTATTTGAAAAAAAAATAAAACAATGATCTACCTACATTCATACTATAACGAAATATGGATATATGTTGTATCCATCTTAACCAAACGGGAATAGTTTCAATGTTTACTAACAAACCGCTATATACCATCATTGTAACCCAAACCATTGAAGTTAGAAGAGTACCAACTGTATGATTCTGTTAAAGTAAAAAAATTTCGATAAATATCAATGTTGCTATTGTTGCATAATTGCAAAAATTTTACTTACAGTAACCGATGCAGACCAAAACATAGCAACAGAACAGGCCGAGAGACTCGTAAATAAAGTATTCCAGACAAAAGCGAAGAATTTTACAGTTTCATTTTGAAAGCCTGATAAAAAAAGGAATCAAATACAAACTAAAGATCTAATAAAATATATTATATATATACTAATATATACTGTACAATGTACTGAATATTTGATATATATATATATATATATAGTATATACTGTATATACTGCATATGTAACGTATAAATATTAGATTATAAATACATAACTTTAAAATTCTTGCTAAAGGCTAATAACTTTCCTAAAAGAAATTTACAAGGTAAAAGTAGGACAGATAATGTTATACTGAGAATAGTTTGAGGGTTATTGAATTATCCTTGACCGCTCCTGAGTCTTTGATATAAAAAATCCTTTCTTTGATAGATTAAAGAGAAAGGAGAATCCTTATGATCTAGTTTTTCATTTAACCAGCAATAATTAGCATATCTATTCTTATCGTATAATGAAAAATGATATTTGCAAATAAGCTTAACTTCTTGAGAGTAAAACATTCTTTTTAAAAAAAAACACTAAAACTTTTTTACCTATGAAGAAAACAACTGTATCTTTTGGCCAAAATTACAAAAAAAAAAAAGAAATTATCCTAACGAGAGTCTTTTTTTAAACTAATAAGAATAAAGTTCACTGACACAACGAGTTAAAATTTAATTTGAACTAAAAAGAAACCTGTTCAAAGGATTTAAAAAAAGGAAAAAACATAGAAAATTAGACTAGTAATTCAATAGATAGAATACCTTGGTATATAATTACTTTCATTTTAATATTTCTATGCATAGAGTAACAATATAATTATAATAAACCTTATAAAATGTGAGAAGATAATAGAAAGAAGCGGTAGGTATTACTACTCCATCTATCGTTTATAATTATACTAACCTATAGTCCAGTAAGATATAAAACTAAATACCAGAACCGATGCCAATTTAATGGGTAATACTTCGCAAAAAAATTTTGATAAAAAGTATACCGAAATCCGGTAGTAACCACTTGTTGATTCATGTCTAAATAAAATAAACAAACGTTTATATATACAGTATATATATATATATTAGATTAAAAATAATTTTCTATATATAAACAATGGTTAAAGTAAATCTATTTATCATTATTTAATTGAATTAACTGAATTGTAACTCTGTATAATCGAAATTTTTTGTTCCGGTGAAAAATTGCTTTGAGAATTTTTGTAAACATTAATAACCTTTTGTCTCTTATAGTAAATAATGATAATTATAAAAAGAATTTACATGAATTGAACTCTGTCCTTCAAGAATAAACCAACAACGGCCATATTACCAAAAACATAATTCATAACAATGAAAAAGAAAGCACCATATCTATTCTGAATGGCGGACGTACGTGAAGAATCAACTTGATAGTATATACATCCTACTATCAATGCAAATATCACAGCTGTAAATACGTGAGCCCTATTGTAATAGAGAAATTTCTTAGAAAATTATAAGAATTTTTGTTGTTATTTAAAGTGGTGAAAAAGTAAACTTACGAGAGAACATGTGGATTCAATAACACAACTTTTAAGGTTCGTTGGGAAACAATAGCAAATTGCGTAAACACTGATACTGGGTAATCTTCAACTTTCGTTTTAGACTTGATACCTATACTTTTTACTTCGCTCTCCAGCTCTTCTAAGATTCTGAAAGGAAAAATATCGATAGCTGAAATTATAAAATATATAACAAATGTTTTATGCAATCTTACTGGAAATGGGAAGTTTGAATTTTTGGATCGATAGAAATCAAAGGTAATGCATCTTCGTCAGCTTCACTTTTTAAATCATCTAATTATCAATTTAGCTCTTTAAGTAAATAAAACTTAATCATTTGGCTAACAACACAACTCACCATCTAGCATACCGATAGGATCACCGATAACGTCCATAAAAAAATCACATGGATTCTCAAAACTACCGCAATGATAACCTACATACAAATGAAAGTATATTAGACATAATCATTATTCGTAGGTCATTCTTTTTTGAATGATTTCTGAAAACAGATGTTTTCTTTTATCCTGACCTTTAGCTTAACCTAATTTGGCTCATATAACAGATTTTTGGATATATTATACGTTGGGTGTAGCTCGTTAATGCACTCATTAAACAGATATATACATATATACATATATTCAATGTCTGAAAGAGAACGCTACTAAATAGTCACTTGAAGGAATACAAAAGAAGGAAAACAACTGGCATTTACAGAGAGATTTCTCACGAATTAGAAAAGTGGTAAAATAAATCTATGCATAATCATTTTTCTCTTCGACCCTTCAAAGGAATTGTTACGACTTGAAATATGATTTTTCGATTAATCTTAATTATATATAACACTCTTAATCCTTTACACCTTTTTTTCACCTGTCATCTAGACTATTTCAAACGCTTTAAAATTCTTTCACTGAATTCCTCATACCAGAATGATTGATAATGTTGTTGAACAATGGATAAGCATAATCACCACTGTTAAGCTAATTCTTGACTTGTCTACCATAAAATAAGTCTAAAATATATGGTAAATAACAATATACGACAACGAAGAACAATTGTCAAAGCAGTTTTAAGTATATGTATCAAAGCTAAGTTAGCGTAAAGAAAAAGGAAAAGAGCATATCCTCAAGATAATCTCCTACAGATCGGCCGATAGAGGAAAATGGTTATTTGCCTTTTCATTAATTGTAAATGAGGGGTAAAAAAATGGAATATTAACATCTTTCCATCAAAATAAACATTTGGTTGACAGCTATTGACCGTAATAGACAGCAAAATAAGTACAGGGGAGTGGTAGATTCTTTTGACGGCAAATGAAAAGATCCTTTCTATAGTCCAATAAAGAAACTAAGAATTTACGAAAATTGTAATTATTATACCTTTTTAAAATAATAATAAAAAAAAAAAGACCAGAGAGATGAGTAAAAAGGAAAAATTAACTATTACGACTCTATTACTGCTATTTATATAATGCTAGACAAAGATTACTCCAAGACTTAGATGATATCGTAGTCTCATTTAGAAATAATCGGAAAAAAGTTGAAGAAATATTTAGATAATTTTTCTTTTAGAGTAGACACATTTAGCTTACCCAACTTTCCAAAATGGCTAACTGTTTCTTGTGGTGGACCATTATATATAGATTGGCCTTCTTGTAGCATATAAAGCCAATTGAACATTTCAAAAATAGCATATCTAGGTTGATGAATGGACAATATTATTGTTCTGCCATCCTCACTTAATCTATAAATAAAGATTTATTCGAAGAGTTAAGATTTTTCTTAGGAGTATATTTTATAATCACCGTTTTAAGCAATTAACCACAGATCTGGCCATATGTGCGTCTAGACCAGTTGTTGGTTCATCAAGGAACAGAAAAGAAGGAGAATTAATTATCTCTAATGCTATTGATGTTCTTTTTCGTTCTCCGCCAGAAATTCCTCGATTAATTACCGTTCCAACCTTGAAATATTGTATCGCTTTGTAACTTTAGCCATTATTTTGAAGGAAATTACTGTAATTACCTTTACGTTTTGACAATGCGAAAGACTAAGATCATCAACTATACGATCGATATAATTTTGCTTTTGCTGAGACGTAGTTCCTTTTGGTAGTCTAAGAGATGCAGAGAAGGCTATATTTTCCCGCACAGTTAGCATATCCATTAAAACATCGTCCTATGGAATATGAGTAAATCTTAATTTAGTAGGTTTAATCACGTCTGATAAACATTTAATTTAAGTAAAATTTATTGACATTGAAAATAAAAACACGCTAATCATTTCGTCTAACATTTTATTTAGTCATTAAGATCGTTAATGGGCTACTAATTAACCAAAGGCCAAACCTGAATCACATAACCACTCTTCAAGCGGAAGTCGGGTGGAAGTGGTCGTCCATTAACTAATATATGTCCATCAACGTTGCCCAGATCTTTTCGACCAGACAATATATCCAATAAACTTTAAATAAAGGCGGAAATTTTTAAAATATAAGTTTGTTCACTTTTGAAAATAAAATTAAAATTACGTTGATTTCCCACTACCACTCGGACCCATAATTGCAGTTAAGCCAGGCTTAAATTTGCCACTGTAAAAGTTAACAAACAGATTATATTGTTTAATTAAGGATTTGTCAGTTAAACCTTAAATTGTTGAGTATAAATTTTTGTTGAGATTTTCCGCAACATCGACGATCAGTCTTCACACTGGCTGTGCAGTTTAAACGATGAAAACTAATGGTACCATTTGGTTTTTCAAATTCAACTGCATCATCAATCAGCTGTTCAATTTCCAGTGATAAATGACTGCAGTTATTTTGATTTTCCCTATTATCGCATTTAGACGTCAGATCATTATTTTCAATTTCATTTTCATCCGATTTTTGGTGGCTTTCATCTCTCGTCTCAGCCATAATAGTAAAACACTGCAGCTACGATTGTAGATATACGTGTTCAAGAAGGATAATTGGTCTAATTCTGATAAGATTACACAATCAAGGGGCGAGTTTTAACTCTGCGAAACTATCAGAAAGTGAACAAATGCGGTGTCCATATTTGGCGGGAATGGGGGGCAGACCGCTTTGTTTGCTCTTCTTTGTGTTGATAACCCTTTTTAAAAAGTCGATATTTTTTTGTCGAAGATTATGTTCCTCATCAAAGTTGGCTTAATTAAAAATTGTATTAATAGTAATATAAAAAAAATACTATTCATAAGACATCATCAAAAGCCAAATAATAATATTGACGTTGACAAAGAGTTCTCCACCTATAGAACAGGCTGCTTCATTAAAAATATCTCGTTTTTTTCGTATTCATTTAACATTACGCTTACGAAACAATGAAAAAGTGAAACTTCCTTTCTGACAATTTGAGAGTAGCGTTTTTTGTCAATTAAGAATAAAAACACGCATTTTATTTAGCAATTTTTATACATTTGTTGATTTCATTTACGTATTTTTGCAGATTTCTTTTACTGATTGAACTTAAAACAATTTAAACAACTTCCGATTTAGTTTTGACCCTTTCACAAATGCAAAACGGGAAGGAAGGAAAGGGGAATGGCTTTTCTTTATAAAGAAACATTTATTGATAAATTCATCGAATTCTTGTTGAAGCAGAATGGAGATCACCGACGAGTGCACCCATTTCCGACGAGGCGTACAGCGCATTCAATAGGATATATTACGAATATGTAATACCCCAATTGAAATCGATAATCTCTGTTGTTCGATCCACTCGAGATTGATGCTAATCCGAACAGAACTAGAAATATGTTCTATTGAAATTTTAAAATTCATCTCCTTTATAATGTCTATTCATTGTTAAATCGAAAATACTCACTCTATGAAATTTACGTGGATCGATAGCATTCTGACGAAGAAAGAGAGCAACGAACAAACCCAAATACATTATCTAAAAAAGAAAAGAGAACATGGTAAAACGATCCACAAGCTTTAAACCTCTCATATAAAACAAATAACTAACGGCCATCAGAAATTCCCGACGCGAAAATTGAAGTTCTTTCGAATTGTGTAACAGATAATGCATTTTTCCTTCCTCAACTCAAAATAATGAGATATTTTACTTTAGATGAAGACTTGTGTGTATGTGTTTTTATTTTTTTGAGAAACAGCACGTAGTCACGTGATCTCTCCCAATGATAATAATTGGTTTGTATTTTTTTTATCCTTAGCGAAAATCTATGTCTAGTTTTCTTACCATTATCGTTTGACGGAGCATTTTTTAATTAAAAACTAATAAGTACTACACTCTAAGCAGGATCAAATATAACGCGAAAGATATATTCAACAGGATACATTATTGTCACGTATTGCATTATCAAATAGGCAATTCTCTTGTCAAACTCCAAATAGATACCACCGTAACAGAGTACGAAGAACACGCACTATGGGAAATAGACGATAATTAGGTTATTGATAAGAATTTAATTAATTGATTATTTACCCTGTGGAAAATGCGAACGTTCACGCTAAATTTTCTAAGGAGATAGGCGCAAATCAACGAGAGAATGAAGATCTAGAAGAATTCATGACAAAGATTTTGTTTTGCAGTTGTACAAGTAAACTTTCCAGTATGTATACCTTACCCTAATACTACTCATTTGGATGGAGGCACATAATATCGAATTAGCCACCGACATTATATCAATATAAAGCCAAATACTATCATTCGAACGCAATCTCGAGTTTAGGATCTTATAAATCTCGTTATAGAATCACGCATGTGCAAGATGCGTCATTTAGTCAAAGCAATTGGCGCCAAAGCGTATTTGTTCATTGTTCCAGTAGACGTCGCTACCAAAAGATAGAAACATGACCGTTTACCAGAATGTAGCGAAAGTGATTCACATTGCAAACATTGATAGCAGAGATAGCCGACCAACGCACTCCTTAGGGAGGAGGAGAAATCACTTGATAACGATGGTGTCCAGTAACTGTAACTAAAGAGGGCATATATTACAACGTCTAATATCATAATTAATAGAGTAATATAGATATTAAAATTACTTTCGTTATCGTTTTGGCAAAATGTTTTGAATTAAATAAAAAACAAAATGGAAAAAAATGGATACATGTGAAATCTTTCCTAATAATTTTATAATCAATTTAGACACGCCAAGATAAAAACAATGGTTTAAAAAGGTGAAAATTTGCGAAGAATCGCAAGTATTTACTTTTTTTTTTATTAAAAAAATTGTTTTTTTAGGCGTATAATGGTTTCTATCAATAGAAGGTGGCGAAATGATAGTAGAAAATGGCGATAAAAAAGTAATTAGATGCTAAATGGAATAGAAATTTCTTTTAATCGCTTTAAATAATAAAAATTACAATTATCGAATGATGTATTTAAATGGAAGGGATAGGAGATGAGAGATTAGCATCCCTCATTATTGGTAAAATATATATTCGTATTGTTCATTTCCATATTGATGTCGCGATCAAGATTAAAGTTCCGGGAAATTATTATGCCTTACCAAGGGAATTGGTTGACATCCCTTTAGGGACTCGTTGATAACAAACAATACTACGTTTTGAATAGAATATTCGTCACTTCCTTTGATTAAGAATTAATGTGTCTTTTAAATCAGGGGAGAACACTTTTCGTTTAATTCCTTGTCGTTGTTTTTTTTTTTATACTAAATAATATCACATTCTCGTTAAAGAGTGAAAGATAACAATATACCAGTTGTCCTTGAGACAAATTCTGCATGGCTACATGTCAGTTTCAATTAAGTATATTTATATATATATATACATATATATATTTAAATATAGAATAAAAAACAATGTATACAGTATAGAGAATAATAAACGAAAGAGCTTTATTAAACGAGAATCCCTTCTAATATTATCTTATTAATTAAGAGTCGTATTACGTTCAATAATTCAAAAATAGACTGATGGTTATCTTACATGACTGAAAGTAGTAAATTAATAGTAAAACCAATACAGTATAGGCTAAAATTTCGCGAGTTTAATATGCATAAACACTGCATACGATATTGATGAGAAAATGGAATGAAAAGAGAGGGTAGGGGAAAGATTGCTTGGCAAGGAATTACAGCCTATCAAAAAAAAGGCTGTGTTAACAAGTTTACTAATTACAACGATTAAATAACAAAATTTGTTATTTAGATAAATATTTCAAATTGTGTAATTTATGTTTAGTATTTTTATTGTATTACTTTCCTTTTGATATTGTTTGCCATGTTGCATAATTGTAATACTATATCCTGGTCTCTATTGTTTGTAGGCGTTGGGTTTTTTTTGTCAGTCTTTACTAAACTTGAAACTATTTTGAGTTTACTATCAAATTCGCTGCATTCTCTTAAAAGTTGCTACAATTTTCTAAATATCATATAAATAAGATAACAGCGAACATAGGGCTAACTTTTGGAAAAAGTCCCAAAGATTTGTGATAGAAAGGTTAAAAAAAAGTCTTACTGTAGAAAATGCTGATTAACAATAAAATATAATCAAAGCCAAAAAAAGAGTAAGGAATAGAAAGATAAATAGTATTGTTTGTCAATAATAAGAAAAGAGAAAAGCTAGGTATCTTGCAGGGCTGACGTCAAACTGAAAATATTCTTTTTCTTTTTCTCTCCAGTTGGAAAGCGAGACAGAAAGGAAAAGAAGGGATTTCTTGTAAAACTTTGTTTAAACTTAATAAATACAGCAACTTATCAAAACTCTAATAATAATAATAATAATAATACAGTGTATCGTGTTTTATTTAGGGAACATGGAATACGAATAACAAATAATATGTGTAGTAAATAGCTGCAAATTGTTTACGAATTACTTAAATAAGTCTTTTATTCCTGTCAAAAACTTCTCTTTAGCTATGATTAAATGCCTATTAAATAAGTGTATAGAACTAAAAATAATATTTTACCTTCGGATTACTAGCCTAATTTGGGAAATTTTCAACATATATACTCATTTCTTTATTCTTTACTACAATAGAATTTTGTTCTATTCATTTTAATCTTTTCTTAATTCTTTTTTATCCAGTTTTTTCTTCTAAAATATTATATTCTCTTCTCTTCTTTTTCTTCTTTTTTTTCTTAAAGTTTGTAAAGATTAAAGTTCTAAATTAAGATACATATATATATATATATATATATATATATGTATCTTTTATTTATGTATTTATTCCTCTATCTTTGCTTGTCTCCTTCTCTCTCTCTCTCTCTCTCTCTTATAATCTTTAGCTCTCTAGTTTTTTCGCTCTCTCGCTCTCTCTTTGTAGAGGATACCCTATTGGACTCTTAAGTATATACAGCATTTTTTTGTAGCTAGAGTGATTTATTTCCAACTTACGTACGTATAAGAAGGCAATTTTTGTCAGTTGTATAAATATAAACCTATATAATATATGATGTACGAAAAGCCTTTTTTCGGTACGTTATAATATACGCGTATACATTTCCATTCGACATTGAGACCTGGCTTAGGACGGACCAGAAAGAAACCAACTATACAGAACACACTTGAATTATGTTGAAAGGAAGATTTAGAAAAAATTCAATCATCATTTATTCAACAATTTAAAAGGTAAGCAAGGTTACTTTTTTACTTTTTGTTCTCTTTTTCCCGTTTTTAATTATTTTACACATTTCACGATTCGGCGGGAAAGTATTAGATTTCTTTTCTTGTCCATTCGTTCATGGTTACTCTATGTTTTCTTTTCTATTTCCTACATTCTTATCAAGCAATCTTAGCTAAATGCTATAATATTACAATCAGTTTTATAAAAATTCAGCATCTTCGTGCCGCCATCTACCGTTTTTTTAAGCACATTTCTCTTTCTATTTTTATATTATACTTAGACGGCGCCCCCTATTAAGAAGATTAATGACTGTAGGCTATCGAGTTGAAAATTGTTTGCTGAAGTAAATGAAACATGAAATTTAAAAGTTCTCACTGAGAAAGTTGATAACGACAACGGTTGGTGAAAATGGTTAGAAAATTATACACGGTACTAGAGGGCAAATAGTCTTCCACAATGAATTCATTCTTCTACGGAATGAACTTTCACGTAACAGTCAATAATTCGCTTTCGATAAGAATGATTGAACGGGTAGGAAAATTACCGTTTGAATGACAGAATTTTAGAGAGAAAGAGAAAACGAGGGCATGGAAAGAGAGAGGAGCTTCAGGAAAAGTGAATGAATTTTCTTTATTTGAGAGTGGATGTGTAAAGGGGAATTTTTATAGGTAGTATATAGTCTTTATAATATATAAATATAGAATAGCCAATAAACACGCGCTTCGAGAACGAAGCAGCAATCGAATTAATTACATATTTTCTCATTTGATTTGATGCGATTGTCTATAGCGGTAACTAAAAATAGACCGATTCTGGCAGTTTTCCATCTAATCAGTGACACCGTTCTAAACACCGGGCTTATTTTACAAGCTGCTCGATTATTTTGTCAACGTTGAATAATTCAGAAAAAAAGTATAAAGATAAAAAACGACGTAAAACTGTAAACGAATGTGTAGAGGAGAGCGAGAGCGAAAGAGAGAGAGAGAATGAAAGGGTGAGAGATAGACAGAAAGAAAAGAGGAAGAGAAAGAGAACGTAAGAGGAGTCGAAAAGTAATGAAAAAAAATACATTTTGTGCGAGCGAGTAGCGCTAAATTTTGCGCCTGTTCGTATTTTCGGTTTTCCCGAAAATTTTCTGGCCCTCGTTTCCCTTCGGAGTTTTTGCTGGCAGCTTGCGGTGCCGGCCGTACCCATTGCCATCTGCCGTTAGCTGTGCCAATCTGGTGCTGAGATAGCGATATGCGCATTCCGCCGTGAATATTCTTCTATACGACACTTCTTTCATTACATTAGATTACGAAACATACTTAAAAGACGTTGCACAGAGGCATATGCGTTTAAATAGTTATTCTATATACATATACCTGAACGTTTCCTCATTATTTAATGTACATATAACAATCTATTGATATAATAGATGTATAGATAAATACAACGTCGAGTAAAAGATATAATACTATGTATGCTCTTCGTCCTGCGTTTCTAACCGACCTCTATCAACAATAAAGGGCTTAAGAAAGAAGATCTCGAGTCGGGCGAACGCGTGCTCATCCAGCTATACGATACGGAAGCCAATTTATTTTCTAATTACCTGCGACGCGACGAAGTCGATGCTATGCCGCCTTATATACTTTGTACTTAAAAATATAGATATATTCAGATTTCCACATTTTCTTAGCTTTTTTTTTTTTTTTTCTCGTTTATTTTCTTTCTAAATCATTTTTTTTCTCCCTCCTTCCACCCTCTCCCTCACTTTTTCTCACTCGCTCGCTCGCTCATTCACTCACTCATTCTCTATCTATCTATCTTTCTCCTTCTTTTTCTTTCTCTTTCTGTCTCTTCCTTTTATTCTCTCTTTTTTTAATTCTTTTCTATTGAAATCATTTACATACAGTAACTACATTGTATACATTCATTTGTTGTATATCTTTGGTGTACGAATGCGTTGAAGAACAACCATCGATATACAAAATATAGATTAGCGTCTAGCAGCGTCACTAACTAACGGTTCCTAGTATACAATAAGACAACGCATACGAATATCTATGTATATATTCCAATATTAGATAGACATATAAATATAAATAAAAAAGGGATAAGGGAAGAAATAACGCGACCCTTGTGGAATGACGTCTCCAGATATGGAAGGGGTGAAAAGGCGTTCGGAGATGACTATCTGAGGCGCATTTATCATTTCGCAACGTCTCTAAACTCTTTCGTGTATTTGCATATTGGAATAAGATAAAGATAGAGAATAGGGCATAGAGGGAAACGTTCTCATTAGCATAATAACTGTGCATAACAAAATATATACAGTATACATTAAACATAGTTTTGTAAATATAAATAGTTCTTTAGAATAGGGTTAACACTCCAATAAGATTTTACAATATTATAAAAATAATTTGTTACATAATAAATCATTTGCATAATTTAAATGCAGGTGAGTATTAACTTGTCTGCTTCATTTTTTTGTTGTTGACAAATACTAGATAAAACATGTAGGACGTGTTAAGGCCTTTCATCGATATTGCTCAACAATAATCCAAACGTATAAAAGCATACACGCGCGCGCGCGCATCGGGCAGATAGAGAGAAAAGAAAGGACGAAAGCAATCAAGAACGGACAGACAGAGCGCGAGATTCTCCGCATATGATAGTCAGGTAATCACAAGTGAGCACCTCCTGAGGGACGGTAAAAAGGGCAGACTTCTATAGCCTTACAGCGCCCTTTATAGCGACCTATATTTAATTTTTGTATGTTTTTTTTTGTATTTTATTGTAGTATGGCGTCCATCTCTCTGTATAACACCGCAAGCCGAGCGGAGCTGGTCGTACGAGATAAGGATATAGGCGCGCAGCGTCGTTTGATCGTTTGTCTTGTTTTTTAGATTTAACCCTAAAAGTCACTTTTCATCAGATATCTTTGATGTTTATTGTCACACTATACAATAGGTTTTTTATTTATTGTTTTTCGCTAGTCGACTGTATTGATTTTAAGTTCTTTTTTTTCGTTATCGGAACTATGGTAATCCATATATTCCGTAAACGGTTTCTTTACAACTGGCACTGAATTCGAGCATAACGCTCGTGGAGCGGGTCACTAGACTCGTAACCCCTTACGCATGGCGGTGAACAGCGCTGGAGATGAATTAGACCACCCATCTTTGCGACGTCCGTCCGAACGGACGCCTATTGCACACGTCGAACGGCCGTCGAGGATTGAAAGACTAGAGGGGTAGGAGGAGCGGAAGGGATAGAATCCCGCACCTTGCTCGCAGGCGAAGGGGAAACGCATTAGCTGCAGCAATTGCCACAAAAATGGATTGCGTAGCTCGGTGTTGTATGAGCGAGGCGAGGCGTGAGCTTCATTAACCTTTTGGAGCGTCTATTCGCCGCCAATCTTCGTCATGATGGTGCAAGAGAAAAATAAGGGAGAATTTATTTTCTCTTATTGCGGTCTTATTTCTCTCTTATTTTTTAATAGAAAAAGAGGCCATTCGCCGATAGATTTAATTCATATACATCTAGTTTGATCTCAATTAATATTTGACGGTGTCGGGTAGCCGGTAAGGCAAGCAAAGTGGCAGCAAAAATGACAAACTAATCCTCGGCTCACTGTCACAATCAATCACTAGAAACAACCGTTCCCCTTAAGACAATGCAAATCGCTTTGCAATGAGTACGAAACGTGCGCTCGCACCACCCTCCGCATATGGCGGTGAAAGGATCAAACGTTTGTCTGTAGAAAATAGGGCCTGCCGACTAGTTTGCACTTGGTCAATAATCATTTATTTGTAAAGTAAATGTATCGACTAAGAAAAAAAAAGAATAGGTTGGAAAGCGGTAGAAGAAGGTAAAGTGGGGGATAAGGGAGGGTTAAGGGGGGTAAGAATAAGAGTAGAAATATACGGGACGGCGGGGTTTCACGCTATACCGCCGTTCACTCAGCATTATAAAACACTATTTTCATGCCATTTTAATGACTTGTGTAAACAAGACGGCGCTGATCTGCTGCAAAGCTTGTTTAGTCTCCTATATAGAAGCTCGTTGGTGCCTCGTTTTACTCGCGCCATAAGCAGAAATTCAAACACTCGTCGCTCGCTTTATGAATAGAACGAGTGACGATCTTGACTTTAATCTGTATTTCCTTATATTTTTCTCTATTATTCCAATCACGTATATATCCTTTCTGTATGTTTTGTTTTGTTTTTACCCCAGTTTTCGTATAAGATCACCGTTCGAGATTACTTTTTTCCTTTTTATCTGTATCTGTGTGAGTTCGATAGTTGCGTTTTTTTTTTCCACTCCTTTTTAAATCAGACGGGAGATGCCTTACAAGGTCAGGCGATCTTAATGACAGAGTCGAAGTTAATGTAGGCCGATAACGATCGTGGTTAGGTTCTATCAAAACACAGATCTACGAACGGGGCAATTGGCGCAGGTGGCGTGAGTCTTCTTATTCTGCCCGATCAGACCGCTTTCCTTCACCCACCTGCCTTAACTCCTATGAAGTAAGGAAAAGAATTTTTCACTCAACTCTCTCTCATTCTCTCTCGCTTTCCTTAATTTCTCTCCTTCTTTCCCACCCTCTTTTACAGTATATAATTCCCCCATTAAGGGAGTTATATAGTCTAGGCGGTTCAAGGATATGCTGATCGATAGACGATCGTGAAAGAAAGTGTTAAGGGGGAAATTGGAATGTAACTCCTGCTGATTTCCTTAATCAAAAACTCGGTGTATACACAGTACACCATACACTGTTTCTATCGTGTATTTATATATAAAATAACTACATATTTGGTAGAAATGTTAAAAAAATACCGTTAGTGTTTTTTTAGAAAAGCGGTGGTATAAAGAGAAAAAATAAGAAAGTTTTTCTTTTATTCTTGTTACTAGAAGGTTTAATGAAAGAAGAAAATGCGCATCGAACTAGAACGCAATATATTCTAAATACACGTACATATAGAGAGAACGTCGAAAAGGATCAAAGAAATTGTATAGATTACATGCCCCATCCCTTTGTGCTTCGATTCAAAGCAAGAGTGGCCAGTTGGGAGAACGTAGAGCACGCTACAATGAACGTTGGAGGGTAAGAAGGAGGAAGATGTTTGTCTTTGTTCCCATTCAATTCTACAATTTCTTTAATTCTCCTGTTGTCTTGAAAGAACCATTGGCCAAAAAAATAAAGAATAAAGTATATGGAAGAAAAGTCTCCGAATGACCACACACAGCCTTCAGTGCGGGTTGAATTGCCGGAGGCGATAAACGTCTGACTGATTCGGGCAGAATGAAGAGTTTCGAAATTCTTTTGAGGTGCGAGGCGAGACAGCGCCATTTGTTTCTTAATCAACGCTTCGTCAGCCTTCGTCACGCTGCCCCGAGTAGCCAAATTCGAATTGATGGGCTTTGGCTGTCGGACCGCTAAATTTTTTTCTCCAACCCTTCATCCCTTTTTTAGCCTACTTTTCTTATCATCCAACTAATTCTCGTCACCGCCTTCTCATCCCCTTCAACCTTTTACAGTTCTAGTTTGTTCTATTTTTCTTCGTTTTCTTTTTTTTCATTTTCCCGATTCCTCGCTATATTTGAACTGCTATACTGCTTTCATGTGGCCGCCGCCGTGTAAGCAGCACCTGCGGCGGTAGGCCACTCCTGGTAGCACCTGCATGCACGCCTGCTGGCGTGACGAATATAATCAAAAAACAGAACGAACGAAAAAAGAAGGACAGAAACAATATAGAGGAGTAAGAAAAAAAAAAATACAATAAAGAATAAGAAAACGAATGAGATTGAGAAAAAAAGAAAATATTATTTTTCTATCGGAAGAAGGCTACTACTTTCAAGAATTTTTCTATGGACGAGCAGAACGAAGAAAAAAACCAAGAAATTTGAGAACAGAGTTGATCTGCAAAAGTTTGCGGTAGCTGGAGGGAAAATAAACTGGAGATGCTCTGCAAACTTGACTACAGCCTCCGTCGCGCACGCCCCAACGTAATTTGACGCCCCTTCTCCTACATTACAACCGGTTCGATAACGCTCGATCTGTCCATTTTTAGACAGATGGCCAAACTCACCCGTAGTTATAGGAAAAAAAAATTAAAAAAAACGGGTTCTAGCAATAAGCCAATTCAAGCAGGATGCGGGAGACGCTCCGTCAACCAGCAGCCCGTCGGTTCACTTCCTTCTCGAAGCAGCTTTGCATTATCAGGCTGTGCATACAGTCACATGACTGCTGACGGTTGGCAAACACACTTGGCAAACTGTTTGTCTCTAGTTGTTTGCACTTTGCAGTGCCTGTGCTTGCCACCTGCATTCCTCTGAGAGTGCTGTTTGCGTGTTACAGTCAAATTACTCTTGTCGAGAGCATTTTGTTTGTTTGACCAATTCTTCCTCTTGTATATAACGCGTAGTATAAGTACGTACAAACCGTTAGGGGCGTCTAGTCCCTGCGCATCGTTGATAAAGAGCTTAAGCAATACATTTGCCTCCCCTTTACCCCCGTCTCTCTCCCTCTTTCCCCGTCTCTATACTGTAAACTTTTTTTTTCGTCACCTTTTCGATCATTGTCATCGATAGACGTCTTACTTGATGTTTTTATCAAGGCAATTGCTAAATTTTTGTTCAATTTGTAACTGCAGAGATTTTTACTGTATTAAAAATACATTGGACGCCGTCACCCAGCGTCATATGCAAGTCACTGCGTGCCTGTCCCTCGCACATGTTCTTACAATGCTCAATTTGTGATTTGTTCTGACGTCATTTCGTTGTGTCAATAGCAGATGTAAGCAACGCTTTGTGCGGATTATACGTATAATATACGTAAATAAAAAAAACTCAAATAGGATGTACATTATTTTATGTTTTGATTATATACATTCCTTATTTTTTCATATGAAGAAAAGTGACTAAAATCTTGTCTGTTGGGCGTTAGAAAAACATACAGAAAGAAAATTATTATTTAGATTCTAGACGAGCTGTTGTATAACTAGATTGTCGAATCTAGGCGGGAAACGGTAGAGTTCAAAAGCGTCTTTCGTTTATAAAACAAACTAGAAATTGTTTGAAGTATAAAGTGGCGTTGAACGGTACTGGTTAATGTTAGGGAGGAAAAGCTGCATAATGCCTTGTAACTATGATGTAATCGACTTGCGCTCTTGTATACGAACGCCAACACGTTTTTTTGGAGGCCAGAGGCGGTGTCAGCACCACACATGATGAGCAGTTCAGTGCCTATTGTGTCGCTAACGACTGAGAATAATTGCTGTACGCCGTGAAGGCTTTGGTCATTGTGCGGACTGGTCAATTGCCGTTTCGGCGATATCCGCAGGGCTAAGCAGTTGAGATTAGGATTAGACTTCTTTCTGTTCTTTCTTCCTTTTTTCTTTCTATCACCAGCCTTAATTCTGTTTAAATGCATGTATTTCATTCTAACACTGTCTATCATATGTCTGAACCTCTATCTCTTTCTATTTACTATATATCTCCTACTTTGCTTTTTATTCGATCTATAATCCTCTGCGTAACTGTATACATATTATGTGCAATACTCTCGTAATCCTCGCTTATATAGAGTTATATGTAAACATTTATAACTGAACGGTAGTCGTAATCGCAACTTGTGCATGTGTGTATTTGCATTGCAGTCGCGTCGTTGACCATCATGCAGTACGGCCCGATGAGCAGAGATACGACTTATACGAGTTGATAGACAATCAGGGAGTTATAGGCATAAAAAGCATGTCAACTGCCTATATGCATATCTATAGAAATTTCTCTTTCTTTCTTTTTTCTCCTTTTTTTTTAATTCATCTCTTTTTTTTTTTGAGACGACCAGGTTTTTGTTCAAAAACATTTCGAAGATCGTAAAAGAACTCTTTGTAACGGTTGCCACGATAAAAATCGCTTGTTTGCCATCCTACGTTGCGTACGGTAGTGTAAAACGTGCGCTTGTATGCGTAAGAATGCACGGCGCCATGTCACATGTAAATATAAGTAGTAGCCAATTTCGTGTCAAGGGTATCGTGCAGACGGTCAAAGAACAAAACTCACTCAGTCTATTGTATAAGCGTCTATTCTCAATTGTACATATGTATTGTTTAAGGATAGTTGAAGAATTGCGTATAGAGACTTAAGCGAATTGTCAAATTGCTTTAATGATTGAAAGACATCGTCGCGAGTTGTAAAAGTGTTGTCATTTCGCTCCAGAGGCGAATGATATATTTGTTTTTCCTTTATTACCTATTACGGCATTCCTTGAAGGCTAGTCTACTTTTACTATTCAAAAATTCAGCCGTTCGTTTTCGTCATAATTGTCTTTAGGTGTTGGCACTGGCTTCCGCCTATGGCGTGATAGATTGGCTAGCCTCCTCTTGGATTTTGTACAAGTCTTAGCGGTAGATTTTCCTTGTATTATTTCTGTTATTTTCTCATCCAGTACGTCTATATGAATATAGACTTCTCACGGACAACCGACCGCCAATCTATACTTGTACAAACTTTAAGTTGTTTGAGTGTTATTGGTCTATGATGAAGTACTGGCGCACTATTCTTTACGTATTGATAAAACTTGAAACTCTCCCCCGACAGAGGCGCACCCCCCGTCGTTAGAGCGAAGATCTACCTCATCCTGATTGGCTACGGCTCGGAGGCCCCGCCCACCGGCCCTTCTGCAAGCGAACAAAACTCGAGCGTGACATTGAATGCTCGGTCGATGCGTTCTGTAGAGCAGGATAGTTGTTGTACGGAGTTAACAGTAATGGCGGTGACATGTGCAGCATGTGAGAGACCTATACTCGATAAATATATATCGAACGTACTAGATCAGACCTGGCATCAGCACTGTGTTCAATGTTCTGACTGTCACTCGCAGTTGTTCGACAAGTGTTTTTCTCGGGAAGGCAAGCTGTTTTGTAAAGAGGATTTCTTCAGGTTTGTAATAAAACTTTATTCTTGCATTCATAATTGCTATTTAATATGTTCTTTATTACTATTATTATTATTACTATTATTATTATCGGGCTATTAAAATAATGAATGTTATGACTGTCTCCTAAGAGAGAAAGAGAGTTTACTCTTATACCGGCATTTTATTTTTTTCGCCTACACCTTTAATAGGTAGGTTAGGCTGTGAAAAGGAAAATACTATATAGCCTAGTAAAGTGTCGTTTTTTATGAATTAGCAATATAAATTTCAAATTCGTAATAAAATAATAAACTTTAACGATTAAACGCCTATGGTAGATTGTAAAAAAGAAAAAAGATATTAACTTTAGATATTTATATAAAAAAAATGTAGATGAGATGTGGATGAGGAGTAGGGAGGGGAATGGGGGAAGGTATAAGAGAGATAGGTAGATAGAGAGGAAAGTTATGGAGAGTGAGTGGACGAACGAACGAACGAACGAAAGGAAAACAGAAACTGAAAAAGAAAGGAAAAAGATAAACTTTACCAAAATAATAACAAAAATAATAATGAAGAAAAAATATCCTTCTTTTATTATTTTCTTTATTTAAGTGAGAATAGAACAGTTTATCCTTATATCTCAAATTACGTTCTTTTAAAGGGATTTTCCTTATTAATTTAATGTTTAGTTTACTTTTGAAAGGAATCCCTTTTCAAATATTAACAAGTTTAACTATAAGCGCGAAAGGTTAAATTCTTTTATATATTTAAAAAAAAGAGAGATAAAGAGGGACAAAAAAAGGAGGTAGGGAGAGAGAGATAGATAGATAGATAGAAGGAAGGAAGGAATGAAACTAGGGAGAAAAAATTATTTTTTAGACCAAAAACTTTGGACCTAGAACTAAAAAAAAAAAAAAAGGAAAAAATAATTCAAATTTTAGGCTTCTATTTAAATATTGAACATCTCTTTCATTTTATTCTCCTTATTCACACATTTGTTAAGTTCGTTTGTAATTTAAAATACGATAACCAAATGAAAAGAGAATAAAATATAGATCGAAGAACGATAGACGAATGTATTAAATTATTGTATATGTTTACAAAAATTTATTAATTATTTAAAGGTATTTTATAGGTGCGTTTGTTTCTCCCTCTATCTTTTCCTCTTTTTCCCTTTTTATTTACTGCCGTAATACATATGTTACCGGGGCATCTATTTTTTTTCTCATGCATGCATAAAACGATTGCTTTTTGGAAATATGCTGGTTATAATAGGATTATAATGGTATACCAGTAATTAGCAAATTTAACAGATGTATATTTATAATATATGTGTGCACGCGCGTAAAATCGCTCTTCTGCGTCACTACGAGGTTTGTCACGCTCTGCTTAGTATATATGCACATATAAATACTGAGATTTATAAATATAAATATATCAGATAGTTATAGGAATATGCATGTATTTTTGTGTAAATGTACTGGATGGATTTATGAATAATTCATATTTATATTTATCTTAATAAGTAGGATTTGTGAATGAGAGATATTTTGGGAAAGAAGTGTATAAAAAGGGTTTCAAAACCGGGAGAGAGGAACGAAATGTTCTTGTAAACCAGAACGAAACGGCTTTTTATCAGTAATCGATACTTGTGACACGAGTCGATATACGGAGCACTCACGGTCCGATAAATCTCTGCGAAATTTTCCCAAACAGGCGTTTTGCGACGAAATGCGGCGGTTGTGGAGAAACGCTGTCCGCCAACGAATTCGTAAGACGAGCCAGAAATCGCGTCTACCACCTTAAATGTTTCACCTGTATGATATGCCGAAAGCAGTTGGCCACCGGCGAACAATTATACGTTCTAGAGGATAATAAATTCATCTGTAAGGAGGATTATTTGAGTAATTCAAAATATCAAGGTAAGTGCGTTTGAATATTCATTTTCCTATTATGGGCTACTATTTATTCTTTATCCTACACTTAACAATCTTGTTTATTTTTTCGATAATGCGTTGCAAATGACTATTTTTCTGTCACCTCTTCCCCTTCCCCGTTTTCGCATACGTTTCGTCTATCACGCATGTCAACCGCACAGATAGAATAAGGCAGATAAACAGTTCTCATGAGAATCTACAGCCGCCATTATCCGCTCGACTTTGTCGCCTTAAACCGAGATTTATATATTTTATATATAAATATATACATTATAAACTGTATATATTTATATAAGATTGCAGTTGTATTTAATCTCTATATACTATATATATATATATAAATTATATAAGAGATTGAATATCATGTACGCATATATATGGATATATATATATATATATATATATATGCATATATTAGCTTTATATATTAAAACGTGAAAAGTATACAGCATATCATAGTATTCGTATTTAAAGAAAACTTTAAAATTGACAATCTCTCTCTTCTTCTTCTTTTTTAAATTTACTTAATAATTTTTTATTTATTATTATTTTTATACCCTTTTTATGAGCTGAAAGTGTAAGTTAAGAGAGGGGTAGTTTGTCTGGAGGTATTATACGAGTTTGCAGCTGTCAGTAATCAACTAGCGTATATGACAAATGATTCATACGAGCTCGAGCTCAGATCAAAGAAACGGCACGCTATAGTGTATAGATAAGAATCTGCTTGTCACACACGCTAGCTATATAGCTGGCCGAAAAAAACGTACGGTGGCCCCTGCAAAATAGGTCAGGGATTGCCTTATTTCCTGGCAACCGAGTTTCTGCAGCCAGCCGCTCCGAGGGTGGTGTTCACGCGCCCTGCACACGCTTCTTAGCGTTTGATCCAAGCCGCCCTTTGTTTTCGTCCAAGAAAACTCTATTTTAATTGCTTATTTCTTTTTTTTCCGAAATTTAAAATAAGAATTTCAGAGAAGAAAATTATTTTCAAATCACTGCTCGCTTTCGCCTTTCTAGCAAACTCAATACAAACTATTCGCCCGTGGAGTGCAAAACCCCCTCGCTTCTTACAATACCTCATTCCCTTTGAATTATGAATGATGCGCCACGGGCAGTAAATGGTGCGGCATCAAATATACAAGAGCAGTTGTTTGCACCTGTCCAACCGATAGAGACGCACCGTTTTGTTCAATAAGATCGATAACGGAGCCTGGCCTCATTCGTTTATAGCTGATCGCTAATTGGATAACAATGTACCAATTTTAGAGTTTGTAAATGACCGCTTTACAAATAATTCTTACGAATAGACTGCCTACATTCACACGTAGAATTTTTTTTCGCGGGATATAATAGAACATAATATAAATACGTATAACAGTATAATTTCGTTACCAATGCCCCGTCGCCGACGTCATCAAACGGCACGCGACTTGTCGCTATCGGCGCTTATCGACCGTCAGCATCTGTCTCATGAATATTCATCATCTTTCCTCCCTTCCTCCCTTCCTCCCTTACCTCCCTTCACCAAAAACCTGATAAGATTGTCGCGCGTTCAAATCGTCCCATGGGCGCTTGAGAACGGCGTAACGTTCGTCCTTGTTTGCATGCATAAGCGGCCGTTTCTGTCTTACGTAAGTCCTTCTCGACGCCCCTGTTCGTTTTTAACGCTTCGAATACAAAAAGAAAAAGAAAATGTGAAAGGGAAGAAATACGGGACGGCGGGTGAATGAGAGTGATAGGCAAAATAGAAAGATATATACAATTAATAAAATATATATATATATAAAAAAAGGCACTCAAAATTTTTCTTTTTTATCTCTTCTTTTTTAGCCGGTAATCTTAGCGATCACGAAGATGAATTGGACTCGACGTCCGCTGGTCTCGACAACTTGGACGACGCCCTCAGCGAAAAAGATTTGGAGACGATTAAACAGGAACCTAGTCCGATAGCCTCCAGTCCACCGCCCACGGAGGACAAGTGCGCTGGCCCTTCGGGGCCGAACGATGTCGAAAGCTGCCCGGAGGATAAGCAAGGGACTAACGGCTCCGCCTCTCAGCAATCTGGCCAGGATGGTAACGGAAGTGGAGGAGGTCAAAAGAGGAGGGGACCGAGGACAACTATCAAGGCAAAGCAGCTGGAAACGCTCAAAGCGGCCTTCGCTGCAACTCCTAAACCTACTAGACATATACGAGAGCAATTAGCTCAGGAAACAGGCCTAAATATGAGAGTTATACAGGTGAACGTCTTTTTTCGATAATCAATGTAAAACTAGCCACTTCTTCTCTTTCAACCCCGTTCTTCTTCTTTTTCACCCATTTCTCCCGTCAATTTGCACCTGCCGTCTACGATAATTGAGAGCAAGATGCTGTTGCGTGCGGCAATCTTTTGTTTCTATAGTCGATTTTGCAGCTGGTGTTGGTGCAGGCACCACGCCTTTCAGCCCGCCTTTGCGCGGCGCTCTGAGTAAACAAATAGCTTTCGTAGATACGTTTCGGGCTTGTATTTCGCCTGTCAGCTGTTCAAACAGAAACTAGGCCGGGCTCGCGCGCGCCACTCCAACCCCAACTCTGCAGGAGGTTACCAAAACTCGTCCGCCTATTTCTTTTTTACTCTTTTCTATTTTGCCTTCCCAAAGAATCCTTCTACCTTTTTGTAACCGCTCACCGTTACTTGCATATAAACTAGGGAATCTCTTTTTTTCGTTTTTAATTATTTAAACTTATAAATACAAAAAGAGAAAGAAGATAAGTTCCAGCTTTTCCCTCGACCCTTTAGCCCCTTTTCCAATTTATCTAGTACTATTTATTAAAAATATATATATATATATATATATGTTTTAAGTATATATAAATCTATATATATGATATAGTCAACAATAGCTACTGTCACGATCGTTCGCCATGAGAATTCTCGCCGCCAGCCATTGTATTCTACCAACGATGCAGAACAGCGGGTTGTACGCATATATAAAGATCTAGGCGACGTTGTTGTTTTTTTTTTTTAAACCAAATATCTTATAAATATTCGCTTATTATCGGTTGGTTTACTCCTAACCGACTTACTCAGTTCCGATTCGTTTGTGAATGCTATAGTGCGTTAATTCGAGACTTATAATAACATGAAAAAAGAGAGTGAAAAGCCATTTTTATAAACTGAGCCTCTTTTCATCACCAAACCGAAACCGTAGACGGAATGTACGTTAGGAGAACACGTTGCAGCTGTTGACCTTGTTAAATGCACCGTTGCGAGTAGCGCTAGGAGCGAGTAACTTTAATCTCTTATCTTTACTAAGTTAACAACTAAAAGTTGACCAAATTCCTAATATTTTTTTTTTCTTTCTTTCTTTGTAAATTCAGGTCTGGTTTCAAAATCGAAGATCGAAAGAAAGAAGAATGAAACAACTATCGGCAATGGGAGCCAGACGGCATCAGTTCTACTCTAGACCGCACCGGCGGGGCCTTCGGCCGCTTAACGGTCTCGAGGGGATGGAGGATAAGATGAATCCCGAATTGATAGGCGGTCAAGGAGGATTTTACGCATTCGGTAAGTTCCGTCTCGTTTTCTTCTCTTTTTATCCCTATACTTTTGATATCTCGGTACGCTGACAATTTACATTGTGTCTAGCTGATGAGAGGGAAACCTTTTATATGTAATTCCAAGATGATAGAGGCCAAGTAGGGAAGCCCGACTGCAACTCGCTCGGGGAAGCACTTGGATTGCGGCGCATGTAGCAAACACCTGCAACTTCCCACTTAATACACGCGCCGGCGCACGCAACTCTAATATCCCCACGCGATCTCTTTTCTCATCTAATTCCACAATTGCCATATATATACTCTATTTACCGTATTTACATTTTATATAGTATACATATAGTAGATAAATTCTTTTTAATAGTCCTATATCCTGTCTATTAGCCTTTACAATTTTAGACCTTATTAAACCATTTATTTTTTTTTCTCTCTTCCATAGGAGATGGTCAATCGGAATTCTATCCGTATTCAGCCGCTTACGGTGAATTTTTTAACCACGCTCACGCATCGGGCGGGGGCGAAGGACTTCCGTTTCCAATTCCACCCACTTCGCAGGCGAACATGGAAGGCGTTCACGGAGGTGAGTTAAACGTTTTACGTAATATTAATGATGGTGATAATAGTCACAATACTCTATGCGTACACACACATACACACGATAAATATATATAAACTTGTATATAATAAATACAGTTTGTAGGCGTATGACATAAAAACCTTTCTCAGCTATTTAAACATATACATAGATATTCCCATGTCTAGAACAACGTATTTATAAATATGAACATATATACAGTACAAAAACAAGAATAAAAAAAAGTGTTACAGCTGTCAAGGTACTATGTGCTTGCCTGTGGTATGCCTGTACTCTGATTTTTATGCTCGTTTTCTTTACCTTCGACGTTCATTCAAATGCAAATTTCTAATGCCTATTCGAATCGCCTCTTATTCGAAATCGTTCGCCGTAAAACGCCTCTTCTAAATTCTTAATACGTTGTATATATACTCCAAGGGCGCGTGCATCAATATAAATAGTATATATATATATATATATATATATACCTTATACCCTATACCATATACATATCGTATAGTGTTTATGCATAAGATAAGGATTATAGATAATAGAATTTTTACATGAATTATTTATGCAAAGAGAATTTTCGAAAGATCGCACGTTCGTGTTTTTACGAACGAATTTATATGTAATTTTTTACATACAGTAATCTGTAGATATCAAAAGTACAATAAAGATGATAAGTGAACATTTTATTCTCCTCATCAATCGATGCTTATCATCTCACGCACGACGAATATCTAACATCAAAAACTGTCGTTTCGCTCACCGCCGTATACAGAAAATAGCCGAAGGCAAAAGAGACATCGTTTTATATACGAATTCTTTACATATATAGCATACAAGTAAACTATATATATATATATATATATTCTGAGGAGAGATAGATAGTATATATATAAATATATATGAATTCCCATCTTCTCTCTATTGTTATAAACATTACTATATTTATTTACAAATATGCGGGCTAATGACATTTACATTCACATATAAAACTCTTGCTATTGGTATATATTTCACCCAAATAGATGGTTTACGGCGGATACACTTTATGTATCAATAGGCCTAACAAAACTGAATGAGAAAATAATGAAGTGTGACTGAGTTGTTTCTTTTTTTTCTTTTAAAACAGGGTCCATGGTAGCTGAACACTTTATTGCAGATACAGTTCCGCCAACGTCTTCTGCATCGCCAGAACCAGGATTACCTCCATTTACTCCCGACTATCCAAATTCTCGACATTTCCCAAATAATACTCAAGAAGTGTCCGAGACTTGGTAGAAGTGGCTAAAATCTAGAAGAAAAAATTTAAAACTCGGAAAAAAAAAGAATAAATGCTACAATTCTCTTTTTCGAACTGCTATATTTAAAATTATCTGAATATATACAAATATATACAGTATATTGCGTATATAAATATATACATTTACACTGTATACGTCCGTATATATAGTGAAATATAATTGATGATTATGTATATACAGTAAGGAAAAAACGTAAAAAATACATGTGTACATATTTATATATTAAGTATTTAATATATATATATATAAATATATTTGGAAACACTTTTTGTGTAGTTTTTCACAAATTGACAAACTCAATCGATGCCAAAAGTATACAAACATGAATTGTTTTTTTTCTCTCTCTCTCTCTCTCTCCTTTTCTGCCTTCGTCCTCGTCTCTCCCTCTATTCCGATCTCGCTCTTTATTTATAGTCTCTCACTTTTCTATCTTTCTATCCTTCTATATTTTCTCTTTTCTAAATTAAACTGGTCAAATACAGAATGAAAATTTGATAATAGAAAATCAAATACATTCGTTGATTAGATGATATTTTCTCATAAACACATATATTATATAAAAAACGGATGCATTTAGTTAAAAATGACCTTTAGCAAGGCAAAGGTGCCCGAGGGAGAGACGCCACAACGTGATTATCGTCTAAAACGGTGCGCAGCCGCAGAAAAATTACGGTAAATGGCGCTAAACACTAACGGCGTCGTTAAATAATTGAAGCGAGTATAAAACTAGGAAAAACGCGGGAATAGTTATATAATAAGTGTGATATCTCACGCCCAGCGCGCCAATTCAATAAATATTTATGCGAAGGATTTAGGTTTGTCGAGCAGAAGGGCAACGCGGTGTCATAGCGCATTGCCCTTGCCAACTGCAAAATTTTCCAGTCGTCTGTCTTAGTATATATGATGTACAGTTTTTTTGAAGCTATCTATTTATAATTTCTTTCTTATAAAGGGTATAATGTTACGCAGGTGCTGCCTAAGAGTATCAATTACATAATGTGCAGGTAGATTGGTCAAAGCATTCCTTCTCTATTTCATCGACCGGCAATAGCTTTAATTAAGATTGCTATCTCTACAGAAAGTAGGCGCAATAATTGCATAATTTCTAACAACAAATTAAGTAATTATCTCCATAGCAGGGTTATAGAAAAGACGAAGTGGACATTAAAACTCTGACACGACGCTTGGACGTTATTTTTAGCGTCTCCACTTACTAAACGGACGCGTGCCATCTGACCGGTAACGAGCGGAGTAAGAGAGATAGAGGGAAAAAAAGAAAGAAAAGAGTCAGGACGGGTCAAAATTGACGCAAAAATTGCTAATGTATGAATTTTAATTGAACCACGGACAAGAGGGAAAAATAAAAAGTTTAGAGACTCTGATATTGAGTGGAAAGAGAGAGACGAATATGCAAAAAGAGGAAAACGACGGCAACCGGCGCCGAATGAAGCATTGCCCCACATGCTATCTGACGCCGAAAGCATGTGGAGAATAGCGAATGAGCGAGCTTGTCAATCATAGCGGTGAAGAGAGAGAGAGCGAGAGCGAATGGGGAAAGAGAGAGAGAGAGAGAGAGAGAAAGAAGGGGAGGGGGAGAAAAAGAAAAAATATAAAGAATGATTGTAAGAATGGAATGAAAGAAGAAAAAGCGAGAGAAATTGATAGAGAAAGTGTACCCCATCTGTAAACCATACCGCGGACGCGATAATGGTTTTGTAGATAGCGCTTATCTGATTATTTTCGGCTACGGTTGGACGATGTATAAAGACGTTTAGAGATGTTATGCAATCGCTTCGGAAGTTTGGTGGCGAAAAATTCGCGCTTAGTTACGCCTGTAGACTTATTCTCCAGAGACCGGTTTAAAGGGGTAGGTAAGAAGGCGAAGAGAAGGGTAAAGGAGGGTTATAAAGCCGCCGTTTGTCACCATCTCCAATCCGTTTATAACCACATCTAATAAGGAGCGAGATTTGAGTAACGTCTCCGCGGAGTCATAGCGGGATAAGAAGGGAAAAAGCGGTAATGATGCGGAGATTATCCGCCGAGGTGTTTTTTGTTCGATCCGACCGTTGTACCGGCGGGAGACGCCGTCGACCGTTTATCCCCGCTGGATTGACTGGCGCTATAGGAGAGGCGTCTCCCATCGGTCTCTCCTTCGCCTATTTACTCGGGGATGGCAAGCTATTTTACTCTCAGATTGTCAGGATATATCTTTGTTGACTCGAAGATTACGACGAGTCGCTTGTTTATTTTACATTTTGCGCCCAGGGAAAGAGACGTCTCGCTTCGTTAGTGTGCAAACCAACTGTTCCTGACTAGAGTTTCACTGCAACGCGGGTGGTATATACGCCTTACGTCACCGGCTCGCCCGATTCCCGCCAATGTGCTTGTATATTATGATAACAGGGAAAAGAGAGTGAGAGATAGACAGAAAGAAAAAAAACAAATGAAGAATGATTGAGAGAGAGAGAGAGAGAGAGAGAAAAAAAGAAATAACGAAAACAAAGTGGGAGGAGAGTGGGAAGAGAGTTTTCCTTTCTTATCTCTCGCTCTCTACCTTTTTTTTTTTGACGTCCCTTTTTTTCTAGCTTAACGGTCGTATATCTAACACTGACATGTTATTATTGAAAACATTCCAAGGAATCCCAGGTTCATTGTCGCCGAAAAAGATCAACGGTCGGGGAAGAATCTTTCGCGGTTGGAAAAAGAAAGACCCAGAGGCGAAAAACTAGTTCCATAATTTAATCGCATTCGCCCAATTTTCGTAAAGCGGCAACGTTCCTCCTGGCAACGTTGCCGATTTTCCACAATACAAGCCACATATATATATATATATATATATATATACATACATTTGTCAATGTATACACTAGGTTACAGTAGAACTAGGCATGACAGAGACAGTATATATCGACTTGCATATCAAGAAAATATTTATTATTAAAATATTGAACAGTTTATGGATTTTTTTTTAAAAAAAAAATTGTTTATATAAAAAGAGAAAGAGGAGAACATTTTAAAACGGAGGCCAACTTTAATGCCCTTTTACCTTTCCTACTAACCGAAACTCTTTCTCACCCCACCCTTTTCATTGCCTTCCCTTGTTGCTGTACGTAAAGCTCTTCTCTTTTTTTCTCTTTGCTAAGTGCTCCGTAAACACGCACTCGAAATTCGTGTGTTTCTTATACTGAACGTCGGAGATTTTATCAATCGACGTCACTTGTCTCTATGTATACGAGGAAAAAAAAACAGGTGCACGAGGGCAATCGAATTCTCATTACTACGCATCTATTACGCTCCGATCGTTCACCGTATTTATTAGCCGAAAATTAATTACTCTTAACAAGAAATTTCGCCTGCACGACAGCATGTCAGGCAAATGAGGCTTGCCGTTCGGTCTCTGTAAGAAATTTTCTCGTCGTTAGGTGGCGCTCTTTCCTTGAATAAAATAATGCGCCCCCTCTTAGCTTTTTATAATGGGAAAATAATTAATATTTTCAAGATTGATTCAATAGAGAAAAAAAGGAAACTCGAAAAAAAGGGGGAAAAAAAAAGAACACGAGGAAAGTAAACAGACAAGTTTGGTCGTAAGAAAACATGTTTATTTTGTTTGGTTTCACTTTCAATACAAAAGCAGTTTAAAATGTATTTAATTCATATTTTAAAGGGAGAAAAAATCATTAAAAGACAAAATATTATTATTTTATAAATGAAAAAAACAAAAAAAAACGACAGACTACTTTTCTCATTTTCTTTTCGCTGTTGTTGTTGTTATTGTTGTTATTGTTATTATTGTTAAATAAATAGAAAGGAACAGTGAAAACAATTAAGTAGCAAAAAAATAAAACAACAAAATGAAATGATCTATTTACATAAATATACTATGCACATATTCGAATAAATAATCGGGTATATAGTATATCTGGGTAAATGATTAATAGAATGTATACACGTATATTTAACATTCTTAAAAACCTGAACACACAAGAAGAAACCTTTTTGAGATCCATCAAGTAATATTGTTTTATTACAGTCCCGCCCACCTCATCACTTCAATTCTTCTTTATGTTTATAAAGAACGAAATACCCCTCCGATCGAATAGATAAACAATGTATATATACGGTCGTAAATAGATAGGCTATCGCTAAAGAACATCTACTTAACTCGATCATCTGACTGAAAACATGCGGTTCTTTCACTAATTCTCCATACATTGTGTCTTATTCGTATTGCAAATATCTGTTAACGGGCTGGCTGCATTTCTCTTTAAATTGAAATCTGAAGCGTCTTGGCTATCCTGCTGCGATACGGAAAAAGACATATTAGAATCTTCGTTGAAACAGCTTAGACTATCTTGAGACTTTGAATCTGGTTGACTCAAATTGGAGCTCTCATCCATAAGGAGACTTGACACTATAAAATTCATACAAATGTAGAGTTTTTATAATTGTTTCAACTTGTTTGTTTGTTTATTTTGTCAACTTACGTTTTTCATCCTTTCTTGAAGCCATTTCTAAAAGCTTTGTATTTGTTACAGGCTGTTAGGTAAAATAGTACGAATAAGTATTTTTAAATAGCCTTCATCCGATATACAATATATTTTAAATATATACCTTTCGGCTAACTTCTGAGACGCTAATCGGAACCCATTTGTAGATTTTAAGAGGCGTCTCCGTACTTACTGTTACCCATCTTTTCTCCCTGTTTTATATATAAATTGTCTATTACATAAAGCCGACACGCCGTGATCATAAATATGAAAATATTAGGCGATCGGCTGAACTTACCACTTTCTCACTTTATCTATAGCATTAATAACCTTCTTAAAATCCTCTCTAGCTCTTGATCGTGTTTCTGTCCTGACCGATCTAGACATCATTTTAAAAAACAATAATAATATTGTCTATAAAACGAAGGTAAGGTCAAGGACGAATAATGGACGAAAAACGGTTCTAACTGGTCTTAATGTTAGAAACGTTATTGTCTAAAATATTTTAACTATATTGCATTTTAATTCTTTTTAAAATTAACATGTAGAAAATCAATATATTCAATCGAATATTAAAATTTGTTTTCTTATAGATGGCGCTGCCGATCCATACCGGAAGTTTTTTAAAAAAAAAAGAGAGAAATAAATGTTAAAAAATGAATTCTTTATTTAGAGAAACAATAGCTAAAGGCAAAAAACTCGGCTTACCAGAAGGAGATATTTTACAAGTTATAAAAGAGCAGGTTAAACCAGAAAAATCGAAAAAATCCAATTTTTACTCCTTTTTTTTAGTCACTAAGGTAAGGGAAAGTTTCCTTACTTTTTATTTGCATGCCTGAACATTCAATTAATGTTACAGATCTTAATTGCAACCCTCATAGCTTTTATCATTCTGTTAATTATTTGGAATTTCGCGGGGGATCATTTCCCCTTAATTGAATCTACATTTAATTCTTATAGTTATTCTATTTTAAAGACATTGAGATATTTTGCACTCTTCTACCTGAGACATTACAATACCCATAGTAAATATTGATTCTATTAACCCGTTTTAAATTAAACACGATGCATAAAAGAGAAATTAATTGAAATATTTTGTCTTCCTTTCTCTCTTTCTCGTTAGATCTTCTCGCATCGTATTGTTTTATAAACAATCCTTGGTATCAATATATTCCTCCAAGTTGTGAACTATTTCACTGGAGGTCTGTGAGACAAATCACCGCTGAAGAATTTAATGATGGAGATTTTCAAACAACATTTTACGCTACAGATGACATAATTATCATAAATGTAAGCCGATTTGTAATATTACGCGTGCATCGTTATGGTGACACTCTTGAAACGTTTTCAGGGCGGAAGTGAATCGACAACAACTTATAATAAATTACGGAATGATTTACTGAATGAACCTTTGCTATTTAACTCTTTTCATCGCCTCTACGTTAACAATTCGAAACTTGACTTTGCTGAATTGCTAAAGATGCCGGAATCGGAAGTGATAGCAGGAGGAAGTATTCAAGCGAAATGGTAAGGTTATATAATATTACTTACTAAGCGATTCCTGTGATAGGTGTCACGATTTTCCGTAATAGGATTAAAGCTTAGTCTATCCGCCATCTGCTTTTCCGAAATTGATTCTCTCTTTCAGAGTTGGTGTCATCTTCTAGGGAATATGCGCGATCCGGGGGTATGATAGAGAGGGTCTAAACGGTTTCCAAATGTGCCAAAACCCATTTCTAAAGTCTTCTTGTGCACAGGGCGTTAAATAGCGTGACGGCGACAAGAGTACTACGAAGACACTCACCCCCACCGCGAAAGATCGAACTCAGCCATCCGATTTCTTTGTTGAAACACCTGTATATTTATTCGAGCGATGCGTCATTTACACTCGTAAGAAAATTACTTTTTTGAACGCTTTTTAAACGCTTTTAACGCTAAAAAACGTTACTTTTTTTTTCTTTTGTAAACAAACATTCAAACTCTAAGAATGATAACATTGACAACTATTTGCGATACGGAATTCAAGCTTTCGGTTCTGCTTCTTATACAGCCATTTTCAAAAATAACACCTGCAGCGGTTCTCCTCTGATGTTAAAATTTCATTTAAAAGAAGGCGATATACGTTAGTTTAACGACTAAATATTTCATTTTCTGTTTTTATTCACCCCAATACTTGTCACAGTGTTATATTTGTCTTCGACGTGGGATATTTCCAAGGTCGCCGAGGATCATCAAGCAAGAACTTTAGGTATACTATCAACAGGCTCTTATGAATAAAATATTTGAATATAATTTCGAAAATTAGCGCGAAAAAAGAAACTGGTATTTTAACTTATTATTCAATTGAATGTTTTACTTATATTAATCACGTGTAGTATTATTTGAACTTTTGCTCGTTAATAATGTTTAGAAAATTGAATATAATAAATTTTCTGTCTATTTCAAATCGTAAAAGTAATGTGATAGGTGTAAATTTAAACCACTATTCTAAATCTACTACTCCGATTGGATATGGTCATGATCTTTTGTTGGATGATGAAACGAATAGGTCCTATCGAAAGAAAAATCATAAATCATATAACCAAGGCCTACCCGGTATTGGAAAAGTCAAGTAAGCATTGATCGTTTTAGTCAGACAATCACAATTTTTAAATTACAATTTTCCAGGAAAGGATTCAAATATCCATTCAAAGTTCGGGGAGAAGTTTTATTTGGAGTTTATCCTGTCTTATGCGCTATGGAACAAGGTCGAAGAGACATACATCGGCTTCATATAAAAGAAAGTCTTTTCAACGAACCCGGCGAAGGCATTCGAACAATTCTTCATAAATCTCAAGAACTTGGAACAATTTTAAAACCTGTTACAAAGAGCACTTTAGACTCTCTTTCACAGCAAAGACCACATCAAGGAGTCTGCTTAGAAGTTGGAAAGTTAGACTATCTTCGTGAAATAAAAGACTTACAACCAGCTGAGAAGCTAATCGTTTATATCGACTCTGTTCAGGTAATACATAATCTAGTCTACAGTACGGTGTACCCGACACTACACTTGAATTTATAATAATTTCCATATTAATGTTTTCCTTCTCTATATATAAATAGGATCCTATGAATTTTGGTTCACTTGTAAGGTCATGCTATTATTTTGGAGTTAATAGGATAATAGCGTCAAAGGAATGCTGCCATTTGTCGCCTGTTGTTGCTAAAGCTAGTTCTGGTGTTTCCGAAATAGAACCGATTTATCAACTACCTGACATCTCATTCATACGTCAATTAAAGATGGATGGCTGGATTGTTGTTGGAACTTCGACATCCGCCAAAAATTCAGAAAATATAGCGGAAATTCGTCACAAATTACGAGCAATAGATAAAATATTGCTAATTTTAGGGAATGAAGGATATGGTATTTCCAGTAGTCTATTAAATGAATGCGATCTCTTTGTTAAAATTAATTCGGGTAAGGTATTAAATCAACATGTCGACTCTCTAAATGTGTCAGTAGCGACCGGTATACTTCTCTATCAACTGACAAACTTGTAATAAAAATAGGTAAACAAATTGTTTTTTAAATGATAGCTTATGTATTTATTTCGTTTTCTTGTTCAAATAACATTTGCTTTTCATTAAATGTATAACCATGCATATTAACATACATTTTAAACAAATATATAAATGTATATAAACTATAGCTAGAGATTTCGTAATGCCGCTTTTTTTTTTAATTTCTTTTCCAAGCAATGACAAACACAAAAGAAAATGTTGCAAGTAAAAATTTTGCATAATTATATAAAATGCTTTCTCAATTTTTTTTAAATATATAAAGGTCAGATAGGAAAAAATTATAAATTATTATTATTTTTCCTTTTTTTCTTCCTCATTTTTGTTTTTCTTTAATTTACTTAAGGCATTAAATGTAAACAAGAAAAAAA